TATCTTATTAAGATACGCGTCCGGCTACGAGCTTATAAACTCTATAAACTCCTRCTCTTACTAGTTAGTAAGGCGCGCTAGCCTACCTCTACGGACGGTTAATAGAGGGTACGGTTAGCTAAAAAGCTCGAAACTAAGGCGGATACGCGTAACTACATTATACGAYACGTAGTAGGCTTTACTAATCTAGCGATTRCTAAATATTATCGTATCGAAGGCCTTACGTAGTTAGTTRTAGAGTAGTAATTCGAGCCGTTCGCTAGGGCGGCGYRGAGCGATAATACGCGCGTACGGTTCCTTCTTAGAGRTTAGAAAAAACAACACCTTTTAYACGGACTACTTACCGATATAGTAGGAACGATATCGTCCTAATTAAGATAGTTTAGGGGTAGTAGAGGGTGCTATAGTACTAATATTAGTAGTAGGGCCCTCTAGCTTCCCCGCGGAGGAGAGCGAGGGGTAGTACACGTATTAATTAAAGCATTCTACGAGGGCCTTAATTGTAGCACTTAAAAACTACTTTTAAAATATATTTTCTATTTTATAATTACTTGCTTCTAYACCTAAAATATAACTCCTCCTTGCTTTATAYGTTCGTACAATTTGTCCCTATAAATATCCTACGATTTATATTACTATCGCTCTATRTTAAAGAAATATACTACCCTAACCCTAACCCTATAGTTTTTAGCAAAGGTTTCGCTAAGGTTTATAACCTCTTACTACGCTAATTCCTTTCCCGTCTACCCTCTACCCTATTATACGCACATTCTATATAATAGGCCGCTCCCCTTCTATCCCCCCTAATCTTTATCTAAAAGTCGTTAAAMTCTAGAATAATAATACGAGTATTACCGACATTTAAACCTTCCTCTATTTATAATAGCTATATGCCTCCGAACGGACTATCCGTATAATCGTCGTAAAGAACGGTAGCGAACCCCGATAGTCGTTAAAGAACAGTCTTTACGATAATCCCCTTCTTTACATCCGAATAGCCGAACTCTTCTACCTTAAAGCTCTACTAGATATATATATCGTAGACAAATTAAACGAGGAGGGATTTGCGATTAAGTACTATACCTTTATACGGCTTCGGCGGAGTATAGGCATTAAGAAACGACTAAGAGAAGGAGAGTTCCTTAAGCGTTAAGAGGAATATAAAAAGATTATAAAGAAGGAGATTAATCGCTCGAACCTTAGAGCATATAGAACAATATTACTATAAATATACTTCCGTACAACCGATCGTACGCGGCTTGCGCTTAGTAAGTTAGTATATTTATACGATATATATCTATAGGGTAGAAAGGGGTTTACTAATATACTACTATATCGTAGGAAGCGACTATACGAGATAGCCCGCGAGGTCTATCCCGCTAGCCCGTATAATAGGGCTACGAAGTTTATACGTCGCCGTAAGAAGTATGTTACGCCTAGCCCTAATATAGTCTAGAGTATAGATATATACTATAAACTTAAGGACTATAGCTTTTAGATCTATGCTGCTATTAATACAGATACATAGTTTATTCTATACACCTATCTTAGACCCTCTGCCCGTATAATAGTGTCTATACTATCTAACTTTGCGAAAGCTTGCAAAAAGCTTACGAGAGTACCTCGTATTATTCGGATAGATAAGGGTAAAGAGACACTCCTTATCGCGCAGGCTTAATACTAATACGTAAGGATTATTCGTAGGCGTAAAGTACGCTTTCGCCGCTGCTTTATATTTAGAATAAGTACTACTAATGTCCGTATCGAGGCATAGTAGGGCTAGCTTATACGAGGAAGGTTTAAGGCATAGCATATAAGTATATAAAGCATATTATCTATATATACTTTAGCAACGCTCCCGTTATATCCGAATTTAATTATACGGGTTAGGCTAACTAATCTTAATATTATAGGGCTTCTTTATAATATTAAAGAAGAAGGGGTAGTTTTATAAAGCAAAGAAGGCTAACCGCATTRCTATAAAGTATATCTATATACCTATTATGCGGAAAGAACTAGCCTCGTTTATATATATATAGAACAAGCACCCCGTACGAAGACAATCTAATAGACCGTACGTAAGAGGTAGTATACTAAGCTATCGCTATAACTAGGTAGAGAAGGAGGGAAGGCTAAGTATTAGGTATCTAATCGATAAGGCCTACTTTAATAGTCTTATAGAAGCTTGCGTAAAGTAGGGTACGTTTATACTAGCGAACGTATATAATAGATCTTAAATTATTTGCTAATATATATAGATTCTAAGGAGTATATTCTATAGGAGATGCTTAAGCTCTGCTTAAGTATTCTAAAGATAAAGGGCTTTCCGCTCGGTCGACTAAGCTCGTACAAGTTTATACTAAGCGTATAAAAGCCGTAGTACTAGATCGCATACGAGAACCTCGTAGAAGAGCTACGTAAGGTTCCTAAGGATATGCTATATAAGATATTAATTCCCCGCGGCGGTAGGAAGTAGGAAGGATTTTAGGTCGACTCGGAAGATATTATATAGGCGTTTCGCGATTAGTGCGATAATAACCGCTCGCGTAAAGAGCTTAAGGAGGCACTAGAGGGTTTAATTAATAGAGAGCTTTTAAAAGAGGATAACTCGGAAAGTAGTAATAGCGATATATCGGAGGTTAATTATTAGTCGGATAAGTCGGAATAGATTATCGGTATAATAGGATTACGTTGCGTTCTAATGCTCTAATAGGACTATATACACCGGGGATATATAGCTAATATGCTTCTATCCCTACTAGTATTAGCGGCCTCGGCTACAATCTCTATAAGAACTCTATAATAACTATATAACAAATTTATGCGCCTATATATCTATATAATACTTATTAAGTAGCGTACGCTCTATCCCCCGTCTTTACGTAGTTATACCTATAGAGCGATAAAGGGTTGCCCCTTTACTAAAATYCTCCTCTAACCCCCTTYCTATAGAYRATATTCCTTCCTTTATACGAACRTATACGACGCTATATCTACGAGTCCGCTTTATAYYRATAGGTTCTAAGAAGCAAGCAAAGAAAGTATAGAAGCGTATATRCCCTACTYRGCCCTAATTCGAYTATATAAAGTATATACTAGATAATAAGAAATATTACTTCTAYRGCGATTATAACCTAATACCGCCGGCACCTTCGAATAAACCGATTATACGGGCGATACTAATGCCGCTACGGACGAATACGCTATCCTTAAGCACTATGCTAATTATTATTAACTCTAATAAAAGCGAGATATTAGACGACGAGGTTCTTAACGGATATATTAGTAGGAGCCTCCTAGATAAAGCGCAGCTTACTAGTATAAAGGCAACCTATATACGATAGATTAAGATCGAAAAGGAAGCGGTAATAAATCTACCGAAGCATAAGTACTATATAGGTAATCTACCCCCTAGCTAACGGTCGAAGGATAGTGTTATAAAGGCTATCTCTATAATAGCAACCGTATAAGTTAGGTTTATTATTACGATTGTTATTACGAGATACTATATTGCCCTAGATAATCTAGATAAGATACTAAAGTAGAGCAGGTTAAAGAAAGGTAAGGGGTTCTCTAAGTATACTATATATATTATATACTATTATTGCATTTGTCTATACCGCCGTACAATTAATTGCTAATAGGATGTAGGAACGCCTAAGAATATCGCGGTACCGGATTATAATATTAAAGACATAGCAGCTGCTATTCGTAGCTTCGGTAATAAACCGCATATTACTAAGGAGATAGAACATCCGGATAACACCTATATATATATTACGTAGTCGTATAATAACCGAGATAGGCCTATTTAACCTCTAGATATAGACTTTAAAGATAGGAAGCTAAGTCGTATCTTCCTAAACGATATTAATATAAAGGGCTAGCTATCTCGAAAGCAATATAAGGTGTTTCTTATCTTTAAGAGACGTTCTATATCGTAGCCTACGGATAACCTATTATACGAGGCCGAGGTTAACGTAAATCTTACTAAGGCTGCTACTACTCTAAAGAGTAAGGGCTCTTAGAAGAAGAAGAAGAAGGTAAAGTAAGAAGTTAAGGTAGAGTTAAAGCTAGTAGTTAAAGTAGAGCCGACCTTAGAAGTATATATACTATCTTTCCGTATAAACGTTAGTAGATAAAGTCTAATACTAAATTCGATAGGAGAGTAAAGAGCAGGTTAATACTACTATAGAGTATAACGCTACTAATAATAGTAACGACGAGTCGCTACCTTCGTTTAGTAAGATATTTATACGTTTCTAGCCTATATAATCGTAAAGATAGCTACTTACTCGATTATAGATTAAGGGAGAGCTAGAAATTAAGGGAGAGCTAGGAACCGAGGAAGTAGAGTAATAATATCCTACCCTAGAAGGTTTAAGCTATAAGCGGACGATCTCGAAGGTTTCGTAATTATCTAAGAATACGAGTAAACTACCCGTAAATTATACGCGTAATCGGTCGAAGCGTCGTTAATCTAAAAGGTTGCGATAAGAATAAAGATAGTAGGTACTTCGTAAGTTTAGAGAGGAGTTGTTTTTAGTAGTTTCGTTCGTTCCTTTAATAGATATCTATATAGTACTACTTTAATAGTCGTAAACGCATTATACGGGCGTATGTCTACTTCTCGATCTATCTACTATATAAAGGGAGTGCCTAATATATAGTTATAGATATAAGCTTTAGATAACTTTACTTCTACGATTAATCTATCGATTAGGACTATATCTACATACTAGATAAAGAGGCTATATCGGAAGCGCCCGTATAATAACTAAAAATCACCGCTARCCTCTCGGAACGGTTATATTCCGAGGTGGCGTAAGTAGTGTACCTTAGTTCTACTAAAAAAAGATTRTTGCAGAGTTGTCGCTAAAAGCGCACCGTAGTCGCTGAGTTTGCGGGGCAAAAAGCCAAAATATCCCGGTCAGATCATTACAGACTGCACTTTACGACACCTACTCTCCATCCATCTACACACACACCCCAACCCCTATCTACAACACCGCCTGCTCGAACCGCTGCTCGGGCTTGCTTGCGTCACCGGCCATTTGCTTCAGCACGCTTTTGGCGACGCAATTACTGCGCTCGGCCATGTGGCTGAAGTCGTCGCCGCGCTGCTCAGCATCCCCAAGCGAGCCTAGCATCCACATGCCACACTCCTGCGCCAAAGTGTTCCTCCGAAAATTGACACGATAGTCACGATCCACTGACATTGCTCCGCCGTCGAGCATAGAGATGATGGGCGCGACGAGTTGCTTGTCGACCACAAAGTTGTATCCCGTTGCCACGATGACAATGTCGAATGTCTGATCCGACATGGACATCTCACCTGTCCTCGGATTTTGGACCACCAAACGAAGTCGACCCTCCTCTTGCTTGGCATCCAGTACCTCGCTGAGAGTCCTCATCTGGAAGCGCCATTTGCTGGCATCTGGCTCTGCAATTTGCTGCGTGTACCTCGCCAGATAGAGACTCTCAAGCACCGCTAGGCTGACTGTTGATGAGGGCCCCCCTCCCGACTGGAGACGTTGACGAAGCTCGGCTGGAAAAATGCTGGGCTGCGATTCGTCCTTCTCGAGCGCGTTGCCTTCAGGTCGTAGAGCCGAATCGGCGACGAACAGAGTAGCTGTGTGCTGTCCTCTCCGCTTGTTTAGATCTTCGAAAACTTCGGCGGCGTCCTGGTCTGCTCCAACAACGGCGATGTTGAGCTTGCTATCGGTCACTTTTGCGAGGACATCGGCGCAGGCGCTGGCATGGACCACCAGCGGCTTCAACTGAGGCGCTGCCAACGCTGCCGGAACATGTGGCTTGGCTCCGGTTGCGATTATCACCCTTTTGGCCTGATACATGTCAGTACACACTCTCTGCAACATCCAGAACCACTGGCAGACTGCTCACTTGAATCTCTGTCATCGCGCCCGTCGTGGTATTCCGAGTTCGGATCGCCCATTCGGCTACTCGCCGACCAATCTCTACTGGTGTCACACGGACGGCCTCCTGTCCATACTGAACCCAATCCCGCTTCTGAATAATGTTCGCAGCCCAACGGAAATAATGGCCCATCAGTCGTCTTGAGGGCGCCAGCCTCGAGTTGTTCGCATAGTCAACTAGTTGTCCCGTCGCATGCAGGTAGTTCATAAAGGTAAACTCGGAGCGGGGATTTTGCGTCGTCGTCAGATCGCGGAGAAAGCTTGTCCCAACTGGTTTATCAGGCAGGAGACTCTCTGGTCTCCAGGTGAAACACTTCTCCCTTTCAACAAACAGCACACGTGCGGTGATGTCCTTGTCCGCCAGAACCGCTGCGATGGGCAGAGATGTTGTGCCAAATCCGATGCAGACGAGATCGTAAGGTGGCTGCTGGCCTGCTTCCTCTGTTCGATTGTCACGGACATGTTGGATGGCATACTCGTGCTGCTCTGTATGGAAAGGCATTGTCGCTGTTGTTTTGCATACAAAGCACTGTGCTGTTTACCGTGCGATGCATGGCGCCGCGAAACACAAACTCAACCCTAACCTAGCTATTACGTCTACGGACACCGCCGATCCCAGTCCGAAGCATTTGCCCAGCTCCTCGACATCAGATGCAAATTTAATCCCGCGAAAATTTGTCCGTCTTGCGAATGACGATGTCTCTTCGGCTCGGGGAGGACGCCATGCAGGTGTGGCACCCTGTTCCATGCGCCGCCATTCACGAGCGAGAGCTTAGCTTGTTGGTTCAGGGCATTGCTTCCACTTCCACGCAGCTGTCACTTCTTGGCGCTTCGGCTACTTCCAGGCGACGACTTTCACTACGGCGTGGCTAAACTAGCACCCATGGTCTCTGCAGCCAGGATTGTCTGCTCATCGGGCATATAGAGGACCCACTCAGCCACGTCCCACCCACGCTATAAAGATCGGCGGCGAACAGGATCGAAGCGTCCCGTATGGATCTATCCACGTTACATCTGATAAGATTGTACCCGCAATATGATCGCCTCTTGCATGGTGCTCCATCAGAATTTTCACATGTGTTCGAGCTTCCGACGGTAAAAGGGTCCGTGTATCCGCGACGGGCATTGCCTCTGACACCGCCAAGGCTTTCTGCGGGTGGGTAAAAGACGGATATGCAAATGCCGTCAAAGGCCGTTTACCAGAGAACCGCCGATTTCGCAGACCCGTGGTTCGAATATTTGCCGACACTCGTTGGCCTTTTTACATGCTGGAGCAACCGACGCAAGGGCTCATCGAAATCGATCCCCGGCTACTCTGGGTTCTTCGGGATCCTCAAGGCTGTACATTAGCCTGGTCAACGACAATGGAATTTCTCGGGGCAAGGACTTCATTGTAAGCCGTGCTGGATCAAGCGTTATGAAGGACTCAGTCATGTGAATGTTGACGGTGTGCATTAAGGCCAGCGTAATATGCCCTGATCTACTAGCTGAGTATCGCAGCCCGAGATACCAACTGGTGAGCGCTATTTCTACAACCTCGCTTCCTTCTGCCCTTTGTGGACCAATGCAATGCCGTTTGACAACACAACCTTGTCCTCAACCTTGACATCGAATCGGACCTCAATACAGCCGTCTCGTTCTTCGCCCCTCCACATCCGAATGTAGAGAACATCGGAAGGACGTACTGGACTCGCGAAACTGGCTCTGACATATCGAAGATCGCTTCCAAAGGCGGAGGTAACGGCATGAGTTGCAACGTTCCRGCTGTAAAGCCCATGCATAATAGGTGTAGGCTGTACGACTGCAGCTGTCACATGTGTGGCATGTAGGGGGTTGTAATCGCCGTTCAGCCGGTAGAGAAGGTGTGCCGTCGATGGGATATGATGTACGTGGGTGGCGGTAGGAGTCGCTTGTGTGGGCAAGGATACCGGGGAAGGAGACTTCGACGCTTGCAATATCTATGATCAGCAAAAGCAACGACGACGATGACGAGACTTTGGCGTTACCATTTGGACCTCCCCRTCCGCCCTGTCCCATGAAGACTGCAGTTTCACTCATTCGGGTGAAGGGAACTTCGATTCCCTTATCGAGTAYCTCGAGGAGTAAGTGCTCGGTTCGAACAATTGTGCTTTTCCCTACACCTTTATCCCAGATCTGAACAACGCTACTTTTGATCACGAAAGTGCGGTCTTTACTGGAAGTTGGAAGCGTCTTGATGACTTCCAGAGTCCGCTCCCCATCGACAACCCGAGCGATGTCTAGTGCAGGAAACCCAGGGATACAGTCTGGAGGAGGTGTCAAGTGTCTCGTGAAATGTTCCTCAAAAGATGATGTAGAACTGTAGTCGTGCTTGAATGTGAGCACAACTGGGAATGTTGGGAATGTAGTGAAATTGGGAGAAAGTTCCTACGGAGGAGTGTCAGGATTGCGAATGGTAGGACAAATGTTTAATAATTCGTACGTATAGATATTGTAGTTCTGATTCCGAGCAACCAATGCTGTATGCGAATAGTATGGCATCACGCTCATTCCAGGATGCGGGCTTGAGAGGATATTGGTAAAGTGTAGACATGGCTGCTGTTGTGGTCATTGGAGGTTCTCGTGGACGTATTTGTGGAGGAGCAAGGCGGGAAAAGAAGGTGGAAGATCTCGAGTTATATATGCACTAGTGACACAGCTTTCAACGTTCTAACAATTAATAAAACATCGAGAAGTGGCATGAATGGGTAAGTCGATACTTCTGTTGCACGAGCACGAGTGACATCCCTTGGAACTCAATTTTTCAAGATTGATCATACATAGCTACACCGCGCACTCTTTCCTCCTCACGACTCTTGGATTCTCTCACAACTTCGCAAAAAGCTTGATACTGGTACCGGCCACATTAGTCTCGCCATCAAAAGACAGAGGACAGATCTGAAAGAATCTCTCCCGGGAGCATTTCATAGCCGCCGAGCGCTTATGTCCAAGATCAATCAGTTTCGTGCTATCAATGAATGTCAGCATTGGAAGATAAATCATGAAAACAGCAAATCACGACTTACATATTGAAGCCGCAAAGAAGATCGTACGACAAGACAGTCGCATTTGTGGACTTTGGCTCTCCGACTAGCATTTGAGTCCTTGGATCATCCAGCCACATGTAGTGCATCAGAGACGACCACCACGCACTCACTCGATGTTTGCCACGGAAAGTAGTGTTTCCAACAAGTGAATGTCGGCCACGATCGAAATCGCCAGCATCGCATAAGACACCCATGTGATCCTGATCGTTGTTAGACTGATCGCAAAAGTTGATAGACGGGACTTGGACTCACTTCTTTCGCCCAGTAGACCTCATAGTATGCAAAGAATATATCATCGAATCTTGCCAGCATTGTGAGAACATGCGGATCTTCATGCAGATTGCGAAGATATGTACGATGCTGTTCTAGCGTGCCCGTCTCGTTCCATCCCGCGGCGACAAATGGATCATTCTGCCACTTGTTGAAAAGACCGAGATGCTCTTCATCATTGTAGTCCAAGGCAACCATGCTGAAATGCTCGTCTAGATGCGGGATGTATCGGCTGTAGATTACAGAGCCTGGCTTGGGCTTCTGTGGTCTGCGTGGGTGGAAGGCATGGACGCGTGACTCGGGAAACTTGGTGGTTGTAGTATAGTCCACTGGTGCCAGGGGGTATGAACAAAGCTCCCGACCCGCAAGATGATTTGTTTCTGGAGCCCAGACTGGGCGAGGTCCGAATGGAGAGCCTGCTCCCTGCCAAAAAGCACTTCGAAGTAGGACGACTTCGTTTGTGGACGTCTCTTTCGAACCTTCTGGAGTTGGATGCTGCACCACTAGACCCGTTTGTTGGAGCTGCTCTGCCAACGCATTGCAACCTAGCCCGACGAACTCAATGCGCAAGTACTCTAAGTCTGACCTCAATGATAACAGGCCGTAGATTATCAACCAGAGTTGGGCGACTGTGGGCGACTGAACTTCGTTCCAAACCACGGAAGACTTTGGACTTCGACGTACACGACCCCAGAAAGAGTTGATGTTCTCTGCTGGGAGTTCATTGGCACTCTGTTCTTGCTCGGGGTAGGTGAAGTTTACGTTGCTGTGTAGCTGCTCCGCGAGAGACTGTCCATCCTTTTGGGTGGGAGTCTTGCCAGAAGTTCGTGGTTCGTGACGGATGTTGAGGAGTTTGCTGCCGTACCGAGTAGGAGCTCGAGATTGGGCCACTTCATGTATACGATAAGTCGTCAGGTATGGATGCGGTAGTCGCAGTGTAAATGGTAGCGATGGTGAAGACATTGTGACTGATGGGTAGAAGAGTCACCAGACTTCGATGAAGAAGACCCTACTACTACTCTACTCCCCGTTCACGATACCGGGAAGCATTCTACAATACACGATCCAGCGGACACATTGCCAATACGGAAACAGATGCCGATGGCTCTCTTCTGCATGCTCGGCAGAAGTCACAAGGCAACAATTCTCACAGTCTTTTTTTTTCTCCCGCTTCCGAACGTGCAGGGCATCGCTGCGGAGTGAGGCGAGATTAATCAGGCGAGATCGTGATGGAACGTAACATCGTCCCACCCCAGAGTGATGTCAGGGTGTGGGACGTGGGTGCATGTGAAGAAATCTAAGGCGGACCCACAGCCCTCTTCCTTCCCCCTTGCTAGCGTCCCATCAGATAAAAATTTTATCTGATCACGCTAAGGTATGTTAGTTTTGCTCCACTCTCGCTTGGCGCGAATGCCGCCAAAGTGTAGCAAGTCGAAGCGGGCGAGCTTTCATCTCCTCTCGCATGWTGCATCGTACGACTGAATGGGGCAAGATGCTATTCTGGCTGGTCAAAGTGCACAGGACGCATCCACACCGCGGTAGCAGGATGGCTAGTGCCTGTTTCACCGATATCGCCGAAATGTCCGTCGCCCAAATTCCAGTGTCTGGACGCGACCGGACAGGAGAACACGTCCACCCAGTCGCTGCAATTGGAGTGCTTTGCAAAGATGGGCATCTTCTCAAAGACGGTGAGTATATGTTGATCATGTCAGGAGACAGCATACTAATTGCGTCGGTCAACAGAAGGCTGCGGCGGATGGAGAGAAAGGGGCGCCGGAGACCAGTTGGTTTGCCTATTTTCGATTGCTGTTCAGTGAAGGATACACAGTCTGGGATGTACTGCTCCTTTTCGGCGGCGTACTTGGTTCCATTGCAGCTGGTATTCCATTCCCTCTGCTTGGTATCCTGTTGGTGAATCGAAATTGTCATGATCGAGACCATCTGCTTATACTACTTTCTGCAGATTCGGCCAGCTCATCGATGATCTCAACAGCGCTTCGTGTGCTGAAGACGCTGGTGGAGATACATCCTCTCTCCAAAGCTCCGTAGTGCAGAAAGTTCTGTACATCATCTACGTAACAATCGCCAACTGGTAAGGAGATGTCGAGTGCGTCCTTTCCGAGCCCAACAAGCACTAAACCCACCCGATCTCCCTAGGTTTTTCGTCTACTGCCATACCACATGTTGGAGCTTGTTTGGAGAACGTCTGGTTCGGCGCCTTAGAGGTCGTTATCTTCGCAGTCTGCTGCGCCAGGAACTAGCATTCTTCGACACTCTGCCCGCTGGCGATGTTTCCTCAAGACTCTCGATTGATTTGGAATCCATCCAGACAGGAACCTCCGAAAAGGTCGGTATCTGCATATCGAGCGTCAGCTACTTCGTTGCATCGTACGTCGTTGCATTCATGAAGTATGCGAAACTTGCCGGCATTCTGGTCTCTCTGATTCCGGCATATCTTCTCATGGCATTCATTGGCTCCTACTATATCAAGCGCTATTCTGGTCGGGTCTCGGATCAACTTGCTGCGGCAACTTCCATCGCTTCTGAGAGCTTGAGCAAGCTGACCATCGTGCATGCCTTTGGGGCCAGTGCTCGCCTGGAGGCAAAGTTTGGCGAGTATCTTGGAGAGGCACGCACTCAGGGGTTCAAGAAGGCCATCACTGCTGGTGTTCAGCTTGGACTTCTGTACTTTATCGCTTATTCCACCAATGCCCTCGCGTACTGGCAGGGTTCGCGTGGTATCGCAGAGTCGGTAGGAACGGATGACAGCAGCGCACGAGTCGGTGCAGTATACACAGTCATTTTCCTGCTCATCGACGGTATGTTGTCACTTCCAATCGCTGTGGACAAAGTCGTCTCGTCTATCGTTGAAGTCAACTGACGTACGCTCAGCTTCTTTCATCATTAGCCAGATCGCTCCTTTCATGCAGATTTTCGGCACAGCAGCTGGTGCTTCAGAAAAGCTCAAMAAGGCCATCGGACGCAGATCAGAGATTGATGGCACCGACTTGACATATGGTCAGCATCTTGACACCATCGAAGGACGCGTCAAGCTCGAGAACATTACGTTTGCATACCCGAGCCGTCCGGATACGAATGTCCTCAATGGTCTCTCCATCAGCATTCCTGCATACAAGCACACGGCCATTGTCGGTCAATCTGGAAGTGGCAAATCTACCGTGGCTGCATTGTTGGCGAGGCTGTACGACCCTCACCAGGGATCCGTTCAACTCGATGGGCATGACCTGCGCGAACTCAACGTCGCCCAAGTCCGCGGATGCATTGGGGCCGTACAGCAAGACCCTTGCTTGCTGGACCGTAGTATATTAGAGAACATTTCTCACGGCTTCCTCAACTCTCACTCGTCTACTGCGGAAGAGACGGATGCGATTTTGGACGGATCAATCGCTAATTTCGCTGCCAAGGTAAGGGATGGCAGCTCATTTGATGCTACCCTTTCTACGGAAGGTCAAGCTGTCAAGGACGTTGTCGAACGTGTCATCAAAGCTGCGACAATTGCCGATGCCATTGGGTTTATTCGCCGCCTAGAGCATGGTCTTGCAACCAACGTTGGTTCTGCTGGCAACCAGCTGAGGTGAGTGCATATCRAACATAGTCCCACTCGATAGGGTCAGCACTGACTCATCTACCAGTGGAGGGCAGAAGCAAAGAATCGCTCTCGCTCGCGCAATGATGAGAGACCCTAGGATCCTCCTGCTCGACGAAGCTACCTCTGCGTTGGACTCAAGGAGTGAACGGCTGATTCAAAAGGCTCTTCAAGATGCATCAAAAGGTCGAACAACTATCAGCATCGTTCATCGCCTCTCGACGGTGAAGGATGCGGATCACATCATTGTGATGCGAAGTGGCAGAGTCATTGAGCAAGGCTCACACCAAGAACTTATGGCTGCCGACGGGGATTACGCTAGTATGGTCCGCCTGCAAAACGTCAGTCAGCATGATGATACAGCTACCGAAGGCGCACCAAGTGAGACCTTGGATGATGCCATCTCTTCCACAGCTGCAAGTGTCGATGCCAGCGAGGAGCACTCAGGAGAGAAGTCAGCCATTGTTCCACATGGCGAGGAAAAGGCCGAAACCCTTGACGAGGACAAAACTGCAGATGCCAAGGAGCCAGCGAAGCGTGGTATTGGATCCACTCTTCGGGGCATGGGAACTCTTACTCGTTCCCAGGCGTTATATCTGCTCATTGCATTCACGGCATCTGCAATCGTGGGAGGTTCATACACCGGAGAGGCGGTCATCTTCGGCCATACCGTCAGCAGTTTTAGTGCGTGCAGGACAGCTGAGCAGATCCTTACGTCTGGTCGCTTCTGGGCCCTACTCTTTTTCGTTCTTGCCGTGATTGAGTTCTTCGCCAACTTGATCATGGGCTCTCTATTTGGTCTTGTGTCGGAGAACACCCTATTCAAGATTCGAATACTATCATTTCGTACTCTGATGGGGCAAGACGTAGACTGGCATGAGTCGGGTGGGAGAGATGCTTCATCACTTCTATCGTACATTACGACGGATGCTAACGCACTCGCTGGTCTGACGGGCACTATCCTCGGAACCTTGTTCTCCATCTTGCTCAACACCGTCGCGGGTGTAACGCTCTCATTGGTCATTGCTTGGAGAATTGCCATTGTCCTTGTGGCTTGCATTCCGTAAGTCGATAGTCCAACCTGCATATTGCATTTTACTGACTATTGAAGGATCCTTGTCGGTGCCGGCGTGATGCGACTACGTGTGTTTGCCAAGTTCCACGAGAAGCACGCAAAAGCATTCTCCAGTGCTACTGGATATGCTGTCGAATCGGTGAATTCGATCAAGACGATCTCAATGTTCTCTCTCGAGCAGGTGTGTTCAATAGTCATTCATCTACCTCTACCAAAGCTGACATTCGAATAGGAATCCGTCAACGTATACCACCGTGCTCTGAAAGCGCCATACGAAGCAACGCTCAGAGCCATTCTGTGGAGCAACGTCTGGCTGGCTTCGGCATACAGCATCAGCAACTTGGTTTATGCACTCGCCTACTGGTGGGGTTCACGAAACATCATTGAAGGGAGATATAGCCAGCAGGACTTCTTCATCGTCCTACCGGCGCTGCTTTTCAGCGCGCAAACATGTGGGCAGCTCCTTGCTCTCGCACCCGACTTTTCCAAATCTAGRGTCTCTGCAACTCGCATCCTGGACTTACTCGATGTTGGCACCAAAGCAATGGTAGTCTCCCCAAAAGCCATACGGTCCAAGTCTCCTTGGGCCGGCGACGTTCGTCCCAACGAGAAGGACGTCGAAACCGCCAATGATCTTGGAGAAAAAGCACGCATCTCCGGAGGAATGCACGTCGAATTCAAGAACGTGGAATTCTCATATCCAGCTCGACCAAACGTTCAGGTCCTGCGCGGAATGGACATTGACATCAAACCAGGCCAATTCTGCGCGCTTGTCGGACCCAGTGGAGCTGGTAAATCCACCATCATCTCTCTAGTAGAGCGCTTCTACCGCCCCTCATCTGGCAAAGTCGAGCTTGATGGACGATCAGTTTCCGACTTCGTAGGYTCGGATTTCCGCAATGATATCGCACTCGTACCGCAAGACTCAGTCTTATTCGAAGGCACCTTGAAATTCAACCTATCCCTCGGAGCCAGACCAGACAAAGACGTTACGGACGAGGAAATTCAAGAAGCCTGCAAACTAGCAYACATCCACGACACAATCATGGCATTACCAGATGCATACAACACACGCTGTGGACCCAACGGCAATCAATTCTCAGGCGGTCAGCGACAACGATTATCCATCGCAAGAGCACTTCTACGTAAACCCCGTTTGCTGTTACTCGATGAGAGTACCAGTGCCCTGGACTCTGAGAGTGAGAAGATGGTTCAGGATGCTTTGGAGAATGTGCGCAAGGGTATCACGGTTATTGCTATTGCGCACCGACTACATACTATTGAACGTGCGGATCGAATTTTCGTTATTGAGGATGGGAGATGTACGGCGAAGGGTACTCATAGGGAGTTGTTGCTGAATAGCGAGAGCTATCGCACGAACGCTTTGCATCAGGTCTTGGGGGAGTGAGGCACTCTTCTGCATGATGGGGGAGTACTGGGAAGGTCTAATATCGGGGTCGTGCGCCATTACTAGTTTCAAAAGTTCTATATCAATGTTCCTACCTATCAAATTCTTCTACTTCCTGATGATTGCTCCCTTGTCTCACTTTATTCAACGATAAAGGTCATATGGGATTCAAACGCACATGCTGCCTTGAAGAATCGAGATCCGGCCTCCGGCCTTGATCGATTAATCTTCACCTTCAGATTATCACCCAGACCACTGCGAGCAGATTTCGGAACTCACATCCTCAGACAAAGAAATCAAACAGCAAACATTCTACCATTAGAATCATACCACTTGCTAGAAAGAAGTACGATGAATATGTTGTGCATATTGAACCGTGAACAGCGACTTGATATTCCCCTCAAAAACTCGCTCTCTCCTTCTACCGCTCCTCTAGCTTACCCCTATCCCAACAATCCCTCTACGCTGCCGTCCCAGCCGCATCGATCTCTTCGAGTGGTAAGTCGTGTATTAAGCTAATTCTCCGCCGGCGTCTAGAAAAAGCCATGCAGTTTCAATTTTTTTTAGAATGGGCCTCTTGTCACGCATTCATGTTCAAAAAAATGCCAGAGCAGTCGATATGAGAGATCATCAACAAGAGTAGCGAGCGCACTTCATTGCTCTCTCGATTGAGTTAACCTTAAGGAGGCCGTTTGGTGGCACACGAGTCATGTAACGTTGGGCGAAAAGATGTCACTCTGGACAGAATACAGGCCTCAAAAATTCCCGCCCTCAATATTTCCCAACTCCTACCATGTACCTTACTTAGACTCTCGACAATGATATTAGACGTCGCCATCAAATTCGGATGCTTTGAAGCTTCTGTACAACGTCCCGGTGCAAAGCATTCGAGAGTCGCACAGCCATGGCATCCTCTTCATCGTCAGCGTCATGAGGAAGGAAGCTGCCCTCAACGCATGTCCTAACGACATCGGAGTATGCCCAGCCAGCATTCTCGGCAATCACCCCAAGGACGTCACGTCGTTTATCCAGGACGATGGATCGAACAGATGGGAGATTTCTTCGTCGTAAATCAATCGCGGTAATGACCTCGATGGGCTTCCACATTGCAATTTCCGCCAAGACTAGGCCTAGACTGTAGATGTCATGGATTTTCCTGGATCTCCCGGCATTGTAGGACAGAAGATCGGGATGCCGGTAGAGATCATGCTGTAGGGAGAACTGATGCGTGACAGTCACTTCGCTGGGGAGCGCAGGCCGGGAGAATTCGTATCCCGACAAGAACGGCGCGTAAGGATTGATGGACTGATCCGCTCCTGCGGCAAAGAGGACGTTGTCGCTCTGGACGTCTTTGTGCACCCAACCTACAGCATGGAGATAGAGGATTGATGCCGCAAGTGCATTTGCCATGGCGAGCCGAGCATTCAACGTCGGTTTGCGGGTGCTGAGTATTTCTCGCAGGGATGTAAAGGGAGAATTTCGACTATGCACAGCCGATGGCCATTCATACACCAATGCATATCTTGGCCATCCATTCAGCTGACTCTCGTAGCAACCCAAGGCATTGTGGAGAGCGAAAGGCTCGGGGTTTGTCTTTCGCGGAGAGCAATGCGGCCAGCTCTCTCACCCGCTTCTCGACCGTCTCGCGGTACGGTCGCTGAGAGAGAGGGCTTCATCCACGCTTTCTCGCCACTCCATCCACACTTTTTGACCCCGGTACTCTGCTGACTGACGTCCTGTGGATTTAGCACCCTCGGGCCAGGAGAACTCGCCACTTGACAAGCTCAACCCATCACGCCGTGCTGGATTCAGCGTCAACCTCAAATGGTGTGCTTTGAACTCAGCCAGTGACACCAACACTAGAGATTGCGACTGTCGTGGCTCCTCGACGAGCGTTTCCGCCTGAGAAAAGATGCTTTCGGATTCGGAACCGCCGTCCAGTCCTCYATTCGTGAAACGTACGGCACGTACGAGGTCATGTATCTGTCCTAATTCGTTGGCCACTTGGAGCAATGCCAGATGCGTCTGTATTTGCTCCACACGGAGCTCCTCTACACTGCTGCGATCAAGGAAGGACTCCATGCGATTGTTATACTGGATCAGTCGGGAAATCAGTCTCTCCAGGCCACCTTTCCTCAGCATCGCCCAATTGACTCGACTTGCGACCCGGCTGCCTTTGCTCCAGACCGTCAACGTTTTCTCCAGAAAGTTGAGCTTCCGGATGTCCTCGACTCGCTGACTGGGAATCTGATTCACCGAACTTTGTGCAGCGGTGAGAGGGTCGTATTTTGTGGTCACTGCGAGACACGCTCGGAATGAAGACTGGACCTGTTGCAGGATCTCCACCACCAGATTACTGTTCAGCTGCAACAGTTTGCTTGGTTGATCGAGTAGGTCCTCTGCCAGGCCAACCTTTTCACCCCAGAGGAGACATCTTGTCTGCTCGATCTGAAGACAGGTTCGTAAATGTTCGTACTCTTTGGGCATGTCTTTCACCTCGATGAACATCTGGTAGCCTTGCGGTACGATGAGTTAGCGGTTTTCAGACTCGGTTGTACTGTATTTACCCACCTTTAATGCAACCTGAGAAGACCTGCAATGCAAGAGAGGTTGCCCCCCAGCCCTATGCCGGCCGCTGTTACTGGGTCCATGGCTGCGATTGGAGTTCTTTGCGGTGGTTTCTGCGGCGTCGTTGACTATACCTTTGTAGGTATGGAGTTTTGCATGACTCGATGGAGGCCTCGCTACACTGCTGCACCTCAGCCTCAAGGGCGCAGTTCTGGGGCGAACTAATCCTGCCCACTCTACGATCAGCGGCAAAGGCGCAGCGTTCGAGGCGAGCAGTGTTTGGCGGCCCAGCGATCGACTTATTATGACGACCAAACTTTTGACACCACACCGATCACCATGCGCAGCTGATCTGCAAAAAGTGGCAGTATGTCTGGATAGTGGACAAGGACAAGGCTGAGCATGCCTCGGATAAGCCCGTCAGCTTGTTTGTACGCGATGGATGCAGCCAACATGCAGGGTCAGCACTGAGAGGTGTGCACCATACCCCAAAGTTATATCAAAGTCATCGCACTCGCCGGGCTTGCATATATTTTCCCCTGCGGGCTAGATCTTTACTGGCAATGAGGCACCACCGCGCTAAGACCAAGCGCTTCTCACCAGATCAGAATACATACATTTCCGATTCGATGCGTACAGATGGGTTTGGAGGAGTCATGGGCGCTCTTCAGTGCATTATCTCGCTGGAAGAATTTCGTACTCAGATCAGCAAGCTTTTGCCGTGCCCTGGAGAGGGTCGAGCTCCCCGAAAGCGACTGCGAGAAGGCGACTACGATGGAATCACAGAGTTGTTAAAATTACGTGGCAAGAGAGATTGGTCTTTGTTGCCCAGAACCTTCGCAGTATTGTGGCCGCTTGGTCTTGAGCACTTCATGGACAACTTCATTGCCGACAACTACTCTGACATATACCTTCCTTACACCGAGCAAAATCTTCCCGACGCTATGACTGGAGAAGCTCGACAACTCTTTCTAGACTACCAGAATAATGTTCTGATAAGTAACGGGGCCAAGATCGAGTCTGGACTCTATTCACATATGAACCTTGAGGGCAGTGCTGCGGACCTGTTCTACCGCAAGCGACTACTGGGCAGGGGTGGCTTTGGAGAAGTATACCATGTCATCGGGAAAGCCTCCCTGAAGCACTTTGCGTGGAAAATCATCTCTAGACGACACTTTGACATGAAGAAAGAGCGACTACTGCCGCAGACCTTCCAGAACGAGCTGACGGCCCTCCAGTCACTTCGCCATAGGCATGTGGTCCGACTGGTAGGCTCTTACAGCGATGCGGACCACGTTGGTCTCCTAATGCAGCCGGTAGCCGATCAAGATCTTTGGAAGTTACTCAGTGAACCAAAGGGGAAGCAAGAGCACCGTGAGCGTTGCCTTTGCTTGCGAGGATTTTTCGGATGTCTTGCTACTGCGGTAGACTACTTTCACAACAACACCACGAAAAAGGTACAGCACAGGGACATCAAGCCTCAAAATATCTTGGTAAAAGGAACAAAAATTTACATCACTGATTTTGGGACTGCCCGGCTGCGGGATGTGGACTCGGGCGACGTGACAGAGCCCACGGCTTCCACCATGGTTGCTATCTCCTGGAGATATGTGGCACCCGAGGTTGCTCACGGAGTAAGCGTTGCTGCGTTTTGAGGTCAAAGATTTCGTCGCTGATATATATATATACAGGGTACGCGAACATATGCCAGCGATATATGGGCGTTGGGCTGTGTATTCATTGAGATGTTGACAATATTGGCCGGCAAATCGCTCTCGGATCTTTCAACGTTTATGCAACAACGACAATCGAAGCCGGAAAAAGACCAAGGACGCTTTAAATTCTTCGGAAATTACGAGTCGATTGTCTTGTGGCTTGAGATACTTGGTGAGAGCATCAGGAAAGGGGAAAACTCTCAGGATATTCAGATGATCGAGGTGATTATGGCTATGCTTTGTATGGAACGGCGCTCTAGAATCACAGCACCACACCTGGTACGGCGTATTTTCCAGCTGGAGGGACTTTATCATGGACACTGTTGTAGAGGTACGGCGACCCCATCGGGAATTGGAAAATGTGTGCCGCTCCGACAGGACTCGTGGCGAAGCGAACGACTCCACCCTCCAAGAGGTTGATAGCAACTACTCAAGTGAAGCTGAGGCTTCTCAGAAGAGTACCGAAGATGAAACGCTACTGGGTGCTCACATCCTACTGGAAAAGCCTGTGGAATGCTATCAGCCGCCTAGAGTAGAAGACAGCGAGAACACCATCATTACTGTGGCGGCTCAACATCCCAAAGGAGATGATGTTTTGATGGAAGACGTGACGGTACTGATCAGCAATACGGGCCGCATCACAAACAAGAATCATAACAGTATTGGGGCCGATGCCGTCGAAGATTCCCAAGATCACCCGACTTCTCAATCAAAGAACGAAGCAGCTTTACCTACGACGTCACTTATGGAAGAGCCCAAAATTGGCCTACCGTGTACCTGGCCAACTTGTAGACCGCTCAAAGGATTTGTTCTACAAACATTTGATGGCATAGAGTATCTTCGACAGCATTTGAGAACGGTTCACATGGTCCACGATTTTGGGAGGTCGTATCTCATACCGGACAGCAGATATGTACCAGCAATGGAACTGAACGAAAAGAGCGGCGCCTTCAAGTTGCCGGAGTCTGTTTGGGGAGAGAATGCAGGAAATGTCAAATCCACAGACATTCCTTTGGGAAGACGACTTTCGTCCCTGGCAGGAGTCTCGGTAAAGCCAGGGCTCGAACGGCCCCATGTCAAATACGCTATCTGCGCAGAGATTCCCACAGCGCCAGAGATTGCCAACGCAGACCAAGTGGGAGCGTGTAAGCTGGTTGACGTTCCTCCAAGCACGTACGTACCGTCGTATATCCTCGGTAAGTCAGATCCACCAGAGTCCCGGAAATGTTTTGAACGTTGACATATCGAAGCAACCAAAAACAGATTCTCCCAGCTCGAGATGCTCAACAATAAAAGGAGTGCTCGGCCTCCGATTTTCCTATATGGCACCATGATGTTTCCAAGTGTGATACTTGCCTTGCGCGAAAGATTCATAACATCAGAGGGAACGTACTCAGCGCAGCTAGGGAGGCGTTTGTTCACGGTACCGACAGACTGGGGTGGAGCAGATACATCCTTGCAGGCTGTCGCCGCACAGATGACACCTGCAATGCTTTCTGGATATCATCGGTTCCAGCTCCCTCGATCTAGCGTAGCTTATGCAAAGCCATCGTCCGAACCAGGAGCTCAAATAACCGGGATTCTGCTTTTTGGATTATCCTCAGATGCTCTAGCATGCCTGGATACCCTTTATGGGAGGAATGGCCCGCGACACCTATTCGACGAGAAAGTCCGTCCAATGCGCGAGTGGAAGGAAATGAGACTTTTCCGAGAGCATGTCAAGGTCAACATCAACATCGCTGGCGGCGAATCGCTTCAATTGTCCGCGGAAACGTACATTGCAAACTCATTGGAGATCAACCTCCCAGACCAGCTCAAGCCTTGGGACATGGATCGCTTCATCAAAGGTCAAAGCTTTGGCAAACTAAGCGGTCAGGCACAGTATCTGGCAGAAGAAACCAGTATCGCAAAGACCTTGAGAAGTCAAATGGTCCTCCATGGCGACAATCTCGTTTCACTCATCCTAGAGCGTAATCTAGACGGCATGAACCGAATGCTGCAAGACGGCCACGATATCAATGCTTCATCGCTCAAATACGGCACAGCACTCCAAGCTGCCGCCTGTATAGGAGACTGCCAAGCAATGCAAACATTACTTGATCATGGAGCGGACATCAACGCCCAAGGTGGCGAGTACGGCTCAGCAATCATCGCCGCAGTAGTAGAAGGCCACACAGAAGCAGTGAAATTCCTCCTCAAAAACAACGCAAAACTCTTCCTCCCCGGAGGAGGAGGAGGCAAATACATCAGTGCGATTTTCCAAGCCGTAGATTTTGAACGAGCGGAAATTGTATCCATGTTGTTGGAGAAAGGTGCCTGGTTAACTTCCGACTTTGATGAATTACTTGATCTTGCCAAGGAGCGGAATTTTAACGAAGAACTATATCAGAAACTCTTGGAGTATGATGTTCGTGATCTACATGGAAGAAAACGAACCAAACGTTTAGCARGCCCCCAACACGGGAACTCATCTCCTACTGCYAGCAGCGATACACTACTCGCCCCAACAACCCTCTCAACAGGCCTAGCATGTCTCCTCGAAGTCCAGCGACTACACAACAAACCCGGGAAATGGACGGGCAAGAAACTCGTGGCTATAATGCGCATAGGGGGGATACAAAATGGCCTCGATATAAGGATTTTGGAGAAAATTCGTCCTTTTGCGCATTCGTTTCCTAAAATTCAGAAGTTCTTCGTGGATGCTCTTGGAGCGAGTTTTGAGGGCAGGTTTTTGCCTGTAAGGCATACGGATCCTAGTGATGCTGGGGATGGTATGGGAAAGTTTACTAGTACTACTACTACTACTACGAGGAATATTGATGGGAAGGAGATTAGGGATGCGGTTTTTGAGTTGTTTGAGGGGGATTTGTGGCGGGGTGGATAGTGAGGGGGATTGAGAGTATGTTTGTTTTTTTATGCTATGTATACTATACCAGTGAGATAGATCCCCTTCTTGGCATTTTTAAATCAGAGCTGTCGATGTGAGAATCATTCATTAGGATAACAGGCGTCCTCAGTCCTGTCCTGTCCTGTCCTGTCCTGTCCATAAATATCCTGAGGCCGCCGAGCTCTCTACGGGCTCGATGGATTTAAAGCGCTGTTATTAGAATTCCCTGGTACTAACTAGTAGAGTGGCCGCCCGGGATATCGGGTAGTCTTGCTTAGTTAGATCGTACCTCTTAATACTATGTTAAAGGGTTCATTGTTCAAAAATGCCATTTATGTCGCAAATTAATAAGGCCGCTTAGGCAGTGTTTTAGAAACCTCCATCGCATAATAAAAGAGAAAAAGTTAAGTAAGGTGAAAGTGAAGTCGGCCGGAAAAATTTCTTGAGCACGGGCCACAATTTTGGTTGTCAGGCCTCGGATCAACAATGGCAACCAGGGCATACTCGACATCGACATCGACATCAACATCAATACCAGAAGACGTAGCCAAACGATAGCACTACTGCTCCATCAACTTAATTTCATCATCATCATCATACTCCTTATCCATCAACATCAATCCACACCAACATTCCCTCAAAAAAATGTGGCAACCCTACACAGAAGAAATTCAACGACGTATGTTCATAAAAATCAAATCCCTCGTCCATCAACCTCATCCTAACATCCCTCCCAGTGCAACAAACAGCCGAAGACGCAATCGAAAAATGTATGTAACCCCCCTACCCCATCCAAAAAAAAAAAAACCCCCCTTCACCCCAAAAACTAACCCCCCTACAGTCCACTCAACAGCCCAAACAACAAGCCTAGCCCTCCTCATAACCAGCCTCCTAATAACCCTCCTCCTCTCCCTCATAACCCTATCCCTTTTCATGCTCCTAATAACCACAAACCCCGATCTCTCTTACGAAAGAAAATTCTACATAACGCCTCTCATGCGAGGTATAACGCGAGTCGTGTTTTTCGGCTGGCAGATTTTCGCTTTGGGGGGTTTGACTGCTGTTGCTGTGGGGTGTTGTTGGTTTTTGGATCTCGGTTGGGTTTTTGGGGGGGTGATGGTCGTGGTTTTGGGGGGGTGTTATGGGGTTTATTGGTCGGATTTGGGGCCTGTGCCGCCTCCGCATGGGGGTGATGTTAAGAGGGGTGCTTGAGATTTGTTTTTGGTGAGGTTATTATTATTATTTTTTGAGGGTTGAATAAGGTGTGTAGTGGATGGTGTTAGGGAATGGAAGAATTGTCTTTGGGGTGAGGTTTTGATGGTTTCGTTTTGTGATTATGTGGTGTTGGATTCCGCTAATATTGCTTCAGACACGGCAGGTACTGTTTCCTGGCGTGCATTATATAGTACATTGTCGTCCTCTATACCTCGGACGTCTATCATATCTTCCGGTAATCTTCATGTGACCTCCTTTCATGTCGAACAGAAGTTGAGCATATATCACTCAAAAACTCCTTGCTCTGGTATTCCTCCCCCAGAGCTTCGTCCCGCATCTTTCTGGCGCTCGACATCCAATGGTGTCATCGGTTATACCCCTCTCGAAGCTCTCTCGGGATGTGTCCTTTCACTCCCGATCAGGTTCAAGCTCTTCCAACAGCTTGAATCAATTCATCGTGATTCGGATCTGTTGTGAGTTCATTTCCGCCGCCAAATCTGCAGCATACTCACACAGCAAGAACGGCAGTAACAAATATAACCATGATGAAGGAGGTGACTGCGGGTGCCGAAAATGGTGAAGCTCCAGAACCAGGGTTTTGAGAAGATTGAGCACCACCCCCGGTTGCATCAGCCTTCTCAGTCGTGCTCGGACTCACTCCTGTGCCACCAGTAGAGCTACCGTGCTGCGCAGAGCCGGAATCGCTTGTAGAGTGACTGTTCTTCACACTCAACGTGCTCTTCGAATAAACCGCCACGCCGCCCGTAGCAGCGCTCAGAACCTGTCCGTCCTCCAATGTCACAGCACCAGCTCCTGGAGTTAAAGTGTACGTTCCAGCAACAATCACCCCGCCATCCGAAGACTGCACTACAGTCAATGCACTACTTCCAGAAACCGTCACGACAACTGTATCCGCGTCTGGAGTGGTGGGTCCATTTGTAGGTTGGGCATCGTCAAAAGTAATCATGGTGGTATGGTCGAAAACAATTCCATCGGATCCATAACTTGCGACAATCCCATTCGGCAGTGTCTGTGCCGCGGCGCCGCTCGAGTATGTGACGCTGCCGACAACTGCGTGATTACCCGATCCGGTCGCCATGTATGTTTGTCCACCGATCTCGACAGAGGCTGTCCACGGCTCGTTTGATGGGACGGGAGCTTTTGCTGTAGGTAATGTTGGTGCCGCGACATTCGGCTCAGTAGCCTGATCTCCGCTGGAAGCGGTCTGATCACCGTCGGAGGTAGCCTGGCCTCCATTAGAGGAAGAATTCTGATCCTCGTCATGGCTAGCGGCAGAAGATTGAGTCTGCTCGGCCGGGTGACTACTATAGGTAGGAGGAGGAAGCTCATTTGACAACGCTGTAGCGGTCGTTGTGGCCGTGGCGGTTGGTGCGACCACGGTCGACGAGGGAGAGGCAGGCTCCTTGGTCTGTGTGAACGACGCCGGCAATGTAGGCTTAGCCACTTCCGAACGCTCAGTCAGCGCGAGTGGTGGATCCCAAAGACCATTGTACCACATTTGACATCCCTTGAATTCAGGACTGAGGTCTGTAATTTGAGGTGGAATGGCCAGCTGCGGACGAAAGTAGTTCTCTTTAATCACGTTGCACCAGCGATTGTCTTGCTCGTTGAGACAGATGACCTGCCCATTCCACGCCGACCAAGGAATTGGCGTGTGGAAGTCTGCGTAGTTGACGGGATAGCCAGTGATCTGATCCGTCGTCATGACTTGTTGGAAATGATCTTGACTATAGCGGAGACTCAGAACGGACTCGGACGGCATCGCTAGGATGGCGTCTGTAACTCCAGTACCGAAGGTTTTGGAACATCGATCCACTGCGTAGACGGATGAAATCGAGATGTAGGCTGTACCGGAGGTGAAAACGTGCCCGTCAGCGACAATGGTCTCCTTCCCATCAGCTGTGGCATACCCCCGGAGTGAGGCGTCGGTCCCAGTGTTGTTTCCAACAGACTTGCCGGCATACGCTGAGATGACTGCGCCCGGTCCATAGTGTGTGCGGCTGGCAGTCGGTTCACTCGCGCACATATCTCGGCTGACGGTAGTAGGCACCGGCCAGAAGACGAGCTGAACGCCCTCGCCGTAGATTGTGCATTGACCACAGCCGTAAACGTCTTCGGTAGCACTCGCATATGATGACGCCTGGGTTTGGTTCATACACGGAGGCGTTTGCAGAGGTGGTGCAGTAATCTGAGGAGGTCTCGCCGAGAGAGATGAAAGGTATGTGGCCCAGAGGGGATCGCAGTCCGATGGCGAGATACTGCACGTCGGCGCCGGCTGCATGAAAGCCGAGTTGATGGTCCCTACAATCGTGCTGTAGCCGGTCACGGGATTCACATAGGTCAGTGTTCCAGAGGACAGCGTGGAGTAATTTGATGCTGTGACGCGAGGATGTCCATCGCAGAGCGTACTAGCATTGGCAATGTAGTCGACGTAGGAATACGACGTGCCTCCGAGTGCCAGAATTGTGGTGGAAACGTACTCGTGTGCCTTGAGGTACGCGCTTGATGCAGAGTTGAACGAGGAGTACGCCGATTGACAGGCACTGGCATATTCGGGCCCGGACCCTGTCGAGGCAATCTGAGTGATTGTGGGGGTCGGTGTTGACAAGGCCTCAATCAGATTGGAATATGCAAACAGCGCCACCAGCAAGCCCGCGGGCAGTTCGAATGGCTTCATGTTGAATGCCTCGGGGCCGTCTTTGAAGGCACAGCTCCCTCTCCGGGTTTCAATTCTCTAGCCGTCGGGTCGATGGTCCTTTGGTCGTGCGAAATGACATTGACCAGCAATGGTTGGTTCGCCGTCTGCTGGAGAAGACAAGAAAAGCGAGTGAAATGTCTCCGCAGCGATGTTGTTCAGAGGGCGAAGTTGTCAAGACTCAAGACTCAAGAGACAGACTACTGTGGAGGCGTGCGCTATTCGACGTATGCCGGTCTTGCTTCTCGTATACAACTAACTGCGCTAGTCCTGCGCCCAGATCCAAGCTTCCCGGTACATTTCGCGTCATCGAGGCTCGTGCGCTGTATAAGTCGCATGGTTGTAGAGATTGCATTGAGGATTGATTGTGCGGAGGGCGCTTTATTGGCGTTGATCGATTTAAGAGCCGTCCGCAACGGGTGTCTGGCCATAATATATTGGTGATGCAGTGTATTGCATGTTGTTTTTTGGAATTCCTTTGGAGCTCTCTCTAGCTCTGCGCAAAGACAAACGCCGAGCAGCCAAGGATAATTAATTGGAACACTGATGGGCCACGGCAATRCCGATCCGCTGTCCTACCGAAGGAATGGTTTCTCGCAGACTTTTCGGCATGCAGGCCACCGCCATTGTTATTAAATAACAATGGACCTCCCTGCAGGCCACGACGACCCACCACCGATCGTGATGACMGTAATAATGAGAAGAACATGTCCTTGAGCAGGAGGGAGCGACGAAGCAAATCTCATTATTATTCTCCCACTATTTAAATGGAAACCGGCATCTGATGGAAAGCATCCATATGTCGACAAGGTTTTGCTACTTCCTATTCTTGGGAATCACCACCCGTCAGTAACCTTAAACCTAACTTACGCCACCTCCGTCTTCTTCTCGACCATGATGATGACCGCAGCTGCTGCTTGTTGGCTGTTAACACCAAGCTGTGTAGCGGTGCGGTCGATACGAAGCAGCTGTTCGCTGCATCTCTTGATGATCTCCTGAAGAAGCACACCTCTCGTTCGGCGAGATTCGAACAGCGGAATCAACCTTTTTTCCATGACACGCGTGGCAGGTAAATATTGATCAACCACCCTCGTGTTGCAGAGTCGGATGCCTTCTCCACGCTAGCGCTGCACTCCAGGTTACACTAGCAGGCTGCTCACCGATCATCAGTGTATGGTGCAGCCACGCAATCGATTTGGAGGACCCATACCGGATACTCCGTCGTCGACTTGACTGGCTGGTCTACTCAACGGATGAGCCAGACGACGATGAAGCCGGCTTTTCACTGCTGCTGCGTTGCACCCGTCTAAGCAACTGCATTTCTTCTCGCTCTCCTTCTGCTTCACCCTCGGCGGTCTCGGCCACCATTTTCCTGCTCATCTCTCCAACCTCCGCCCTCATGTACATACAGCTTCTTGTCGTCCTCCGTTTCCGCCAAATCCGCACGCCATGCCTTCCCAATAGTAGTACTCATCACGATCCTCCAACCCATCTCTTCTTCTCCTTTTCTCTGCGTCAGCATGTACGCCGATCCTCTAGCATGAGGACTCGCAGGGAGAGCTTTCAACACTTCTGGGTGTGACTCGTGGGTAAACACCGATCATGACCACTTTTCGAGCGAAGTCTTTGTCCCTTTGAGATTCTCATTCAGGATGGCTCTAGTATCGACATTCTCCATCTTACACTGAATGAGTCGATGAAGAAATCTCGACGGTCACCAGGGGTTTTTTGGCCAGATTGGCTCACTGCAGATAGGTCACATATGACCAGTGTTGGAGAGGTGATGTAGTCTCCGGGCGAGCTGGGACGTGCGAGGCGGGACTTTTGATGAGTTCTGTGTAGATGGTATGACCGGGGATGTCGCAAACTTGGTGGTCATAGACTGTGACTGTTATGAGTAAGTTGGAGTGCCGAATACGTGCCAGCTTTTGAAGATGTGGTTCCACACGGCTTTGAAGTTGTCGTCCTTCAATGGCTGATCTGGTGCGTATTGTACGCATTCCACAGTCCAGGATCTTCTTCCTCACGGACAGTTTGCCCGGTTTGCGAAATATACCTCCTTTTTCAAACCGTAGCTTGAAAGGTCGTCCAAAGTTTTGAATCTACTTTACGTGGATTGGGATGATTTGAGCGAGGCTAACATGGCGGCGTAGAGCATCGTTCCCCTTTCCACTGCTTCGGCAAAGGTCATGACTTGCTCGTTTGGCATGTCGTGGTCAGTATTGCGTTTTCACCTGGGTGAGAGCATCTTCGAATCTTCTGTTGTACYACACATGCTGTGCTCGCGTGCAGCGAGGGCTGGGACTGGAAGATGTGGTTCATATGTTTTAGCAGGGTCACTGTGTTATGGAAAGACCTTGGTATCTCGAAATAAGAATGCAACGGAAACGGCTTTGAGAGGAGTGACCAAAGCAGCAGTCGGTGATCAACAACAACATGTTACATGCCGGTATAACTTCCAACGAAGCTCGTAGTGTTCGCTGTCCGCAAGCCACAATTGCTTGACTATACTCATTGCAAGCTTGTTGTAGTCACAGAAGCATCGCGTGCTGTGGAGATTTGGATATACATCCGATATAAAGCGTTCTCATCAGTTGAGTCGGTCTTGCGGTGACAATCTTCCTCTGACCTCTCCTTTGCTGCGTGTGCTCTGCTACCCCAACCCTAACCCTGTAATTATGACAAAATGAAATCTCGACGAGTCCTAGCTCACCCTCAGCACGCATCATCTGAAGAACTCACCAAAGACATTCTCTGCCGCGAACCAACTGAAAAAGGTGAGTATATTGCAACAGCATGTGAAAGTGGAGACACGCGACCTTATCTCCGACAATTCTGACGCACGGGCCACTCGGGTGAATAATCTCTCCGTCATCGAGCATCTCTCACAAACAAAGCTCCACGCTCGACGACTCTCCGTCGGCCTCATCCCTCCCCCGTATACTTGCCACGGCAAGTTCGAGGTGGAATGCTTCGCCCTCTCTCAATATGCCAGCGATGCGTAAGCAAAACGCTGTCAGCTTCATCTGCAGCAGCTCTAGCTTCCCAGGTCGCGCGAGGTAGCACACGAGCATATTCTCGCCCGCATTTCTCCCCTCGAAGAATCTCCCAAATCACCACTCGAAGACAAGCCGGTCAATTCCAACTCCTCGCACCGCCATCACCTGCCTCGCTCGGAGCGCCCGCGGCGGCAAAGACATATCGCCGCTCGCGCAAATGGACTCGTCGACTCTTTCGTCTGGCCCTGGCCACGGGAATCATCTACGCTATTGATACTCAATTCTATGACTCGAGTCTGACGAGATCGGCGCGAACTTTCTCCATGGGCCTGCTCATCGCGCTGGATTACAAGCTCAACTTTCGCGCGGATCCCTGGATTGGCGATGGGGTTCAGGATTTGCATAATCGAAGTGCGCAGAGAATATTCGATTTGTTAAGGACGAACGGAGGGCTATACTTGAAGATTGGCCAGGCAATTGCTATGCAGAGTGCCGTGTTGCCGCCGGAATTTCAAAAGATGTTTGCAAGAATGTTCGACGATGCCACACAGAATAGTTGGAAGGAAGTACAGCAGGTGATTCTGGAGGATTTCGGGAAATCTGTCGAGGAGGTATTTGGTGTCTCTTTCACTGGAGATCCTTCCAAGGGTGTCATGGAGCGGACAGCCCGTGCCAGCGCTTCCGTCGCCCAAGTGCATTGGGCTCGCCTTCCAGATGGCCGAGAAGTGGCCATCAAGATTCAAAAGCGAGAAATCGCTCGTCAAGTTGGTTGGGATCTCTGGGCTTTCCGTGTCGTCTCGAAAATCTACTCGTGGTGGTTCGACCTTCCACTTTACCATCTCGTTCCGTATGTCTGCGAACGCCTCATGRCAGAGACGGACTTTGAGTTTGAAGCCTCGAATTCTCGCAAGATGCGGGCTTTGATTCAGAACGAGCCACGTCTAGCAGATCGAGTCTACATTCCAGATGTCTATCCTGAGCTCAGCAGCAAACGTGTGATGACCGCAGAGTGGATCGAAGGCATCCGGTTATGGGATAAAGAAGGCAWCACAGGAACCTGGAATGGCGGCTGGCGAAAAGGGTCGCCAGGCGCGGGCGCTGTGGGACTTCCTCCGCCTGATGCCTCTGTCATCCGATCAGTTTCCACCAACGACCCTCTCAACGAGAAACTCAAACCAGTACGCGATGCATGGCGAGGGAAAGACCAGAAAGGAGGCTTGGGACTAAGTCTGAAGCCTGTAATGCAAACAATGGTTGATCTGTTCTCCGCCCAGATGTTCCTTTGGGGTCTGGTGCACTGCGACCCACATCCAGGCAACATCTTCATCCGACGTCTTCCCAATGGAAAGCCCGAACTTGTGCTCATCGACCACGGCCTTTACATTCAAATGTCACCAAAGTTCCGCAAAGAATATGCGCTCTTCTGGCGCTCACTCATGACCTTCGACAACGCGACGATTGCTCGAATCACCAAGGAAGAATGGGGCATCGATGCTCCCGACATGTTTGCGTCCGCAACATTGATGAGACCATACGAGGGCGGCGATCATAAAGTGATGAACGAGATTCGGAAAATGTCCAACACCGAGCGCAAACAGAGACAATTCGAGATCCAGCAACACATGCGAAAGTCCGTGAGAGACATTCTTGCGAATCAGGACCGATTTCCCCAGGAGTTGATTTTCATCGGGAGGAATTTGCGGATTGTGCAAGGGAACAATCAGTTTCTCGGTTCTCCCGTGAATCGCATCAAGATTACGGGATATTGGGCTAGTCGAGCGCTTGTAGAGGACCGCGATAAGAGCGTCACGCAACGATGGGGAGAGTTTGGAAGGCATTTGTTGTTTAGATTCGTGTTGGCCAGTACGGATTTGTGGTTCTACTGGTCGAGGTTCAAGCAGGTGTTTGGGAGAGGCAAGGGAATGGATGATGATGTCGAGGAGTCTATGAGGAAGATGGCTGAAAGGTGAGTCCTTCTTTTCTGGGCTAGGTACTTTCGAACTCTGGAGTGTGATTGCTGACATTTCTTCTCTTAGCATGGGCGTTGAGCTTCAACATGGTGTCTTTGATGGATGAAGCATAGAAGGGGATTGAAYTGAATTGCCATGATAGACTAGATTCCTGATATCCAGCTAATCAATCACAACATGCTGTGAGGATGACAGCGCAACCTGCAACCTTCGACCTTTCAAGTACATTGTGACTCACCTTCAAAATGCGTGGTCTCTCAAAGGAAGGTCACATCATGTCCGGGCGCGCCCCGCAACAACGGCATGCAACCACACACGGCCCGAATATGAGTCTTTCGTGTTCGCTAGGTACCTGTCGATCAGTCATCACCTAAGGTATTGATGAACAATCAATATCATCCATCCATCATGACACACACAGTAGAGTAAAGCCATTAATTGCTCAGGGTAAGGTAAGGTAGTGCTCTCGGTGATGCTGGCGGACATGACCTCCGRGCGTGGCGTGGCATGGCTTATGTAGGGCGCAGCGGATGGATGTTGCCGTGGACCGGGGGGGGRGGGGGAGCGCGGCTTTGACGTGACGGCGTTGATGGCACGTCGAGATCCGAATTCCGCATTCCGAATCCTTCCACCGAAGTGGAAAGTTCGCTTTATAATACACTGATGATTCCTCTTTTTTCCCTCCTTCCTTTCCTTTTCCCTCCGTGCGAATGAATGGGACCTGAAGTTTGCTGCCAACAATAAAATATCTTTTTTTTTTTTCTTACGGTGGAATAGAACTAATGGCGAAGATGATTATTTCGGGTGCCACCGCTACATGGCGCTGCTCTAAGAGGTTGTTGTTGTTTACTGCTACGTTGGGATTATTTACTGGTGAGTGGGCTCTTTTTACCTTTTTTCTTGTTTTTTTGCTGGTTGAGGATTTATTTGGAAAGGATGCGGACTGGGGAGATTTTGAGAGTTTTGAGGGCTGGTGTTATCGAATTCTGGATGGGATATGTTGTCTGTCACTTTGCTATAGAGGACCGTCTTCAGAATCATTGGATCCAGGATCATTGGCTCTCTCTTCAGTGGCGAAGTGGCGTACGTCTGGCCTGAGATATGGGACTATCCCGCAAAGCAGAGGACTTTTGCGAAGAGACGATTTCCAAACCACGAGGCTTGGATAGTGTGACGGAGAGGGCTTCGTCACGATGGATGCTCCCGCTTACTCTGAGAAAGCGAGCAAGAGCGATCTATATCCAGCGACTGAGCCTGCAGTTGATACAAGTCCATGGATCCTTCTAACGCCTGGTACCTTATTGAACGAACATAATGTCGAATGCTGACGAATTTTGGATCTTCAGAAAACTTCCTCTATGGCTTCATTGTCCCCCTCTTACCATACATGATTGAAGTTCGCCTCGGTCTTCCCCCTTCCTTCACCCAACGAACCACAACCGAGCTCCTCTCCGCCATTGGTGCCATATCAATCGTCTCGGCACCTATCATAGCCCATCTCGCGGATCTCAGTCCCTCTAGAAAATTCCCACTTCTGCTCTCCCTCCTAGGTTGCGCAGCTGGAACTTTGCTTGTAGCTACCACCATATCCTTACCCGCTRTTTATGCAGGCCGGTTGCTGCAAGGAGTTGCCGGGACTGGCGCCTGGATCGTTGGGTTTGCCATGCTTACAGATTCGGCCAAAGGAGAGAACCTTGGCAAACTGTTGGGATTCGCGGGAAGCTTTATAACTGCAGGGATTGTGCTGGGTCCTGCTGCTGCGGGTGTCTTACTTGAAGTGGTGGGGTACTGGTGGGCGTGGAGTCTGCCTCWATTCTTGCTGGCCATATGTTTGGTTGCAAGATTGGCAATGGTGGACAAGCCAGTCTCTCCACAAAAGGAAGGTGCTCCCGCATCTCAGGACGAGGACGAAGGAGATGTCGAAACGGCTGCACTGCTACCTAAAGTCAGCGACGAGGGAGACACCAAGACTCCGTCCTCCACCAAAAAGACTGGCTTCTACAAGATCATTCTGAAAGATCCGACCGCATGGGCCGCAATGTTCAACGTCGTAGTTCTTGCACTCATTATTTCCGGATTCGACGCCACCCTTCCTCTCCACCTCCGCGATACTTTCGGCTGGGGTCCAGCGCCCATCGGATCAATCTTCCTGGCTCTGCAACTCCCTGGCATGTGTTTGGGTCCTTTGGTCGGTGGGCTACGGGATCGTATCGGAATTCGCTGGCCCACAACAGTGGGCTGGGCACTGATGGTTCCTATATTGTGGTTTGCGGGCGTGCCTGGGAAATGGGAAGGCGTTGGAGAAGGCGCCTTTGTGGGCTGTATCATCGCTTTCGGGACCATGAGCGCCCTTATTAGAGGTGCTGGCACGTTCCAATTGACCAGTAAGTCAGCGCTTCGCGAGATTGAGAAGTGGAGCAGGGTTGTTGTACTGATGTGTGACGTTCAAACAGCCACACTTCATCGCTTACGATCAGAGGATCCGGATATCTTTGGACCTGGAGGAGGAAGTTCCAAAATGTTCTCGTTGACCGAAATCTCCTTTAATGTAGGCCTGATTTTGGGGCCGCTGATTTGTGGATCTCTCTCCGAAGCTTACGGGTTTGAGTATACGGCATGGACATTGGGTGAGTGATTTATTTATACATTGCCTGTTGAAATTTCATGTTTGCTGACACGGCTGCTTACCTTTTTAGCTGGAATATCGACTTTGGTGGCGTGCTCTTCTTGTATCTTTTTTACACACAAGTCGGCTGTACGTGAGGAGAGGGTGGATGAGGAGACTACTTGATGTGATATATATATACAAGGCGTTTATGAAGAAATGAAGTACATGTATGAGTGTCGGCGAGGGCCTGAAACGATTAGATTCGGTGGAGAGAGATGAATTTCAAGCTCGGGTGTGTATTGTCAGTATATCAATGTATGAAAGATTCGAGGACATTTACTTGGAGGAGTCCATTCACTCACTTGATCTGTAATACGGGATTTTCTGAATATTGAGCTAGTGGATGTATATAGGGGGTGTTATTCACTTGTAGATAGGCAAGCAATCTAGTTATCGATTCTTCATACAATAGTTATTTAACAAAGAGGTATAAATGCATAGTAATAGAACTCTGAGAATTTCAGTACTAGTTAGACATGACCAGATTTAGCGAGTTCGACAGGGTAAGAAGCCTACCATGTCTTGGATCTTAGACTAGGACCGTTTAAAACTTTGTCAAGACTCCATCTACTATCTCTACGCTCCGGGCATGGAGTCATATGCAAGGAGTTAACGACACAAGCCTCCAGATAAGCAACGCGGAAGTCCCGCCTTCTCCTAGAGTATTCCAACACACACCTCTACTCCCCTATTACGAAATCAAGAACCCTAACTATACATCCTCCATCCCTCCCGACATTCCTTCTTTCCCCTCTTCTCACAGCCCTCCACATCTCTTAACTACGTATCTACTCGTACGGTCTTTATAGCAGCAGCATTCGCCCTCTTGTCTCCGCAGCATGACGTTTCGATGATTGGCTCGGAAGGACCCGGCGCTAGCTAAAGTCCAGCAAAAGCCCATTTCCTCCCTGCTCATGAAACAAAATCTCATCTTTGGAGAGACAAATCGCGAGAAAAGGGCGGATTTCTACCCCATCTTGCGTGGACCCAGACATCATAAGTTTCATTGGTCCGGATAAACCCGGCGCTAGCTAATGTCCACCAAAACCGCAATTCCTCTCTCCTCATAAGAAAAGTTCCAATTTTCAGAGAGACAGACCACGAGAAAAGGGCGGCAGATTTTCGCCCTCACCTTGCGTGAACCCAAAGGTCGTGAAATGTCATTGGCTCGGCTCGATCCGGCGCTAGCTAAAGTACAGAAAAGCGCGGTTGTCTCGTCGCTTCTTGATTTCGTGGGTCGTTGTGGAGAGCGAAGCTGAAGAGGGCGGAAAAGGGCGGATTTGGCACCACCTTTCCTTGCGTGAAGATGTCGAAAATCTCCGGGAATTGCAGAATTTGGCGATTATGGGAGGAGTGTGGTCATATACGCCGAGTAATTGACTATGCCTAGTGATGYCGTCGTCGTCGTGTCACGAAAGGACAAAGGGGATCTCTTCTATTGCGTCTTCGCAATGTGAAGAAGGAATGAGTGAGTCGGAAGAGACAGAGCAGGACTTAGGAGGATTCGGCGGCCAAGACGAGTGTTTGGGACGACGTCAAGTACCGTCTGGCACTTCCTCTGATAATCAGAGAATGATCATACACATCACGATCTAGCATTCTATCACATCTATGAACCCTCGCATTAAATCTCTCTCACAACTGCCTGCCCCCTACCACACTCTCCCTCCCTCAAAATCTACCTTACTTGGAATATCTCTCCCTCCCCTCCGCATCCCTCCCAACCTGCTGCCTCCCCTCCTCCTGTCTCTGCCAAGGCGCCTTCCCCTCTCTCTCCTCCCTCCACTCCCTCTGTTCCCTCAGCGCCCCTTTACCCACCTCCGTGTGCGCCGCCACACGTTTCAAAAAGTCGATCCCGTAGAAGCCCGTCATGGCGGCTTCGGCATAAGGTTTCTTGCCTGCATCCAAAAGCCTCCCGTTTCGCAACGCACCAATTGCAACGCCTGTGCAGGATGCGATGATGATTCGACGACCTTTTTGGCCTGTCCAGGGGCCGGGTTCTTTGCGACATCGCCAGGCCTGGAGTATATACAAAATTAGTGGGGAAAGGGGAGGGAAGGGAGGGAACGTCAACGAACCTCAATGGCAGCGGGCCAAGCAGCTGCTTTCGCCGCTTTGAGAATGGTGTACGCTTCAGAAGGTTTATATGGATCTTCTCCCGGCGGGTAATCATCTCTCCGACGCGATCCCGAGCGAGAACGCTGGGAAGTTCTCCTTCGATCGTTGCTTTCACTTTGGGCTCGTTGACCTCGATTGTTCTGCTGTTCGTCTGCATTCCTGTCGGTTCTTCTTTCTCTATATTCTGTTTCTTGGCCTTCTTCATCTTCATCCTCGGACGCTCGTCTTCGATGACGCTGCGTATTTCTCCTTCTAGGTTGGTAGTCATAGAATTCGTCGTAGTAATCTGCCCTCTGTCTCCTGCCACCAAGGCTACCGCTGGTCAGAGGCATAGATTGCATGGGAATGTAGACTTCCTGATTGTTTTCATTGCCGGAACGACCCCTTCCGCGGCTTTTGGAGTCGACTCGCTGATTGCTATCGGGGTCCCAGGGGTCTTCTCTGCCGGCTAGACCTTCATTCTCGTCGGACCAGCGGCTACCGCGTCTGCCCAATTGTTGGTCATATCTCTCATTGGGCTCGTAGTAGCGGGAAGAGTAGCGCTCGCGGCGTGGCGAGTACATGTTTGGCGGGTAGTCATTGTCGTTGTAGCCGTTGCTGTTGTTGTTTCCATTGTTGCCATTGTTGCCGCCGGTGTAGTACACTGCGTCTTGGTATGGTACATAGGGAGTCGGTGCGCCAGAGTTGTAATTGTGAGATCTGCTCTTCTTTCTCCGTCGTCGGTTGGGATCTTCCCCAACATCCGAGACGTCTGATTTGATTTCTTGGTCGCCGCCTCCATAAGCGTTCCCGTTGAGGGCATGTAGGTTGTAGATGCTGTGTATTCCGTCCTGTGCAGAAGTCATGTTGTGATGATGAGAGAGTTGGTTTGCGTGGAGGTGAAGTTGCAGTTCTTCGGAAGATGGAAAGATGGACAGGTGGAAAGTGAGGCATTGAAATGAGGAACAGGTGGTCTATTCTCCCAAAATCAAACAAACCTGCACGATTCCCGTGATCAAATTGCATCGAATTCGTTTCATCACCGTGACGTTTGATCCTTCTCCATCGCAGCGCTGTGCTTACTATCCTTCTCTCACCGTGCTTGAATGCATTCAGACCGCCTGGTTTGAATCACGATCCGTAGCGTCGCATAGCGAATGCTTGGAAGGAATTCCTGCCAACAAGAATAATTTCGAAAATAAGCCAGCCCAACCAACTCACTCTTACGACTTGCAGTGTCATGGAATGACACGCCACCAGACATGAATTTGATCCTGTCCCTCATGTTCACCAGGGATGCCCATGGACTTCGGATTGCGGGTTGCGGAGCCCCGGATACATTTTGCTACACCACATATTTGCCGTCGCGAAACCAGTTTTGAATGTTGATTTACAAGGATATCGCTGGTGTCGGCGGAGATTCTTCGAGGCCGGACACGACACCGCTCTTGCGCCGGCAACACAGCCATATTTGGTTGAGATGCAGTCACGTCTTCCATTCTGATAGGAATGTCCTTGATTGGGAAGCGGCTTTCTGGTGTTCTCGGATTGAGGTGGCCATCCATCCCAAAACCTCCGACAACAAATAAGATGGTCCAAGCAGCAGGAATTGGGACGGCGGACGCACTCCCCGGTGGCAGAGTGGCAGGCAAGAACGACTCGGAAGTTCCAAGCTGGCAAACGACTAAGGTAACCGCCGGGGCTATTCTTGTCTTGTTGTTCGCGCAACCAGGTTGATGGGTCCAAGGTTGAGGTGACTCTTCCATTTCCTCCATGGAGATGAAACCCGCCGTGTTTGGAGACTGCGTCACGGCACAAGGTCTGTGCGAAACATCAATCCAGTGACCGCGTCCACATCTTGTCGATTCCCGTGTGCTTCTCAGATACTTGTGTGTGTCTTCATGGATGCATTATTAATGTTATGCATGCCGCATCAAAGATCGGGCCGTGTTTTTTTTCCGGCAGGCGTCTTGATCGGCGCGGTAGACGGTGTCCACTCACGAGACATTCATCATCCAATACCCATCGGATAACAATTCGTCGGCTTGACCATCCAACACCTCATGGGATGGAATGGGTCCAAGTCACGCGAGCACCAAACATGATGGGCAACACGTGCAAGGAAGCTATGGCAGGCTCACCTTTCCTTCCGTCCTTCAACACCAAGCTGAGCCATCTCATCTCCCCGCCTTTGCTTTTGCTTTTGCTTTTGCTCTCCCTCTTCCTTTCCCTCTTTTTCTCCCCCGGCAAGCGCTGGAGAAGGCGATACGCCACGCTTCGCATCGTCCACTCCCGCATGAGAAGTCATGACTCTGTAATATTTGGCCCTGCAGGCAGCGATACCGCACTGAAGCGTCGCCGCGACCACCTTCCAGCGCACCTTTTCTCGCCGCAATTCCACCAGCTGCTTCACCTCCTCCTCCGACCACTTATGAAATGACCTCTCCGTGCCAGTGTGGCGGTAGGAACGGTAGTAATTACAGGCATGGCGGACGGAAGACACCGTGTATTGAGGGAAATGTTCGGCGCACACACGATCCGCGGTCCAGCCCGCATCTCGGAGTGAGAGCATCGTCTCCTTGTCCGATGGAGTGATAGCAGGAGATTTAAACTTGGGCTTGAAGGGCGTTTTGGTCTGCCGCAGCTTTAAGATTCGACAATAGATGCTTCTTATGGTGCGATTCAAGCGCGCCGCTATGAGGACCGGGGGAAAGTTGACGGCGTAGAGATCGAGCATGTGGTGATGCTCGGCCGGTGTCCATCGTCTTCTGCGGACCAGTTCTTGCCCATCTCGTCGTAGAACCCACAGGCGATTGACCACCGCATTATGTGAGCGTCCAACGGCCTCTGCGATCGACCTCTTGTCCATCTTCTTGCCGATCAGCTCGCGCAGCACTGCCTCCTCCTCCCTACTCCATGCCACGTTCCTGATCTCGTTCGGTGTACGTGTGCGTGTAGGTGCCGCGCTGGTGACATGGTCCACACGGGCATTGTCATGTTTGGTGGGATGATCCACACGAGCACCGTCATGTTTGGCTCGCCATCCCTCTTGGAACCGAACTGTGTGCACCGCCCTCCACACGCTGCCATCAGTCACCGTGCCGAGCCTTCGGACGGCAAGCATGTCGTAGGCGTGTGATCAGAAAGGTGCCCATGGACGACACCGTGGGGTAGGTAGGTAGGTGGCGTAGTCGGGCGGCTATATTCATTAGCTTCGGTCAATTCAGCTCGTCATTTACCGACATGTTTAATCAACCCCACGACATCACTCCAACGCGTTCAACTAACTCATCCTCCACACCTCTCCCACAAGACAATCATAGTCTTTCTCACTCATCACCATGCCGCCCGCCAACACCCCCCAAAACAAATCTTCCGAGCGCAACGAATACATCCCCTCCTTCATCGCCAAGAAACCCTTTTACATCGACGACGCCACAGCCTCCGACTCCGACTACCTCGAACATCAACGTCTCCAGTCCGACGCTCTCAACACCAAGGACTCCCTCGCAACCGCGGAATGGTATGCGCGAGGTTCCAAGAAAGGCCCCGCAGCGACCAAATACCGCAAAGGCGCGTGCGATAATTGCGGATCTCTATCTCACAAGGAAAAAGATTGTCTGCAAAGGAAGAGAAAAGCGGGAGCGAAGTGGACGGGAAGGGATATCGCTGCGGATGAAGTCATCAAGGATGTGAAACTAGGGTGGGACGCGAAGAGGGATCGGTGGAATGGGTTTGAGGCGGGAGAGTATGGGGAGGTGGTGAGAGAGTTTGAGGAAGTGGAGGCCATGCGCTTGGCAGCAGCGAAGAAGGATGGTGAGGGGGAGGGTGAGGATGGGGAGGATGGAGCAAAATATGAAGCCGAGACGGACATGGGGAGGTCTCAGAAGAACTCGACAAGAAATTTGAGATTGAGAGAGGATACGGCAAAGTATTTGAAGAATCTCGATTTGGAGTCGGCGAGGTATGATCCCAAGACGAGAAGTATGGAGGCTGGAGCGGAGGGTGCGGCAGGGAATGATATGGTTGCAGAGGAAGGGTTCGAGAAGGCTAGTGGTGATGCGGGAGAGTTTGAACGGGCGAGCACGTATGCGTGGGAGACACAGGAGCGGGGCGACAAGGACAAGATTCATATGCAAGCCAATCCAACCGAGGCGCTGCTGTTGAGGAAGAGGAAGGCGGAGGATGAGCTACAAAAGGCGGAGACGAAGAGGAAGTTGCTTGCGGACAAATACGGCGATCAAGCAGCCGTATCTACGAAACCCAAGACTCTTGCTGCGGGCGTGGAGGCTAGTGAGCGATATGTCGAATACGACGAGCGAGGAAGAATCAAAGGTGCAGAGGGGAAGAAGAAGGAAAAGAGCATGTACGCCGAAGACGTCCTGATTAACAACCACACTTCCRTCTGGGGAAGCTGGTGGAAAGACTTCAAATGGGGCTACGCGTGCTGTCATAGTATCGTTAAGAATTCCTTCTGCACTGGGGAAGAGGGATTGCAAGCTGCGATCGAGGCGGAGAACTTCAGCAAAGGACTCATGCTTCCTGCTGCTCCTCTCAAAGAAGACGAAGAGGTCTCGCGAGCAGAGGCTTGGAAGGAGGAAGAAAATAGTGAGAAGCATGTTCCGAATGGACAGGATCGGCCTGAGAAGAGCAATCTCGATGAAAGTCGGAGACGGATGGAGGAGCTCACTGCTGGGGTGACGGAGGCTGAGATGGAAAAGTATCGCAGAGCGAAGACGAACTCCAATGACCCCATGATGAAGATGTTGGGTAAGGATGAGTTGTTGGATTGATTGCTCGAAGTGGGATGACAATGGGGATGGGAATGGGTGGATGTCATGGACTTGCGAAGTGCTCGTAGTTCATATGGCAGATGCATATCAATCGACTCCTGAGGTCGGGTTAGTGAGACTGAATCTTTCCGTCGCTCAGAGCCATCACTTCTCCTCATCATTCTCTGCTACCTCTCCATCTCTCACTCTTTTGACAGTGCACAATCCTCTCGCTCCGAATTCCCGCAACTCCCGCTATCGTAATGCTAAGAATCAGGTATGCACTAGGGTAATCTATCACCCGCGCGGTGTCGTCCTTTCCCTCTACCTTCTTCACCTCACCTAACCACATCGCTCACCTGGAATTCCAACAACCAGGTACCTAACCTAAGATCTCAAATCTGGAAAACACAGCCACGACAACCAATCATGTCATGCCAAACCACTCGCAAGAGGAGCAAATGCAATGGTTGATCCTCGCTGCCCCTCGGCCGATGTACATACCGCTGACGTTGTGAGATAGAGGAGTGTCTAGATCGCATCGCTGCCAGACTACACCGTCTCGATGCCGAGTCTTTTTCGGTTGCGGGACTGATGAGCAGTCAGGGCGACTCGGCTGCGTGCGAGGATTCGTGCTGTGTTGAAGAAGCTACGGTTTCGTCTGCTGATGAGATTGGCAATGACTCCTGCTGTACCGTTACGAAGGCTTCTGAATCCGCATCATTCGAGGGAAAGATTGAGGGCGTTGGATCTGGATCTGGATACTTCAATGATGAGAAGGCTGGTGAGACGAGCGATGGATGCTGCAGCAAGGACGAGAGCGGGGCCGCTGACTACTGCTGTTCTTCTGAGAAAGTCACCAAAGTCACCTCTGCATGTTGTGCAAGGTCTATGAAGCCGAGCAGTGGTTGTGATGTTCAGTATGGGAAGGAAGCTGCAGATGACTGTTGCTCTTCTGATAGAGCCACCCAAGCGAACTCTGGATGCTGCGCACCGACCACAAACGCAAGCCGTGGATGCTGCAGCGAGAACGATCTTCCCGACAAGGCAGTGATTACAGGCTCCACGGCCATGAAGCAAAAGTGCAACGCTTCTCCCTCAACGGTAGAATTGAGCTGCTCTGCGGGTGAGAAGGCATGTGGTACTTCCCCTTCAAATAAGTCTGATTGCTGCATCAAGTCCCCGAATTCGAGCTTGATATCAGTCAAAGACTGCAACGATACTTGCTTCCAGGAGGAGGACGCTCCAAGCTCAGCTCCATCAGCAGATGTCAACAACTTTCAGTCTACGATGAATCGCCTCGAGGCAATGCTGAAAAAAGGCCAATGTCTCTGTCGTCGTGTCAAAGAGCAGTATGGCTTTAATTGCTGCGACCCTGCATCTGCTACGGCTGGGCTAGTAACACGTAAGAGGGGTGCTTCTCCTACCCCATCTAAGAAGAGTTCTACAGAGGACAAAGCATTTGCAGTCTCGAGTGCGACTGCAATCCACACTCGCTGCTCATTTGATGCTTCGGACGAGGTCAAGAATAGGAAGAAAGAGGCTACCGTCAAGTCGCACGCCCATCCGGTAGACATCGAGAAAGATTCTGCCAGAGAGCACGTCGTTCTCGATGTGTCCGGCATGACTTGCACGGGATGCAGCAAGAAGATGATGAATGTCCTCAACGGCATCTCAGGCTTGTCCAACGCCCAGGTGACATTTGTATCTGGAAATGCCGAGTTCGATCTGGATCTAGCCGTGGCTGGAAAAGCTGAAGATGTACTGGCTCGCGTAGAGAGGGAGACTGGCTTCAAGTGCTCTCGCCTGATCAGCGGACTTCATGTCCTGCACGTCATGATGTCCCCTGCAGCTGCCAAGGGAATCTCAGATGCTTTGCCCACAGGTGTGATGTCTGTTGTTAAAGACAAGAAGAACAAGGACAACTACTACATCACATACAACCCTCGGGTAGTGGGAGCTCGGTCTCTATTGCCACCTACTGCCAATCTTGCACCTCCGCAAGACTCTGTCGGTGTTGCAGAAGGTAAAAGGCGACTGATTAGTACTGCGACGAGCACCGTGTTAGCAGCCGTTTTGACAATCCCTGTGGTTGTTCTCGAATGGTCTGACAATCAGTTGCCATCCGAAACGGTAGAGCTGGTAGCACTGATCCTGGGTACTGGTGTGCAAGCAATTGCTATTCCCGAATTCTATATTGGAGCCGTCAAGTCACTGATCTACAGCCATGTCATTGAAATGGATATGCTGGTCGTCATCAGCATCACGTCTGCGTACCTCTACTCGGTCGTCGCATTTGGTCTTCAGCGAGCAGGGGTGAATCTGGAACAAGGACCATTTTTCGAGACCAGTACGCTTCTCATCACCCTCGTACTTCTCGGGCGACTTATGGCCGCTTGGGCAAGGATGAAAGCCCTATCTACCGTTTCACTTCGCACTCTTCAGGCAGATACGGCCTTACTGATCGGACCATCTGGTGAGCCGACGAAAGTCGATGCCAGGCTACTACAACTTGGCGACTCTATCGTGATACATCCGCACAGCCGCGTCGTTACAGATGGCTCTGTGTCACACGGAACAAGCGAAGTCGACGAATCCATGGTCACTGGCGAAAGTCTTCCCGTATCAAAACAGAGGGGTGACATTTTGATTGCTGGTACGATCAATGGATCTGGCACTCTTCACGTGCGCCTTACCCGCCTGCCAGGAGAGAACAGTATCACTGACATTGCCACACTGGTGGAGAAAGCCGTTGCTGCGAAGCCAAGGGTTCAAGACCTTGCCGACAGGTTCGCCTCTTACTTCATACCGGCTGTCGTTGGCATCGCTGTCATTGTCTTCTGCATTTGGATTGCAATCGCAATTCAGATACGCAATCGCAATGGAGGTGGTGCAGTTGGTCTCGCTATAACTTATGCCATAGCTGTGCTGGCCATTTCGTGTCCATGTGCTCTCGGCTTGGCCGTGCCCATGGTTCTTGTTATCGCTGGTGGAGTCGCTGCACGAGCTGGTGTTGTTATCAAAGCTGCAGACGCTATCGAGAGGAGCCATAGGATCACTGATGTCGTTTTTGATAAAACAGGAACATTGACCGAGGGCGATCTCCAGGTGATACACATGCAAGCCCTCCCTTTGAATGGGCTATCGGAAGATGAGATCTTGATCCTTGGAAAGACGTTGGTTGAGAGCAATGAGCATCCTGTTTCTGTTGCGGTGGCGTCTCACCTGGCTGAAATTGACATGTCCTCAGGCTCGAAGCCTAGAGTGGAGAACGTTACTTCTATCCCAGGTGGCGGCATCGAGGCTCACTATCGAGGCTCTCTGATCAAAGCGGGAAACCCCTATTGGCTCAACTTGGAACACCACTCGGCCGTCTTAGGACTGCTAGAGCAAGCCATGACAATCCTCTGCATCACTCTGGCACACGAATTGATCCTTGTTATCGGTCTTAAAAGCTCCCTTCGGTCGAATGCAGCAAATATCATAGCCGACCTTCACCGCCGAAAAATCACAACGCACATTGTCAGTGGCGACAACCCAGCGGCTGTACTCGACATCGCTCGCACCCTCGGCGTCGAAGAATCCAACATTCGCTCCCGCAGTTCTCCCTCTCAGAAACAGGAATACGTACACACTCTCCAAAACACGTCTTCACCAGGTAACAAGAAGCGAACCGTTCTCTTCATAGGCGACGGCACGAACGATGCCGTGGCTATCGCCCAATCAGACGTTGGAGTCCAGATGGGATCCGCTTCAGACGTCACGGGCGCTATCTCGGACGTTGTGATACTCTCGCACGATCTATCGGGATTAATCACGCTGCTGGATTTGTCGAAGCGGGCTGTGAGAAGGATTCAGTTCAACTTTGTGTGGAGTGGTGTGTATAATCTGTTTGCAATCTTGTTGGCGGCGGGGGCCTTTGTGCGGGTGAGAATTCCGCCGGCTTATGCGGGTTTGGGAGAGATTGTCAGTGTTGGACCTGTGATTTTGGCGGCTGTTTCTTTGATGTGGAGCAAAAAGGTAGGAGTTAGAAGTCAATGAGGGGGATTGGAAAAGGAAGAGAATGGGAGTGAGGTCAAGGGACGGGGAGAGAACGGCGATGAATGACGACTCCGGAGCGAATGTTGCTCACGGGCGATATCTCGCTCCCTGCCTGTCGTCTTTTTCCTCTTATCAACTAAATGGAAGTATTACAGGCGAAAATCTGGTGTAACCGATCAGAACACAGAAGATTCCAGACAGAAGACGGGTCAGAAAGCGACATCTACCCGGTGATACACTGCTTGATTGACTTTTGGTTCATCGAAGAGATTCATTGACAAATAGACGTCCAGAACAATTCGAACTCCTGCTCGGATGACATGTTGGTTGTTCAGAAAGCCTCCGACGTACAAGCAAGCAGCCACACGGAACTTCCCAACCCATCGAAGACGCCTTCCATCGCCACCAAGTCCAGAGCGCGTAGGAAAAAGCACCGAGGATGGCGTTTAGATGGCGTCTCCCCGCCTTGTGGGTGCAGATCACAGAGCTTGTCAGACCTTAAACACTCTTGTCTCCTGCCTATTGTGGTAAGCTAGCGGAGAGCTTGACCGTGCTTATCACTGCCACATAGCTGTGTGGATGAATGCGTCAGACATCTTTACAAGTCTCGCCAGAAACACCATCATCATTGCGGGTCTACGCTTGTGTGTCTCTCAACGAATGGACTACCTCGGTCAGCATGAGGGGAATGTATAAGAAATCGAGCCTTCTCCCTGATAGAGGGTCAGGGCTGTGTCTTCGTCCATCGCGATGCATCTTCAGAATTTTTCCGTGGTTGCGGCTCTTGTGGCATCAGCATTCGCCGCCTCTACTCCAAGCAATTACATTAGTCATGAGAAGAGATCTCAGAGCTTGAAACAATGGGTTAAACGGGAGGAGGTTTCTCGACAGGCTGTCTTGCCGATGCGAATTGGTTTGAAGCAGCCCAATGTCGAGAATGGCAAGGGTGACGAGCTTTTGCTCGAAGTGTGAGTTCGGCATGATCTGATCAATTTTTCTACACGACAGAAGCTCATCATTCACAGATCTCATCCTGGCTCCTCTCGATACGGCCAGTGGTACTCTCCCGAGGAGATTATCGAGATCTTTGCTCCTCCACAGGCCGCTGTCGATGGAGTCAAGTCCTGGTTGCACGAAGCTGGAATCGCCAAGGAGCGCATCTCACATTCTGCCAACAAGCAATGGATTCAGTTCGATGCCCAAGTCGAGGAGGCCGAGAGACTCCTCAAGACCAAGTACTACCACTACGAGCACGAGCCTACTGGGAATGTCCACGTTGCTTGTGACGAATATTTCCTCCCTCAGCACCTGACCAACCACGTCGACTACATCACCCCCGGGCTGAAGCTTCTTGGCGGCGGTAAGGCATCTAACGGACGCCCTTTGAACGGTCGCAAGAGGGATCTCGAAGCTCGTGGTTTCCGTACCGGAAGCAACCAAAATTTCTCTCAACCAATCTTCAAAAGTTTGGTGAACATTCCACTCAATGTTCTCAACAACTCCGCCCAACTGTCCCGCTGCGACCAGTTCATCACGCCAGATTGCATTGCTGCAATGTACAACATCACCAAGGGAACCAAGGCCGCCAAGGGTAATGAGCTTGGAATCTTCGAGGAGGGTGACTTTTATGCTGCTGAGGATCTTGTTGAGTTCTTCTTGACTTTGGCTCCTTATATTCCGATTACTACCAGGCCCAAACTCGAGGGTATCGACGGTGGATTCGCTCCTGGTTTGATTGCCGGTGGCGAGTCTGATCTTGACTTCCAGATGTAAGTCATCTCTCCAATGAGATAGTATTCGTTTTGTGCTGATCAGTATGCCCAACAGCTCTTACCCAATCATCTACCCTCAAAACTCGGTTCTCTTCCAGACCGACGACCTCTTCTACGCTCTCGGTCTTGAGGGCGGTGGTGGTTTCTTGAACACCTTCCTAGACGCCATCGATGGCTCATACTGCACATACTCAGCCTATGGAGAGACCGGAAATGCCGACATCGACCCCGTCTATCCCAACCCTAACCCCCTCGGGTACCAAGGAAAGCTGCAGTGTGGCGTCTACAAACCCACCAACGTCATCTCCATTTCCTACGGCGAGCAAGAAGAKGATCTCCCCACCAACTACCAGCAGCGACAATGCAACGAATTCATGAAGCTGGGAATGCAGGGTGTTTCCGTGGTCATCGCTTCCGGCGATTCCGGAGTAGCCGCACGATCCACAGACGACGGCAACGACGATGGCTGTCTCGGAAAGGGCGAAGCCTTCAACCCGGACTTCCCAGCTTCGTGCCCCTACATCACCGCTGCTGGAGCAACCTACCTGCCACCCGGCGGTGACGCCAAGAAGGATCAAGAAGTTGCCGTCACACGATTCCCCAGCGGAGGCGGCTTCTCGAACATCTACAAGCGCCCTTCATACCAAGACGGCGCCGTCTCCACATACTTGACCGCTCACACACCCTCCTACAAAACCTACAACACCTCCGGCATGAACAACCCACCGGAGAGCGTCACCAACGGCGGACTCTACAACATCGCCGGACGCGGATACCCAGACATCTCAGCCGTGGGCGACAACGTCGTGGTCTTCGTCAACGGAATGCCGGAATTGATTGGCGGAACCAGCGCTTCGGCACCTGTTTTCGCGGCGATTATCAATCGTATCAATGAGGAGCGACTGGCGGCTGGCAAGAAGACGGTGGGATTTTTAAACCCTACGCTGTATTCTAACCCGGGCATGTTTAATGATATTACCGTGGGGAATAATAGTGGGTGTGGCACTCCCGGGTTTTATGCTGCGAAGGGATGGGATCCTGTGACGGGGTTGGGGACGCCGAATTATCCGGCTATGTTGAAGGTTTTTACCGATCTTCCGTAGGTGGATGGTGGATGATGATGGTATGATGGTTGTGGTGTCAGTTATGTATTGGGAAGAAGGAGATGAAGGTGATGATTATATGAGCTTTATGAAGATTACCATGTATTTTGTGATTTCACTCAGGAACACTATCATTTTCGACCTCAATTTAGTATGAGGATGCTGCGTTACCTTGCTCGGTTTCAAGAAATGAGCTTGTTGGCTTGGATGGATGTGGATGCAATCTCTCATCCAATTGATCGAGTAAGGAATCCTATCCATCAAATAAGAGTCCGCATTGCAAGACATGCCAAATAGATAGGGGGATGTGTCCTAAGTTGCAGATTGGGCTTGTACGACACATTACTTGATTGAGGTATCGTTCAGGTAARTCGCGACCATCGTAAATGCCTCATAATGCATACAAGCCAACAATTTCACTATTTTCAGGGAACCTGTAAGTCTAGTACCTTGCTACGAATGACAACAGATTGAATCGACGAACCATCAGGTCAAAGGAACGCGGGCTGTTCGTGAAACATGAAACTACTTGCTGAGCAAAGTATTCAATAGCCGCAGAGCAATTCCCAACTCGAAGTCTTCAAGGAGGCATTCTTCTCTATCAACATTGCCCTTCACGTCGAAAGACCTACGCCATGAAATCCATCACACTTGTTCGCTAGGTTAAGAAGAGGGTAGATCGAGGAAAGGAAGCTCTCGTTCCCTACACTCAATCCATCACATGTAAACCTTGGCATCCCGGGATTTCGATTTCGAGGAACGGCTAATGTAGCTCATCGAATTTGTGCATTACATTCAATTCATTGATGCAAAGTATCGATGAATCTTGCCCAACATTCATTGAAGCAAAAACCTCACCTACACAAACCACAGATCGCTGTCGTCCAAGATCTCGTTTTGGACACACCAGAATGATTGGCACCAAACGTCTCATACCCATGTCATGGCATACATTTCATCTACATCAGAACCGCCCCCTTCCTCCCTTTTACTCCTCATTCTTCTCCAATTCAATCCAGCATGACATCTACGCACTCAACCTCCACGCCCTCATCGGTAGCGCCTGCAAGCCCAGTGCTCGAGGTTTGATGAATCCCCAAAACGTCACGACGCCAAACACCACACACAGGATATTGACGATGTAATATCCATCCCGTTCAATCACACATGCGCCTCCACCGTTGATGCATCGATGCTTCTCCGCTTCTTGCACACAGCTGAAAGCCTGCGTGATGAGGTCTCCCTTGAGGGAGGAGAGGATTGTTTTGGAAGGGTCCACGGCTGGATGGCACGTGGCTTTGGTGAAGATGTCGACGAATTTGAGGACGAAGAAGCGGGGGAATGTGCCACCGAGATTGCTGACACTGTGTTGCATCATTGTTAGCAGATGGTATTTGGGGAAGGAGCGGATGAGGAGCTGGCTGGCTTACGTAGCGAGAAGTGTCATGTAGGTTCCGCCGATCGCCGGGTCGGAAATCTTGGCGTGGAAGGCGGAAATGGCGACGAACATGACGGTGCTTGTGAAGGTGGAGTAGACGTGCTGTACGATGATGACGAGGAGGTAGGAGGTGGTTGTTCCCGAGGGCGGGAAGAAGGTTACCACGAGTTGGGCGGTGATCTGCAAGGTCAAAGGTCAGCGAGACGGCAGGTGCAATGGACGGACGTGTGTCGACCTACGGCAGCGATGAGTCTTCCGACAAAAGCCCAGCACCAGACGCGGACGGGTTTGTACTGTTCACTCCACTTGCCGGCGTAGTAGCCCAGCATGATTTCAAAGGGAAAGTCGATGAGGACGGTCAGGGCGAGGTCTTCCTGGGAGAAGCCTTTGTCGAGGAGTTTGAGGTTGGTGACGGCGTCGTTGGCCTGGAAGCCGATTTTGGCGATGAGATGGATGACGATGAAGGTTTGAATGTTGCGCAGCTTGAGGATTCCGCCCATGGTCTTGTACACTTCCCACACCCCTTCCTTTTCTCGCGTGAAGTTTTCCTTTTTCATCACCGCCAGCCCCAGCGTCACGGCTATGTACATCCATCCCCAGAAGGTCASATAGGAATTCAACGTCATCAAGCCGACATCTTGCGGAGTGGTGCGGAAGTATTTGTTGGCGAAGTCCGGGGATTGGAAGGCGAGGAAGACGGTGTAGGACAAGAATTGCCCGGCCGTGAGTCCGACCGTCTGGGCGGTGGAGGCGTAAGAAAGGTTGGAGGGAGAGAGTAATGTCAATGCCCATCCTGTTCATGAGGAAATGTCAGTGTTCCGGTCAAGATCGTGCATTCCCAACACCACACCACTCACCGTCGACGGCAATATCCTGCGTCGCACACATAAAGACCAAAGCGAACCACCAGCCGGTGAATCCCCAGATGCCGGCACCATTGTCCTCGCCCGCCTTTTCCATCATCTGCTGCGCACTGGCACCCAACCACAACATCCCAAACCCACTCAACATCTGAATGGGCAGGATCCAACTCTTCCTCCGCCCCACCTTGGCACTCCACCACGCATCGACGATGGGACTCCACAGCAACTTGAGCGAGTAGGGATAACTGGCGAGGGAATAGACTCCAATCTGACTATAACTCAAATGGCTCTTCAACAGAAAGGGCACACTGCCGCCCGCCAGGCCCATGGGGATTCCCTGCAAGAAATACAGCAGGACGAGTAGCAAGAAATTTCTTCGATCCTGCTCGGGAAGTTCCCAGAAGCCTTTACTGCTCTCCTCGCCGCCATCTGCCTGGTCGAGGGAGAAGGTGTCCCGTCCCATCAATCGATCGCGTGCATCCGCCGAATCATCATCCACCACCTCCACCGTGCTGGGATGTTTCCGCCGCTCATGAAAGGCCCCGCCATTCATCTCGTCCTTGGTGTTGTTGACGCTGGTCGTGCTGCCGTTGGGCAATTCCGCGAGGGAAGAAGAAGTCGCCTTCTTGCCTTTTTTGCCGGGCATCGAAGTCGAATCGTTGTTGTTGATGATGTCGTTGCCGTGTTCGTATGCGTTGTCGATGGGTAAATCTTCAAAGTCGTCGAGTTCCACACCTTCTTCTAGCGATCGCGAAGAAGCTTGTTGCTGTTGCTGTTGTTCTCGGAGACGCGCTTCGTGCAGAGCAATGGTCGGTGCTACAGCGGCGGATCCGGCAATGACGAGATGAGGAAGAGGAGGAGAAAGAGGGGGTGGAGGATGGATGTGTGAGGCGACCATTCATTCACTTCAAGAAATGAGTGGAAGAAGTTCCAACTTCTCCCCCCACAAGACGAGACAAGACAAGCGCGCCCGCCCTTCCAGAAACGACGTGTTCAATCGGATTGCGGCTAGGATCGGCGGGGTTCTTTTCGCTTAAAAGTTAATACGGCGCTGCAGGTGCTGTTAGCGTGTTTGGGACGGGCGACGGATCACGGAACTGCAGGTACGGTACGGCGCGGAGAGCTTCTTCACGTGGGAGAGGAAGGTATAGTAGGTGGAGTACGTAGTGTTTCTGTCTTTCTTATAAACAACCTACATCCAACAACCTTCCCAATCGACTTGASCGGGTCGGGTCGTCAATAAGGTAGGCCTCGATGCGATGAACAAAGAGGAAATGCGGGCCGACAGAGTGGGTCCGTTGCGCTAAAGGGATCCGCGTCGACTCCACTCCTTCAATACCTCCTCCTCCGGGCAATACCTGTCAGAGTCCTGCCATTTCCAAGCCCATGGTTCATCGGACTGGTGGGATGTGCACGACACATTGCACGGTAGACAGCGACTCCAAAAGTGTGTTATTGGGGAATTGAAGGAAAGTTGCAGAGGACAGGGCAGTTGCACTCCCGTCCCTCAGCCCCATTCGACTTTCAACATGTCTTCCCTCCTGCGGACGACATGTGTACACTCTTTCCATCAATTGGTACATCCATCTTCTACGCCTGGACTCCGGAGTATGCACGGCCTGCGTTTTAATACCGCATGGAAGCGACAAGACCGACGACTTCCTCTACCTATCAACAGTCCGAAGCACTCTCAATCCCGGACATCATCCACCACGATTTCGCCCTCGGCCAAGGCCCCGAGGAGTCAGAAAAAGTGGACTCAATCGGATCTGGATCTTCTCGAATACATGAAGCAGCAGAAGACACCAATCTCATACATCGCCACACAATTGGATCGCAGCGTGTCGAGCGTCAAAGCCGAAATTAATCAAGGGCCAAGGCTTGGTCGCACGCGGAAAGGGAAAGAATGGACTGTGGCTGAACTCGAAAAACTTGTGGAATTGTAGGTCGACCTACGCGTGTCTTGCTAACCTGGCTAATGCTCTCATCGTATAGGAAGCAGCAGGATATGCCGATCAAGACTATTGCACGTGAACTGGACAGGTCGGTCCGCAGCGTCTACTACAGGATTGGCAGTCCGCAGTTTCATAATCCTTCTTTCCAAATAACATGGACCCCGAAGCCTTGGACTCGGCATGACATGGGTGTTTTGGCAGAACACATTTCGCTAAAAACCCCTACTCATCAAATTGCTTTCGACATGGGCCGGACGCTGACAAGTGTTGAGAGACGCATGCGGGATTTTGCCGGCGATAAGGTTCCTAAAGGGCACGGCGGCATTCCCTTTTCCAAGCAGGAGGACGAGAAGCTACTACAGCTTGGCGCCTCGCGCAACACGTGGTATGCACTTGGACCACATTATCCTCTTCCACGCCTAGCTGAGTCATCATTCGTAGGAAGGCCGTTGCACAGCAGATGCCAGGGCGTCGTCCTGATTCTCTGTGCAGGCGTTACTGGAGACTGAAGTGGATGGCAGACTGCCCCAATACGCCTAGGGACTATGTAAAAGAGTACTGGACCGAGGAGGAGGACGCCATGACTAGAAAACTTGCCACTGAAGGACTTTCGAACAGGGAGATTGGCCGCGCATTGAACAGAACGCCCCGCGCGGTGAGGGAACGGAGAGCAAAAATGGATCCCGACTTTCAGCGCACGGTCTTTCCGTGGACTCCTGAAGAGACTGAAATTGTTACAACTTTGCGATCCCAGAAAACGCAATGGAAAGTGGTTGCTATGTCGTTGGGATCACATCGAACTTGGCGGGCCGCGCAAAAATACTACCATAATGTCATAAAGAAGGGACATTTTCGTCCACTCACCGATCAGAAGACTGTGGTAAGCTCGACCAAGTCTCCCTGTCCTCCTCCATCCCGCCATTCGYCAACCGTTACTTTGACTTCCATCAGCGGCAAGCGGGGCTATGCCACCAAAAGAGCTCCACGTGCGACGAGCACACGAAAAGTTTGGACCCTGGAGGATGTGGAGACTCTGGCGCGTATGAAGATGGATGGAAGATCCGGAGCGGAAATCGCTCAACACCTTGGCCGGACGGTCAATAGCGTGTGGGCGGCAGTAGGCAGAATCTCAGGTGGCACCCAGAGTTTCCACCGACGTCGCTTTCTCCCCGCAGACGACGRGAAGCTCGAGAGACTGCGTGACTCGGGCACGCCGTGGTAGGACTTTGATGCTTGTCTTCGTAATATCTGCAAAGCTTACACATTTCAGGAGGACAATCACGTCCCAGTTCGTAGGCCACTCGATCTCGGCATTGCAGCACCGCTACGCGAGGCTGAAGCAAGGCAACGGCACGAGCCATGAAGTTCTCTGCATGTCGTGGACAAGGGAAGACGATGATCAATTACACGAGTACAGGCGCCAAGGCCTCAAACCCAAAGACATTGCTACAGCCATGAACCGAACGCCGGCGGCAGTTGCTCGGAGACATCCTCGGATGAGAACAAGACAACGACCGGCACAGCCGCGGTCGCGGTGGTCGACTGCTGACAGTCATACACTTTATCGCATGAAGGCTGATGGCGTGCCCGTGGGGAAAATTGTGGGAATGCTCGAGGCACCACGCAGTGTTCGCGCTGTCCATTCCCAGTGGCTTCGCATTCGTGATCAGGTCGAATGAAATGTGTGGTTTTGTAGCGTTGAGCGGCGGGGTGAGAAGAAAGATGATCTTTTCAGGGGAGCAGATCTGGAAGAGCCCAAACACTCGGAGTGAGACGATCAGCTCAGTCTTGGAAAAGCCGGGAACTTGAAGATGACAGTTCTTCTGATGTTGAGATATTCGGGACAATGCACCCTTTTACCGGTTCGATCATGATCCGCGAAGATTCTGGGGGGAACCTCTGCCCGATGGGATGGGCCTGCCTTGCGTTTCTGCATCCGGAGCTCTTCTTTTCGGGGCCATGATGTGTTGGAGAAACATACCATGAATACTTTCTCCATGCGAACATCATGGAGCAAGCTTGGCTTTCTGGAATACAGTGGATAGATATCCTGGCACGATAAAGTTCAATGTTTTTCGCCATGCATATAATTTAATTATGTACATGTACGTACATTCAAGAATAATGATGATCGCATAAGTCAGATGTGCAAGAGAGGAGGAGCATGACCATGACCATGACCATGATGATGATGATGATGACCTAGGCGGGTGCAGGAAAAAACAAAGCAAAAGACTGCCACGTTTATTTGCTCCAAGATAAAGTTCCCTCGAGCCTTCAGGGTCTGGTTGATGTGAACAGGGGTACGTTGTCTGAGATTCCGATCGTTTCCATCATCCTTGCATCACATCACGTCTTCTTGTAGACATTATACTTTGAGAGAATTATTGCTGTGAGGTTTGGGTAATAAAACTTAGCAGTTGTTGGGATGTACTGGCGTTGCGCGGTGCGGATGGTTTATACATTGGATGGTAGGAGTGTTATGTTGGTGATGATTGATTGATCCACGGGCTTTGGTCAGATATGCTCGACTTTTTGCAATGCACTGTCAGGGCACACCGACAGTTATTCACCTGACTCGAATTTCAGTGAGTGAGTGGATAGTATGTCTACTGAGTTGGCTTTGTGTGATTGAAATTTGAAAAACGATTAGGGTAGGTATTATAGTAGATCTGCAGTATACATGTATCCTTCCACGATTCCTCTCAAAGCGTCATAGCAAGAAGTCCGTCGATGCGTTGTGGTGTCGTAGGAGCGTCCGAGGACGTCTTCTCGCGATCTGACCTGCGAGTGTACCGCCCAACCGTAAATTCTCAGTGGGCCCATGTCGTTCGTGGACAATCATCTTGCAGCTTAGATCACATATCGAAAGCTCTTTCTCTCTTGATCCGTCAGGTTGGCCTTGGAATAGTTAGCAAAAGAGGCTTCCAGTCATGTTCGCGAAACAAATTGGCACTCACCCAAGTCTCAGAGTCATCATCAGCCGTCACCATATCACTAGCCTTGCCATACAATTTATCCCTCCTCTACAGACCGGCCAGTTAGTCGATATTCAGTGCTTTATATTTGGCATTCGGGCTGGTACGTACCTTGTTGACGAACAGATAGTATACCGTCAGTAAAGTCGCCATACCAATCGTACCAGCATTGCCAACGACCATGATGACTTTTGCAAGATGGTATTCCGGCTTATCCTGAGGTCTCATAGCGTATGGTCCAATGATGCCTCCTAGCGCTACGCCAGCACTCATGAGGACCGAAGATATGGAGCGCTTGGTGTGGCCTCCTACATTCGCCGCCATCCACTGATAATGAATTCCCAGTACGCACTAGGAGTGGAAATGGTCAGCGCGGATCACTGGATGACAATTTTGCTTCAAGAAGCAGTTACTCACAGAACCGAATTGCACCAGCCAAAGTCCTGCAAGTGGCCCAGCGTGGTTGGTGCGAGGCATGAACGCAACCAAACAAGCTCCCAGGATTGTAATGGCCAGGTAGATGAATATAACCGCCGGCCTGGGAAGAACCTTCAACCGAATCAGGCAAAGGGCAGTTACAATGCTCACCCACGCGATCGCGCCACTTGGGATGTTCAACAGTGCCGCTTCTTTCGACGAGTAGCCAAAACCTCGAATCATAGTAGTGCCGTAGGTGCTGATGATAGCAGATGCGGACATGATACTCGTGATGCTGAGGAACAACATCCAGATTTGAGGGTCGAGAACAACGGAGATGAGTTGTGAGAGCTCGAAACGAGTGTTGGAAATTCCTGTGCCGTTCACGGAGACATAGCGTAGGATGGTTCTTTTCTCCACCTTGGATAGGAACCGAGCGTTCATAGGAGTGTCCGGTAGGAAAAGGAATGCGGTCAGGCCGGTTAGGAAACTGGCCACACCGATTGCAAGGCACATGATTCCTAGACCATTGTTAGCCATGAGTGCATGATAAGAAGAACTCGGAGATTAGTGTGAACAAGTACGCACGCCATGACGCCAGGGAAGAATGTTCTACATTCTGAAAGCCGTAGGACATCGTCGCCCCAAGCATGACAGCGAAGCCGATGGCGGAATACCAGAATGCGAATCGTAGAGCCTGCTCATCCTTTCTGTAGTACTGGCTGGACAGCAGCATCAGACAGGGGGTGATGGATGCGTCGGAGAATCCCATGAGTATGCGGACCGTTAGGAGACCGCTGTAGCCTTGCACAGCTGCCGTACACGCGGTGAACTGTGAAGTGTTAGTGAAAGTCATAGCCAATTCACAAACGTGCCGACCTACGATGCCATTGCAGATCATGTTAAACCCGACCCATTTGCCGATTGGTAGCTTGTTGAGGGCGAGTGGGATTATTGCAGTCATTGCTAGATATGACCAGGAAATGGCCGAGACGCAGTTGTTCATCTGCTCCCCCTGAAGATTCAGGTCTTCGGGAAGTCCCATGACGATGGCATAGCCCAAGAGATATTTGTCTGGCGGTCGTATGTCAGTGGAGCTGGAACATCAGATTTCAGCAGAATTGCTGCGAACCTAGACCATGGAACAGGTAGAGAGCCCACATGATTGGAAACATGTGTTTGTCAATCTTCCGACGAAGAGCTTTTGGGTTGACTTCCTCCTGGCTGTTCGCGGACTCGGCATCGACTTCGTGAAGAAACTCGTACGCTTTGTCGACGGAGCCTCTTCTGTGGCTGGTAAGATGGTWGGCGTCTGCATTGCTGCTCGGAGAAGGAGAAAGTGAATGCTGTTTCTCTTCGTAATGAGATGCCTGATGGCTCTCCTGGAGAGTCAACTTGTTGTCCATTGCGGCGATAGTGTCTCAGTTCAGTGTATTTTTTTTTCGGCCTGATAACAAAAGCACACTGCCAGAGCGGTCACATACATAGATATGAAGTTGGTCCCTGCGAGCAACCCTGTTTATAAACAGATAACTACCGGACCAGTGTCTGCATGATGCAGATAAACGAGGGAGTGCAGTGCAGATACCACACCTGCATCCTGTACGACATCCAAGCCAGCGATTCCGATGGGAGGGATGTGGCCAATAGATGCCGTACAGCGTGCCAAATCTTCAGGGATACCATAGAAACAGATCCATGACCAACTCTCTCCGTCGGTTTCCGAATACGTTTCATAGTTTCACGGACCAGGTGAGAGTTGTCTGAGAGTGAGCGGTCAGTGTAGGTACGGAGTTACGAGTACCTACTACATGCTTGTGCGGAACGTGCCATAGGTCAGCTTAGATGATTGCGCTTCATGTCGAAACTTTCCTGTATCTCTCAATAAGTTTGTTATTCCTCCAGACGAATGCTGATCGCTCTCAGTGCAGCTAGCGGACACAAAGCCTTGTCCACGAGTAATGCACATGATGAGTTAGAATCCGTGCGCTGGACCAATGATTAGCATAGCAGCATACATACAGTACATACTGATTCGATGTTCATGTTCTAGAAGGTGTGGAAACAAGGACGCACGGAAGCCTCTGCACAAGCCTTTCAGAACGTTGTAAACTTGTAGCATCCTCGTGGTACTCCAGCCGCGGACTGCAATAATGATAATAAAACTTTACCCACTTGCGGTGACTTGACTCAAGAACCACCACGGCTTCTTTGAGCGCGTCAAAGTGTTGAGTCAGGGGCGCAGAATTGCAGCTCGGCCAATCCAAATACCTGTAATGCTCGGTGACTAGTCGATGCTACCTCTTGGAGGGCCTCGTTGTGCACTGCGTTGAGGTTGGCCGTATGCTGAGCAGACTGGACGACTTCTGGCCATGTTCTGACTCTGGCGATGATAGTCGTGGCTAGTCAACATGCCAAGAGTCATATAAGAGAACGGGTCGACAGGTGTTACYAGGTTGTAACTTGGGTGAAGCTTTGAGAGGAAGAAGAAGAAGAATAGGTAGTGGGAGCAAGATCGTACGACGGAACAGCCGGAATTCTACCGATTTGCGCCGACTCGGACGCGCAGCTGCTTACCTTACACTTACACCTTCTCCAACACATCTACTCAACATCTATCTGCTCATCGCGTATGTCAGCGCATCAATACCTCACACCTCCAGAGTAGACCAGCGACGGCCGCAAGACAGATATGAATCCACCGAGGAAGTCTGCGCATTCCGCCCTACGAGGCACATCCCAGCATGAATGGCGAGTACATGGCACCACCATGCCATGATGAATAGACGACGGACCATCATTCTGGTCCTGTCGTCTCTGTTTTCTTCTGCTGTACCATGCGGTTGGACTTGTTTACGACTGCATCACCATCCAAAAAGGGTCTACAAACGGTCCAAGAAGGCCGACGCCTATGACGATCCCACAGAATTCAACCCGACGGTGTCACCAGCCTCTGGGAATGTGCCCGCGTACTTCAGGCGATGGACCGCCGTGGTTTGTCAGAGCAGAGACTTGGTCATCTGGCCATGCGTGCCGTAACCGACGAGCGACTCATATCAAAAACCAATGCGCCAAGTCAAACCATCTCACGTGGAGACGGACAAGACATTGGCATCTGTTGGCCTTCGCACAGATGATGCTTGTGAAGGATTCACCAAGAAGTGGGGACCTTATTGTGGAGTGCATCAAATGAATTCAGCATCTCGATCGGTTCGTGGGAGGTGAGTATCCACTTTTCTCTTCTTTGCCTTTCATTCACCAGCCTATGCCTCCAGCAATGAAACATCGCTACGCGGCAACATAGCCATCTCTTTGCGTGATTGAATTGATGCAGATTCAACAATCCACCTGTTACACATACATTCTTGCACTTCTATGGGATGTGGTCAATAGCCAAGACTGCCAATCCTTGTCAGGCGTCATCGCGCCACAAAAGCCATCCCAAGACATTTTCTTCYGCGAAACTTCGTCCGGAAACCGCTCCACAAAGTCTTGTACCATCGCGTGGCATACGTAGTGCCAACGTTTTCATGTGGAGTTCCATGTGCGAACGGTTGCGATTGTTGCAGGAATGGATGCCACGCGAAGAATAAGTATGGCTCGTCTTTCCCCAGATCTACCCCATCCGTACCCATTTTTCCTCGTTTACTCATCATGGCGGCCCCAAGGAAAGATGAAGAATCTGCGGGCCATATCGAAGCCGAGAAGCGCCCTACAACCTCGAGTGCTTCATCTTCTTCGGGAGACAAGGCTCACCGTGAACGTGTCGAAGATGAACCTGTGCGCCAGTCCAGCGTGGCGGCAAAGTTGCGCAACCCACTGGCGGGCATGACAGAGGAGCAAGTACTGGCAGACGCAGACGCATTCGTTGATGCCCGCGGACTTGGCGACAAGCGCGATGCATTCCGGAAAGGCGCTCTCCTCTCACGTGTTGCTCAGCGGGAGAATGGATTTGAAAACATTTCAATGCTGAGTGAGGAAGAAAAAAGTTGGCTGCGTGATGAAATCACTTTCCGCTGGCGTCACCCCTTTCAGCTCTACTTTTTGGTGATTCTCTGTGCTGGCTCTGCCATTGTGCAGGGAATGGATCAGACTGCCGTCAACGGAGCACAACAGTTCTACTTCGAACACTTCAACATCAGTGATGATGCGGTATGGCAACGAGGTCTACTGAACGGAGCGCCCTACCTAGCCTCCGCTGCCGTTGGATGCTGGACCAACGCTCCTCTCAACAAGTTCTTTGGCCGTCGCGGAACCATCTTCATCTCCTGCTTCATCAGCTTTGCGACTGGAATCTGGATGGCAGTAGCCGACTCGTGGTACAATCTCCTAATCGCACGATTCGCTCTGGGTTTCGCAGTCGGTGCAAAGTCTAGCACGACGCCCGTCTACGCTGCGGAATCGGCACCCAAGACCATCCGAGGCGCGTTGACCATGATGTGGCAGATGTGGACTGCGTTCGGAATCATGCTCGGCTTCGTCGTCTCCGTCGCCTTCCAAGACACGACCTTCCTTGGCGGCGAGAACAGTCAATGGCGATGGATGCTGGGTTCCACTTCGATTCCCCCTCTCATCGTCATGGTACAGGTCTATCTCTGTCCCGAATCCCCCCGATGGTACATGGAAAAGGGCAAATACGACAAGGCATTCAACTCCCTGCAGCGTCTTCGTAGTCACGATATCCAGGCTGCTCGCGATATGTACTACGCTTTCAAACTTTTGGAAGTTGAAGCCTCCCAGCGTGAGGGCAAGTCTTTGTGGAAGGAGTTCTTCTTGGTCAAGCGCAATCGCCGCGCGGCCCAGAGTAGTTTCTTCGTCATGTTTATGCAGCAGTTTTGTAAGTCCTCATCCCACGTTGTATGATAGGTCGAAGCATTTGCTAATTGGTATCCTCTTTCTTCCAGGCGGAGTCAACGTTATCGCCTACTACAGTACCCAGATCTTTGAGAATGCCGGATTTTCTCGTTCAAACGCCCTACTAGTCTCACTAGGAACCGGCATCGTCAACTTCCTCTTCGCCATTCCAGCCGTCTACACAATCGACACTTTTGGACGACGAAACTTGCTCCTGACGACCTTTCCATTAATGTCCCTGTGTCTCTTCTGGGCCGGCTTCYCCTTCCTCATCCCAAACCGCATTAACCCCAATTACGTTCCAGGCTCCGACCTACCGGCAGAGCAGCCGACGATACCCTCTCAAGCGCAGCTCGGCAGCGTTGCAGCAGCAATTTACACCTTCATGGCAGTTTACAGTCCGGGAGAAGGTCCTGTACCATTCACTTACAGTGCCGAAGCTTTCCCGCTGTACATCCGTGATATTGGCATGTCGTTCGCAACGGCAACAACTTGGGTGAGTTGTGCTCCAGATTTCGAACCTAGTGACCTTTTCTGGCTTTTCCAACTAACAATCTTTCCGCAAAGGGTTTCAACTTCATCCTCTCCCTAACCTGGCCCGCTCTAGAAGCCGCTTTCACCAGCACGGGCGCTTTCTGCTGGTACGCAGCCTGGAACATTTTCGGCTGGGTTTTTTGTTATTTCCTACTCCCCGAGACGAAGAATCTCACGCTCGAGGAATTGGATAATGTCTTTGGCATGTCGAATCGTGAGCATGCGACGTACTACACGGAGAAGTTGCCTTGGTATATGAATAAGATGTTGAGGAGGGATGTGGAACCTTTTGCTCCGTTGTATCAGTTTGCTGAGTATGAGGCGGAAAGTATCCGTCAGACGAGTGTTGCTTCGGAGAAGGCACTGTAGGGGGGAAATTCTTTTGAAAAAAGTGCTAGGCTTGCTGGCTGAGATACCCTTCATCATTCAATAAAATTGTTTCACACTCTTCATGTATATGCCGCCCTCTTGACACGCTACGTCGCCCGAATGTCCTACCTTTACCAGCCCAGCATCTATGAAATCGCGTAATGCAGAGGATACATATTATGCTTCCATGTCTTCTTGACAGCGATTCTGAATTCCACGGCGATCAAGCATTAATTCAGCACGTACGAGAAGATTGTCCGAGCCATGGTCCTCTACCAACAGGCTTTGAACCAACCGACTCCATATTCCGATACAAGTAAAACGTGAATACTGCGCAAACCTACAATGTTGCTAATTGTGAGAGTTGCCACAAATAGACATCACACGACTATCCTCAGTGAATGAAATGCTCCAACTTTGACCCTCAGTCTCTGGAGAGTATCTCTCTCTACTTCCCGCTCAATTTTCGAACATGTCATGCATCGACGACCATTTTCACTTCCACCCTGAATCGGTGGACGCTCTTTTTTTCCTGCACTTGATATGATTTGAAATTCACCTCAATACCGTATTCTCACCATTGGAGTGATGAGCATCCATCTACCCTAACACTAACCCTAACCCTAAATTCAGATAGCTGGAAAATGTCAACGTCGACCTCATCCGGCAGCACCAAAAACGAGAGACATTCATCGGTATGATCCTGGCAGCGGACCTCTGCTGTATTGTAATGGATATATTGAAGTGGAGAGCACCTCCTTTCCATCCTCACGTCATCATTCAACACTCTGCCTCCTCCCGTTCCCCAACCCTTTCTTATCCCTCTTATCCCTAATACCCTTGACCCTCCTCCCCCTCATCCTCTCCTCACTTCCCCCAAAAAGCTTTCCATCAACTATAACCCTCCCATACTCATCCGCTCCCGCTCCAGCCACATGCACAGGCGTCTTCCCTAGTCCGCCCATTCTCTTATTCAAACCCTTCATTTCCACAAGCCTGGCCTCCTTATCAAACGCCTTCTTGGCTTCCACTTTTGGGTTATCCTTGGCTTTGAGATCGGCTCTCACGACCCTCGTCTTGGCTCCGAGCGCCCAGAGATCTCCCCATGAACTTTTTCTCGCGTCGSGGAAAGCTTGCTTGGAGAAGGAGCGGGGAACGGTCCAGCGTTCGAGAGTTCCAGAGGGAGTGCAGAGATCTAGAATGACGTGCCCGGTTCGTTTCATGGGCGGTAGGACGGCACGAGGAAGTTCCAGTCCATTTGGAATACTACGCTCGTCTTCGAAACCTTCAAAAGCCTCCACAGTAGAGCTCTCCCCTTGTACAATGGGTCGCGGCAACGTCTCGGGTGCACGGAGATCTTTGCCTCTCATGACAGCCAGGTATGAGAATTCAACATCCTCATGATTCTTCCCTTTGGACCCAAAGATCTTTTGCAAGAAAGCAGGGCGATGATACCTCTGCTCAAACGCACAAATGGTACGACGACCTTTCACCATGCCTTTTTGGGTGTACATTGGGCATCCAGTGTGATTGGTGCACGGAGCGATAATCATACCAGTCTCCTTTGGCTGCATGAGAAGGTCGGCATATTCTGTCGTGCCTGGCTCTTCAATGTTGGTGGATCGCTCTGTGKAGCCGGGAGAGGATATGTGGTTGTCTAGCAGCAGATCTCGAGCACTGGCGATCATTTCGAAGCCACGAGGTACACCCTTCTCCAGCAGAACGAGAACCCCACCGTCGGAGTGAAGCAAGTGCCAGAGGTTCTGAACATGAGGTTTACGGACGTAGTCTTCACGTAGTGGCCAAAGCGTGTGTGGCGCGATGATGATATCGAACTTGCCTTTGACTTTGGCTTCCTCAGCATGAATGTAATCAGGTAGTCGAGGGATGAAACTTGTATTGTCCAGCAGTTTGGCCGCCCGCCGTCGTAGTACATCGCTCGCAGCGAGGACAGTGGCGGAGCCGAGAGGAGCAGATAGATGTTCGCCGCCGACTTTGCCATCGGCTTCCGCCAGTGCCATGGGCGAGTCCAGACCGTCCACGTCGGACTCATGCATGCGCTCCCATTCAGCGCGTAACATATCCCGCACAGCTACGACACCAGCACCCGCACCTCCAGCATCAAGAATGCGTAGCTCGCCCCTCTCCGCCTTGCGGACTAGATCTTCCGCCCAGGCCGTGCCCAAGCGTTTGCGAGTCTCGACCAGCACGCTCGCCACGCTGGCGTAGATTCCCGGCATGAGCGTGGAGAGGAAGACATCGCCATCCATCTCCGCCATGTTTGTCTGTGCAGCATCCAGTGTGATTGCCTTTTGCTGCATCAGCTTTCCCCGCGTCGGCGTCGAAGTGGAATGAGGCAAGCCAGGTCCCCCAAAGATCCGATGGGCGGCATCTGATAGATGTTCCGATCGATCCGCAACGAGCAGCGAGATGGGGTCGATGAAGGTCGCACGGGGAATGTCGACGGGCGCAGGGAATCGGTTGGCGAGTGTGATGGGATGCGTTCGTCGAAACTCTCCTTCTCCCTCTCCCTCACTTTCACCCAAGTCTTGCACCTCAGCCTGAGGTTCAGCCATAGCCCTTCGTATATCCTCTGCCAGTCTCTCATCGCCACTGATTTTCCATTTCTTCTGCCTCTGCTTCACGGCCGCTTCCATCTCCATCTYCAGCTCCTCCTCTTCTGCGTCAAACTCCACTTCGCTTCCATCTTCTCTTAACAGCGTCATATCTCCCACACCCTCCGCATCCTCCACCTCGAGCATGTCCATCTTTCGCAATTCCCCAAACAATCTCTTATATACCATCCGCTCCTCCTCACCCAGCAAATCTCCCGGAACAAGCTCACTCCCATACCATTCCCGCAATCGCCTCACCCTTTCTTCAACACCATCACCTCCGTCCTTCCCTCCCTCTCCCGGTGTATCAACAACACCAGCCTGCATAAATACACTCTCCCTCCATTCTTGCTGGGAAATCTGTCCAGAAGCATACAAACTCTCCACCAGTTCAATCTCTTGTCGTCGAGTATAAGCCGGCCGTCTAGCAGTGGCACTGCTACTGAATCCTCGGTTCGTCCATGGTTTCCGTGGGAGACTCGCTCCGCCGCTGATGATTGCTCTCCGTGATTGCAATCCACTCCTCGCTCTCGCCACTTCTTTGGCACGAATCAACGTCCGCAGTCTGCATGTCGTGCATGCAGGCGCGTGGATCACACGCTGCATAATCATCGTTGATGATGCTGTTGATAAAGACAGATGGATTTCATATCCATCTCGACTTTCCGCGTCGTCAAAGACCGCCCAATGAAATGTCACTAAATTCTGACCAACACGAAGTCACGTTACCTTACCCGTACCTGCATCCAACGACACCTCTGTTCTTGGTCTGCCAAAAGTTTGACAGCAGTTCAGAGTCTAAAGTCTATCGCCGTCCACTCCCACGGTACCCTACCGCCCATCGTATTTTGCCGAGCAGACCTCACTTGGAAGTTGGAACGACACCAGCTCGATCGACATCACCCATATCATGAGTTGAGAATGAGACAATGTTGGACCGGAAGAAGGAAAATATAAAAACTGCATAAACGCCTTGCGTGCAACACATCTCYCCCGCGCATGGCTCTCCTAGCAAGGTGCTTTTCAGGCTTGATCTATTGCTGCACCATAGTCTCCATGCCGCTCCTCGAATTGCCACCTCCCCATGCCTTTTCGCCTTTCCATTAAACAGACCCATCATATCATCCTCCGCCGCGTAGAAAACCAGATGCTGAATAGGAAATAAAGTCAAAGTGCAGGGGTGTTGGTTGGTCCATTTTTTGTGGGTTTGTTGTAAGATATCGTCTTGTTGGAGTGGTTGCTCAATCGTTTGGTGTGGCTTTGTAGATGACTTAATCGTTATCTTCATTTGCCTGCAGGTGAATCCAGCTGTGCTTATCCGTGTCAATTTTTCCCATTTGCCGATGCAAGGTCGAGAAAGTTGAGTGTGCTTGAGGGATAAAGCGCCGAAAGCCCTGCCGAGTGACACTGCCAGAAATGCTGTTCGACTGCCATGACACCCTTGTGCGTCATTGCGTCCGCCTCTCATTGCTTGGGAAGCCTTCGCCCAGATTGTGCTCAGTTGCTCGATGGTTGAGTGATCGAGCTGAGATTCGTCCGGGAGAAAGCATGCAAGCGAGAAGCGAAACAACAGCCATGTGAACGTGCACCAAAACCGATATGAAAAGTGGGGATCCCTGGTTCAGTCCGCGTGAACCTTTTCCAGAGAAGAGCAAATACAAACAAGCGGCCGATGCTGCCATGTGTTGCTTTGCTGATGATTGAAGTTGTGAGTGGCGACCCTGCCCGTGCTTGCAAGCCTTTCAGTAGTTTTGGTAGCCAGGCTGATCAGCACCGCGCTTGCTGGAGCGAAGTTGCCTAAAGACGAGGAAGCAATGTCGTTAGCCAAAGTCTTCATGATCCCCTCGCGCCAAAGCAAGTTCGAACGCAGAGGAGAAGGCGCCTTACAAGACGGAGAGTGGCAGGACATGTGTATGTGCACTCACATTCCGGTGCCCTCGGGTCTCGCTGGGACCGCGCCACGACGATCCTTGGAGAGCTGGCCGGTCTGTCCACCAGTAGCCTGAGCAGTGCGGCGGCCCGACTTCTCCTCGGCCTCCTCGGCGGCAGTACCACCCTGAGCCGCAGCAATAGCCTGGGCGTTCTTCTGGTACTTGTAGACGGTCCAGTCAAAGACGTAGTCGTACTGGAAGCCTTCACGCACAAAGAGATCGCGGAAGATCTTGCGGAGGTAAGAGTAGTCTGGCTTGTCGTCGAAGCGCAGGCTGCGGGTGTAGTTGAGGTAGATGGCGAACTCGTTCGGGAAGCCACGGCAGAGGACCTCGGTCGGGGTGGTCATCTTCTTCTCCATGATGCGGTCATACTTCTGCTTCTTGGTGGCCGCCTTAAGACCTTGCCATGGGAGGGAACCACGGCAAAAGTACAGCATGACGTAGCCCAGGGACTCCATGTCGTCGCGACGAGACTGCTCTGGGAGGTTGTTAATGGACATTCCTTGGAGGGATCATGGATTGTACATACCAACGCCGAGATGCGTGTTGATAGAAGCATAGCGGGCAGTACCAGTAAGGTTCTTGTTCTCGCGATATGGAATGTGGAAGTGGGTCTTGGGGTCACGGTACTTCTTGGCCAGACCGAAATCGATCACGTTGACCTGGTTGCCGCGCTTGCCAATGCCCATGAGGAAGTTGTCGGGCTTGATGTCGCGGTGGATGAAGCTCTTGGCGTGGATGTACTCGATGCGGGAGATGAGCTGGTCGGCGAGGAGGAGGACCGTCTTGAGCGAGAACTTGCGGTTGCAGAAGTTGAATAGGTCCTCAAGGGAGGGGCCGAGGAGGTCGAGCACCATGGCGTTGTAGTCACATTCTGTTCCGAACCAACGCACGAAAGGGATGCCGACGCCGCCAGCGAGCGACTTGTAGACGCGGGCCTCGTACTCCAGCTGTGGGTGCTTGGCCTTGACCGACTCGAGCTTGATGGCGATTTCCTCGCCGGAGATGATGTTGGTGCCTATAGAAGTGGTCAGTGAGTGAGTTCGGAAGGGCAGCACATGTTGGGGGAAGACATACCCAGGTAGATGTCACCGAAACTGCCGCTGCCAATCTTACGGCCGATGCGGTATTTGTTGCCCACGCGGAGATCCTGCTGTAGTGTCAATGCTGCCACCACGTCGTCGGGGAGGGACACGGGCATACCATGGTCGTCATGGTGGGTGTATGGGTTCACGAGAACGCTCGTGTCGGGGAAGATGGGAGGTCGATGTCGGTGTCGAGGAGGATGACACTACCGCTGATGGCGCGACGGCTCGGTATTTCTACCGTTCTTGGTGTTTTGGCGCGTGACGGAGCGGGGTGGGGAGCGGTGGTGTCGGTGGTGACGAAGAAGTGAGCAAGCTGAGGCCGGATGTCAGTTGGAAGGCTCAGGTCAAAGCTGGAACTCAAAGCCGGCTGCCAAGCGAAACAGAAGGTCGATCGCTTGCGGGCGGCCGGATTGCGACGTACTTGGAGTTTGACAACAAAGGGTGCCAAATTTCCCACCTCGAGCTGCGCGAATAATGGAGGTTAGAAAGGGAAGAAAGAGAGCACGCTCGGGCACAGCGGTGAGCAGGGTGTGTTTGCGGTGTGCACGGGGAAGTGGAGCTTGATGAAGCAAGCAGGTCAAGAGGTCAAGAGGCCGCAAGATGCCAGTAAAAGCGCGCAGCCAGCCAGAGGCGCGGGAGGAAGGGTGCTGCAGGCCGGTGATCGGCCGTCTCGGTGACAAGTCGTGTCCACGTACCTTGGAAGTGTCTTGGGCTAGCTGTGATAGCCGACGGGCGCTCAATAAGGTGAGAGCCGCGTGTCGGCGCCGAACGAGGAGAAACACTGACGGCAAATTAGTTGCGGAGCGCGCAAGAAGAAGCGCGGTGCAGTGTTGCTGCTGTTGCGGTCTGTTGTCGGTGGGAAGGTGGAGGAAGGAAGGGCGTGACGGCAGAGTTTAGCTTTAGGGCTCATGAGGCAGGCACCTTGCGCCCTGCCACTGGATTGGGCCGTGACATCTACCTTTCATCAATCCCTCCCAATTTGATGGAGAGCCATCAATCTCGATTTGATGGATCATCGACACCTGCACTCACCCATCATCATTTCACTTTTCCTTCCATCGCACTCCCCGAGAACGACACCGCCCTACAATCCTACAATGTCTGTCTCACAATCTCCCACCTGTTCCGATCAACGTCACACATCTATAACAACCTGGCGGTATGCCTTTAATGTCCCGGCTGCAGCTTCGATTCATGCCCAACCGGGTCTGCCGCAGCCAATAGCCAACCAACCACCCTGTCAGCCCGAAATCACAGGCAAACCACAAGACGTCTGCAGACAGGACATTCCTTGCATGTCACCCACGAGATGCGCCGCACTGGTGCTATATACGTAGGTGGTTGGCAGACGTGCGCGGCTGTTCAAGGGAACATTCCTACGTAAGATGATTATTGATAGCTGCAAGCCATATCAAAGCAAAGCCGAGTGCAACGTTGATCTAGTGCTACGGATCGAACTCTGTACAGAATTGTCTTCAAACACTGACGGCATGTCACATCTTTTGGTGGCACACACATGCCCGAGTGTTTCTACATTCKCCATCAAACCTCCTTGACCGAATTTCCCGCAGATGGCGGAATTGCTGCTCCGAAATCCACATTTCGTTCGCAACACGACAAGTCATGCCGACAATGTCGGCTCCCAAGTTCCAGGGCCAGCACACGTACACGAACACGGAGACGGACAGCTCGCCAGCGCGTTCGCGGCTTTGTGCCAGTGTTACACGAGCTGAATGCAACACCGGCCAGGCCTCGCCTGCCGCACAAAGAGCGCCTAAGATGCCGTTCTAGGTCGCATATGGCTGATACCTCTGACCATCAAAGCTTGACGCCTATCTTTGGGACATTCTTAGACAGACTCGCTAGCATACCGATTGCGTGATGTTACTAACAATACAGCTCCGCGATATGGTCTTGCTGTCCACATGGTCATACGAAATCATTCCATATTGTCCCGAAGGAGAACGCAGATGTGTTGCACAGTGCCTCCCGGCTCGGCACACGCCAGCGGACGCATTCAGATACCAACATGTAGCCAAGCAGCATCAACGAATAAACACGTCGAACTTTCRTGACCATGGAGTGATGTGCTGAGGATGTAGACGACATCTGCCGAGAAGTTAAACGTCTGTGTTGCATCGACTTTCAAATGCATGGTATGCAATGTATGCTGGATCAATGTATGAGCATCAATTTCTGCAAGACTCCTGCTTCAATCTGTCGTTATTCTACTCGAACTTCTCCCATTTCAAAATAGCCCTCGTCTTCGTTCCATCCTGTACCCCCTGTCAATGCCAATATCTATCACATGTCGAGACAGGCACTCAATACTTACATCAAGCAGCATATCCTGCTTCGGTTCCAAGATCATATACTGCTTCCCACCTTCTTGTTGCAATATGACCTTGCGTTCCTCAATCCCACCAATACGACTCGGATCGCTACTGACCTCGACTGTCGTCTGCCAATAAAGCCCTCCTGTATCGTCTTTGAAGAGTTGGAAGTAGCCACAGTACATGGACATTCCGCGAGCAACATATGCGAGATCAGCATCAGGAGCTACTTGCCACGGCTTTCCAGACGGCAAGGCAGCGACGCGATCCGGTCTGAGGAGATGTGCGGCCAGCCAACCACCCTGGGATATAGAGACTCTGCCTAGAGGACTGTCGCCGTGAGGCTTGGCGAGTAGTTTCCGTTCACCGCTACTGCAGTCGAACATCTCGTAGGATATACATTTCCAGCCTCCAGCGACTTGGTCGCGGTATTCGGCCCACACGGATGCCATGATGTGATAGCCAGAGGAGTGTTGGCGAGTGAGTGAGTGAGTGAGTGAGTGATTGTCTTGCTTGCTCCGGTGGCCGATATCGGGTCAGGAACAGCGTCGTGAGTCTGACTCGTCAACAGTGAACCTACCTGGTAGGCTGCGGAACGAGCCGTTGTCGTCCTCATGTCCCCAACGTGTCTCAATCGACTTCCTCTCTCCGCTCCCTCCTCTCTTTCTTTCCTTCACTCCTGAGGAGGACCAGGGAGTTTACTGTGTCGGAAGCCAGGCCAGTATGATCGACGTCGTCCGCTTCCCGCTGCCAGTTCCTCTCAGCCGCCAGTTCATCTTCGCACACCACCTCGCGCTGGAGCCGACGCCGACAAGAAAGTCATGTCGCAATCTCCGACAGACGCAGCTTGGAGGTAACGATTGAATGTCGAGGCGCAGCTTGGAGGTAACGATTGAATGTCGACCGGTCGAAGACTCTGTTGGATACTCGAAGACATCCTTCTTGCGCCTCCGCGGACATGCGAACGAGCGAACGACCGTCTCTACCCATACGTTCCTTCAAGTTGAGACGAGTAGCGCGGCACCCCTGTCCAATCCTGGTTGCTGAAGCAAATCTCATGAAAGTTGTCATCAATCCAGAATCAAAATGGCGATCAGGGTGCTATGCGCTACTCGTCTCAAGATAAAGGACTGCACTCCGGTGCGTTTTTACCTGTAGTGCGCGGGCCCCGCTACTTGGCTGGAGTGGACATCTCATCACGCTCGAACCTATTCTTAAGGATGAGAACTGCATGCGCACTACGGGAAAAATCACACCGTTGTACGACTTCCCTGAGAGGACGGCGGTTTACCTGTATCCAACCTAAGTATACCACAAGCATTTCTCCTTCAATTCAACTTCGTAGTCCCCCTTCACCGTCTGTCTTGCTTCCGTCGTGCCTTGTTGCTCGTCTGAGGTAAACCTTCGCGAGGGTTGCTCCCGAAAGTCTGAACAGCGTCCTCAATATGCTTGGCGGCCATACCACCCACCTACTTGTTCTCTGCTTCTCTGCTCCTCTACTTCTCCATCCCTCCACCCGACCACACTTCTTAGAACGTTCACCATCCTTCATACAACGTTCACGCACGCCCAATCTATCATCGTTCAGCAAACACACTTGACACGTCAAAATCATGCCTTACACCAGATCGATGGCCCTCGCGGCCCGCACAGCTGCACCCGCCGCGTCGCGAGATGATGCAGCATCCGCAGCGCAGCCTGCCAAAGAAGTAAGTTCCCTGCGTTTCCCTCTGTCGTAGTATGGCTATGGCATCAGAGGCGATACCGCCCATAGCAATCACACATTCCACAAGGAGAGAGCCGCTGACATCTATAATCAGGCGTTCCCCCTGCTCGCACTCCCTTACGAACTCCGCGCAATGATATTCGAACACGCAACACGCGATGGCCCGGTTCTCGTGCGTAACAACAGGAAAGCGCCCTTCCAACTGGCTTCTCCGTTCTCCGGAGTGAACCGGCAAATCCAGGCAGAGCTTCAGCCAATCGTGGAACGGCTCACGCCAACCTCATGGAGACAAGCAGGGAAGATCACAGTCGACGTGTATAATCTGAACTTCGATACACTTTTTGACTTTCTAGACGCCCTCACGCGACAGGAAATTCAGGATTACAGAAGACTTGGTACCGTCATCACCCCCAGGCTGCGATTCGGACGATGTTCGCGAAGGTATAGATCACGTCGGCAGATCAGAGAAGAAGACATGGAGTCACTGGTCGACTGGTTGGAGACCTCCATGACTCAAACAGAAGAATGGTCTGGTATAAGTGACTGGAAATGCGAATTTGTTGTCAACAAGCCCGAGACGACGCTCATCCCCTGGCTACGAGCCCTTGACAAATTCTCGGACGACGTATATTTCAGCCCAAGTCGAGCAATGACACGTCCGGGCAAGTTGAGATTGAGACAGGCGATCCAGAAGATCGTAGACACGGGCGTGGATGTCTTGCACAGGTCCAATCTGGTTCTGTACGAAACACAGGCAGGCGATGAAGAAAGATATTGACCATCGCATTGGGATGTTGAACATGGATCGCTTACAGATTTCACCTGTCGCGGGGAGACTGGCATCTCCAGCCACAGACTTCCCATCCCGCGTCGAAGTGCCGATTCTTGGAAAATTCCCGGCAAGGATTTAACCGAATACCCGACATCTTCAATACCACCTGCTTCTCGCCATACCCATTGTTGATCATACCGCCGCATCGCATGCGGGGTTCGCATAAGCACACGAGACCCACCGAAGTGTGGAGTTCTGGCCGCCGGAGTCAATTGCCGCTCTAGGCTGTCGTTCGTCCAGCGATTCGTTGTGCTGTTTACCTCAAACAGAGCCCGCCTCACGATGGCAGACTTTTATTTAAAAAGGTGGGCTCTCCCACCTCCTTGTGCATATATCGCGTGGCCTGCTGGTGGCTGAATCGATTTTCTGGACCTTCAACTACCTTTTCTTTCCTGCCGTTGACCGTTGTTCGACGGTACACTTGGACACCAAAAACATGACACCATCATATAAAAAAAACTCCCTCTTACTTGCACTCGGTTCACTAGCGGCTGCTCAGCAGAGCATCCAATATTCCAACAGTGCATGCTCGGACTTTGCTTCGACCTTCACTTATCCCAATCTGACAATCTATGCCGGCACCAGCATCCCCGCAGGAACAAACATCACCCTTCCCTATGATGACTCGCCCAACAGCTGCGGTCAGCCATACCAGGTCGTGGACACAGAAATATGTCGCCTGACAATGTATGTGACCACCTCATCCCGGTCAGGAATCCACATGGAAGCCTGGCTCCCCTCGAACTGGACTGGTCGCTTCCTCGCAACCGGAAATGGCGGCCTGAACGGCTGTGTGGGCTATGCAGACATGGCGTATGGAGTCTCACTGGGTTTTGCTAGTGTTGGGGCCAACAATGGACACAACGGCACCACGGGCGAGGAATTTATTATACCAGACGTTCTGGAGGACTTCGTTTGGAGGAGCTTGTATACCGAGACAGTGGTTGGAAAAGCCGTCACAAAAGCATTCTACGAGGAAGACTACACGAAGTCTTACTACTTGGGCTGCTCGACAGGCGGGAGACAAGGCTTCAAGATGGCACAATCGTACCCGGATCTCTTCGATGGGATTGTAGCTGGAGCCCCCGCCTTGACTTTCAATAATTTGACGGTATTCTCGGGGTCGTTCTATCCAAAAACAGGATCCAACACTTCAGAGACTTATCTCTCCCCAGCAGAATGGGCGCTGGTCCAACAGGACGTAATGAAACAATGCGATGGTCTGGACGGAGTCGAAGACAACATTATCGAGGCCCCTGAACTCTGCACTTACACGCCCGTCGGACTTCAATGTCCCTCCACGGCAACAAACACATCAAGTTGTCTAACCTCTGCACAAATCAAAACCGTTTCCGCAGTTCTGTCCGACTTGCACGGTGAGAACGGCGCTCTGATCTACCCACGTCTGCAACCTGGCGTTGAAGTAGCCGCCTCAAGAATCCTCCTCACAGGTCAGCCGTTTTCTTACACAGCGGATTGGTTCCGCTATGCAATTCTCAACGACACCACCTGGGATCCTGCAACGCTGGATAGCGCAACTGCTGCATACGCCGCCTCTGTCAATCCCTTCAACGTGGAGACTTGGGAAGGTGATCTTTCCGCATACCGAGATCGTGGAGGGAAGCTATTGCATTATCACGGGCAGGCGGATCCTTTGATTCCAAGCACCAACAGTCCAAGATACTATGAACACGTTGTCACGACCATGGGCGCACCGCCGTCGGAGCTCGACGAATTCTACCGCTTCTTTAGAGTCGGCGGGATGGGTCATTGTCGTGGGGGCAACGGGGCATGGGTGATTGGAAGCCAGGGTGGAGCAAGTCCTGAGGCCCAGAAGAACGTGCTGATGAGGATGGTTGATTGGGTCGAGAAGGGCAGTGATGCGGCGCCGGAGAGTGTGACGGGTGTCAAGTTTGTTAATGTGAGTATTCAGCGTGGAGTGAGTGAGAAAGGTGCGGGATGCTGACGAATTTTGCGATTATAGGACGACCCGACCAAAGGCGTGGATTTCGAGAGGAAGCATTGCAAGTACCCGTTGAGAAACCGATGCAAGGATCCRGCAAACTACAAGAGTGCTGATGCATGGGAGTGCGTGGTTTGAGGGTTAAGGTGCTATACGTAGAGACGACAGATGGATAAGCCAAGCTGATGGTGTTTAACCAAGCTGATGATGTTTAACCAAGCTGATGATTTTTAAATACGAGTCATGAAATTTTCGCCAAACAAGTGCAGGTGACTGCTTCGTTCGGTAGGTGTGTCTGGTCATACTACAGATTCTCTAGAAAGCGTCAATCCCACATGTCGTCGCGAAGCTGAAAAACAAATATTCCTTGTCTCAATATATACTCCCATCGACCACAACATATCTTCAACACACTCATCTCACCTGCTTCAGGATCTCATACAATACATCAGCTTTAGCGCCCAACACAATGGATCGAGAAAAACGCCTTCCACGAGAAACGAGAACGGCAAACTCGGTCTAACCACGCATGATGTCGAGAACCTGCCACCTTACAGTACCTTGTCACCATCCTTTCTGCGCTGATCAAGATCACGCATGGCCAAGATATATGACTCCGGCTCCCCAGCGATATCTATCAGTTCCTTGTGATTGCGATGTGGGCAAGTGACCACCGAGACGCTTTGCGGGTATTTCTAGGTGATAAGAGTACTGCCTCTTTGGCAAAACCTGTGAAGAACTCTGGATTTGGTGAAAACTTTGAATGCTACAAATACGACGATCCGCAGCTTTGAACAGCCTCAAACCAGCAGTGGACGTTTTTCGAGTACGTTCTGATCGCTTTTACTGGTCAGGATATCTTCTCCATCATAGCACGAGGGTAGAAAGATGAAAAAGTGCTTTCAATCGCTACAAGACATGACACAGCGTCTTGCGGGAAGATGGGCTGATCAGGGAACGATGGAAGATGTGGGTGACGAGACTACGAGCGATCAGCCAGAAACCAGGACAATTATGGGACGGACTATCAAGGTGGTGGGGGACCTGCTGCTTGTCGTGGTAGGAGACGGCCTGGACCCGGCCCACTTCGGGACCATTCTACGTCAAGCAGGCATCTATCATGCCTCTCGATAACGCAAGGAAAAGGCCAGAAGCGCCGCATGAGATGGGATCCAAGCACAGTCACGAGCTTCGTCACCAAGACATTTCATAACCACGTCGCTGCGTTCAAACTCAGCTAACCAATCCAGTCCGATCCAATCACGAGATCAGCTTTACTTCTGCCCATAAGTAACATAAAACTTCATAGACCACCCCTCAGCCTCCGCCTTCTCCATCTTCGTCTTCTGAATCGCCTCAACCTCAGGGGTCAAACCTCCCAAAATCTGCTGCGCACTAATCGGGAGCGTCTCCTTGATATTTCCCAAAAACCACTCTCCAAAGTCCTTCTTCACACCACTCTGTCCCTTTCCTCCAAGAGGGAAATCATAAACCACCTGCACAACATTTTTGAATCCCGCACTTTCCAACCATCCCTTGATCTTCGGTCCGGCTTTGAAATCCAATCCCATCTTCTCCGTAGTCGCGAAGATTTGCTCTGCGGGTCCATCATCTGGGACAACATTCCCCGCAGCATCGAACATTTGCAAGTTCAATTCTTGGAATTCCGCCCATCCTCCAGGAGCCAACAGCGAATTAACCTTTGAAATGTAACCGGGCCAGTTGGTCATTCCGGCGATCATCAGACGGGAAAAGACAACGTCAAATGGAGCTGGGAGGGAGGCATCGTTGACGTTTCCAACTACGTACGTGACGTTGCCGGGCTTGGCGTGGATTTCTGGGACAGGTTGGATGTCGATTCCTGTGACTGCTGCGCCGGGGAAAGTTTTCGCCAGGGATACGGATGCGAGACCAGTTCCGGCTCCAACGTCGAGGATGGATTTGGGTGAGGAGACTGGAGCGTGGAGGATTTTGCCCATCAGGGCGAGGTAGTTGTTGTGTGATGCATCGAGGCGGGCGTGTTGAGGAGGGAGGTTTGCGTACTGGAATCTTACGTCAGTTGGAGATTGAGGGAAGATGAGGAGGTTGTTCTTACAGAGACCGACATTGTGTCAAGGTTGTGGATTGGCTGGTATTAGTGGGGGGTACTTCTGGCGATGAGTTGTGTGTGATTGATAACAAAACGATGATTTTATTCCGAGGAGAACACCTAGATATATGTATGTGTTACATCCTCACCACATCACTGTCCAGGCGGTATGCTCCCCTCCACCGAACGTTACGTGCTTGCTTGTTCGGCCTCCTCGGGCATTTTACACGCATACCATCTGACAACATGAGTTTTTTTGTCCAGTTTTGGTAGTATACCGATGGACGATCGATCTTGGTATGTCGATGCAGCCCTGGAAAGCTATGCCCGGCTGTAGTAAGCACCCCTGAGTATGCAGGGATGATCCCCACATCTTTGACAGGCAAGCTACGAAGTATCGCTTGGCGTTCGGGGCTCTTCAATGTCGGTGCTTACATATGGTCATTCGGCTATTTTATCGTGGCTGCTATTGCTTATGCAAGTAATGCGTGGTGTTGGAGACCTTGATGAAAACGAATATCGCTCCTGTGTCGATCTTCGATGGAGACTGCATGACGGCGAAGTCATGACCGATGTGGAGCCGTCTCTCTGTGAACGCTGTGTCTGTTGAAGACTTATACCAATCGATAGCACATCGAGATGCGTGCTCAAGTATCGATCTGCTAGTCCTTGACTGACATCAGTACTGTATGCCACCCACAGACCTCCACAACTTCTTCCACTAACTACTGACTACCCCGAGTTTCGGAACGGATCGACGCAAGCTCACCCTGTTGGTCTATACCGCACCAACTCACACCATCATCTCGCGACACGGAAACTCGGCATCAAGACTCGCCGTCAAGGTCGAAATAGCCTCAGAATGATAAAAAGCATGCGGCATGCCAATAATGACGGAGGCATTCGGTGTCGGATACGGCATTTCTTCTGAGAAACTGCCACCGTGGCTTTGCTCTCAGTCGTAGACTCAGAAAAGACAGCTGGCGAGAAGAATATCCCGGAGCTTACCATGTTCGTCGGTGCGGAATGGAAGCCACGTAGCTTGACCGGCAGAGTTGCACCGAGGTTGCAGCCTCCAGAGGCTTTTATGACTGTGGCTATTCTCCGCGTCCATTGCCTTCCCTTCTGGATATCGATTCCCTGCCAGGAGAGAACTTTCGTCGGAGGGATCGAAATGTTCATATCAGAACCGGATTCAAGAAGAAACGGCTAGTGCTCGGACCAATATGCTCGCTCAAAGTCACTCTCTGAAGAGTGCGTTGTCAAGTCAATTATACAGCTGCTCAATCTCGAAGAGCATCGCACTTCCATCGAATCCTTTGGATGAGCTGCGGCAGGCTAACAGGAGAAGTATCAGCCACTCATCCATCATTAGTGRCAAAGACATGTTGTCCGCATGACTCAGCAAGCGGTTCACGCGCTCGCGCCAGAGTCGTCTTCTTCGCATCGCAAAGCAGAGTTCTCTTCGTTCCTGGATTCGGTGAAGTCTGCTGCATGTTCGGCGATCTTCGAAAATTATAAAAATTGTCTCGAGGGTCTGTAAGCTTGAAATTGTCTCTTCTCCAAAGCGATGCTGCTGCTGTGCGATATAAGCAGTGAACTAGGGTTGCTTTGATGAAAGTACAAGCAGAAGCAGCGGAGAAAGTCGAGAAGCAAGTTCAAACAGTCGCCCGAGAAAAACAGAAAGGGCAGACAGGAGAAAAAAAAGGAAAAAAAGGCCGAGTGAAAAAGGCCAGGGCGAGGGATCGATCCATTCATTCGAATGACGATGCGCTTTATGCATCAAGTCATATATCATATCATTTATCATCATCGTGGTAGCTCCAGCCACATATTCCCGAACAAACGCCATGCAATGCCACCCATCCTCGTACAATAAATGTGAAAAGCAAGCTCGGGGTATCAAACCAGCGATCAATGCACTGCTTCCTCTCCAGTCAGTTCTGCACCTCCACAACATCGGTGGTGGAGACTTCCAAATCTCCACCTTTCAATGTTTCCTCCCCCCCCATCACTTCGTCCACAGCACCAACAGATCCATCAGGCCGCTTGATCTCCTCTCCCCATCCGGCAGTCGGCAGTCTGACAACGCCGACTCCATCATCAATCTCGACGGCTTTCTTTGCCAATACAGCCATCTCCAACTCCCACCTCCATTCAATCCTCCTCTTCTTTCCCTCCAACCCTCCCTCCAATCCCACCTGCTCCGCGGACCACTTCCGCTCAAACTCCAACTCCTCCATTCTCTGTCCCCGAATAAGTTCCTGCGCTTCTCGTTCCTGCCTTTCGACCCGATACCGGATTCTCCGTCCCTGTTCTCCTCGCAGGACATTGATAGCACTGGCGTGCTTGCCTTCCATTCCATCCCTCTCCCTCCGAGCGTTGTTCATGAGCAGCATATCCTGCTCGGTGATGCTTCGTCCATGAGGGGTAMCGTTCGAGTAGACTCCAGCGCAATAGGTCTCCATATGTTTAAGAGCAGTAGCGGAGGAGAGTCGTTCCCGTTCGTGAAGTTCAAGAAGCTCGGCTTCGGCGGAGACTTGTTTATCTTCAGCTTCTGAGAGAGCTTGAGCGTGGCGTTCTGCCAAGTCTTCAATAGCGGCTTCATGGGAGGTGCGCATCGCGCTGCGGAAACAGTCATGTTGTTCCGACAAGGCAGTGCGTTTGCCATTCGCCCAAGCAAGAAAGCGAATGCGTTGAGAAATTTGACTTGCGAGGAGTGTGGTGTATTCTGGTAAAGCCGTGATCCGCGCCACTTCGAGCAGTGTCTCCGAGGAAGGCTCTTCCTCATGGGAGTCGCCAGAAGAGGAAGTCGCGCGGCTGGAAGTCGAACCCACAGGGACGGAGGTTCTTCGGGAGGTGTCGGCGGATGGGGCGAGAGATATGGTTTCATCCCATAGATCCAACTTCTCCAGCAGAGCGGCTTGCWCGTCTTCCGTCATGACTTCTTCTACGAGACTCCCAGGGATGGGCTTGCTGCAACATGAAGGAATGGAGCCGCGGGCTGTTTCTATTGCGGCTCGGACGGTGTTCCTCAAAGCTTGTGTGCACACACGATGGCCGCAGGGAAGTTTGTAGACTGCCCGTCGTTGGCTGGTCGAGTCGAGGGGACAGTGCGGGCAGGAGGAGGCATACGGACGGGTCAAACGAAGCATGCTCAACCCTCGTATCCGGCGGAAGTGACGTCGAGGACTGGGTTCCGGGGATGAAGGGTGGGATAGAGGGAGGGAGAAGGTGGAGTGATTCGGGGAGAAGGACAGGGAATGTCGGCCGTTGGGCTTTCCGGTCGCCAAAAAGGCATCGTAGTCGCGGAAGGAGAGGGAGGGACGAGATGGCCGTCGCTCTTCAGAGAAGTGTGAGGTCAATCCTGTAGATTGGGATGCTCGTGAATCGATAGACTCTGATCTTCGAGAGTATTCCGAGAATTGTGTTGCCAGCGATTGCCTGTCCTCGATGTCGACGCCCACCTCTTTCGCCTGGAGCCTCAATCGATCATCCAGCTGTTCCTCCGTCTCGCCGGTATTGATGTCCAGCACATCCAGCAGGTAGGAGAGGTCGTGATCGTGCTCGTGCTCCAACATGGTGACTGGAATGGAAGCAGTTCCTATCTCATGTCTTGGGTGTGTGTGGGCGGTAGATCGTAGTCGTCGATCAGCAGGGGAGGAAACAGAGGTCCGCTCCTACGCGAGAGATGGCAACCGGTGACAGCCTCGTCTTGACAAATCGGCCAACGCCTCGAATCGCTGGATGAGGTTGTGTGTTGCACATGAAACGGCGCAAAATACCGGTCGAGTGGTAGCGACGAAAAGTGAGCGTCGCCAGTGCGTCGGCTGGGGTTCGAAGCGGTGATTGCGCCGGAATTCACCATGCAAGGGATTGGATGTTTCTTGCAAGGGAAAGAACGAGGGATGAGAAGATGAAGAAGCAGCGTCACCAGACATCCGAGCAAGACGAACGTCCATTCATACAAACCACTTCCCACCACAATTCATTCGTCTGGGAGGCGGCATACGAGGATCCAACGGCCGCCCGCCATACTAGCCCTTGTCGGGCAAATCTCCGTCGCTTAACTTACGCCTTTGGGACTGGCTGCTGCCGGGAGATCGAGCCGCCGTAGATCCGATTCGCACCGATTCGCAAACAGACGCCGTCCCTGGCCGTCTAGACGCCGCGGACGGTAAATGTGGTTTGTCAAAAAAGTCCAGCAACCATCTCCTCATCATCATCATCATGATTATCATCGCGAGCATGAAGTGACCATCACCGCATCGTTCGCTTCCCGCAGTGGTGCATCGCCCTCCTCTCGTGCCGCATACCCAGCGCACAAGGCGGGAGGGGAGCAAGCGAGACTCCTGTGCCTCCTGTGCCTCACGCCTGCGTCTACCATCCAAACAGCGCTGTTGCGCGCTCGCACAAACCTTAGCGAGAGCGCATCTCAGACTTGCTTCCTGCCGTGCCTCACCAACAGACCGCCCTCTTCCATCATCTGTGCCACCGGTACGCTCCCCAACTGCATCCCCGGTGAATCTTCGCCAAACAAGGCTGAACTCGATTCGGCCGCATCATGGGCCGGCGGGAGCAACACCCAACGCCGAACGGCCGCCTCTCGAACGGATGGCTCAGGCTCTAACAACTATTATCGATGCGGTGTGGTACTGGAAGTTCTGTGCCTTGTTACCGTCCCATCGGCTTCTRTTGACGAGCCTTACGCGTTACGCCGCGTACACAACATGTGAGGCTCGTCTTTTGTGCTCCAGCCAATCATCAATGAGGTACGTATACCTTTCTTCCAGGCAAAATGCTCACGGGTCGTTGTGGAAATGCATATGAAAAATTCTGGCTCGGTACCGACGCGAGCATCACACGGCAGAGGAAATGTCCCGTGCTCGAGCTGTGAGTATTGCAACACGACATGCATTTATTGTATCTATCCTGTCGTGTTGCAACGACGGCTTGCAAAGACTAGCGCTTCTGGATCATCTCGACATTGTGCTTTAGAATGTTGCGATTGTTCAGCGACTCGAGAATGATCGATCGCAGTTCATGAGCAATGCGCCAAGGCAGGTTTAGCTCAACGGAACCAAGCAGGTCGTCGATCCGGGGTTGTTTCCTGTTTGGACTTGCCGTTGGCATGAGTCGGGCCTTCGAGCCGCTGGTATACACCTGATGATCGGTGAGCGGAGTTGAGATTGATCGATGACGAGGTTTGTAAGGTGGGAGGTTGGAGGTGAGATGGAGCTGGTAAGATTGGAGGAGACAAGTTGACCTCTGTGCAGAAGGAAGTGAACAAAGGTGCGTAGACAATTTCATGTATTCAGCATCTCTTCGCATTGGAAGCTATTCTTGATGGCCAAACATCCGCTTTCGCTGTAGTATGACGAGGATTGGTTCCATGCCAACGCACCAGCGATGAGATGCTCGAAAGGAGTATGTGGGTCTGAGCGACCTCCTGTTCAAAAAGACGTTGTCTGCAGACGATGGAAATCGGGAAAAAAGCGCTGATGATCATGTCGTCGGGAATGGGTATAGCCTTGTGACTTGGAAAGTCACCGGGGTTTGAGAGGCACTGTTGCAGGCCTTCATTTTGCTTCCATTGCTCTTCTCGCATCACCAGCACATTAATATGGTGATTCTGACAGAGAACAGCGTCATTCCTGGCCTGCACACCGAATGCGATACTATTCGCTTCGTTATTCAGTTTTGGAAACTTTACTCAACTATAAATAGCCTGTCTCAAAATACCATGCAGCTAAGAATCATTGGACCGAACCAGAACCAACTAACAGTTACAGGCACATCACAACGCGTCCACCGGACTTTGCAGAGATATCGCAGGGAGTTGGACCGGCATCTCATGATTTTGATGTTGCCCCAACCCTAACCCTTGAGCCCAATGGAGAAGTCATGCCCCCGTCAACACAGGTTACGAGTATCTTCAGAAGATATGCCAATAGTTTTTGTATCATTGTTCGCTCCACGTGCTGTGCGCGTAGGAAGCTGCAGTTTGCAGTTTATTTCCACAATTCCGCCTTGGTGTGGCCACCGCTCCCCCGTACTTCGGAAGAAGCATCTATGCCATGTCTTAGAAAGCAACCTTCCATGACCACGCCTTCTTTCTATACTCATCCCGACATACTCTGCCGAAATCTGGGGTAACCACGCCAGACCTCTCAAGCACCACCAACATCCTTCGACATGTGCACAATGTGGAAATGATACCCCTCTCCCCTCCAAGTCTCGTAATCCTTCTCGAATCCCTTCCGCACATAGAACTCTCCCGTCAATTCCCTTGGCGTGGTAAGAAGGATCCGCAACTTCTTCCCCAAGCCTCCTCTCCTCCTTCTCAGTTCCTCCTCCACAACTCCCATCATATACGTCGCTAAGCCGAGCCCCTGCGCTTCAGGAGCAGTACACATCAATTTCAATTCCCATTCCTCACAACCTTCCTGTACAGGCAGGATTCGTTCCCAAGGCGTGTTTCTCGAGATGATTCCGGAGGTGTTGGGGCCGAGATAAGGTCTCGCGCTTGCTGTTGCTAATACCGTTGGAGAGTCTGGGGCGTGGATGACTAGAGTGAATGATTCGGGATGCGCGAAATTGGTGAGGAATTCCAAGTTTGAGGTCAAGCGATCCCCTTGATTGTTTAGGCCGAGTTCTGGTTTTGTGGCRTTGGCAACGCGGAATGCGTTGTTGATTGTTGACACAAGAGAGGGGAGAAAAGGAGAGGATTTGAGCTGGGATGAAGAGAGGATTGTGAGATGTGTGGGTTGGGAGTGTATGGTTGGGCCTGGACTTTCGATTTGATCTTCCTTGATGGCCATTGTGTGTGGTTTCCTGCGGGTCTCTCTATTGAATAGTGGATACCTTATCCGATGGAGGTGATTAGAACAAGACTTATGGGAAGCGCCGGAAAGTTCTTGTCGTCAATGTTTGTGATGTAGGAACGGAAGAAAGTGGTTCTGAGAAATTCAATGACAACAGGGCGTGTGCCGAGTAGACCAGACGCTATGGAACGAAATCCTTCTTAGCCGACATCGCCATTGTTTGCGACTCTCCTACAATTCGCCAGGCGGTCATTGGTGCAACATGCTGCCATTCTCGAGCCGGCCGCATATGATGAACGATGTTGAAGATGAAATGTACAAACACATAGGAGTTGCTGGTTGAAGTTGCAGGTCCGAAAAGTCCTCTGCCCCGATATCGGCGCATGACATAATCGGCCAAACGCGAATCATCCTTCACCTCGCGTCTTCCGACTTTCACATGCCAAAAACCCTCCATGCCCAATAACATGAAGCAATAATGTCAACATCCCGCCCCGCTTCTCTCCGTAGCACCACATCCTCCACCCTTCTCCGCCCCGAAGACGCAATCTACTCTCCACCGCACCGCAGTTTGACCAACGCCTCCCGCAAGTCCCGACGAAACCGCTCCTCATCTCGCCGTCGCCGCGATAAACTCCCCACTTCCGCTTCCACACAATGGAAGAAACTGTTGTGGGTGAAGCAGCCATTCCCCGATAATTACACCGATGAAGAGACTTTCCTGGATCACCTACAGAGAAATCCCAAATTGAGACCCTATGAATTCTGGCCATTGGTGGCTGATAGCACCATCATCGTGCAGCATTTATGCAGCGTAGTCATCTTCGTGTGTTGCTTCACAGGAATCAATCAGCAAAGAGTTGCGCCCGAGACGGTTGTGGGCTGGGCTACAGGTTGTACAGTTGCAGGGTGGGTATGGAGGGAATCTTGCTGGCAAGGACGGGAGCATCGTAATGAGAAAGACAAGGAAGAAAGCGAAGAAGATGGAGTGGGAGAATCAGCGACTGAGGACCTTCTATCCCCTGCCTCGGATACCACGGAACTTGGTGGAGGAGGACTCAGCATCACGGATCTGCCGCCTCTGAAGGAAAATCTCCCTCCTCCTCTGAGCAGACATCATTCTCGCGCTCCCTCTGCGTCACCCACTTCCCCAGACTCTTTACCTCTTTCACATCCTTCATTCATGCCTCAATACACATCCTACCCTTGTTCAAACTTCTCCCCACGAACAGCTTCCCGCCTCACAACAGCAAAGTCTTCAGTCCTGATCTACTGCTCCCTGCTTGGCCTCTCCCCAATCCTCAAGTCCCTCACGCGGAGCACCTCGCCGGACAGCATCTGGGCCATGTCTGCCTGGCTCATCGCACTCAATGTCTTCACTTTCGACTACGGAGCGGATGCATCAAGCAAGTTCCCTGCCAGTCTATCAACAAATGCCGCGTTGATGGCAAGCACAGTCCTGGCATCACGCCTACCGAGCACGACACATGTTTTCAGTCTCACTCTCTTCTCGATAGAAGTCTTTGGTCTATTCCCCGTCTTTCGGCGACATTTGAGAGAAGTGACATGGACAGGCCATCTTCTCCTCACAGTCATTCTGGTCGTTGTAGCGAGTGCCGGCCTGGGAATGGCAGTCAGTGGGGGTGGAGCAGTCATGGCTGGAGTAGGAGTGATTCTGGGAGGAATGGTATGTTTGGGTGGCATGGGAGTTACGAGTTGGTGGTTGATTGGCTTGCAGAGGTATAAGAATGAGATCTATGGGCCTTGGGATCCTGCTCGGCCGGTTATTAGAGGAGGGTGGGATTGAACAACATCACGATTGAATGCACTGGAACGATTCTCGAACTTTCGAATGCATTTCGTTGGGTATCTCTCGCCTGCTCATTCGGATCGTAAGATCACGCTATGCTCGCCGCACTGCATGACTAGGACAGCCTGTTGACGTCCTCTCGGTCGTTTCTCCACAGTCCATTCCGTGAGAGACGAACTCTAAGCGCCAGAGGCATCAGAATCGTACTCATAACGTCTCTCCTGAACGAACGTCAATCGCTCGAACTTGCGCCGGAATCTCTCATGCTCGACCTGCTGCTCACGCCGCATCCACAGAAACTCCAGCACCTTCTGCATGCAGCAGTCGAAAGCCGTCTCGATGATTCCATCCTTGACTTGTCCAGCGCTGAAAGTTGGTGTGAGAGGCGGCTCGCCTTCCCAGACTTCCTGCTCCTCCGACTCGTCCTCGACCATCTCACCTTCCTCCATGCTGATGTCGTTACTCTCAACCTTCTTGACTTCAATGAAGCTGTCCTCGCTCCGATATCCCAACTCGTCCAGCTCGATGGTAGGGTGCTCCTCGAGGCGWTCGCCCAAGCTGTTCGGGTCGATGCGAGCAGGATCGTGTGGGACTGCGAGAAGCTCTCCCAGTGGCTCCTTGGACAGGACCCAGGATTTGGCTTCGGTGGCGAGGTGGATGAGGAGTTTCGGGTCGAGTTCGCTCTTGTGGGTGGTGATCTGTGGGCAGATGAGGGCCACGGCTTCGATTTGGCGAGAGAGATGCGGAGGGATGGTCTTATCGGCAATCCGCTTGTCTAGAGCTGCGAGGACGTGCTGGGCTCCATCGCCTGGAATCTACTGTCAGTGGAGAATGTGCAGGATGAGAATGGGAAGAACTCACCAATGGCGATGAAGTAGATGCGGGTTTGGTTGTTGATCATCCCCGGAAGGATGGTCTCGATGAAGGTGTTGACGTGCTCTCCGGCAGTCGTATGTCCTGTGAGATTGGAAAAGTCAGTGTGCTCTCCAGATCAGAAGAGGGGAATATCAAGCCAACTCACCCTCCAACTTATTCTCCACATCGATCTCGTCCGGGTACTCTTGTCCCTTGCTGCCCCGCTCGCCATCATTCCAGCTCACCAGCGTCTTGGCCTTCTTTTCGCGGAAGCTGTAGTACAGCTGACCAGGATTGATGAAAATCAAGGCAGGAACGCCATTGTTCCCATCCTCCTCCTTCAATCCCTGTCCGAATTCCTTGACCGCGCCCGCCAAACCCACGGCTGTTCCGCGCTTCAATGCATCCTCCCCGCGCACCAAACGCCAGGCGAACACGCCACAGTCCTGACTGGACTCTCCAACCACGATGATCACGTCACGAGAGGTCTGGACGGCACTTACCGCGTTCATGAGCACCGGAATGTGCTTTCCGGCCGGTTTGGCTGCTGAAAGCGTGTTTTCCGCCGTGATGTAGTGCTCCGTGATGCCGAATTCGCTCAATTTGAGCTTCATTTCACCGCGCATGGCCGTGTGGAAGGCTTCTTTGCGCCTGTCGTTGGTGCGGGCGTTGTTGGTGTGGAAGTATGCGAATGGGGCGCCCGTGTCGCCGATCAGGGGCTGGTTGGAGGCGCTGTAGGTGATGGGGGAGGGTGGGAAGGAGGGTTCGGGAGGGGTTTCGACGCAGCGGAACATCTTCAAAGGTGGATGTAAATTTTGAAAGCGTTTGGAAGCGACGAAGCTGTTTTGATCTCGCAAACCGCGCTAGTGTCACTAGTGGGAAAGTGAAGTAGGGGTCCAGCTCACTTTTTTTGCGCTTTCCGTTTGAGATGTGCTTTTCAGGKCTCTAGATCCCGTCAGTTTCGCAGAGTGGCTCGAGATGTGAGAGAGAGCGAAAGTCTCAGGTGTTTTGCAAGGCTTGGGCGTTTGTTACGAATTTAGTCTGGTGTGAGGGGAAAAGGGGCGCTTGGTGGTAGGTGAATGTGGCTCACATCTGATTTTCGATTTCGCTCTCTACTACGTTCGAGACCACTTTGCGAAGCTAGAGGATCCCAAACGCATATAAACCCGATTCAGAATAGAGAGCTAAGTTTCCAGATTTGTGGCCGATGTCATACATTCCTCTTTACTCGATTTCGCTCCCCGCTGCATTCAAGACCACAATGCTAGCTTGGAGGATCTCAGAGGAGGCATATAATCCTGATTCAGAATAGAGAGCTCAATTTCCAGATTTGTTGCGGATTTTATACATTCCTCTTTGCGAGCTTCAATTTTAAAAAATTGAAGAGGCGACCTCTAGTGTGGATGGAAACGTCGTTCACAGAAAGCGGGCAGCTGCCGCCAACCCGGCATGAGCCACGCGACGCTCTGAGAGCACAGCATGGACAACAAGAAGCTCACATAACCAACCGGCAGGGCCCCGATCCGACTCTAGTGCACGATTCGGAGTTCAATGCCCGGTCGGTATACGGGGATCCCGCGACGTTGCCCACGGGTCAAGAATACAACCGGCAAACACACGACTACCGCATGTGTGCTCCCAACCCTCAGCTTCGTTCGCGGTTGGACTGGCGGGATACTGCAAGGGCGGCAACTCAATACGCTGGCGTGCGGACTGAAGGCGATCCCCGTTATAGTGACTTCGAGTTTTCGCGACTTACAACCGAGACGGATTACAACTGGGTGCTACGCTCATATACACCGAGAAAACTTCCTTCACAGACGCAAAACAGCCAAGACACGAAGCAACAAAGAAGCCGTTCGAGAAGGAGATCTAACCATACGCTCCGATGAAAAAGCACCGTAGCTAGTAAACCGAAGAGAATGCGTCTTCGTAGTTTAGAGGTAATGGACACTACTTATGGGATGGATGGCAGATAGTACTTTCAACTACGGCGTCGCTACCCTAACCTAAGCGACAGCGATAAAGGGAAGCCATACAAGTGGCAGTCCCACTACAGCCCCTTGAATTGCCCGTGTCTCTACGGAATAATAGTCTCCTATAAACTGCCCGCCTGCACTCTTAGGTGTTCGATAATAATACTACTCGGTCTCTCTCGCTCTCGGTAGGCTGTCTGTGGATTCGGTTGAGCTATGTGAAAATGTCGGGAAGACGGTCCTGACAACCAAGACTTGACTTCTTCGCCAGCTCATCGAGTTGTTCCGAGTACTATCCCCCCCTATGTTAACATCTAGTCCAGCCTCGCTTGGTTTGGAACGCCTTAGAGAAGGAGTGGTGGACTAAAGCCGGTGCATTACAGCCGTTCTTACTTCATTCTGAACTCTGTACATTACATCCACCTGTACGCATTATCACCACCTTACATTATACGCCTTTTCATCTGCCTTGCTAAGTTGGAGGTATACCGCTCTCGGATAGAATCGAGAGGGATAATTTTCAATTTGAGGCGGTTTCTCTACGTCTATCTTTGAGTAGGCTTGTGATGGCTGAGTGGGGCGTCTATTACGTTTGAGAGCAAGTCACATCTACTTCTCAGCTGCACGATCTCCCCTGAATATCGAACCGCCCTGCCAAGTTGGAGGTTCCTATCCGCACAAAGGCCAACCACAGAACAAATCATAGAATCCTAGATTTATGAAGGCTTTACATTCTTCTTCACCTACGAACATCGCCCATCAAACTTCTCCCTAAACCATCTCCACAACCCTCTCCTCCCTAACCCTCTCCAATCCATCCCCAACATCAAAGAATTCCGAAGAAGAAGCAGACCGCCCCTCACTCCCACAATCCTCAGCAACAGCCAGCCTCATCAAGCTCATCATCCTCCTCCTCATAACTCCCAGAAATCTTCTGCTTCCCCGTTTCGGGAATCACATAAATGGTCTTCGGGCGCGACAACACGGCACTATTCCTTCGATGGCTTGGTTCGACGATATCCTGTTGTCCCTCATTATGAATCGCTTGGTCATAGAGAGGGAATGCCCCACAAGGCTCAAATGTCGTCGCCGGTAATGTCTCCTCGCCGATACTGCGTTTATGTCCGAATGCTCGAGATTCTGACTGTTCCTCTGCCACGACAGGGAGTATTGCCGGTTGGGAATCTCTTCGAGAGTAGAATCGTGCATTACCACTCACGGCCGAAACGGAGAGATTTCGAAGGGTTTCCTGCCATGCTTCGTTGTCCTGAGCATCGATGGTKACTGTTCCGCTTTCGACTGGAGGAATTGAGATCCAGGGTTCGTCATCGTTCATCTCGATGAAGATGGATTTTCGGTGTCGTTGAGGGTATGTCGCGATGATATCGACGGCCATATCCACCGAGTTGTGGACTTCGTGCGTACCCGCTGAGAAGTCCTGGACGCGGACTTGGTGGACTTGGAGGTCGGAGGTGACGAATGGGGCGGGAAATAGGTCGGATGGAAGGCTCTCTTGTGGGATTGTCGAACATTCTTCCACCAGAGTCGGCGAGCGGGAGTCGTCGTCTTGGGAGTCGTCGTATTCTGCGTCGGTCGCTAATGGATTTTTGTCTTGAAGATCCWAGCATAGTTCTTCTGGATCCTCTACGATGGCAGAGGAATACTGCGCCTCAGCGCAACGATCGATTGTGAATCCCTGAGATCCGTTCCCAGAGCAGCTGGACTTGCTCTGGCAATCATTGATGTCAGGCGTGGTGATATCAGTACCCGTGCTGTCCCACCGAGAACTCCGTCGATCAAAGATGGAAGATCCCTTTCTTTGCACCGAGCTTCCCGTAGAGCTGATAGCAGACTGAACGCTACTATCAGAAGTCCGAGAAACTTTGGTGTCGATCTTGCGAGGATATCCGGCGGTGAGGTGTGCAACCTGTGCAGATCCATAGCAAGTTCCTCTTTCCAACGAGGAAGAAGATGAATTAGAATTCCTCGCAACATACCCGGATGCTCTCTCCCTCGCAACATTCGAGTACGCAGAACAGCCCGGGCGGTGCTTTCCTCCTCCTCCTCGTCGGTCTTCATTTTCAGAATCCGAATCGTTCGTCCTCTTTGCCGAAGTTCGTGTGGGAGCGTTGTGCTTGTCATACAGACTCAGCGAGCTGCTTCTGCTCCGGCCGGGAACAGCACTAGGACTGAGCTCCCTCTCAGTAATCCTGCCTTTCCTGGCGGCATCTCTTGAGCTGCCGATGTTGAAGTCAAAGGTATTCATTCCCAACCGCGCAGCATTTGGGTGGACGTGTTCGGCTGTTGCTCGCCATATCTCTACATTGGAGACTTGAGGTGGAGCAGGTGCGGCCTTTTTTCGAGAGAGTTTCTGAGCTAGACCACCTAGGAGGGATGTGCCCTTTCGTTTCTGGGTATGTTTTGGGTTGGGGATGGATTGGCTCTGTGGAATCGATGTTGGGTCATGGCTTGGAGTGGCTGGGACAGTAGGGGTGGATGATAGCCAGACCGGATCGTGGATTGGATTTGCAGGAAACATCGCTGAGACTCAAGGGGTGGTGAAGAAGGGTTGTTCTTCCTGTGACACTAGCTGATGTGTGATGGATGTGTGATCAGTACCGGTGGAATACCGCACTGTAGATGGACCAAGAAGCTCAGCCCCGGGAAACGTGACCAGTTGAGTTGAGAAGCTTGGTTGGTCTGGGGGGGCGAGTGCCCGTGTTTGAAGATGTCGTAGCAGACCTGCCCGCAGAACAAGTTCCAAGGTTAGGATCGTGAGTGCAATGTGGTAATCTGGTATGTTGTTTTTCAAAAGAGAGGGTGGTTGTAAGCACACTGTGGGCGAAATTGAATTGTACCCAAAGGTTCATAAAAGGAACAGGATTGCGAATGAAGATAGAAAACGAGAGGTCTAGGAACCTGACGAGGTCTGTGACATGTGCAAAACCAGTACTTGTAGACATTCAACCAAGCGTTTCCTTGATTGATCAGCAATGAATGTGCTTTGTTTTGTTGACCCCCTGAGATGGACTGTGTGTCCAACAAGATGTCGACATGATGACCTTCCACTGGGATGTAGACGGAGTATCTGCTCGCTTGGCGTGTCTTTGTTGACTTCTTCGGTTGAGAGTAGAGGTCAGACAAGTTAGTCTGTACCGCACTCACGAGTCAATGACTGTCGTCGGTAGGACCTGCCAGTTGATTGTGTCTCCACAGTCGCTAGAGGATGTCAGCAATGTCAATTTCCACCCACAGCTTTTCAAGGTCAACAGTACCCTTGCTCATCTCTATCATCATCATTGGATGATTGTACTGGTCCGCTAATGGAAGAACGACGGAGGAAACACTTTTGTACTGGCGAACACTGAACAAAACTCATTGAAAAGAGTCTGCGTGGGTCCAAGCTCTATTTTCTACCATATACATCTTCCTCATAATTGGATGAATTTACTGGCGTACTAATGGCAGAACGACGGAAGAAACAGTCTAACAGTATCCATCCACTCTAACGAACAGATTGAAATCCACATCTGATCATTGGATAGATATATTGGCCCGCTAATGGCAGTCAACGGGGGGAAACAGACTTGTACCAGCGAAATTGAACACAAGTTATTGAAAAGAATCTGCTTGGGTTCAACCTACTATACATCTTCGTTGTCCTTTTTGAACCAAGAAGGTGATGTCCATCCACTCTAACAAAACATAATGAAATGCGCATTTGATCATTGGATTAATGTACTGGTCCGCTAATGGCAGTCAACGGGGGGAAACAGATTGTACCAGCGAAAATTGAACAAAAATTTCGAATATTAGATATCAGTCATTGAGAAGAGTCTACCTTAGTTCCGAGCTAGAGTTTTTCCAGTCTCCATTCTTTTCTTCTTTCTCGATGTAGTAGTAGTACGCTCTCCGCCACTACCTACCCGTGGGATGCTCCTCGTAATGACTCGAAGCGCTTCAATATGATTGAGCGAAAGGTGTGGGACGTTAGAGAATGTCCCTTGAGGTTTACTTGCAAATGGCATATGATCGACGATGATGCCTTTCTTAGGGAGCAGTCATTGACCATTTGTTGGCCGGTGATTGGAACACTGCTTGATGATGAGATTTGGAGTTTCTTCCGTCTGGGCTAGGAAAGTTCGGTTCTGTGATTTTACACTCAGAGTCTTTCAAGTTTCGCGGGACTTGTCAATGCATGATGCGTCCCTGATTACTTGGACGTGTCGTTGACGAGGTAAAGGTCAGCTTTGAGACGCAATCGTGGCATTTGGTGCTGGATGGTGCGGGGTGATATCGTTGTTCGACTTTTGGGAAGAATGATTATCCGGCATAGGTTGATTGTCTGACAACTGGCCTCTGATGATTCGCACCGTACCCCCCGGGTTGAAAGCTTTCGGTCCCTTCAGTGGGAGATGTAGCGTGAAGATCCGCCACAAGCTGGGTTTAGTGTATTGCGTGGCCGCATGATCCTTCCAGCTCGGCCTCAGTCCGGTGCTTGTCATCCATACGGTGAGAAGTCCGTATGTTGAGGCTACCCCTGATGCAAGCTACATCTGCGTCATGCGTTCCAGAGACTGCCAATCGAATATGAGCAGGTTGAAGAGGGGCGAGGTGAGGATTCCATCACACATCTCCCTCGGCCAGCCTCACCACCCCATCAACCCCCAACCTCTCCCCCAGCACCCTCACAAACTCCTCCCCAACCCCCTCGACACTCAACCCTTCCACCCTCGCCCCCTCTCCAACAAGACATCCCGGCCCTTTCCCCTCCAACCCACACCCAACAATCCTCCTCAACCACGCCATTGGCTCGTCAGTAACATTCAACCCAACACCATGACTCGTAACATTCCTCCTCAAATGCACCCCCACAGCACAGATTTTCCTCTCGCCATCCGTCGTCCAGACTCCCGGATTCTCCGTCGTGATTCCCTTGACATCGTACTTGGCTAGAACATCCATGACGGTATTCTCCAGCAATCGCAYATAACAGCGAGGAGTGAGATTGTGACGTTTGAGATCTATAATGGGATAGGCGATTAATTGTCCGGGTCCATGAAAAGTGGTTTGGYCACCTCGGAGGGCTTCGATGAATTCTGCTTGGCGGTTGTTGGTGAATGGGGCGGTGAGATATTGTCTTTGGGAGTCTGTGACGGTGCCGATTTCACGACGACCACAGGTGTAGACCGGGTGGAATTGGGCGGTGAGGACTGTGGGAGGGATTGGAGGGTTTGTGTTGGGGGAGGCTTTGTGGGCTAGGAAAGCTGAGACGAGGGATTGTTGGAGAGTGGCGGCGTGAGTGTAGGATGTTGGAGAGGGGAGGGGGATGTGGCGGAGGAGGATGGCCATGATTATGTGAGGGATATGGCTGGATGATATGTAGGATGTGGTGTATATATATATCGTGAAGTTGAAATGTCGACGGAGCTGTGTCCGTGTGGCTTGTCGATCTTTTGTCGATCGGGACGTCTATTTCCAGCTATACTCCTCCAACCATCAACTATATCAACATCGTCCACATTGACAAGACGGCATCATGGCCACATCGACGCCGACCCCGAAGAACTCCAAAAATGAACACCACAAGAAGGACCGGAATAAACGAGCACCGCTCCCCTCCAACGCGCGGATTCAAAAGCGACCCATCCTCCACGCTCCACTCCCATCGCCCTACACTTCCGCCGCGTCCGCCAAGACCATCTATCTTTCCGCCCGCACGCCCTTCATGTCGGCCATTAAACGCTGCGAGAAACTCCTGCAGCTCTCCGAAAAGCGTCTAGTACAAGCGGCAACTACTGCTGCCAAATCGTCCCGCCGGCGGAATCAAGATGACTCCATCTCGGAAATTGCAGCTGCGGCGGAGAGGATCAAGCGGCGTGGTCGTGGGGAGGAGGTGGTGTTCAAGGCTTCGGGAAAGGCGATTGGAAAGGGATTGCAGGTGGGATGTTGGTTTCAGGAGAGGGATGGGCTGTACAATGTTCGCTTGCAGACGGGGACTGCGGGGGTGGTGGATGGGATTGAGTATGATGAGGGGGAGGGGGATGAGGAGAAGGAGCGAGGAGATGGTGAGAAGAGGGAGGGTGGAGATGGCGAGAAGAGGGAGGAAGTGGAAGCGGAAGATGGGCCCGAGGCGAGGATTCGGCAGATCAGTGTGCTGGAGGTCTATGTCAGTTTGAAGTGACGCCAAGGACTGCACATGGAACCTGCAAAAGATGCAAGAGCGTCATGATGGTAGCGGAGGAAGATGGGACGGTACCATATCCATGTCACGGGGAACGAGAGCACGATGAACGATGCTACGACGAAGAAATGTGTTGTCCACCTGATCAAAAGGCCTCACATTGGGCACCCGTGTGGAGCGTATATGCTGCTGCTCGGGCATCTGTACGATGGAATTGCAGGAGAACTCTGGATTAAGTGGATATCGAAGGAAAGCAGCACGAGATGCGCTTCGAAAGGTGGCCGTGTTGGAAGCAGCCTGGACATCTCCCCAACCTATCCTGACCATTCAGCTGCGGAGCGATGAGCAGCTTATTCCAGCTATCCTGAGACGGGAACCGTGGACGCTCCAAAGGAACTTTCAACCAGCACGCCAGTGCATCGATGGATTTGATGGAGCTGCTGGGACATGACCGATGTGTAACGATTTCAGGCTCACACCTGTAGCAGAGAGCGCGACTGACAGTGTCAAGTCGGCCCCGTGCTGATGCACCGCTTTCTGGACCAAGCATAGACCTTGTCTAACCAATGTGTTGCGGACATGCAATCCCGCATGTTTGCATCAAGAAGATGTACACACCGTGCCCGAAGACGAATCGCTGTTCCTCACCTCCGAAGTCGAATCGGTAGACTCATCGTCATCATCTGCTGCTGTCTCACCACAATTTTGCGGCGCAAAGCTTTCAACCACAAGATCAGCCGAACATTGTTCAAGTGGTGATGTCGGTGAGAAAGCTCTTGGAATTCAAAGGTACGCGGAGACTTCATCGGAAAACCGCCATCCTGACCATCAGCCCACCATAAGGCAATCAACCAAATCACCCGTTACTCCTCAGCCCATGACGAAGTCCATTCCTCATGATTCAGTTTTGCCTGGCTCCAACTTGGCAGATCCCACATATTGCACATCGCAGAACAAATACAGCGAGGGAGGTCGCGCATTTATACACACTCGTGTGTTAGACATCAATCTTTTCCATGGACACCAGATCCTAGCATAAGGACCCCTGCTCCCGCTGGAACTTGTCTGCATAAGGAAGGCGACAGGGGCCAACGTTCGGTCGCCGATGTGTAGGTACCTTTGACGTGTACCTCCGTGTACACTCGCTCCCTCCAAAGATGCTGTATGCATCGTGCATCATCAGCCTGGGATGCACAATTGCACATACTCCACGTGCATCGACGTCACCCCGCGATGCTGACAAAAGAGTCACCCATTCCCCAACAATCGCTTTCGGCGCTTTCGGGGGTTTYGGCTCTTTTTGATAACCTCATCCTCCTGCAAACGTAACAACCGCAATACATTAGCCTACCTTGGTACGCACGCCAACGCACGTTCGTCCCCAACTACACATCTCTAGCGTCGCCGACATGCCGTGTCTACGATGTTTCCAATGGCGAACCCACGGAGGACGGTGTTTACAATACCACCACATGCCGACGACCATCATCCTCCTCACCCCTGCCACCAATAAGGAATACGACACTCCCTGCATGCACATCGCCTCATTGGCGAGATGCGACCATCGCGAGATGCGCAATTCCACGTGCCCAGCCTTTAACCAACCCCAGCAGCCACGCCTCTACAGTAGTCTGGCAGCGCTCCGCAAAGTGTAAGGATCCGTAGACAGCCCGTGCTATCTACATAAGGCTCAACGTCGGTGCGTGTGTGCATTGTCCGTGTTGCCGCTCACACACAGTCCTTCGTTGCTCATCATTGCTACTACTATCGATCTCGTTTTCTCTTCTTACCCATATTCACAGTATYTCGTCATGCGCTTTTGCTGAGAATACGCGCCATCTTCTTTTACACCGCTTATGCACGTTTTTTGATTTCCAATCGGCCTGTGCATCTGGCTGGCTCTCTGTCTCTCTCTCTTGCACCACAAATACAACAACACTTACACACACACGTAAACACATAAACACACGACGCGATACCTTGAATTTTAGCCGCCAGGATGCCGGACATCATGGAAGTCCACAGACAAAGTCTGCATGACCGGGACCGGATTCTGGAACTTCACAGGCAAAGTCTTCATGAGCAGAACCTCATGGCAAGCGCGGAGAAGGAGCAACAAGATCTCACGGCTCTTCCCGCTCAAAGCGTTTTCGAAGGAGACGAGGACCAAGCGACAGAAACGACGGAAGAAGAAAAAGTTGCAGATGTTGCCCCAGGACCGCAGTATCCGTCGGGTATCAAATTCGCATTGATATTTGGAGGATTGCTAATTAGTATGTTTCTTGTTGCGCTGGATATGGTGAGTACTCATTCTTCTTGAATTCTCCCTCTCTTCGTACAGTAATCTTGCATGCCGGTGGAACTGATATTCATTGGGGAAAAACAGACAATCGTGTCGACAGCCATTCCTAAGATCACAAATACCTACGGAAGTCTGCAGGATGTCGGATGGTATGGATCCGCCTACTTTCTAACTCTGGCATCTTTCCAATCCTTTTGGGGGAAGATGTACAAGAACTTTCCATTGAGATGGTCTTTTGTGCTCGCTTTGGTGATTTTCGAGGCGGGGAGTGCGCTTTGTGGTGAGTTGCTCTTTTCCCCCACATCCCCTGCATGTTTATCCCCCGAGATGCTACGGAGAGATGTGAATGTTGACTTATCGGGTGGCAGGCGCCGCACCTTCCAGTGCCGTTCTCATCGTTGGCCGTGCGATTCAGGGAATGGGCGGTTCGGGAGTGACGGGAGGTTGCTATACCATTCTCGCCAACATCGTGCCTCCGGAGAGAGTTGCTCCATTTGCGGGAACTTTTGGAGCGATTTACAGTCTGGCTAGTGTGGCGGGACCTCTTCTTGGGGGCGTCTTCACCGAGCAGCTGTCTTGGAGGTGGTGGTGAGTATCCCATTCATCCACCCATCATGAAAGAGGTCATCTCGCGATTCCGGCTGACTCAAGATCTTATATTATAGCTTCTACATCAACCTTCCCTTTGGAGTCTTCGCCATTGGACCCGTCGCCATCTTCTACAACACACCCTCCGGCGCTCGCTGGTCCGGTGCATCCGCCAAGGAAATCTTCCTCCAAATGGACCCTCTCGGTCTCACGGCTATCATTAGCGCTCTGGTCTGCTACATGATTGCGTTGGAGAAAGGAGGCAAGGCTCTACCCTGGAACAGTGCCAAGATTATTGGACTTTTCATCGGATGGATTCTCTTGATGATTGCTTTTGTCGTCATTCAAGCTTTCCAAAAGGATAACTATTCTTCTGTGAATCGGAGGATTCTGAAGAACAGGACGATTCTGGCGTGTTGTGTTTTCATTTTCTTGTAAGTCACTCCTACCTCTGGGATGAGATGGAGATGAAGATGTACTGACATTGAGGTGTGATTTAGCATGAACGCCTGCAACTTCCTCACAATCTACTACCTCCCCATCTACTTCCAAGCTGTGCTGGGAGTATCCGCCCAATCGAGTGGAWTTCGCAACTTGCCTTTGATTCTTTCCAGTGGTACGTCCATCCCAACTACATTACTACTAGATACATCTCCCGCACATACTAATCACAAACCTCAACAGCCGTGGCAACCATGGTCTCCTGCGCCCTGCTYCGCCACACCAAACTTCCCAAATACCACATCATCCTCGGTTCCATGTTAGTCCTCACCGGCGCCGGACTCCTCTACACTCTGGATCAGAACACGGATATGGGGAAATATCTCGGCTATCAAATCCTCTTTGGCTCGGGAGTGGGAATCGCAATTCAAATCCCCATCATCACATCCCAGGCACAGTCCCAAGGAGCGGATATTCCGGTGGTGACAGCTACTGTACTTTGTAAGAGACCCATGCCCAAACACAACCCTAATTCGAACCCTTGTCACTGACAATATATCACAGTCTTCCAACTCATCTCCGGAGCAATGTCCGTCTCCATGGCCGAAAGTATCTTCAMCAACAAACTCGCCGAGGGCCTCGCCTCCCTCGTCCCCAACATCTCCTCAACCCTCGTCTCCACCGTCGGCGCCTCAAATCTCTCCACCGCCTTCTCCGGCGCGGATCTCGCGGGCGTCATTGCCGCTTACATTCAAGGTCTGAATGCCACGTGGCTTGCGGGCGTGGCGCTCGCGGCCACGAGTCTGGTGATTGCAATTGGGGCACCGATTAAGCGGACGGGAGTTCCGGCCAAGAGGGTGGTGGATAAGGTTAAGATGGCGCTGAAGAGTGGGTATGAAGGGGAGGTGGAATTGGAGGATATGGGTAGGGATGATGAGAGTAAGAAGGAGGAGGATGATGAGGATGTTGTTGTTGGGGGCGAGAAGGTGTGATGATGATGGGGTTGAGATGGGTATCTTGTTGAGAATTTATGAATTTTGGGAGGATTTTCTTTATTGCTTTACTACCAGTGCGCCATGTGTTGTATCGACAGGTGGATCCGATATGCTTTTTGATCGTGTTCATGTGATGAATCCATCAACCGAAGAATTGGAAGTGAATCCAGCATCATAAACTAAACTCCGAGCTAAAATCCGACGCTCGCTCCGACATCTTCTTTCTCTCAAACATCTCTCAAAAAATTCCCACCAACCACACACAATGTCACACAGTAAGAGCACACCACAACCCCCATCCTCACCCTCCAAAAATACTAACCCCCCCGCAAAAAGGCAAAAGAAACACCTCCCTCGCCTTCTTCACAGCCCATGAACGCGCCGAACTCCGCGGAACCTGGGGGTCCCAAACCACACACCTCACCCGGGATTCCTTCCTCCCCTTCGCCAGCTGCCAATTATGTCTTCTCCCCTCCCGAGATCCCGTCTCTTGTGCTTCTTACGGCCACATTTTCTGTCGGGAATGCGCGCTTAGGAATCTTTTGGCGCAGAAAGAGGAAGGGAAACGTGGGGAACGGGAATTGGAGAGGAGGGCTTTGGAAGAGGGGTTGCAAGAGAGGGTTTGGGAAGAGGAGGTTAGGGGGAGGGAGGTTAGGGATTTTGAGGGGTTGCAGGCTGGTTTTGAGGGGGTGAAGAAGTTTGGTGGTGCTGCTGCTCCTGCTGCTGGGAATACTGCTATTGGTGAGGATGATGTGAAGACGCAAGAAGGGATCAAGAAGAGGAAATTCCACTTCGACGAGGAAGCAGGCCAGAAATTAGCCTCGAGGGAACGGGAAAGCATCAAGAGACAAATGATGCAAGAGGAACGCTCGGCGAAATCGGAATTACCTTCTTTTTGGGTGCCGGGAGAAACTCCCTCGAACCAGAGGAAATCAGAGGGAAAAGTGGGCAAGGTACATCCTACTTGTCCCGCGGCCGAGAATTCGAAACCTCATGATTTCGCGCTGAGGTCTTTGATTACGGTGCGGTTTACTGAGGAACGACAGACATCCTCCTCGAAGGAGTCTGGCACGGGAGAAGGGGCCACGGAAGATGAAAAATGGGAAATGAAGAGAATGTGTCCGGCTTGCCATAAAGTCCTCTCGAACTCTACAAAAGCTATCCTGGCGAAACCGTGTGGACATGTGCTTTGCAAACCTTGCAGTGCGAGGTTTCAGAAAGTCGAGGGGAAGAGTGCGCATGATGTTGTTGTTGTTGGGGAGGGGGATGGAGAAGACGAGCAGGCGGGTGTGGTGAGGTGTTATGTTTGTCAGGAAAATGTCACGGCGGGGTGGAAGGGGAAGGGGAAGAAGGAGAAGAGGAAGAGGGATTTGGAGAAGAAGGAGAAGATTGTTGAGAGGGGTTTGGTGGAGTTGAGTTGTGAGGGGACGGGGTTTGCGGGTGGGGGCAGGAATGTGGTTAAGAAGGATGGGTTGAGTTTTCAATGTTGATGGGAGATCGTTCTGGTATACTCTCTTCATCGGAGATGGGATGATTCATGAGGAATGGTGGTGAGGAGATTGGACCTCGTCTTTCGCAGTCACTCGATATGACTGGATGGGTATAAGATAGCCCTTAATTCACCGACAAATGAAGGAAAATCCACTTCAACTCCGTCAATCAAAGCATATCAACACCAAACGCCTCGCTGAAACCCAAGCAAATCTCATCTTCCCTTCCCATGACATGTCCAGCCAGGTGGGATCAATCCTCCATCATACTAGTATCCCCACCCGCATCCGTGCCAAAGACATCCTCCATCCTCCCCGCGCCCTCATCATCATCATCATCATCATCATCATCCTCTGCCCCACCATCCATCCCTCCCATCCTCTCATCCTCCTTCCCACTCTCCACCACAGCCACCCTCCCTCCATCCTCCTGCAACACGGGCACATCCTCCTCACTCTCCCACCCCTCCTTCAACCCCCACCCAACGCCAGTCAAACAATACTTCTCATCCGGCAACTGCACGCCATACCCCCTCTCAACCTTGGGCAACCCAATAAGATTCCTCTGCGCCGCCTGCTGCATCATAAATTCCTTGGGCAGAGCGCCCTGAAAAGCATATCCATGCCGACTGGCAATCGCCTGCCGCAGAGCCGTCACGGTGATATTCCCACTATCATCCGCCGCGGCTTTTGCTTTGGCGGATGCGGCAGGCGCGGGAGCTCCTCCCGTAGCATTCGAAGTGCTGGTGGTGGCTGCGGGGGGGTTGTGGTAGCCTTCGGCGGAGAGGCGCAGGGAATCCGAGAGGACGCCTGAGGTGTAGCGGTAGGCGAAGTCGAGGAGTTGGAGGGGTACGCGTTCTTGGTACGAGTGGATTCCTTGGGAGGAGAGGACGAGGTGGATGAGGCGGGCGTCACGGGGGCGTTTGGAGAGGCCGTCGTCTTGGGTGGAGGTTAGGGGTACTTCGGGGAGGGTTTGTGTTTGTGAGGGAGCTGGTTGGGCTTTGGGGGAGGGTGGTGCTGGTGCTGTTGTTGCTGGTGCTGTTGCTGTTGCTGGTGGTGCTGATGGTGCTGCTGACTCTTGGGCGGGRGGAGTTGCTGGGTGGCCGTTGGTGGCCATGTTGGTTGTGTCGGCGGTGTTTTTGGTGAGGTGAAATGTTCACGCGACTCGATGCGACATACTTGATATTTCTTGGTGGAGCTGTCTAAGGTAAAGGTCGACGTGAAGCGGTGCGAGGCGGTCCGAACTCCGTAAAGTGGAGCGCACCTCAGCGAAGCGGGAGTTTCACATGTCAATTCACCTGACATTTCTTCCATCTCTGAACATCATCATACATTTGCAGAWATCGCAAACAGCATCAACAATCCACAGCCCAGCGAACAGATGGAGACATTGTCATCTGTCTGATGCCGACCATCAACATGTGCTGGCGTGATGCACGTCCAGTCTCACTCCCGATTGTCAATCTTCTCTTCTCTCCCCCTTCCTTTATCTCCCGCACCTTCTCCGCACTACTAGGAGAATCCTCTAGCTATAAGATATTGTACGACGACTCGCCATGTGGAGCAAATTTCGCGACTCCGTCTCATCGCTTCTTCTTCACAAGACAAAGCGGTCCCAAGCGGCGTACATTGTGTCTTGGGGTATGTAGATTTCTCGCCCGACGCCATTACCGTCGATCTTAGACATGGCCTTTGGCTGGTTTGATTATATTGGAATGTCCGTCTCCCTGCTGTTGTTCGGGGGTTGCCATGTGTTGGTGGAGCTTTGCGTGGATGGAGTCGGACGGGCATGATTGGCAGAAATGTTAGGAGGATACGGAAATGCTTGGGGGTCAGAAGTGGTGAAAGGGGAAATTGTAGGAGGCAGCCTACAGGTGGGATGTTGGATTGTTGTCGTCGTGATGCAGATCGAAAGAATACCTACTTGCTTGCTTGTTCGCAGGATCTGGACGCATGATTTTCATGCATATCGAGGATCATGAAGTGCTGGAGAAATGCTAGCAACGAATAATGGGGAAGGGTTAACGGTTGTCTTGACGTGTGATCCGATTGCGAATCTGACATGATTCAAGCTGGCGGGGCTTTCACATGACAAGCCCGTCATTCTCCCCGAAGCGAGACATGTCATCCTCCATCCTTGCACAACGAACAGCATCAACCCTCCCAAGCTGCATGTCATTGTAGACAAGCTGCTCTACGATAACAATCACCACCGCAAGCCGTTTAAAGAGAGTTCACGAACCTCACCACATCTCTCAGTCAACAGAAGATAGATACCTCGGCATCTCGCATTAGCTACCCAAGTCCAACATTTTTCCCTCCCTCTCTCTCTCTCTCTCTCTCTCCTCTCCTCACCTAACACAACACAACTCCCCATCAAAGACCACAGCCATGCACATCAAAGACCGCACCTTTATCATCTCCGGCGGCGCCTCCGGCCTCGGCCTCGCAACAGCCACCGACCTCCACTCCCACGGCGCCTACATAGCCATCCTCGACCTGAACCCCGAAAACGGCTCCAAAATTGCATCTGACCTCGGTTCTCGCGCCAAATTCTTCGAAGTCGACGTCACAGATACCGAATCCCTCGAGACGGCCGTCAAAGGATGCATCGAATGGGTCAAAGAAACATCCGCTCCTCTCGGAGGCGTGATTCCCGCGGCGGGAGTGGGATTACCGGGGAAACTTCTGGATAAAAATCTCAATCCCATTGCGATGGAGAAGTTGGATTGGGTGATTGATATCAATCTTCGGGGAGTGCTCAATCTCATTCGCTTGGTGTTGCCGCATATGGCGAGAAATGCACCTTTGGGAGAGGACAATGAACGAGGAGTCATTGTTATGGTTTCCTCTTCGGCGGCGTTTGAGGGACAGGTCGGTCAACTCTCATATGCCGCGACCAAGGGTGCCATTAGGAGTATGACGCTGGTTTTGGCGAGAGATTTGGCGCCGAATGGTATTCGAGCGGTGAGTATTGCTCCGAGTTTGTTTCAGACTGCTATGAGTGATATGCTGCCGMCCAAAGCCAAGGCGAGTTTGATTGCGAATACTGAGTACCCGAAACGCTTGGGGCATGCAAAGGAATTCGCGAGTTTGGTGAGGCAGTGCGTGGAGAATCCATATTTGAATGGCGAGTGTATACGCTTGGATGGAGCGGTGAGGATGCCAGCAAAGATGTAGAATGTAGAATGGACTGTACTGTATTGGAAGGGTATCATTATAACATTCGCACAACCTCAGGCCTGACCTGAGCAGCAGACGAGTGACTTCATCTCTTTCGCTCTCTGGTCTTGAACTTGACTCCCGCCTTGTTCGTGCCGCCTATGGTATGATTCATCTTCGCCCGTTGATGTTCCAGCGCTTCCAATGCAGCACTCAACTTCTCCTCCTGCTCCCTCAACGCCTCCAATTTCCTCCGCTTGACATCCAACGCATGCTGCTTCCTACTCCTGGCCAACTTCTCCTCGGGCGTCAGATTCTCCTCCTCGACATCCTCCCCTTCCTCTCCACTCTCCTCGTCCGAGAAATCCATATCAAAATCAACATCAACATCCCCATCAACCTCCTTCCCAGAACCTCGCACAGCAAACTCCTCCCCATCCTCCCCAAAAACCACCTTCCCCCGCCCAACTCCCTCAACATCAACCCCAACCCGTCCAACCACAACCCGTTCCTCCACCCGTGCAATCTCCCTCCGACACCTCTGCAACGCAGTCCTCAAATACCCCTGATCCTGCGTCTTCATCAACCTCACCACATCCACATCCAACGCCTGACCCCCACCATTCTCCTGCCCTTTTTTCGCAATCTTGACCCCATTTTTGGTGGAATTGCTCATCATTCCAAAGTAAAATTCATCTTCATTCCGCTCCGAGGCTTTGGATTTCAGGGCGGCGATTTTCTTGGTTTTGGACTTGTGGTCGGCGGCGCGGAGTTTGTAGTCTTTGCGCTTTTCGAGGAGACCCCATTTTGCTCGTTCGGTTGGTTGGGCGCGTTCTTTGTGGTTGCGTCGCTGGACGGCGTTGCGGAGGGACGACATTTTTTTTGGGTGGTGTTGTGTTGTTGTGTTGGAGAGAGAGTGTGGTGAAGTTTTGAGATGGAAATGGAGATGGGGATTGTTAACTCCGAACGCCGCGATCGTCGCTTGAGATAAAGTTATGAGCGGCGAAACTTCAATGTTCAAGCATCAACATCATCAAGGAAGAAAGAGAGAAAGAAAGAAATCACAAAATTCCACATCAATCACAAGACAATCCCATCATCATGGCTCTCCCCGGCCAAATCCTCGGTCCCTCCACATCCTCCCCAATTGGCACAGGAACACACATCACAGGCCCAAACCTCATAGCCAGCATCTCAGGTCCCCCCCTCACAACCACCACCAACAAATCCTCCAAAACAACGACAACAACCACCACATCCATCCCCCGCCTATCAGGTCCCCTACTCCCCACAACCTCAACCATAATCCTCGGAAAAATCACCCGCACCACCCCGCGCCAAGCGCACCTCTCAATCCTCGCCTTGGGAGCCTCAGGTACACACGTCTGTTCCGAGCCCCTCCCCGCATTGATCCGCCAACAAGACATACGCRCGACGGAGATTGWTAAAGTCAAAGTCGCCGAGTCCTTTCGCGTGGGAGATATTGTGCGGGCGGAAATTATCTCGCTGGGGGATGAGAGGAGTTATTATGCGAGTACGGCGAGGAATGAATTGGGGGTTGTGATGGCTGTTAGTGAGGTGGGGAATTCGATGGTGCCGGTTAGTTGGAGGGAATTTGAGGATTTGGAGACGGGGAGGAGGGAGGTGAGGAAGGTTGCTAAGCCGGTTTGAAGGGTATCTTGCTTGAGGGATGATGGTTTGGTGTGCTGTGGTGGAGTGAGATTATGAGAGGATGGTAGTGTAGGCGATTGTTGATTGCTTCATCCCGTGAAGATTGCAGTTGTCGGTTTCTGGTTGCAGGATGCACCGGATCGGCAATGGGAATGGGACTGGTATTGGAGTGACTCCATGGTACCATCGAGGCAGTGATCATGCCTCCGGGGAAGGGAATTTCGAAGGACAGTCTCACTGCGACAGGAAGGACGCGAGAGGGAGTCTCGGACTATGCATGGGAGATATCTGGGGTCAGAATGAAAATGCTAGATCTGCTCAAAAGTTCGGAGACATGAGCATGATCAAGTCCGGTGAGGCAGTAATGAGTGGTGGCACATATTTAGCAAGCGGATGGAGGCATACAGCATGCTTCACCACTCAGTCTCAGTCTTCCCTTTTGACAAAATAGTTGCGCCTTACTCCTTACCTTCCCACATGAGTATCCTCACTCTTCCTACATGAGCATAACAATATGCACCTCTGTAATGATTCACTTTTCAAATCTTTCAAGTCGACTGGACTTCACTGCCTGCTCGTCGGTGGGATGCCCAGACGCACAAAAGATCCGATATTTCTGCAACAATCTATTCTTACCCTTCAAACGCCTCCAGCGTACGGAGCGCCTGTACACAGTCTGGTTGACTTCACTGATGTAAATCTGGTATTCCTCCCTGCAAGCAAGCCAATCAAAAGGGCCACAACCACGCTCCAGACGCCATCGAATGCATCCATTCACGTTTTCCCATTACCAAGCCATTTCGTGGTCCACGGTCTAGCAAGAGCAGCCCTGCTCATTCTCTCCAATGTTGATGGGAATCGTAGGAGGGAAATCCGGATCAAAGTCCTGGCTCTCCTCTTGCGCGAGGGCATTCCGCGCGATGACTATCCCCATATGTTAGCAATCCAGACCTCCCATCATCAAGCAGCATGCCAGAAGACTGGACTCACCCTCAAACRCCTGCTCAACATTCACGGCCTCCTTCGCACTCGTCTCAAAATACGGTATCCCGCCCTTTGCCTGACAAAATGCCATTGCCCGCTTCGAACTGATCATTCTCTTGCTCTCCTCCACATCCACCTTGTTCCCCAGCACCACAAACGGGAAACTCTCCGGGTCCATCGGACTCGCCTGGATTAGGAATTCATCTCTCCAGGAATCCAACGTGTCGAAGGATTTGGAGTTGTTGACGTCGTACACCAAGACGCAGCAGTCGGCTCCGCGGTAAAAGGCTACGCCGAGGGATTGGAAGCGTTCTTGCCCGGCCGTGTCCCAGAGTTGCATTGTGACGAGACGGTCGTCGACGAGGACTTCTTTTGTGAGGAAGTCGGCGCCGATGGTGGCTTTGTACGAGGCGCTGAATTTTTTGTTGACCTAGAAGGAAGGAGAGGGTTAGCGGGTGATGAGGGAGAGGGACGGTGGGTGGTAGTCGTACATATTGGTTCATTAAGCTGGTCTTGCCGACTCCGCTATCTCCCAGGATAATAACCTTGAGCAGGATCTTCTTGCGCGACGACATGACGGCGGTTGTAGGGCGGTGAGGTATTTATTACTGCTGCTCGAGTATGCGGCGACAATGTACAAGACCGAGGTCGATGTCGTAGGGTGGAAGTGGAAGTGGGGAAGAGGGCGGGTGGGCGGTGAGGTGGATTCTCGACTGTGGACTGCTTGCTTCGGGTCGGAGGGATTACAGGATCCGCGTGATGTTGGCGGATGGGGTTGGGGCGGCGTCGGATGTGTTGTGACGACGATGATCAGGTACACAAGATAGATAGCAGGTGACATGTTCTACTCAAAGGTACTCAGGCGCATAAACAGTCCGTGCACGTCGGCAAGCTAACGCAGTTGTTGCTGCTCCACACTTCCCACTTCACCTCTTCTTCTACCATTCATCATCTCTTCTTGGTATTGCTACACACTATTCAGTAGACTCATCACCGCCAAATCGAGACACCGCCATGACGAACAGTATACTGCTGCAAGACAAAGCAAATTTTATGCCGCATCCAAATCCATCAACATTCAGAAACTGTACAAAGCGCACCTATATTACCATACGATCTATACTCAGTGCCCACAGAACCTTCCCGCAGCGTCTTCTCAATAATACAGCCTTCCATCTTCACTTCTCCGTCTCCTCTGATCCGGCCGTCCACTTTGATAAGGACGTCTCCGATCATCAGCTGGCCGCGACGGCTCTCTACCACCCGGCCCTCTCGACGAATCCCTGCCTCTAGGAGCTCTGGAACGATCTCTCCCTCCCCTCCCTCTGAGCAGATCTCCATCTTCTCTTATGTTTCCTCCCCTCGTATTCCCTCCCCTCGTATTCCCTCCCCTCGTATTCCCTCCCCTCGTAATCCCCCCCCTCGCATTCCCCCCACCCCTCCCGCCCCTCCCACGCTTCGCACTAGGCCCTTCGAAATCCGCAAACTCCTCCAAATCAATAATCGCCCCAACAAACTCCTTCTCCGGCGTAGGAGACCTCGGATTCTCTATCTTCGCCAATCTTGCCCTCAACGCTTTATTACGCGCCAAACTCCTATCCAACAACTCATCCACAGTCCCCAACGTAATATTCGCGAACCCTATCTTCCCGTTCGCAATCTCTTCCCGCGCCTCCTCCAATTCCGTCTGCATGATCATGAACAAGGGATGCCAGACGGTACGTTCTATAGTGCTGAAATTGAATTCCCAGCGGAGGATGTTATTCTTATCCATGTCATTGGCGGACCATTCGGGGATATCGAATTCGTCTGTTTCGGATTGCGGTTGGCGTTTCCAGCGCGCGAAGAGGAGTTTGTATTCTGTCAGAGCTTTTTGCAGTTTGTTTTTGACTTCGGTGTGGAATTGACGGGATGTGGTGGTGGGGGATAAGGGTTTGGTTGATGGCGTTCTTGTTGATGCGGGAGGGGAACCTTGTCTTCGTGGGAAGATCGGGGACTCTTCTTGGATTTCTCCTTCGGATAGTGGGGATAAGGACATGATGTTTTGTATTTATTTGGTAAGTTTATGCTGGTGAGAGGGTAACGATGTCGGTGGAGGGGAGCAGAATGTAGGAATCTGGTATAGGATAGGTATAAGGCATTGTCTTTGTTAATTGCGACATGGCGGATGATCTCTCGAGACATGGCCGTTTTGGGTCATTCTACGTCTTTTTGTTCCCAAGGCCTGCTCTGTGGGTATGACTTCCGCTTAGATCGAAACAAAGGGTCTTTGTCAGGCGAGACTCGGCAAATGTGATTGTAATCCTCGCTGCGAACGACGACGGTAGTTCACCATTTGAGTACGAGTTCAGGGGTGAGATACTAGAATTGGAAAGCAGTKCTGATGTTCATTCCTTTATATTATGTTCCATTGGATCTCAAAACAAGACAACTTCCCAAACGCCGTAACGTAACGCCATTAACGTGCCTTTCGCCCGAGGTATCACTGACCGGTAGCGAAAAGATTCCGCCAGAAACCACCTCAATCCAGGCCGAACCATTGCCAACTAGTCTCGAACCTTCCGATATCAGTCCAGACGAACAAGCACACTGAGCAGCTCCGTCACTCCGTGTGCATGATATCGTACTCCCAGCGGTGCCCATCGATGGGATCCTCCATGTCCCACTACTCTTGGTCTGACTTTTTCCGCTGGATCTGATACCTGCTCTGTCGCGACAACTCACATTCACATCCAAGCTCCACCCACCGAGGCTCTCGATACCGCGTTCCTTCTGGACCATCGACCCTGTACGTCTGGATATTCTCCGCCACCATCTCAGTGACTTCTTCCAGAATCTCTGGATGGTCTGTTGGGCCCAGCTTGTGTATTGGAATCCCTATAGGAATAACCATAGTTCCAACCACAGATTCGCAGAATTGTACCAGCTCGACTGCCTCATCGATTGGGATGTCTTCCATTGATCCACCGGGGGCGATTAGGGCGCAGCGCTGAATCATGCCAATCCACAACCGTAAGGATCGGTGCGTCGCCCAGGTCAGGAGGTTTGATGCTGAAGTAACGGCCTCGCAATCTTTCATCTGATCCCAGACTTCCTTGTGCACATTGAAATCATCAGGGGTCTGCGCGACACGCGGCCACATTTGCAGGATTTTGTTGTTGATGAATGTGATGTCGCCGAATGTGCTGCTGTTGCTGAACCTCCCGGTGAGGGTGAATTTGCCGATGTCTGTGCAGATGACATTGCCGAGTCCATTGCTCTCGACGAATTGACGCACTGTGGTGTGCTCGGACTCAGGGCGTGTGCGCGCGAGATAGTCGCTTCGGATGGTGAGGGATCGGAGGCGCGACAGTACGCTAGTCTTCTGTAGGAGACTACGAACGCTGCCGCTGGGGAATGGGAGATGGCAGGACTTGATCTCAACATCTCGGAAAAGCGGAGGAGGGTACCCAAGGTTGAACAATCTGCCGAGTTCCACAAAGCTAGCCGAGATGATCTTGTTGTCGTAGAATGCCTCAATGGACTCGTTATGGATCAGTCGATTCACGGCGAAGATGTTTGTATCGATCATTTGGAGCTCTGCAGGTGGGATGCTTCCGGAGAGAGTTACAATGTCACGCTCGTCTTCCGCGCGAAGCTGGTCTGGACTCTTTGAGGGCTTTTTGACCCAGATACGCTGTGCGCGCGCTGCGGGGCCGAAAACATGCTCGTAGATGCATATGCGCAGTTCAGCGGAAAGTCTGTCGGTAAAGTAGTAGACACGTTTGTCAATCGCTGGCGCTGCTGCTGTCGCAGCAGCGGCAATGGCGGGTTGCGCGGTGGCGCTCATCGTTTTGTTGGTGACACCGATCGTGCGGTCGTAGAGATTGTTGATGTGATGGTTGGAAGAGTTGGGGTTTGGAAGATTGGGGAGGGCAATGCGGCCCGCTCGGGAGCTAGTGAAGCAGCTAGTCTTAGCGCACTGTCACATGCAAATTCATGGAGCGCCAACTGCGTACTCTGGTGGGCTGCCCTTCCATCTGACCTGCAGAGCTCTATCTTCTAAAGATCAGTACATCCTTGTGTTGTCATGCGACCAAAGTTTCAAGAGTATGATATTTACCCAGCGTCCCGAGTCCAGACGACTCACGAAGTCACACGATCTGATCCGAGTATTGATTTTAACGCAAGTGATGAGTACGTACAAGTACTGCGTAGGTGGTGTGACGTCAAGGACGGGAGGCACCCACTAGTCGCGCGCATAGATACCCTGAATGGCCGCCGGATTTCCAGGTACTAGCTGGAAGACAAAGCTTTGTCCGCCTGATAATGAATAAAGACAATGAGTGTATACAACTGCTTCCTTTGTGTGGTGTAGACAATGGCAATGTGAGTACTTATTCAGAGTTTTCTCCTCCGATCCATTTCCCATTCCTTTCCTCCTCCAACTTCATCACAAACGTCTGGTACGTTTCGAAATCTCTCGCGATACGTTGAAGCCCAAACCACCCAAACACTCTCAAGCAGCCAAGCAACTATTCAACGAAGAGGGATCATCCTCTCAGTGTCGTTGAAAATGTCTAACGACTACACTCTGGTGACATACACCTGCTTGCACTTCGCCCTAATCCCCTCAACATCCATCTCGAACTTTGATGGAGTCTTCGAAGAGTTCTCCGAGCCCTCTCGGGCAGAATCAGATCTTCAGACTAAGTTGATGTCCTGCCATCYCTCGGTTCCTACCCATTGCGCGAACTTTGATTGCTACCATATCCTTCAACCAGAATGGGAGGAACGCATCACCTTCGCCCTCTCTTCCATCCAGAAGAACTTAAGATCCTTTCGTAGGGTCTTCATGCAGCTCGGTAAAGTCTATCACAACATCCCTTTGGACACCCGTGTGGCTCTGTCCAACAAGAGGATCTGTAATCTGACGCATCAGCAGTACGGTATCGAGAAACGAGCCTGGAAGGAACATCCTTTCTTCAAGCCATACCTCGAAGCAAGAGAACTTGTCAAGGCGGTCAAGACCTTGATACGTTGGTCCTCGTGGAATGATGATACCCTGGCCGAAGTGGCGAAGAAGATCAATCACTGCAGAGCCTTTGTCTCCAAGGTAACAGCATTCGAGAACGAGATCGTTGCTGGTACCAGGAAGCTACATCAAGTCTACACTGACAACGTGAACGAGGAAATGAATGCTATCAACGCTATGAACGACAGGATTGCGAAGGAGAAGGCGGCAAAAAGGAAGGAGAAGAGAGCACAAGCTCTCGCAGCTGCAGAACTCCGAAAGAAGGAGGAGGAAGCGGCTGCGGCCATCAAGCTCGCAGAAGAAGCAGAGCGCATTGCGATCCAGGAAGCCGCAGCGAAGAAGACTTCTAGACGAGGATTCTTCGACCTTCTCGACAGAGTCAAAGGAAAGAGCAGGAAGCCAGAGCTCCGACTCGCTGAATCTCCGAAACCCAAGGAGCAACAGTACATTCAACACACCCCACAGGCTACGCAAGCCGAGCCCGTTCATGAGGTCGTCCAGGAGACTGCAGTAGTTCTCAGCACTACGGCTGTGGACRAATACAAGATACGGCCACGGGTACCATCAAGAGGACCTCGGAGTCCTGAAATGTCCAGCTCCAAGGTTCGAAGGAGGAAAGCTTTGCTTCGGGACGCAATCTTTGCGAATTTTCAGGATCGCATGAATGGGTTTTGATTAGTTCGCTGTCGATGCGATATCATTCACCCCATAGCAGATTAGACGCTGAGTCCAGGGGCGTTGGGTGGCTTTATTAGACAGATAAAAAAAAAACATTTTGGCTTCGCCGTACGTTTGTTCCACTTCGTCTCGTGAATTTCGTGATTAAATTTCTTTTGATTTATGCTAGCGAGGTGATGTCTATGCCACACGTACGAGAAACTCTGCCCAGTACCGTTGGTGACCAGTTCTTCACGCGCCGCGGTAATGGTTCTTACGCGCATGTTATTCGTACAAGATCGAAGACATGTATTCGAGCAGCAGGCCTTGTATCTTCGAGGTAGATGATATCGTTTCCAGCTCACTTCCTACCGGAAAAAGCCGGGACAGAACCGCGGCTGTGACAGACATCAGGGGCACTTCTTGGCGGAACCGTAGCAATAAATACAAAATTTCGAGTTGTCCTTGGTTGTCAATCTTGTCGACCATGATACTAGCAAATGTCTAAAGTGACCGATTATCACATTCGTCACTCTACCGCAACGTGGCGTGCCTGATTTGAAACTTGCATGTGACATCGCGCTAGTGCTAGCTTCGGCATGGATCATCATTACATCCAAATCTCGTTACTTCAACAATTACGGTTGCTTCCTCCACGACTCGTTGGTTCTTTCATCTTCCGTATTGTCCCGATCCTAAAATCAGAATCAACGCCTCCGGCCCGTGGTTAAAAAGAGTGCTTCACCTCTCACCGCCTTCGCGCCGGCTGCCCTCGACTCTCCAAATCCCACCTCCGCGCCCGCGCAACGAGTCGTTACCCATCCTCGGCTCACTGCAATATCATACCCTACAATGTCTGGATCGCGTGCCTGTTGCTTCACAGACAAGCTCTCTGCCGAGGTCGGAATCGTCATCTACCAGTTCGTGTGCGGTACAGGCAGACTGGCGCAGCGCATTCGACCTGCTTCTGGACGCAACGCTTTCGATATTGGAGAAGACAGTGAAGCGCCGTCTGATGAAGAGATAATAGACGCCGACGAGTCCGAGTGTGATGAGTGTCGTGCGGAAAATGCGCAAGAGCCCGATGCCGTCGCAAGCGCCMACGAAACTTCATGCCTACAGCCGCCACGATCTTAATGAGCAGCGAGCCTACCTTTGGCGTCCAGTCTGGGCTGAACTTGGTGGAGAAGGCGACGACGGTGCACACTATAGCAGGATGAAAGCACTCGAACGGCTCATTCAAGACTCTGTGGGGAAAAAGCGAGAGATAAAGGAGGAAGTAGAGGATGGTAAAGGAAGCGAATGAGCGAATACGGGCAAGAAGAAGCAGAGCTGTCAATATGAAGATATCTCGACAGAGCGGGGGTCTCAAGCTCTCCTTCCGCTCATCTCACGACTGCTTTCTCGACATGATCTTTGTGTTTGGAGGTAACAGACACCTCTCTATGAGTAAAATCCCTACCCAAGGCTGTTGTTAAACGGCTTACCTCGGCGGAGAAACTTCAAGTTGACAGATCTGAGGAAGACAGCGAGCCAGGTAGGATACTCACAGTGAAGAACACAACTGTGCAGATTGTGATCAGGAACGACTTTTTGGAATGGTTTACAATCAAAAAGCTGGTCGTCTCGTGAATCAGGCTGGCAGCTAGTGACTGAAAGCGAACGTAGATAGAAATGATTCCAACGGACAGAAAACTTCCACCACTCAGTTCATATCTTCCAACTATCTTGATGACGGCCGAGCCATGCATAGTCCATCATTCTACAAAGTTGCAGATGACATATCGGGTGCAGCCAGTCGCGTCACAAAAACATTCCGTATACCAGGTACCAGCAACCTTTCGATTGGCAAGGTTGCAATACCCCAGTATCCTGCGAAGAATAAGCCTGGCAATTCCTTAGTCCGGGATCTGTACGTTGATCGTATCCTGCCAGGCGAGTCGTAAAGTGGCTCTCTGCATTTGGCTTTGTCTCTCATACCCAAAGATCCGCCTTCGCCGTAGTTTTCCGAGAATTTATTCGCTACCAACGCGTCAGCGCTGAAAGCTTCGGGAGGCTTAGCAATCTTCAATGTGACGAGACGCTTTGGAAGGCTTTCGGCATTCGCGACGTTGCAGGCATTGAGAAAAATGTTACCCTCTGCTTTGATAGCTCTTCTTCATCAAGATGAATTTCGACATAAGTGGCAACTGATTGCGTTATGGACAATATAGTGTAGTGCCTCAGCATGACCTGTGAAAATCTGCATGTGAAAGCGCGCTAACACTAGCTCCCGCAATGACGAACGGCCAATCCGCGCTGTTCGATTTCTCGGTTCCAAAGTCAGACGTCCACCAATTGCACTTTCCACTTCGGTCTGCCGAACCGCGCTTGTCTTTTCACTTCCCACTTCGATCTGCCAAACTGCGCTCGACTTTGCAATACCCACCCACAATGGGCCCGACTCCATCATCCACCAGCATGCCACCAGCCACAGCGTCCGCGGACCCCACTGCCGCCGGCGCGCAGCCTGTCACGATGAATGGCGCATCATCAGCAACTCCGCTGACTGCTCCTGTCTGCTATCTGACCGACAAGCTCTCGTCGGAAGTCCGGATTCGCATCTACGAGTACATATTTTCAGGCGCCCGCGCGCGGCGAATTGAGCCTGCCCGAAGAGCCACTCTCGGCGAGCACAGGCAGAAATCATCACTTGTGCCTCGCTCAGACTCCTCTAGGCATCGACTCTTTCCCTCACACTCCTGTAGATATCTACTTCAGGCTGGCGAGAAGCGCGTCTCGACCAACATCTTTGCGGTCAGCAAATTGATCCACAATGAGTCGATCGAGTCGTTCTACAACACAACCATCATCTCGGCCACCTGGGAGGAATTTCATCTTCTTCTTACCCTTGGCTATCCACGCAGTCTCATTCGCAACATCGAGATCGTGTCCTGCAACAGCCAGCCTGGCTTTGGCGGCTACGTTCATTATCTTCTCTCGGAGGCTCGGAACATTGCCGCGACTCAAGACATTTACTATCTGGAGCGATGGTCTGACACCAACTGGGCCTCCTTCACGCCACACTACGGTCCGTCAATTCGCTGCCGATTGTGGTCTTGGGCCAGTTACCTGCACCGACATTGGAAAATACAGGCTCCACGGGCAGTTTGATGGCATTCGGTTTACGCATCAGAAGATCCTACGGATGTGGCCAGAGGTCATCAACACACCTGAAGGCTATGACGCTCTCCGTGAAGTCGGGATCCTGCTACAAGAGAGCATGGTCGGTGGAATGTTTAGTAATCTCGCGGCGTGGGGAGCCCATACTTCTTTCAGACTCTGGGTGGGACTGCTACAGCAGTTATCTGACCACTGGTGTCGTGGATACTTTCCGCCCTATCAGAGTATCTTCAGTTTCGTATCCTTCTCGCAGACTTGGGTGGGCAAAAGAATGACGTTGCCCAAGGGCTTTCAAATGCACAAGTTGGGACCTTCCAATCATCCTCGGCTGCTTGAGGATTTCACTGAGATGCTATCAGTTCACACTCAGAGCTACAAACTGCATTTTAGAGGTGAAGATGAACGCGAAGTATACTCAGAGATTCGGCGTCCCCAGTGGGAGGAACTGGGTGATGAGAGTGAGTTGAAGTACGAAGCCTATCATCAGGGCAAGCAACACAAGGAAGTCGTTGCGCTCATGATGAGGGATCCCATCCATGAAAAAATACTTATCCCATGGTATACCATGCAGGACGCGCTGCTCAGCGTGGCCACGGTCGAGGTCGTACACGGCAAGCAAAAAATCGACAGTGCCTCAAAAGAAGACATGCATGCCATGTTCAGCCTGCACTATGCGATGGGTCTAGCTAATTCGTCTGACGACTTCATTGGAGACGAAAAGATCGCTCATGAGGAGTGGTCTGAAAAGCTGTTGAGGCGCTATTTCCACGTGGCCCGAATTGCGCGAGCAGACCTGCTTGATCGAGTACCTCTTCGAGTGTTACGCGTCGCACTCAACTTCACGTTTGCGGTTTCGGCAATTGTCGATTCGCCACCTTTAAATGCTCCGGAAGGACCCCGGGAGCAGGAAGCATACGATCGGACAGGCGATGACATGCAAGGCCGGGGAGATGGGCTAGATGGCGCTTTTCTAGAAGCGCTGGAAGAGTATGGTGATGGTAACTCCGCTGTCAAAAAGCTCAGTATTGAGGAGGGCCTGCTTCTCGCCCGAGAACCAGACAACGTGGACTATGATGCCGACGACATCGTCCCAGACGAGCTTGATGCGCGGTTGTACATGCCTTTCGTCCGTGGCTCTGGACGACACATCCGCGCGGCGTGGGACATGCTGTATCCGGAGATCGTGAAATCGTGAAATCGAGACACGACGACTAGGCAATCGATGGAAACGAGTGCGAGGAGGTGCGGAGTGTGATGTATTGACGATAAACCTTCTATCATGGCATGGAGTTTGACATTCGGGAGATCTTTATGATACTTTTACCATGGAAAATTCTCGACACCGAGGAAGGCGTTTGGATGGGAAGACTAGACGTTGCTTTCTGATGTGAAATGAATGTTTTACGAAAATACAAAACGACCAATTACCTGCTATGCTAAACTCCATCTCCCCTCTCACCTCTGAACAACTCGGTCCTCACCAACAAAGTAATAATTAGGCGACCCAAGCTGACTCCAAGCCGCGCTGGCAGAAACCTTCGCACGCGGCGTCTTTTTCACAGTGCTTGAACTGACCACTTTCGAACGCATCGGCTTTCCTTCACAAGGCAGACCCGGCTTCGTCGAATAATCAACTTCAGGCAAAGGACCCGATAGTCGCAGTGCCGGCGAGACAGTAGTAGTAGAGGCAGCAACCATTTGAAGCTCCTCAAGATCTTTGAGCATCTCATCTATTTCAATCTCATTAGCGCTTCTCTGTTGATCTTCTCGCGAGATCTGATCGCTTTTCGAATTCTGGAATTTTTTGGACTGCTGATTCGCCGCCACTGTGGAGTCATGTATCGAAGTGGTGGGTTTTGAGGTCGACAAGGTGGGATGGCCGAAATGATGCATTTGGGGATTTTTGCTGGGGGGGGGTTTGATGAGGTTTCTATATGTTTTTTCTTGTTTCTGGGACTTGTAAGTGATGGATATTTGGGTATTGGGGATTATGGACTCGGCGATGGAGATGGTTGGGAAGTTCCTTTGAGATGTTAGTTCATTCAGTTATATCTCTTTATTCCGTTGTTGAGTGATACATGTGATATTCCTTGTTGCACTGTCCTGAAATAGGGGTCTCGATGTGTCAAAGGGATTTGACACGTCGAGATTTTAACAGCATTGCAGAGTAGTAGCACAATTAATCGAGATCAACTCTATCTCTCGAGTCTCGACTCTCTTTGGCGATTGTCCATCCAAACTTCTAGTAACCACGTCGCGTAAAATCACCCCTCTCGACGCGCCAAAGATATTTCAAACCGCTGGAGATTAATAGCACTGCAAAGTAGTGTCAAAGGTTCGTCGAGATAAGAGACACTTGTCGACGCTTCTCCTTAAAATCTGCAATCAAAAAAATCGTGTAGAATGTGATTCCCTGAAAATATCCAATGGCCCTAGCTCCTTTAGATTAACCTCCAGGACGATCGGGTCGTCCTCGTTCTGGATCAGGCCTGCTTCGAATCTGTTGATCTCTACGCTCCTCATCGAGAGAAGGGACGATCTCCATGTTGCCGTCTTTGGTCGACCCACTAGTCACCTTCTTGTTCCAGATGACGAAGGGGATGGTATCTTTCAAGTACTCTTCGGGCGCCTTTCATCTAGAAGAATTTACGAATTATGCACTGCGTGTGAAAATGCTCGTCTCCACGGATCTGGAAGGGTTTGAGCGTTTGGAACCCGCTTGCATATCAAAGCTATAGTTGGTTTTCTCGAGAGAGGTATAGATGAAATGGGCGATTCCCCGTACAAGTTTCAGTTATTACTTTGGTCAAGGTCTACGTGTCTCGACAAATCCACGAACTTTTATCCCTCTCGATCCCACTAGAAGAGCCTAGTAATGTCTGAACTCCCAGAGAAACAGAAGTAGATCGGCGGTCAGTCCCTCAGGAGAATGCGTGAATATACTGTACTTTGTGTCTACCTATACTTCATGCACGTGATGGTCCTTTTCCAGCTACTTCTGGTCCGAGCTCAGTCGACATTGGCCTTATAAGGCGGTGGGATGCCTCATCCTCGGGGAACATCACCCGCTTCATGCGCGAATCGCCCGCCTCGCCAACGCTCTCCGCTCCGCCACCTCCCACCACGCCATCCATCTCCCATCCCGCCACACCAATCCCACAGTCCCACAAGAAGCTGTGAATGCACCGCGTGCATTTCGCCCTCATGGCGCGCCCGTAAGTCTCGATCGGACACGCGCAATTCGGGCACGCAACGATCCTTCCCTCCACTTTCGCCTTCTCGATATACTCCTCGCTTTGCTCGTTCTCCATTCTGCGTTCAGCTGTTGTCTGCTGGTAGTCCTCTTGAGATGCAGAGTTACAGCTTTTGCAAACGAGGAGGTCTGATTCGTGGTAAATCTGTCCGGAATTGCAGCCTGACTGCAAGCAGAATTTGTAGTCTGGATTGGCACCATTTCTGATGCGCTCGTGCAGATAATCGTACCGGTCACTGTCTTTTTCGAGCATGTTATTGTTCAAATACTCCTTGCTTCCGACAAGCTTTTCAGAGCAGTCTGGGCAGCTGAACACAGGCCAGTAATGGTTGTTGATGCTCGCAGTCCACCAGTGCCGAAGACAATCAAGGCATGTCGTCACGCCGTGCTCACAAGCTTCTGTTGGTGGCTTTGGCGCGAACTCGTCGGCCTTCTTCGATTCGCAGCAGCATGCGCACTCTTGTATCTTCCCAGACTTTGATCGTGTGAGGACCATTGCTGTGGATGATGTCCGAGAGACGGTCTCACTTCTTGTCTTGTTAGCGAAGCACAGTGAGATACCCCTATCTCGATAGCTGGTCACCTGCTGTCTGATTGGTGCGCGGGATCTTCTTCTCCGGCAAGATGCCGCTGGCGAACCGCTTCGGTATCGGTACGGACTCTTCCGTCGACGAGAGAAAATACGCGCGGGCAGAGAGCGCTATGAGTGTTTAGTGAATGCCCGCCGACGCGCACAAAGCTGTGGCTTTGGTGTGTTGCGACGCCGAGAGTCTGGCGATTCGCAAAGGCTGGTGAAAATGACAACAGCAGCTGGCAAAGCGGTGGCAACGCTTTGACAGTGGCAATGGCAATGGCCGCGGCAGGTTCGAGAGCGCTGACAGAGCGCTGGCAAGGCGATGCTGTAGCAGATCGCGTGAGAAACGCGGCGAGGATGGCGATGTTGATGTTGATGAGTCGGTGTATGAGGCGCGACTTCCAAAAAGGATGTAGTGTTTGCTGGCAAGACTTGCGCTCCACCGTCACCTGCGGCGGTGCAGCACGGACCTATCCCGACATTCTGCTGCCTAGAGCTGCCATAGTAACTTCATAAACGCTCTTATGAAGATGCTGATACGATTTGCCCTCTGCCCGCCAAGGGCACAGTTCGAGCGTAGCATCATCGTTTGACGAGTGCAAATGGAGCATCATGCGGGCGTCGAAAATGCCGCTCTACGACGCTTTGAAGACACCCACGATCGTTTGAGTAGAGACGAGGTGGTGAGGCAACAAGCGGCCAGTCTCGACGTGCACTCGGCCAGATCCCAGGGGTGGAGATTAACATCACTTCCACTTCGTTTCCCAGCTCGCTCATTATACCACCAACCACCTCGCGTCTACATGTAATCTTTCTGGCCGCTGGATGCGCTTACATCCCGCGATGTGTACAAGGTATTCGGGACCTGGAATGGCACTTTGATGGAAGGCTTGGATGGTAACTGTCAGCCAGATGGCCTCCAATCCGCGTCGAGAGAATCCCCACGGTCGACAGCGTCGTAGAGCCGTTCCTCTTGTTTTGGGCTTGGATACGAAGATCAGTAGCGGGGTCTGCATTGACAGATCGATGAGAAGAAGAGAGAAGAGAGGAGAGGTCGTTGTTGAAAGTGGGGCCGGCGGAGTGCAACTCCCAAGTTTCCCGGAGCCGGAAACTTAATCTGGCGGCAGCTTTGTCGCCACAATCTCTAACTTCTCTCTCCTCCTCCTCCCTCTTTTTCAACCTCACTCCCATCACGTCGCCTTTATGAAGTCACTGCGGAGCCTCATCGGTCCGGTAGACCTTCTGCGACCTCAGGGAAACAGCTGACGTATGGCGAAGCGAACGCGATGAAATTCTCCCGCAATGACAACATACTGTACCTCCTTTAGCATCCACATCTTGCGTGTAGGCTTTGTCAAGACATCCCGAGATCGCGGCACCTTTGCAGTCCCTAACAATGCGGTACGCTATCGGCAAGCCATCTACGATCTCCACAGTCGTCTCACAGACCTCCAAAGCGATGGTTGACTTCGAAAGTCGAGACTGATGATGCACTCTACTGGAGCCGCAGGATAACAACGCTCTCTCGACTTCTTGCTACAAGCTGGAGGAGAGGTTCGCTGATAATTCCTGTCCATCTCAACAGTAAATTCGGCTCCTGCTCTGCGATACTGGTAGCGCTTAGACATGCAGGTTCTTTTGAATGTGTCCAGGCGACGGATTGGACACAACAGGATCAGCGTCGCTCTCTCGGATCAGTGTCGCTCTCTCTGCCTGATATAATGGTGTCWCTACTGCTGGGAAGGGAGCTGCATCTACCAAGAAGTCAAAGGCGGTTAGATTTGGCGTGGATGATCTTACTTTATGATCACCCTTCTAATGGCGCACTGTGCATTGGAAGGACCGTCATGGGGAGAACCGTCGCTCTCTCCGCTTGATATCCAGGACTTCGCTAATGAGGACGTAGCTTGACCTACAGGCTAGTTGTCTCCGATTGGAAAGCAGAACAAGATAGAGCTTCGGTCAACGAAAGTACTGATCGATCGATCGCACAGAGGAGAGATGCGTAGTGCAAAACCCATCGCTCTCTCCGCAAATTGTACTGCCCCGCTTTAACCCGCAGTCACTCTCACTACCACCAAGGAGGCGACGAGGCGACATGAACCATTCAAAGAGCGTGGGCTGCTGCGCCCGGCAAAGATCAACGGATCGGCCTCGCTATCGTCGTCGCATCCCGATGACGAGTCTGACGGACGGGAACTGCTTCGTCAAGCCAACTGGCTGCATCACGGTGAGACAGCCGAGCCTCACAGACATTGCGAGATTTCCCCAAGGTAAACTTCATCTTTTAGCTGCCACGGTATATTGGAGCGAATGTAAATCACCGAAGTCTGGGCGCGGCCCTTTTTGAAAAGTTCTAGTGCTGACAGCCGTTCTTGGCCAGACTGCCGATGTTTATACATGAACAAGACACTAGCTAGTACATCATTCTCGCCAATCACACGCTCCAACTCCCGAGCAATGCCGCGTGTGCTAGGATAAACCCTACCCTACCCGGGGTTGACACCCAAGCCCTTGGGAGTGCTTCGCATTGACACCATGTGGCAATGCGAACGATAAACTGCGGTCTACTTATTTCATTCCCAGGTACTAATCATTGATCATCGTTTCACCGAGATAGCACTGCCGCTCAGTCCCGCGGGTCATTTAGTGCCGATGGTTCAAGTGGTATAAACATGTCTGACATCCCTTGGCCCTCTCCTTACAGGTAACAGTCATTCTTTTTATTCTTCACAGTCTTTACTATGGTTCGTTACAACACTCCTTTAACTGCGGCCGTTGGCCTGCTTTCAACCGGTCTCGTACAAGCGCAACTTGGTGGATCGTCCGGTAGTGGTGGATCTGATCGTTGGGATGTCGTTGTCATCGGAGGCGGCTCTTCAGGCACTTTCTCTGCAATCAGACTTCAACAGCAAGGTCTGAACGTGGCCCTCGTGGAGCGAAAGAATCGACTCGGCGGTAATTGGAAGAACCAACCAACTTTGAGCATGTGGAATGATTGTTAATCCTCTCCTCTAGGTCATGTCGACACATATGTCGACTCAGCCAGCGGCGTCACCCACGATTATGGAGTCCAGGTCTTCACCAACTCGTCCGTACTTGTCGACTACTTTGAGCACTTCGACATTCCCCTCGTTTCTTCCGACCTTACATCCGGTGCAAGCGCCCGTCTCAACGTCGACTTCACAACCGGCAACCCCCTCAACGCTTCCACCCTGCTGAGCAGCAACACGACAGCCCTTGCCACAGGACTTCTAGGTTACAAAGCCGAACTGGCCAAGTACCCCTACCTCGCTCAGGGCTGGAACTTGACCTACCCAATCCCAGAGGACCTCACCATCCCATTTGGCGAATTCCTCCAAAAGAAGGGCCTCGATGGCGCCGCTTTCGTAGCATACTCCTACGCGGCAGGCTGCGGTAACATCCTTGCCCAGCCCACTCTCTTCGTAATGAAGTACTTTACCGAGCTCCAAGTTGACGACATCATTACCAACGGCTTCCTCACCAACGGCATCAAGAACAACCAAGAACTCTACAACCGCGCCCTGACTGAACTCGGCGAGGCCGCCTTCCTCTCCTCCACAGTCTACAACGTCACCCGCGATGCAGACGGCGTAGAAGTCCACATGTTCACCCCGGACGGCCCCAAACAGATCAAAGCCCGGAAACTCCTCATCACCATCCCTCCCAAATACGAGAACCTCTCCCCTTTCCTCGCTCTGGACAACACCGAGCGCAACCTCTTCAGCCAATTCAACAACACCTACTACTGGGACATGATGCTAAAGAACACCGGTTTCCCCACAAACGCCACCTTCAACAACTTGGACCCAGACAACACCCTCCAGATCCCCTCCATGCCTGCAGTATACAACGTCGGCGCCGTGCCCAACATCCCCGGAACTTTCGCCGCGTACTACGGCTCCGTCACACCCCTCTCGGAATCCCAAGTCAAAGCCGCCGTACAAGAAACCATCYCTCGTATCCGTGAAGGTCAAGGCTGGGCCGCACCTTCGGGAGAATTGGAGTTTGCGGGTTTCAACTCACATGCACCTTTCGTCCTTACCGTCCCAATTGAAGCTGTCAAAGCTGGTTTCTACGACAAGTTGGTAGCGTTGCAGGGTGAGAAGAATACTTTTTACACCGGAGCCGCGTGGCAKAACCAGGCCAGTGGTGAGATTTGGGAATTCACCGAGGCGCAAATCTTGCCGAGATTGGTCAAGTCGCTGGGTCGGAGTGGGTTGAAGCCTCTCACTCGTGGCAGGGGAAGCGTGTAAGTCAAACTCCAAGGGCAGAAGAGCGTAGAGGGTGGTTTGGAGATATTTCTCTTGAGCTACCACTGCACGATATGCGCCACATCCCAATCGTCCAAGACATCGGCTAACGTTTCTCTCTTTCCCTCTTAGGCATGATACCGGCAGCAACAACAGCACTGGCATTCTCGGTGGCAGCAATATTACAGAAGTGCCAGTTTCTGGTGGAAAGGAGTACACTGCCCCAAGTGGATACAAGTTGAAGCAGTTGAGCCAAGCGGTCAAGGCGTTCAAGGGCTTCAAGGGTTTCAAGAGCTGGTACTAGATGATGGCTGGTTGGCTATTGTCTCATAGTGGACATCTTTTCACCTTTTGAGGTTTCATATCTGCGGCGGCGACCGACTGCACGTCTTTCAACGACCACTTGCGCTCAATAATCAATACACTTTATCTGATACAATGGACAGCGACTTCGCTTTCGTTGGATCCATCAACTCTCATGTCCGCAAATGTGACCTCGCACCCCCGATCGCACCAGATGGCCGATACATTCGTCTCATACAATAAGCGGCAATGTGGTTCGTTACGTGGAGTTCCATATTGGCAACGAGAAATACCCACTGGCGCATCCTTCAACGATCGATGGCCTCTCTTACAATGCGCAGCAACTCCATTGGTTAGTTGCCCCTCACATCCTCCACCGCTCTCCTCCCATTATCATCGTCACGTCTACTTCCCACTGATCTGCCCCTCCACGAAATCCAACGCCTGCGTCCTGCTGACAACATCACAAGTACTCGCCTTTTGCAGATAACTAACACCATAACACTTCTCCGCAACAAGCACCATCTCGGGTCTAAACGTCGTGCAAATAAACTGTGCTCGATCGCCCGTAACTGGGTCTTCCCGACTGCTCTCCTCCAGCAGCTTCGCAACGGCGGTTCGGTATTGAGCGTCGAGGTTGGCATCAATCTCATCGAAGAGATAGAAAGGTGCAGGATCAGACTTCTGGATCGCAAAGACGAGGGCCAAAGCACACAAACTCTTTTGTCCGCCGGAGAGTTGTTGGATGCGTTGCTGTTCGTCGTGTTTGCTGTTGAAGCTGACTGAGATACCAACGCCGGTGTAATTTTCCACACTGGATCGTGCCCGGGCAGCCGCATCTTCGTCTCCATCGCTTTCGTCATCACCCTTTGCTGCCGCGGCGTCTCTATCGCTGCGACGCTGGATGATGAGTCTTCCCTTGCCCGCAGGCACGAGTTTGACGAAGACTTCTGCGAAAGCCTTGCTGACTTGTTTGAAGGTACGTTCAATCGCTTCGTCCTTTCGCATGTCAAGCACGTCGATGAGTTCTCGAATACTGGCATCACTGCCATCGAGATCCTTCCGACGTTGCTCAAGATCCGCGCGCTGACGTTCGAATTGTTGGTACTGTTCAAAGGCTTTCTTGTTTACATGCCCATACTTCTTCAAAGCCTCTTGACATTTGTGCAGTTTTGTGGTGGCGGTCGTTGGGTTCATGTTCTTGTATGTTGCAGTGTAGGCAGCGTCGGGGATGATGCCCAGGTTACGGATCTGGAGCTGTACTTCCTGCAGACGTGAAGCGTATCCTGCACGACGCTGAGCGCCCTTCTCGACACTCTTCTGGTGATTGCGCATGGACTGCTCTAGCTTTGCGACTTCGGTTTGCTTGTTTGCGCGACTGGCTTCTGCTGCGTCGAGCTCTGCCTGGGATTTCTCGATGGATTCATCAATCTCCTTGATCTTGGCWTCTATGCTTTGCAGCCGCTTGCTAGCACGCTTGGCATCCGATTTGCGTTCCTTCAATTGGGAGCTGTTCCCAACACTAGCCGTGGGCATGTCATCATCAGAAGATCGTAATTGATCAAGCCGCGGTCGCAGGTTGATCTTGAGCATATCCTCGACGATCTGCTTTTCTCCGCTCATCTCTGAAAGCTCGTTGCTGATCTCGGTGTATTGCTTCTTGAGGTCAGGCAGTTCCGATCCTACTTGCTCCAGCTGACGTTCCTCCTGTGCGCTGAGTACTTTCTTAAAATCTGCTGCCAGCTCGGATTCGAAGCCAGATAGTTGGTTGTTGATATCGTTCAGCAACGCCGCAAGATTGTCATAATTAACTTGCTTGCCGGCAACCTCGTCCTGTCGGGTGTTAAGCTCAGTCTCCTTTCTTCTGACCTCCTCCCGCATTGGCATGTAGCCACTGCTCATCTGATCGCGCTTGATATCAAGCTTTTGCAGCTCGGTCTTCACCTTGTTGACCCTTTGATCGATCTGTTGCAGTTCCCGGGTGATCTCATCTTTCCGTCCCTTGGTGCMTTCAAACTGCTTTCGCGCAGCTTTTGCACGAAGCATGCCATCCAGACGAGAATTGCGTGCATCGTGGTAGCCACCTGTCAAGGCACCCTTTTGATCTGAGCGATCACCATCTGGTGTGATGGCATTCACAGAATGACTACGAGCGTATTGTGCTGCGACCTGAAGGTTGGGGCAGACAATAGTCCTGCCAAACACTTGCTGCATTGCCTTTTCGAAGATTGCGTCGAACTTGATCTTGCTGAGCAGAGGCACCGCATCGCTCGCTTTGGGCATTTCGATCTGCCTTGCCTTGACGCGGTTGAGCGGGACAAAGGTGACACGGCCACTCTTCTCTGCTTGGAGTGCTTTGATGAGATGCTCTGCGATTTCGTCGTCGTCCACCACGTAGTGGAACAGGGACGCTCCCGCGGTAACTTCAACAGCAGTCTTGTACGAGTCTCTACACTCGATAAGATCGCCAATCGGACCGTGGGCACCCCGAATACCATCTCGCTCAACAATACGCTGCACAGCAGCCAGACCACGGGAGGTGTTAGCATCCATCATCTGGCCGAGCAGTCTTTCGGCCTTGTCGAGCTCCTGCCTGGCGTTGGCGATGACGGAGTCAAGCTTTGCCTCCTCACGCCACAATTCTTTCCGCTGATCCATCAAGCGTTCCTGCTCWTCTTTTGTCTTCTGGATCTCGCCGGAGATGTTCTGCTGCTCGTCGCCACGATGTTCCATTCGATGTCGCAGATCCTTGATATCAGCTTCAAGCTGTTCGATCTGCTCTTGAAGCTCAGTGATGTCTTCCTTGATTTGCATCGCGACTGCTTTGCGCGTTGCGAGACTGTTGTGACAATCACCAATCTCTCTCCGAAGCCAGTCATCTCGCTCCTTCTTCGTGCGAAATTGAGTGTGACGGCCTTGCTTGGCTAGTAGTCGCTGTCGTGTGGCTTCTGCGTCCTGAACTTGCTGCTTGAGACCCTTTTCTTGCTCGGACTTTGCCTTGAACTTGGGTAGCAGCTGAGCGAGCTCCGCCTCACGCTGCTTGATGAGATTCTGAACCTCTTTCAGTTCAGTGTTTCGCTGTGTCTGGGCTTGTTGGGCGGCTGACTGGTTGTCTTCCATGCTGGAAACGTCCGACTCTGCCTGAGCGAGTGCTCGAGATGTCTCCGTCCGGTCTTCCTTGTACTGCACTTTTTCCTCGACAAGCAGTTTGATTTGTTGCCTCAGTGCGGTGATTTGAACATCGATTGCCTCCAGCTGCCTCTCGCCTTCCTTCAGAGCTTCGCGGTGCTCATCGTTATCCTCGGCGCCCTGTTCGCGCTCGCCATCGATGCGTTCAAGGTGGCCCTCTAGCTGCTCCTGATCRCGGTGGTGAATAGTGTACTCCAAGCACTTGCGTTCACGGTCCCTATCTTGGTATTCGCGAAGCTCTTCCTTTTCCTCTTCCAGCTCAGACAGACGTCCGCGGATGGTCTCCAGCAAATCATCAATCTTCTCGCGTTTGAAGTTGGTCTCTTCCATGATCTTTCTCGACTCTGTCCTCTTGCCTTCATACACCTCGGTACCAGCGACCGTCTTGAGCATAGACAAACGCTCAGGATCCTTCATATTGGTGATGGCCGTCACTCTTCCTTGCGGCACGATATAGTAGGGATTACTCCTGCTGAACCCTGCACTCTCCAGAATGTTGAGCACTTCCTGCTTGGTCGTATTCTTACGGTTGAGACTGTACTCGTCTTTCTTCTGTCCAATGGTGCGGCGAAGGACGACCTCGGGAGTGCCGGTGGGGAAACGGTCATCGCTGTTGTCGAAGATGATTTCTACGTATGCGCTCATCACCGCCGACCCGGCGCCTTCGTGGAGCAGTCCCTGGCGGTCTTCCCGACCTAATTGAGTGTATTTGTCGCTGAGGACGAATCGAATGGCGGCGAAGAAGTTGCTCTTTCCGGATCCATTGCGGCCGACGATGACATTGTGGCCGGGCGAGAAGGGCTCAATGACAGTCTGGTCTTTGTACGACTTGAAGCCTTGGATGATGATTTGCTTGATGTGCATCCTAGCCGTGTGGGCGCACTTTCGTGCGCGAATACGGGGTGAAAGTGTGTCCGATGGTGGTGGTGAAGGCCGATGTTYTGGCTCGCTTGACGCGAGTTACGCGCGCGTTGGAACGGCAATTTTTCGGCGGATGTATTCTAAGCGAGGTTAGGGTTAGGGTTATGCAGGCGGGGTATCCTTCCACGCACTCTCATCTCTCATATTCACTCCAACAATTAACATCGACATTGGCTCCCGATGCAAACACCCGGATAGATGTTCAGTATGTCGAATGTCTCATGCGAACCATTCCATCTCAGCCTCGACTCTCGGCGGTGAAAGGCAGCGATCTGCTCGTCAATCCACCTCACACCGCTGGAGTCTAGTATCGTAATGGCACGGTCCGGAGGCGCTTCCGCTATGGATATGACTGGGACAGGGCAGTGAGCTTCACCGCATGAAGCAAATCTCAACGCCGCGTCTCGGCGACGATGACTTCATTCACTCAACTGTGCAGAACGCTCTCATCTCCAATCTCTTCTCCTACCACATATCAGAAAGATGCCTCGTCCAACATATACCCTCTCCCAATTGGCTCGCTTCTACATCCGCATAAATCTGCCTCAAGAGTATCAAAACATACCACACTCTTCCATCACCACACTAGCCTTCCTCACCATCCTACAACAACACACTTTGACCTCCCTTCCCTTTGAGAATCTCTCCCTCCACTACTCCAGATCACCGGCAATCGACCTCCACCCCACATCACTCTTCGAGAAAATCGTAGCGAATCCAAAGTATGGACGCGGAGGATACTGCATGGAACTAAACACCCTCTTTGCCACCGTCCTCCGAACTCTGGGATTCCAAGTAATGAGTACAGGCGGTCGAGTCAGCAGCCAAGCCTCTCCAAATGGTTGCTCAACCAGTGGAATCGGAGGCGAGAACTTCTACTACGGATTTGCACACATGGTTAACATTGTGACCGTCTCCGGGAAACGCTATCTAGTCGACGTGGGTTTCGGAGCTGGAGGCCCAATATGTCCTATACCTTTGGAAGACGGAACGATTCATGAGGAAATTGGACCTACGAGAAGAAGCATCCGACTCCGATGGGATGCAATGTCAGATAACGAAGATCCGGAAGCGAAAGTCTGGCATTTAGAGCAAAGAAGGACAGGAAGCGAGACTTGGACGGGATTGTATTGTTTTCCAGATCGCATGGAATTCTCACCTGCTGATTTTGAGGTGTTGAACTGCTTTGCAAGTTCTAGTCGGAAGAGTTTCTACGTCGGGGAAGTTGTGGTGGTTGGTTTTATCAGAGAGGAGGCTGAGCAGGGCATCATAGGGGAAGTTGTACTGGTTGGAAATCGATTGCATAGGAGGATTAGAGGGGAGAAGGAGGAAATGGCGGTGCTGCTGAGTGAGCAGGATAGACTGGATGCATTGGAGCGGTATTTTAAGATATGGCTTGGTGAGAGGGAACAAATGGGAATTTTGGGCATGGGGACCCAGATTGAGGGTCCTTAAGGGGATCCGTACTGCGGATTGTGGTGAAACTGTTCACGGAATTTCCTTCTTCTCCTTCAATGTATTGCACTTCTCAGTACACATGCATGCAAGCTGTAGAATCAAAGTTTCAGCTACTGCCCGAGAATTGAAATCCTGCGCTGATTGAACATCGCACGTACTTCCCCGACGCAGGGTATCCCTTCTATACCTGGCTACCCTCCTGGTTCTTCCACCGCCACATACACCACTCATAAGGCGCCGGCTCCGCCTCTCCCCAATCATCATCACTACTTTCCTGTCCCTCCTCCACACACTCCAATCCCGCACCCTCAAACCGTTCCCAAAGATCACGGATGTGATCAATGTAAGCCATCCTCACCGGATAACAAATGATAACCCTGGAATCCTTTCCCGGAGCCAACCATGCCAAAATCGTCTTTAGTAAAAGTTCCGGGTGATCTTCATCGTAAACTACATCCGCGGCTAGGATGATGTGCGCTTTCCGTGAGGATTCGATGTATGAGGGACCTGAAGCCGCCTGAACTGGATTCACCAGCATCAATTTCTCTGGTTGAGTCCAGTCTAGGGCTCCGCATTGTGCTGTTGTTGATTTCTCGGCGAGGAGGGATCTGTTCAGGTTGATATTGTGTGCTAGACCGGGAACGATGGGTGGTAAGTCTGTGAGGATCGTGGGGAGATTCCAGATGGCTGCGGCGGAGAGTCCTACCAGGCCGGTTCCGGCGCCTAGTTCTAGAACCGGGACACTTCTGGATTCATTCTTTTGGGCTGTTGTGACAGTGGCGGTGTCTTTCCATTTTTGGAGGTGGTTGGCGAGAACGTAGGAAGCTCCCCAGGTTGCCAGGGAGAGATTTTCTGCTATGCAGCCGTCTTTTTCGTCAATGTGGATGGGAAGTGTATTCCCTGATGCATCCTGCTTGATAGCAAAAGGAGATTTGAGGGAGCGGAATTTCATCGTGGCGGGTGATGAGCAGATGGATTGGTTGGAGTACCCCGGGAAATCTGCTCTACTCAAGTCAACCAAGTCCAGATCTCCGCCAATATCTGCGCGTGAGATAGCTCGGAAGGAGATGGTCTGTTGAGGTTTATAAAATGTGATGGATGGTGATGGCTCTTTTCTTGCCTCGAGAATTCGAGAATTCACTCTAGCTGGAGTTTAGCCCGTTCTCAGATCTACCGCAAAGTTCAATCTTCATGTGACAGCTTCGCTTACCCTTTATTCTCTCTCGACTTACTTTTAGTTATTCATTCCCGAGGCATCCATCTCCAGAATCCACGAGCGCTATCATAGCTTGTACCTCAACAGTCACATCTCGGTCCAGTACCTGCAAACAACGTCACCTTCTCATCGCCAGCCAGCAAGCACAATCTCGATTCTGCGCGCCAAGCCAGACGGTCATTGCATCAAAATACTCGAAGATCTTCCCGCATTGGCTGCGCGGGCTTGTACTTCCACAGCAGCTAGTATTGACTGGAGCAGCTTGGCCACTCGCGGGAGTTGTCGAGTTCTTTGCTTGCTGAAAACGAGTCTATCACTCGAACCGTCAAAAAGCCAGTGCATTGACCTTGGAGGCCTCTATCCGCCGTTCATAGACGAGGGCAAGTTCTCGTCGTTGAGACGTATCATCCGCGCGCGACAGTTATTATATCAGTACACTCGAAGGTGATCTCACATCAACTGCCCATGTTGAATCCACCACAGCAACTAACAGCATACTAGTCGATTCAAGATTGAACATCATACAAGCACGCCCATCTGCCGCTATCACGCTCAACTTGACTCGACTCTTTACCTATCGCAACATGCCAATTTCCACTATCGCCGTCAAGCAGCTTCAAGATGGTCTCCAAAGACTTCCGCAGGAGCTGTACGATCAGGTCTACGCTTTGACCTTCACCATCGAGGCTGGAAAAGTGGTGCTCGACAGGAATTACCAAATTCCATCACAGCTTCAGGTCTGCCGGCACTTTCGAGAGAAGCTCCTCAAGAACTACTACGCCGCTACTATCTGGTTGCTGTGGGGTGAGCCTTGCAAGCCTTTCGACCGCAATGGCATACCTTATGTCAACATCGATCGGGTCTGTGTCCTTCATTGGCTCAATTCACTGTCTCAGGATGCCATGGACATTTTTGCGGCAAAACAATTCGATCGTCGCGCGCCATTTTGCGTCAAGGACCTCAGGCTTGGCCGTGGTGTCGATGCGCGCCCACTCCGTCCAGGGGTACATGCTGTAATATGTCATTCGAGATTGGAAGACAGCTTTGGACCGGGACTTTTCGAGTTGTACAGGGTCTCGTAATGCGGCACTGGACCCGAACGATATCGATTTCGAAAAGAAATGTTTGAGTGTGGAGTGGACTTCAGGGATGTGAGGGGGATTAAAAGATCCTCATGGAAGCGTTACACGGAAGAGGTTCAATCAATGATGGATCTGTGACCCAACTACGGCCGACTGGAACCAGATGAGCCATGCGAATTGCGTTCGAATTTGAAGCTGCTACTAGCCAGTGCAGTGGAGTGGGTACGCAGTCTCATGCTGGACCGTGTGGAAATATTGCTGCTTTTGTTGAGTCTTGCCTACACTGTCGGAACCTCTAGCTTGCGGGGGACTTCTTTGGGTTAGAATGTAGGCATTGTCTGAATTTGGCTCCAGTTTCARAGAGAGTGAGATTCCGTGGTGATGATGTGACCGGTGCGGCAGTCGAGTGAAGTCGAGGACAACCAAAGATACTAAGAAGGGCCCTTTGACCTGATTAACGGAGGGAGCAGTTGAGGGTGCTACTATTGCTGATWGCTTCTCATTTCCACCGCTCTGCTTAATGTCAGCACTTCTATCCATTCACTTCCCGGCTTCTTCCGAAGGCAAACGGCGACGTCAATCTTCGGTGGTTTTTCTCCATCAACCTCGTTTCTGCTTCCATCCTCATCATCATCAGCACCAGCACGTCCGCAATTCTCGCAGCGGTCAATGTTCATCGCTAACCCTCATCACAGATTAGAACTTTCCCATCGTCCAAGCAAATCTCCAACATGTCTACCTCAGCGCCCATCGTCAAGCAGCTCCACACGGGCCTCCAGACCCTGCCGCAGGAAATCTACGACAAGATCTACACCCTCACATTCGCCTACGACGCCGAGGAGGAAGCTTGCATCATCACCCAGGACTACAAGCCGCCCTTCCAGCTCCAGATCGACCGCAAGACCCGTGCGGCATTCATCAAGAAGTACTACGGCCGCGCCGCACCATTCTGTATCCAAGCGTACGGCAAGTCGGATCCCAAGCTGGGCACCTTCACGACCAATCTGCAATTGGCGATCTACCGCCAGCCACTCAAACTCTGGCTCGAATCTCTAGGCGACGATGCCTTGGGCGAGGTCCTTAAGAGGGGCAAGGGTACTAGTCACGACACGCAACGTGGACTGCTGGGTACGCTCGACTTCATCGGCATAGGAGAGCGGGCGTACCTCTATAGGGCGTACTACCGTCGAGTGTCTAAGCTGTTCAGAGCCGACTATCTCGAGCTGGGCAGAGTCTTCGACGGCGACAGCGGTGGCCCTGGAGGGTCTGCCGCAGGCACTGCGCGCGGGAATGCTAGGCGTTGAGGAAGCCTGTATCGTACACAATGCCAAGACTTGGGGAGGAGGCCGGCGTGGAATGCTGCTATCAGACCTCGAATTCAAAAGCCACCATACCTTTCATGCATTCCCCCGTAATTTACGCAATGCTTCAACCGGGTATGACTCTGTGCATAGTGTCGTGAGTAGAGCTGTCGATATGAGAAACCATCAACAAGAGCAGCGCCCCGAACTGATCTCTCGATTGATTAATGGCCACTCTGCTAGTAGCAGGGATTCTCATAGGCTTCAAATCATCGAGCCTGTAGAGAGCGAGGCATCAGGGCATTATGGATATGACTGAGGATGCCTTGTCCTGATGAATAATCCTATCGACAGCTCTGGTGCTAGTAGCAGGGATTCTAATAGGCTTCAAATCTTCGAGGTGGTAGAGAGCGAGGCCTCAGGACATTATGGACATGACTGAGGATGCCTTGTCCTGATGAATAATCCTCATATCGACAGCTCTGGTCGTGAGTCATTGCCATCCATCAAGATCCTCCTACCCAAAAGCCAACCTCCTCTGTCCCTTCTCTGGCCCACCAACCCCATTACTAGGAGGCCTTCCCCTCCCTTTACCCTTCGCCTTATTCACAGACCCAGCACCCGCGCTCGCAAGAGCACTCTTCGGCGGCGGTGGTTTCGGCGGAGTCTGGCTTTCCTTCTGTAAATCCTGGGCGAAGTGGAAGTCCTCATGCTCCGGCCTCTCTGTTTCAGCGATCTGCTTCTTGCAGCGAGGACAGGTATACGGCGCCTCTTCGTTATCCGTGGGGTCCGATTGCTCGATGGGTGGGGGAGTCACGTCGTACTGCCCAGATGTGGGAAGTGTATCATCGTCACGCTCCTCGAGTTCTTCTCCGTCTTGCTCAGCCTGTGTTTCCTGCTCGCTTGAACTGTCCTCCGGATGCGGGTYCTGCCTAGATCCGAAGAAAGTTGGGATGCCACCGACTTTGATCCTCCTCTTCTTCCTTGCAGGCCCCTCGCCACCGTCGCCTCTGGTAGCAGCGGCATTCACTGCTTTGGCCGTCTCTCCTCTCACGAGGAAACCTCCAATTCCAAGATTACCCTGAACACCATCCTCAAATCCACCTACAGCCAGACTCAGGTTTGCACAAGGCCATGCTCTCCCATCGACCACGACACCCGCCAATAGGTTCTTCGCTGCATCAAATAGTCCCTCCTCTGTGATGTTTTTTCCCATAGGAATCGGAGCCTGTTTACTCCTCGTCTGTGCTCCCTGCCGATGATGTATCGTAAGGGTCTTCGGTCGTCGCTTGTTATCCAATACACCCTCCTCCACCAACCTCCCAAAGATATCCGCGACGAAGATTCGTAGCCATCGACAAGCTACCTCAAAACTATTGATGCTCGGTCGGAAAGACTTTGCAGACAGCATACTCTTGATCTGCGTCCTAGGATTGACCTCGCTGTTGTCTTCCCCCCGAATGATGGAGTATAGCCACGAGCCCGTCTCATCCCCCATCTGTTTTTTCAGCTGTTCGATAGGAACAAGCAAGAGGTCAGAAACAGTGTCCGTGTTGAAAGCCGCAACAACCTCATCACCCAACTTCCCACCCAAATTCCGAATCTTCGTAAACTTGAATCCGCTCATGAAATGCCCCACGGCTCGATTCCTCACCACAGTCTGCGCATTAGGCTTTTTATGCGCAGACCCCAACTTCGCAATCATCTTGTTCCGACTCAAACCCGCCGAGCAAGTATAGTGCAACTCCTCCCAAATCTTCGCCCTCACATCCCTCACAATCTCACTCGCAACCAACATGACAATATCATCCCAATCAGGATCATCCTCCTCCACCTGCCCCATATCCAAATCGACCAAAGCATCCGCCTTCCAATCCAAAGCAGTCGTAGGCGGTCTGGGAAGCGGTTCCGAGGGATCATCATAAGGAGGAGGTCCCTTCAACTCCGGAAACCTTYCCAGCAAAATCGCATGCACTTGAGCCGAAAGATCCAAAAACACCTCATCAATACTAGCCTTCTCCACCCTCTGCGTGTCTTTCGGCAACATATCCTTAATCAACGCCAAAATCTTCCGACTCTCGATCCGATAAGGATCCAAACTGACTTTCCGCACTGCAATCTCCTTCCAGGCATCTTCCGAATAACTCCACTTCGCATCTCCTTCTTTCCAAGTCGCTACATGCTGACATATGATATCTGGGCACTTTTCTTTGGCGTCCGTGATGGTGACATGGCGATTGAGGCCGTATGCTCGAGCTGGGTAGTTGATGGCGATGAGACCTTGCCATTGTTGGACAGCTAAGGGCTGGTCTCGTGGGATGTCCAGGCGTACCATTTCACATTGCGCGTAAAATGCATCGAGATCGATGTGCGCGATGACGCGCAGCGGACACGTCGGAGAGGAGTGCGACAGGGTCGAGAGGTGCTTGTATGTGAATTTGCTGCGGCGTGTCGTAGCGTGAATCGGTGAGGAGTGGAATGGCTGGGAAGAGGACATTATGACATTTTGGCTGATGTGTTTTTGATATCGTTCATCTGAGGTCGGATTTGGGCGACGCGAGATGGACGCGCGCGAAAGTTGGTGGGTCGGAAACTACGTCATCATAAACATGAGATGAAATTGGAATTGCACGTGAATGTGGTGAGAAGAAGAAGAAAGTAATCATATACACATGCTATCCTTGCAATCGGTAGGCAATCCCACTGTACTACCTAGGTAATTCCTCCCAATGTTGATCCTAGAATGATCTCGATAGGTGTCTCCCGCCCTCTTCACCCTCAACCCTTCGCATTCCACCGGTCGTTGTACGCATTAACCGCCACAGCAACCTGACGATACAACCAGTTGCGGCTTCCCTCATCGGCAATAGGTATGAATGGCCCGTTGGAACCACCTTTCAGCACAATACTCATGCCAGTCCTCTCCTTCGAAATAGTCTGGATGTCTTTCAACAACACCTCCCACTCACTCGTGAGCTTCTTAGCCCGCACCAGCATGATCGAGTTGTAAGTGATGATCACCAACATAGTCGCCTCGCTACTCTGACGTGCTGCACTTGGTGTAGTCGGGCTGGTCGGCGAGCTCATGTTGCCCTGGGAGCCAGAGTTGAGTTCCAGATGAGCAATGTAGTTCTCGTTGAAGAACTTCCCGTTGTCTAGCGTCTTCAGCCAGAACTGGCCAAGTGCTTCTCGCTGCGAGTACGGCCGCACCACACCATCGGTACCGATGAACCTGGTCAGCCTGACTCGGTCAAGACCTTCCTGATCGAAGACGGTCGTGGTGTTTCGCACACCCTCCGCCAAGCTAGAGGCGAGATCAAAGGCTCCGATTGCTGCCTTCGTTGGGAGACCTAGCAGTCCTTTTCCAACGCCCTTGACGAAGCCGGCGGCCCCTTCCTTCTCGGCGCCTTGCAAAGGCTGCCTTGCCAGACCGCCGATGCCACTCGCCAGACTGGTCGCGAATGCGTTGCCACCAGATGTAATACCGTACAACGCATGCTTCGGTCGGTTTCTGCTGCGGGACATGCGTCGTGAATCCTGGAATTCCTTGTCCATACTCGCGGCTGCCAGTCCTTTGGAGATGCTGCCGGTGAATTTGCTCACCGAGTCCGAAATTCCAAAGACACTCTTCTTGACGAAGCTGCTTGCTCCCTTTGCGATGCCTACTCCAAGATCTTGTGGTCGATCTGTGACAAGCCCCTGGTACGGCTCGTAGAAGATGTCGGCAACACCTGATGAGATGTTGTTGAAGAGACCCACAGGATTACCCAAAAAGTCCGCACTTCCAATCACAATGTGGACTTGTCGGAGAGACTCTTGGACGTAGTGGCTCTGAATGCTGCTCATCAGCGCGCCCATGCTGAGTCTTGCGTTCTCCAGCATGAGGGCGTTGTAACGAATCGGAGCATCGTTGACGTTTCCAATGCTCATGGTCAGCACGTTCACTGCGAACATGAATGGGTTGCTGCTCGAACTACCCGTATCCTCCGCGTTGATTCTCTCCGTTCGGACGAAGCTCAAATCGAATTGCATAGGTTGGAGATGCAATAGCTCGAAATAGATATCTTGACCGCCGTCTTCTTGTTCGGGCTCTGGGATGTCGAGAGAAGCCGGAGCCAGCTGGCCTTCCTTCTCTTCCGTCCAGCTGGCGCCGGGGACCTTGGAGAAGTCCAGCAATGCGAAAATGAAGTCCTCGTCAATTTCGATTGTCATCTGCTGCATCAAGAAGGTCGCGTATTTGATATACAGCACACCATAGCTATCATCCTTGACCCTCGTCACGGTGGTGCGGAAGATGGGGTGAGCTTCCATCTCTTTGCCAGTCTTGGGCACCACACTGGGGTATAATATCAGAGGAAAGATGCCGCCGTAGAGCTGATTGTCGACTTGGATCCACTTTATGGTGATTGCAACAGTTTGGAACAACGGCGAATCCGTATATTTGAGTTCGATGTCTCTCCAAGTGGCGTAGACAAGCTCCCGCATTTGAGAGTTGACCAAGCTGATGCCGATACCTGCAAAGCGTATGGTAGCCCGCATTGTGACATCGGTGTCTTGTTCCTTGACCTCGAAGCCAGCTGTGGTGCTCTGGCTTGCCGAAGCGGACTTTTGCTTGTACAAACTCATCTGCGGTTTGTAGTTGCTGAAGACCAGGCTTTGGGTAGGACCATCTGCTACGACGTTCAGATCGATAATCTTCTGACCTTCCTTACCGAGCTGTCCAGGCTGTCCAGGGATTCTCATGGGAATGAGGTTGCCAATCTCTGCAAGCTTGACGTGTCTCTCTTTTCCGTTCGCACTGAGGATCAAATTCTTGTTCTTCGTCGCAGGGTAGTCCCACGCATATGGCATGATGCTGCGCGCAGGGAGACGGTACCGGATCGGCTTCCATCCCGAAGACGAACCTCTCTCCTCTTCGTCTTCGTCGACGTTGGGGTTGGCCTGCCAGAACAGGAATTCTTGGTCACTCTCGTTACGCATTGAGAATGGCCAGTGCTTCTTTTCCAGACTGAGATGCAGGAAGATAGTAGAGTGCTCCGTCATGACCTCAACTCGTATCAATTGTTGTCGACTTCCCGTCTTAGCCAGCTTGATGTGCACGCTGCCCATGTTTGCAATGTCGAAAGGACTACTCCATGAATTATTCACACCCGGGAAGCAAAGGCTCAGTTGCTGACCAGTAGCTTGCTTCAAAAACCTCAAGGCACGCTGGTCGCCGGGCTGCAGTGTCATGGCTTCGCTGGAGCCTGGCTCACGGATTTGAATCGCTTCCTCCAGTCTGCTTTTGACGATGAACCTTGGCGTAACGCTCACGACCTTGGTAAGCTTGTATTTGCCCTCGCCTTCGGTGACAGTCAGACCACAGTGCATTTCTGATCTTCCATCGGCAGAAGGAAGCTTGATATCAACATTCGCGCCAATGGCGTCAAAGCTAACAGGCTGACTCCAAGCGCTTTCGCCAACCTTGAGTAGAGCGCGATTCTTGCGGTCATCTGACGGGAAGGAGAACATGAAAGGCGTGGCTTTCCTTGACTCCTCCTCGGAAGTCGTGTCCGCGAAGGTCGCTGCTGTGCCTGCTGCAGACTTGGTGCTACCAAAGTACGCCTTGCTGCGTATATCCAGCTCGAGTCCAGKGCGGTTGAGGACGACATATGGACTGTAGAGAGTGATTTTGAATGCGCCGCCACTGTCCGGGACGTTGAAGTAGTGAATCTTCAGTCTCAGCTCCAGATTGTTGTTATCCTTGACGGTCAATGTCCGCTCCCGCCTGAAATCATTCTCGTTAGATGCCGCGTTGATGATGGCGAACTCGGACGCCTTGAAAGGTGTGTCTTGCATATCGACGCTCATCAACAGCAGGTGCGAGAGCTCTACGACATGCACAGGGCTGACGCCACCTTTCCGAAGAAAGTTCGTCCAGTCCTTCTTCGTGTTCTTGTCGTAAATGCGATATTTGAAGTCAAAGGGCAAGAGATTCTGCACTTCGATTGGAGCCGAAAGACGGATCCGCATATATGGGTACACGGCCGTCAAGGGGTTGTTCTTGTCGAAGATTGCCTGCATCTGGAAGTAGAAGGGAGGTGTGCTGTCCTCGGATTCGCCCTGGCAGGTGATGGTTCTAACAGGACGTTTCAGGAGATCTTTCCAGAACAAACGCTCGTTGCTCCAGGTATAGCCAAATCCCTGATCGGGCCTTACCACCAGCGAGTGCATGAAAGCCGCACCAATTGGAGCTGGTCTGCTCTCTCCAGGCGCGACCTTCTCGATCTTGAGCAAATGTCCGTCGTCTGGACTGTAAACGCCAAGCTCGATTGGGATCTGCGTGTGAWTCTCCACTAACATAGGACTCCTCAGGGTAATGTACTTCACATTGTCAAGCCCAAGCTCGACCTCAACCAACAAGCGATGCTGGACCTTATCCTTCCTAGGCTTGAGGTTGTACATCGTCTCACCCTCTCGGCTGACTTGAATGCGTTCGACACTATCGAAACCGCTGCCGTCCAGACGTATGCCGATGATGCCCGTTTGGCTCTCCGGGCTGAGGGTCTCACGCGTCGTGGTGGGGTCTTCGAAGCGCCATGGATGCTCTTCTCCATCCTTGAGCTTGGCAGCCTGGCCCTCTTCGGAGTCATCACAAGCCCACACATCGCAGTCAAAGCCTGTCCAGTTCCGAATCTTGTACGGGCTGTCGTTCCCTCTGGGTTTGCTGAGGACATCCTCCTCACTGCTTAAGAATCTCATCGACTTGCTCGCGAGTGCGATCGTTGCGCTCGTGATTGTCAACTCCAGGCTCTTTCTTGAGTACAGCTCGACAGCCAACTTCTCCGCCGGCGCCATCTCTTTGGCCATGTGGAACCCAACCTGCCAGGGCTCCACGAGCGGCTCCCATGCCGACTTGGAGAAGTTGTATACATTGAAGAATGTGTCTATGCTCGTGTCTGCGGTCAAGTTCCCGGTCCAGTCGCGCACATCCACATTGAAAGCTTTGACGCTCCAGTCCAGCATGGGAAGCTCGTGCAGGTCGCCAATAAGTACAACACGGATGCCCTGCATGTCGAGTTTCATTTCCTCGCGGCTTAGTACCGTAGAACCCGCTTTGGGGATGGATTTCTCCACAGTCTTGGGAGCCTTCGAAGCTGAAAGGCTTTTCACATGTCCTCCGGTGCTCTTCTTCATACTCTTCGCATCTTTAGTGCTCTTCGCCTGCGCAGCTTTCACTTGGGCGATCTTCTTCGGTTCCTCTCCTGCYATGTTCCCACCGTCTTGTGCTGCACTCATGGCCGTCGCACGATTGGCAATCTGCATTGCAAGCATAATGTCTCTCAGACTCAATCTCAAGACCAAGGGTTCGATGTCAACCTGAATGCTCGTAAGACTAGAGTCCTTGGCCATGTCGAGGCTTGTCTGAATGCTGAAGTCATCCAGGATACGCAGCCTCGTCGTCTCGAACTGATCCATGCGACAGAGGAACATTCCCACCTTCTCTACCTGCAGTGTCATGGCATGTTGCTGGCTTACAAGGACCTGCTTCGTGCCAAGCACAATGGCTTCAGAATTGCTAATGGCGGGGTTCGCGATCAGAACAATCTGTGCGTCAACAATATTGACTCGATAGGAGATGCTCATTGCGGGAGCGGCCTGAGAAGACGGCGCGTCTTTCGCCTGGGACCTCTTCTGCTCGACGATGTCTTGCGTGCTTGCGCTTACGGCATCATCGTCTTGATCGCCCTCTGCGGACTCCTCCTCTACCACCAAGGGCTCGTCTTGCTGCAGCCCGCTCTGCACAAACTTGAGTACGTCAAACAGGTAATCCAATGCAAGAATCACCCGTGGACTGTCTATCGTCAACAAGGCGATCAAGTTCTTCTCTTCCCCGCCAGAGATGGACACGCTGGCCATGAACTGTTGCTTGACGTCCGAATTTATCAGACTCATGATCTTGCGGAACTTGTTCTTGCCTTCGCCTTTGGAAGATCTCGAATCCGTAATGGTGAAGCTCTGCACTAACAGCTCGCTCTCAAGAGCTCCATCGCTGAGCATTCGGAGCTTGACACTCGTCTCGTTGAGCGAGAACTTTGACAAGCTGGCGGCTTCGAGGTCMCCGACTGGAGCATCAACCTTGCCTTGCACAAGCTCCAGACCCACCGCGCCGACCTTGAAGATAAGATCGAGCTTAGTCCATGCTTTGTCGTCGCTACCAAGCTCTGGTCCTTGATGAGACGGCCTCTGCGCAAGCGCGGTATCTTTCTTTGCGTCAGGTGGTGGCAATACAGCCTGTGCGGGCTCAACGACGTGGTCGGGAAGTTCTTCTTCGGCCTCCCCCTCCAATTCATCGGCATCCTCCAATGCAAAAGCCTGCGGTACGTTCCTTGAAAGCTCCATGGCGAATTTCATTTGCGCCTCTGTAAGCCGCAAGTTGATGTTCGACATGGACCCTTCAATCTCCATGTCTGGTCTTTCCAGGCCAAATCTGTGTTCAACTTGAGTGATGTTAAAATCCAGGTTGACCTTGTCGATCATCTCTAGCTCCTCACTCTGGTGGTTTGGGTAGTGGAACGTGCTCGTGAGACGAATGTTGTGAATACCAGCCGAGAGCTTGTTTGCCGTGTCGCCTCCTTCACCACTACCCTCAAGGGGTGCAAACTTGTTGTTCGCGTAAATTTCACCCAGGTAAGCAGTCATCATGTCCCTCTCGGGACTATCGGTTATGACCATTCTGGGAAACGCGACGATGGGCGTCTTGATCWAGATGTCGAAGTGCATCTTGCCTGCAGACTCCTGGACTTTGCTTGCCTGATTTGCCGCGGCCTGGCGAGCAGCATTGAAGATGGCTTGCATTTTGCCAAATTTCACACCAAATTCCATGATTTTGCGAAAAGGCTCTGTGAGGAAGTTGATCTTGATAGAGCCAGACCGGAGGTAAATGGAGTTGTCATGGCCGGGATAGGACGGAGAGTGGGCGTCAAAGGTCTCGTAGCGGAAGTCGGCCAGTTCATCGCCTTGAATGGAAACAAGCTTGCGGAGAGCAGAGTCCTCAGAGACGCCCTGATTGATATCGTCGACAAGATCAAGAGCACCAAGTCGGGCGCCAACTCGCATAGTTTGGCCCATCAAGAAGACATTGACCTCTGCGGACGTCAGACTGAGCGTCGCGAGGCGTATGCCGTCGTTATTGAGAATTACGGCGATCCGATTGAGCTGTGCTTTGATCCGAATCTTGTCACCGTCTGGCTGCTTCTCTGGTTCAGCGTCTTCTTCGTCTTCGATCTCTTTCACTCCGACATCCCGCTCGGTATTGTTGTTGGCGGGCACGAAAGTGACCATGGCGAAGTCAAGCAGGGTAAGTAGCGTCTTCCTCGTCACGAGTAGATTGATTGTAGATATGTCCACGTTGAGGTTCGTCTTGATGCCTTCATACTTGCTCTCGAATTCAGGATGATCCTTGTTCACCATTTGAAAATGTATTGTGAACAGATCTTGCTGAGTCTTGTTGACGAGATCCTCGCTTGAGATGAGGTTCCTGAACTCTGGTGCCGGACTATCCTCAACATGATCCTCCACTGTGAGCGCCCGAAGTCTGACATCGGCTACCATGTCGAATGGACGTTGATAGAACTCGAGGTAAAAGGTTTCGGCGATGAGGTCGACCAGAAGTCGATCCTCCCGCTTGCCTTCTGGATCAGACTTGTACAAGGAACCCTGCAGCTTGTCGACGGTGAACTTGAACTCAAAGTTGCGCTGCTCAGGATTGACATCTTGTTTCTTGGCCTCCTTATCTCCACTGCGTTGGACATCCCGTTGCTTCTCTTCTGCGCCGTGCTCAACCTCAGCTGAGAGCTCGGGTCGCGACGCCTGGAACGACTTTCCGCGAGGCCGTGATTGACTCTTCCTACGCGCTTTCGACTTTTCGTCATCTGGTGCTTTGAGAGCTTGCTTTGCTTGGTCGGCTGGCTCAGGCTCATCAAACTTGGGTATAGCAAAGTCGAGCAACTTCATGAGTGACTTGTATTTCTGATCCGAGAACTTTKCGTGTAAGACTGGGAGATGCCCGACAATCTTAAACTTGGTTAAATCAGTTGCTTTTGGGACAATGCAAGTCTGAACCTGGAAATCCATGCTGATTCTGTCAACAAGGTGGAAGTGACGAGACTTGGTTGCGGCATCGAGCTGTCTCTTGGTCTCATCAATGGTGTTACCGATGAGGAGCTGCGTAGACTCTAGCTTAAGCTGAAATTTGTCGTACATTAAAGATTCCAATTGCTTGAAGTCTTTGTCGGTGTACTGGTGCTTCTGCTTGCTCTGCACGTCGGCCAAGGTCTTCTTATCGATCAGATCGCTTCTAACGCTGATGTGACCAGCATCCAGGATCAAGCAAATGGTGCTCGTCTTGGTCACCGTGTCCGGCACGATGATGAGAGGGGCTTGCAAGTCCAACTGTACGTCAATGGTCTTGTGTTCTTGTAATGCAAACTCGAGTCCTGCTCTCGTCTGCTGTCGGATACCTTCTACAGTTGAGCCAGCAGTCTCCATCAGCGCTCCAATGGACTCCATATGCTTCTCTGGAGGCTTAAAGAATTTGGTGAGTTGAACGACAAAGTTCGGATTGTACACAATCTCCATCGCCTTCAGCTTGACATTCAACGCCGTGTCGGCACGATTGTCAAGCGGGTTATTCTCAAATGTGAGAGCGAAGAATGGATCTGCCTCAAGATCCGCATCATCGCCCTTGGCAGCTTCGTCCTTTGGCTTGCCATCATCGCCTATTTCCTGGACTCTCTGACTGTCCGGGACTGGAGGCGCGTCCTTGACTCTGAGCATCTGTTCGAACAAGTTGCCATCGGTCGATCCATCGTATATGCGCATCCCGCCCAGGCTGAGATCCACCATGGTGRAATCCGTTCGTTGCAAGAACTCGGTACTGAAGTCATCGAATAGTAGTCGCAGCATTTCCTGCTTCTTTCCGTGCGGGTCGCGTTTCAATGTGAAGCTTCCAGTCTTGAGGTTCATGTCGACTTGCATCTTGATTGCTTCCCGTGGCGCATCGACGGCTTCGGTAATATTCTTCTTCTCGTCGAAATCAATGGCTCGGTATAGCTCCTTTCGCTGCTCTTCAGACATCTGACTGTCGTCGTCCGTCTGTGCTTCCTGCTTAGAACCTCCCCAGACGTAGGATAGCCAGCCGGTATTTTGCTTTGCGGGCTTTTTGACTGCACCCTCCTTGCGCAGCTCATTCCTCGCCAGCGAACGCCAGAATCTCAAATCTTCGTATGTCAACTTTTTCTCGAGCCGGTCGAGATCCTTGCTCTCATCCGCGGTGAGGGTTTCCTCCCGTTTCTTCTTCTTGAACAACTTGATGTACTCTCGGCGATCGTCTCGTCGTTCCGCAAAGTAGGCCCATGACCAACGCTTGTTTTTGTCATGAATTCGCTCCACAACTGCATTTCCGGCAAACAGGAGCCAAGCACGGGGATCTTCCTTTGGCGACTTTTTTGGCTGCAATTTCTTGTACTCCTGGTGCCGTATGAAGTAGTGAAAGAGATCTACCAGCATCAAGGCGTCTCTATATTGGTGGTCGTCGAGGACGAAACCCAACTCGTTGAACAACAAGCGAGCCTTCATCTTGGGGCGATCATGCTTGCCGCTCTTGTCCATTTCCAGTCCTGCACGTCCAGAGACCGGCTTCAAGATGAATTGGTGCTCTTTCACAGCTTCACTATCGCTTGCGACGATCAAACTCCGAAGCTTGTCTACGACATCTTGATGATTCATGCCCTGTTCTTTTGCATCCTGCTGTCCGGTACCGGTGCCCAATAACTCCGTATCGGTATCCCAGTAGACACCGAGAGAGCCCAGGGTAGCCAGCTTGTGTGTTGTGACGCTCGCTCCTTGAATCCATGTCGGCTTCCAATTCTCATCCGTTGATACTGCACTCAGCTCTTGAAGCGTGATGCCAGCGGCGAAGGGATGTCCAGGGTCGGAAATGGCGTCTTCGTATCGGATGTGTACATTCTTCACCTGGATCTGCACGTTGTCGATAATGGAGGTGGTCAAAGCCGCAGTGAAGGTCTGTTGCTTTTGCTGCTCCTCCTGTGACATGCCTTCTGTGTTGCGTTCCTTGAGCAGTTCTGCACTGTCCAGCTTCTCCATCTTGACAGCGTGTGCTCGTTTCTCCTCGTCTTCAGCATTGTATTCTTGATCCTCCTTGGGCGCTGCAAGCAGAAACACATCTTCGATTGTGATCCTCACAGGCTGGCCTCGCAAGTTGGTCCAGGGAATCTTCAGGACCAGTGAGCTTATGTGTCCCTCCACTACATTGAGTGGCAGGTGGAATTGGTCGAGTGCTTCCCGGCGCAGCTCGAGGTCCTTGAGCTTGACGTCGCCGCCCCAGATGCCGACATTAAGCTGTTTGGGGTCAAAGTTCCGCACGTACATGCCCAGGAAACGGTTCAGTAGGTTAGCCACCAGGCTCTCCAACACCATGACGGCGGTGGGGCAGCCGTGGCTGCTGGGTGGGATATTAAATGAGGGGCAATGTCGTCTGTAGATGGTCTGTCTGTCTGTATTTCAGGTTGCGGCCGTGGTATCTCGTCAGATCATCGTCGTCTCGTTGTAGTGTTCACACGCGGCCGTCAGCGTGTWGTGGAGGAGGAGGTGGAGGCCGTAGAAAGGGTAGAAACGGCGTGGATATTGAAGCAAGGACGTCTGCCTGCTGGACAAAACCGGAAAGCGGTGTTTATTGAACCTTTTCCCCACCAACGAGCTCACTTGCACGCCATGGACTTTTGACTTTGACTGGATCTGGGTGACAAGCGATCTCGTGACGTCATGAGGATTCACCTCACTGTTACGGTACCTTACTTTATCTCAGAGCTCAGGCGTGGGAACGTGCGAGCAAGGTAGGTACTGAGACAAAAAGTCGACTTCATCACAACATTACAACTTCATCTTTCCGTTGCGATCTTCATTCTTTCTTCTCCTCAAGCTTCAACATGGAAAATGGAAAATGGAACGTTTGAGATCAGTTCGGCGCCCCAGTCTTGCATACAACGCTTCCCCCAGTTTTCTCACTCAACCACCAAGACATCGTCATCCATTCTTGTCTTGTTTTCTGCTTTCCTACATCACGGAAAACTTGAATTCAGTACTACGTCTCGCATTATACAAGATAAATAGACCTCTKAAAGGTACCCGCGTCCTGCTCTGGTTCGCCCGGGTGGACTTGTACGGAACCACCTGAAGTACTGGCCACGAGAGCCTTGTGCGCCGACGGTACAATAATGGATGACCCACGAGAGGATACAGAGGCTGTGAAAACGTGACCAACAGAGCTCATAAATAGTCTCACCGCCCAAGTTGCATTTCATTCCATTACATCCTTCAAAAGATTTCTCTCCAGATCACACAACACCACACATTACCATACATCACCCACCTAGACCAAAATGATCATCTTCAAACTCACGTCGATTCTCGCCCTCACTACGATGGCCGTGGCCTTGCCTGCCAATACCTCTCCGGAAGCTGCCAACAACGCATCCTCTATTGCTAAGTGTAAAGATCCGGATCACCATTGCGTGAAATCCTACAGCAAGTCTTCCTAGCAGCTCCTCGCTCTGCCAGCATCTATTTCTGCTAATGATTGACAACTACAGAACTGTGCAAGGAGTGCTGGCAAAACCCGTGCTGCCGAGACGACCAGGTGTGTAGGTGGTTCGACGAACCTTGGTGGGTGGTCTGGCGAAACTGGGAGAGGGGAGATGCTAGATGTCAGGAGCCCTTGTCGACCGATAGCGGTGAAGCCACAACATCCGTAACCTTGCTTGCGGATATCACGCCAGCAACAGGCAACACAACCACCATTCTTACCCAAGAGCACCAACTAGAGACCCGTCAATCAGAGACACACGTGGCACAGGTAGATTGCTTCGAGGATGAAGGTAAGTCCCCCCACACCTGCTCACTTTCTTAATTGTAGGCCCAACAGCTAATCAAGTGCGACAAAATAGCAGAGTGCTGGCTAAGCGGTCCAACGTGCTGCAATGACAACATGGAGTGCCGGGGAAAATTGAGTATCCATTGGCCCTGGGAGAAGGCTGAACACCTCGCGTGTCGTAACAAGACACCAGAGTAGCATTGAACATACTTGGCACGGGAGGAAGGATTCTCTGCAACGTACCAAGGGGCAATCTGCCTGGCAGGGCCGTCGATGAGGAATTGGTCGAAAAAATAGAGGCCTGGACAATTTCCGGGCATTTTTGCAAAGGTGTTCTCTCAACGGGACAGTTGGCTTCAAGAGTCACGAGAGCCCTCGCGTTAGCACCTTGGCTCGTTTAATGTTGGAGTATTGTTGGGACGTAGTTCACGTTATACGATTCTCAGGTTCAGACTGCTCTTCACAATCCCCATTCGTTCTTTAGTCCAGCTTTCCACTCCTTCAAAGCTACGGTCTCACCTATGAGAGCCGTCTCGCCTTTCCCAAAAGCGGTCGTCAGCAGAGGCACGTACACAGAGTCATGGTTCTTGCTCTGGGTTCTTCCGGAGACGTCACTTGCCAACAGCTGCTCCTGGCAGTCACTTGTCTCACAGAAATCGTCGCAAATTAGATTTCAGGTCCTCCCATCCCAGACGTGGACTCTAATCGAATATAGTCCATCGCATCCGCCAATGGAGCCGTCTAGTGATACAGCACCGGTCGTATCTTTCCCACACTTGAGCACCGCAAGCCCAGCGGCATCATACTCCCTGTTCGCGTACACTGCCGCTAAGTAATTCACCCTAGCCCCAAGTAGGAGAAGACTTTAGAGATGACATAGAAGCCATATCCGTGGTTTCGAAGGATCATCGTCAGACAATATTTAGATAGCATCCCAGGTGAGTCAGTGCCAACCGAATCCTCGACTTATAGATGACACATGGCAAGGCTCACCTGCAAGTCCGCCGTGGTCCGGTTCGGGTCTTTTCCAGCCTCTTTGGTTTCGATTGCGGCCTGGTTGAGCGTAACTTCATATGCATGAATCGACCGCTCGAGCTTGCCCTGAACTCGATATACGCTGGCTAGACCAGACTGTACGTGATACAGCCGAGGACATATCTCAAACCCAATCGGTAGCGATCTAGTGCGGCATAATAATGCTTGTGGAGAAACAAGCTTCTGGCGAGCAATCGTGGCCAGTTGGCATGTTGCTCGAATCTTGTCCATTCAGCGGCCTTGATGATCTGCTCTGGGGATAATCTGGTACTTGCTCTATGGTTAAGCGATCTTGGAACATAAAAAGTCAGCAGGCGGCGTGGTCGCTACCAATTGTTTTACCCACTCCTTCTTTGCAGAATACAAAACCTTCAAGGCACTCTACCTTACACCCGTTGTCCAGGGTTCGGCCACTTGGCGAGTGCGACCCACAAAAGTAACCTGGAAGTCGTCGAGATCTTGTGCGACTTGTGGATCCTTGACGGAGGCCAAAAACTCCGGAAGCACGTGCCTAAGCATTTTTGCCAGGCCCTTTGGTGCTTTACTGAGAGCATCTCTGATATGGCTTAGCAGACGCTTGATTCTTTTTAGACAGCTCCGTGACCATTCACCTGACCCGCATGAATATATCCATTCGCCTTCGTTGTCAGCATTTCAGCTCCGAAGCTGAAATGTGGAGCGATTAGGCCAGACGGACAGCGGCCATCGCCTCAGCTGGTGTTATAGGTAAGTTATGTAAGTACTGTGAATTGGCACGCAGAGAGTCCGCTTGTGCTCCTTTGCTGCGGCCTCAGAGGTCAGTCTCCTTCGGAAGACTTCTTCATGTGAAAGACACAGCAGCATCTTCGCACGTTGAAGGTATTGAACGCGGAATGAAAGCGGCGGCAATAACCAGGCCGTCGTAGGCCAATCGCCCATGCTTATGCGCGCCTGTCTTGTGACCTCCAAGCTTCACTTGATGGCGATCGGGCAAATCTTCGCGACCTCAAAGCAGTCTCTTTGATGGCCCTCGATGGGTGACGAAAGCACGTGTAGGCATAGAGTGTATGAAAACGTGGAAGCACCTTGCCTTGGCCATCTGATCAACAGCCTGGAGGTGTGACGTCTTTCGTGAAAGCTCGGATGCCCTGCCGTGCCCAGCAACAGCCGACCAATGCGACAGAGCTTCACTTTGAAACACCGTCCACCGCGAGCATACCACACCTCACCCCATACTCTTCACTCTCCGCTGCGTTATCCCTGTCCCCGCTAGGCGGCCATCCGTCGGCCTTCTGCAGAAATGTTTCGCTCCAATGCTTCACGGACCTTGCTCCGCTCCCTCAATGCCTCCCCAAAGCTTACAGCGGCGCCCGTTTTCCGCCAACGCACTTCGCAGCTATGCACCCTCACTGCCCGCCGCCCGACGGCTTTGACTGCTCTCGCGAGGCCGTTGGCCATGCAGCTACGACTTTCCAGCACAAAGGGACCCATGGACACAATTGACAAGAAGACAGAAGATGCACTGGCCAAAAAGAAACTGCCCGTGGACCCAGAGGCTGTTAGTACCTCCTCCTCGGTCCACCCAGTCTTTGGAGAGGTCACTGGTGAGGAGAAGAGTGATGATACCGACATGATGGCTGGTGTGCGTTCCGATCTGCAGACGATCAAGGAGACTTTCTCCCTCGACGAAGTCCCACGTCAAGCCTACTACATTGGTCTCGCGGGTGTCCTCCCATATGTGGCCACTTCGCTGAGCACTGTCTTTTGCGCGTGGGAAATCAACCACGCCGCGGATACTGGCGCCGGCTTCCTGTTCGACGGCAAGACCGCCGAGCTGCTGCTRCACGTTCTTGAGCCAATTCAGGTGGGATATGGCGCTGCGGTTAGTCTAATCTTCTCTCGATACCACAACTTGGAGCGAATCTGACAAGTGCCTACAGATTATCTCCTTCCTCGGAGCTATCCACTGGGGCCTTGAATTCGCCAAGTATGGCGGCGAGCACGGCTACCCACGCTACTCGATTGGTGTTATCAACACCGCTCTCGCATGGCCCACCATCCTGATGCCTGTGGAATACGCTCTTATCTCGCAGTTCTTGCTCTTTACCTTCTCCTACTACCGTGATTCTCGCGCTGCCAGACAGGGCTGGGCACCCCACTGGTACGGCGTGTACCGATTTGTGCTGACCTTCATTGTCGGAAGTGCGATTGTTGTCTCTCTCATTGGCAGAGGCCAGATCACGCAGGAGATCTCGAGGCCGCATGGACCAGCTCAGAGAGTGAGGGACTTGAGGGCTCACCAAGAGGAGCTGTCTGGAACTGAGGAGGAGATGAGGAGGAAATTGCTTCCCAACGAGGGCGAGGATGATGAGGATGACGAGGAGGAGGAGGAGGGGGAGGAGGAGGAGGATGACGAGTAGAGGCATTGACCCTACGAATGGCTAAGAGGCATTGATCCTACGAATTGATGCAGCGGCGCTCGACTGCCATCTATGCCCTGTACTTACTTGCTCGACTACATGGGCAAACAACGTGTGTATACTTGTTCAATTAGGAAGCTAAGCTATTCGCTTACCGATACGCAACCCTCTGTCCGCCGCGCTTTTCCATCTTTGCCTGCCGTTTGCTCTGTCCCGCCGCTGTCGTTGCTGCTGCTGGGTCCTGTTGCTTAGCGGCACCTCCGCCCATCWAGCCCCTTGCACCCGTGAACACACCCCATGCCAGCCAAGCACTGTACAACGGCACAATCAACATGGCCCACCACGCCCAGTCCCCCGCCAGAGTCGCGAGCACAACATTTCCCCAGGTCCAATAGATGACATCCCACATCCACTCGGTCAGGCCCTTGGCTTCGAGATCCTCTCCCGCACGCTTCACCTCGCCAGTCTCGGAGGGCGTSGGGCGGGATATACGCTCAAGCCAGAACTCCAGACCTAAAGCTGGTAGGGATAGGACAATATAGCTGGTCCATGATCGGCGGAGGAGCAGCAGGCGAATGAGGAGGGAGAATCCGTGAACAGAGAGTGACGTGAGATGTGTGCGATTGAGGGTCGCGGTGTTGCGAGCTGCCAGCTGTTTGAGGGATTTCTAGAAATCATATTAGATACATGCTGCTAGATCAGAAATGCAAAGTGTACTTGAGCCATTGTTGTTGGAGAGCTGAAGCGATCCAGTCCAAAGTCAGATGACACTTTCAAGGTTGGGTTCAGCAGCTGTGCAGCATTCGCGGGGACAGGTCGAGATCTTGGCACGCGATCTGCATTGAGCACGGTCCCGTCGTTGTTGCCCTCGCATGTGGATCTAAACAACAACGCTTCAGCGGAGCGGCAAGCACGATCGCACGAGGCGGCAGCCACAACCACGATTTCACGACCGACACGATTGGCAGCTTTGACACTGACTGGCACCACGCGCTTTCCTTAGCAAAGTCCATCCTAATGTCGACATAGCAGTGACGACCACGTCACCTCACGGAGCGCAACACACCTGCGACACTTCACACCCTTGACATCGAACCGCCAATGCTTGCACACCTACGCCCGAGTCCCCTACCGTCTTTCCCTTCTCTTCTACCGCCGGCATGTCGCCCGCCTCAGGAATAGCGGCATCGCAGCTGCGACAGCTGATTTTCTACCACTTGGATAATGACATGGTCGACAACGCCAATTTTCTCGCGCAGCGCCTATTTGCTGCAGAACCGCGCAACCCGGACTCTTCACACTTACTCGCTCTCACCTACTTTCGACTCCGTCGCTTCCGAGCTGCCTTTGATTTCAGTCAAAAGTACGGCGCGAACGGACGCCACCTAGGATGCGCCTACATCTTTGCTCAGTCGTGCCTGGAGCTGGAGCAAAACATGGAGGGCGTGACTGCGTTGGAAAAATCCAAGAGCGCGTGGGCAGGGAAGAATGACTGGAAGCAGCATTCGGGGAGCTCCAGGAGGCACATACCAGACGCGGCTGCAGTCTTGACGCTGCTGGCGAAGCTATGGCGTGCGCATGGAGATTTCAACAAGGCTGGGGATTACTACATTGAGGCCCATAAGTTGAACCCGTTCGTTTGGGATGCTTTCGAGGGCTTGTGCAAGATCGGCGCGGATCTGAAGGTGGAGAACATGTTCAAATCGACGGCTGATATGCCTGGTGCTGCAGAGGCAGGTTCTGGAGAGACTCAGATCTACGTGGATGAGGACTCACGGCAACCGCTTTCGCACGTTAATCTTGGGCCCCACGCGCAGAATGTATTGACGACAATGGACGACCCGTTCACTTCTTCAATCACCGGGGGGTTGGAGGAACAGGATTTGCTGAACCCCAGAGTTCGGAGCAGACCGGCGCTTGGCCTTGCACTGAAGCAGGGTCGTTCTGATTGGGATACTCCGACCACTGTCGGTGGTTTGAATGATGATGATGTCGCAATGGGAGGGATTTCCGCGGAGAACGATGATACATTTCACGAAATGGCGGCGCCTGCTGCACCTTCGAGGAGGGAGAGAAAAGGCCCGTATGATATGTCAGATCGACCAAAGCAGCCTCCCATTCGCGGGCAGTCAGCCTCCGAGGGTATCTCGGACGATGCGCTTCAAGCTGCTCCAAGGAAACCTACGCTCGGCGGCCAGAAGAGAAACATATCCGGTGCGACCTCCCAGCCAGCAGTGGACTCCTCCCAGCCTCGTAGAAGTAATAGGCTATTCACCCAGACGACAGCTTCATCAAAGACGACCCGTTCCACCATGGATACGGCTGCGTCAATAGCAGGACGAGCTGATAGACCCGCTCGACAAGCCAAGCCGGCAACAGGAACCAGGGGTAGGACGGGTGCGGTCGTGGGACGGGTGGTCAGTGGAAACAGGAAAGTCTTGCCTCCCGACGAGAAGGAGAAGGAGAAGCGTGCTGGGACTCGAAACAATGAAAAGATTCCGTCCGTTCCCTCGGTCACATCAGCCATTCTACAAAAGTCACAGCCTGGACGTCCGTCACAGAGCGACATCCTCGCAGAGCAGCATGCCATGTCTGCTCTCCTGGACAACTTTCGCAACTTGGCAGTAGCATACAACGCCTCATCCAAGTTCTCWCTACCCGACGCCATAGCGGTCTTCCGCGCTTTACCCGCGACTCAACGAGAAACTCCCTGGGTCCTTGCCCAGCTGGGAAAAGCTCATTATGAAGCAGGCGATTACCGCGCGAGCGAAGAATGTTTCGCACGCCTTCTGAAACTAGTCCCGAGCCGAGTTGATGATATGGAAATCTACAGCACCGTCTTGTGGCACCTTAAAAAGGAAAGCACTCTGACATTTCTCTGTCGAAGTTTGCAAGATTCCCACTTCGATGCTCCACAAACTTGGGTCGCGGTCGGCAATGCCTTCAGTCTTGCCCGTGAACATGATCAGGCCATTGCGGCGTTCAAGCGAGCGACACAGATAGATCCCAAGTTCGGCTACACGTGGACATTGATGGGCCATGAGCACATCGCCAACGAGGCCTATGATTCCGCGCTTGCGAGTTTCAGGCACAGCGTCTCGGTCGATCGACGAGCGTATTCTGGGTGGTATGGGTTGGGCAAGGCGTACCAATGCATGGGCAAGTTGGAGGACGCGGAGAAACATTACCGGATTGCTTCCAACATCAATCCGTCCAATTCCACATTGCTGGTCTGTATTGGCGTGGTACTCGAGCGGTTGCGCAACAAGAAAGGAGCGCTGGCAAATTATACCAAGGCGTTGGAGTTGGCGCCTGACAGTGCCCTAGCGAGGTTCAAGAAGGCCAGGGTCCTGATGCACATGAAATATTACGATGATGCGCTGGGAGAACTTGAGATCTTGAAGAATCAGGCGCCTGATGAGGCCAATGTGCACTTTTTGCTTGGAAAGTGCTTCAAGGGATTGGGTGAGCGGGGAGAGGCGTTGAGGGCGTTCACTGAGGCCCTTAATCTGGACACCAAGGTAAGCTTTCGTCGATGTGGTATGCGAACTTTTGCTAACTTTTATCTCAGGCAGCGCCGTTCATCAAGGAAGCTATGGAAGCACTCGACGAGGAGGACGAGGAAAGCGATGATGACTGAGATGCAGATCACAGGATGGAAGTAAGGCCAAGGGCGAGCGTGGGCTTTCAATGCATTGCGTGGGTTGGTTTGCTTTCTGTTTGGCGTTTGAGCTTGACTCTTTTGAGCTGCTACGACACTTTTGCCAGAGGAGACGATGAAGCGAAGGTGCATTATGGGCTGGCGTTTCTATGGCATTTGGAGTTCCCGTCTCCTTGGGGACGATTTCATGGCCTTGTGGCACTTGACTATTGGGGGGAGGGCGGGAGTTTGCGACTTTCTTCTGGGTGTCAAAAACCTTTCTCTTATTCCTGCAGCCAATGAATGGAATGCTCGGTCGTCTGTCTCTCTAAGGGTGTACGTTGGATTGATGTGACGCTTTCTCCCACGTATCCTCCTTCCGCATGCCCAGCTGTGGAGATGTACTCTCCGCACAGTAGCTCCCCCAACACGCAGCTAAGATTCTTCCGGCATCACGGTTCTGCGAGGCGACCATTGGAATTGGTGTTGGGACATTGTGGGCGAGGCAGGTTCTGTCAGCATTGGAACCTCGAATGGTACAAACGAGGTTATGTCGACCTGAGGTATGCTATCAAAACCGCAAAATGTAGTATTGCTGACGCACATATGCGCAAAACCTATGAGCGTTACAGGGGTAATATCTCCTACCAGTCATATACAGTGGAGAATTGCTCTTGATACACCAGCATGCTCGCTGGCCATATGGCACTACCCCAACCCTAACCCTAATAACAACCACATAATCTTTCGAGACAGGAGAGGCGTCTAAGGTGTAGATGGTACACTTAGTACTCAGCAAGCACACAAGTCTCAGATCTATGATGTAACAATGCTCTATCTAAACACCACCCAATCGTCTCTCGCTCTCTCATCCAACCCACCCCTTCAAAACGCCCTCAAGAAAAACGACGAAATCGTCAACGCGCTGCCAGAAACTCCCCGACAAAGAAACTCGACATCAAAACTCGTAGTCACAGCGAATAAATATCCACTTGCACTAATAGCCACCGTCCCATTCGTCACAAAAGTCTGATATACAACTCTCTGCTGAAAGGGATAGAAACTCATCGCAAGCCAGCAGGTGGTACTGCTATCCGCCAGAGTAATCCGAGCATTAGCGTTCAAGGTGAACGTCTGACGGAACTCTAATTGTGGTATGATGTATTCCGTGATGGTGATGTCGTTGAATGTGTAGGTGGCGTTTGCGACGACGGGGGGGATTGGGATTGGATTTATACCGGGTTTTTGTGGGTATGTGATGAGTGAGATGTCGTCGATGGTGAGTATACCGCCTGCGGCTGAGGATTGAGATTGTGCGATTAAGGTGAGAGTTGTGATGTCGACTGAATCGAGGCGACCGCTGAGATGCACTTTGGTTTGCGGCTGGTTTACTGGGTAGTTGAGGAGTCCGAGTCCATATGAGCCTAGATTTACGACAGCGAGAGCGCCGTCTTGGGTGAGTCCTGAGGTGCCGATGCTGAATGTCATGTAGTAGGCGTTGCCAGCTGATGCACTGACTGGGGACTGTAGTGTCTGCCGCAGATTCAGATAGCCCGAATCGCCTGTGAAGGAGATGGCGCTACCAATACTGTCAGCAAATTCGTCATGTAGTGTGGATTTCTGACGTACGCGGAATTGTTAGATGCCGCTACTGAAGCACCCTCCTGGAATGCAACGGTCCAGGGCGACAAAGCTCCTGTACTGAAATCACCATTGGAAAGTTGCGATGTGCCGATTACAGCGGAAGGTTCTGTTCCCGCAAAGACACGGACAACACTGTCGAAGCCTCCAGTAGTCAGAGTTTCGTCTGTAGGGAACATGGTCCTCTTCAGATCGCATCGTCTGGTGGAAGATTGCCAGCTGACGCCCACACAAGCTGTACCTTGGGATGTGCAAGCATTGACGCATGCACCCAGGTCGCGTGCAGCAACGGGGTTGATACCGTAGATGTTAGCACTGCTGCCGTCACCGCTGGTTCCTGAGTAGTCAGCCCCACAGAGGATCATATATAGACTGCCTAGAAGTGAAAAGGAAGTAGTTAGCTTCGCGACTTGATAATGGTACTTGGATGATACTCTTACCATCGGCACCTGTATACATCTGACCATTGTCTGCGGGACAAGCCACCCGGCCGTAACTGATGTATGATACTACGCTCGTAGTGAATGTCGCAGTCGACGCTGGTTGGATCGATAGCGATGTGGTTGTAATAGTCGACCCAGCACGAGTGGTAGTAAAGGCTAATGTAGTCGTCTGACCAGGCACAGAATTGGTCATTACGACAGTCTCTGCTGCGAGTGTCGTTCTTATCGTCTGTGTGAGAGTTGATGCAGGAATCACGCTCGTTGTTGTTGAAACGATGATAACTGTGGATCCAGCAGCGGTCATCACCACATCACGAGTGGAGATTACGGTGGTAGGCTGGAGAATGGTCGATGCTGCTGCAGTGGAGACGATGGTCGATATGATTGTTGCTGCTTGCTTAGTACTGACAACAGTAACCACTGCCTCAGTCCGTGTGACAAAATTGGTCTAGCATGAACTGGTTAGCATATCCTGCCATTGATTTGACGATATATCTTACGATCGTAGAGCCCGAAACCGTGCTCACACTGATGACAGTTGATGTTGAAGCTGGTAGTGCGCTTGTAATGGTCTGGACGACAGTTCGACCGGCCTCAGTAGTTGTCACGAGGGCGGTGCCAGTCTCTCGTATCGTTGTCTCGTACGATATTGTTCGAGTGCTCGCAGGCAAAGTTGTCGTTTGAGTCGATACGACTATGCTACCAGGTAGGTAAGATGTGACGACTTGCGCTGGTCTAGTCGAAATGATTGTGCGCGTTTCGAACTGCGTAGATACCACGGGCGTAGGCACATACGTGCTTACGATGATAGAGCCTGGCGCTGTGGTGGTTTGTATTTGTAGAGAAGTCACCGTCGAGGCCGGTAAAGTGGAAGTCACTTGCTGAGTCGACGTGACAACAATGCCGTCGCCAATAGTAGTTGTAAGAAGACTTGTTGAGATCACAGTACTTCCTGGGATCAACGARGTGACTGTTTGAGTGACGTTGTAGGTGCTCCCAGTGACTGTGATTCGTTGTGTCTGTGTAAATGGCGGCGGTACGCTGATCAAAGTGCTCACTATGATAGAGTTTGGAGCCGTGGTTGTTTCGACTTGAACAATAGTCAACGTCGAAGCGGGAAGCGTAGATGTGATGCGCTCAGTCGAGGTGGAAACAACTCCGTTTCCAATCGTAGTCGTTATGAGATTAGTGGAGACGACAGTACTACCAGGAATCAGAGATGTGACTGTCGTCGTGATCGTAATCTGTTCTGTCAAAGTCGGCGGGGTTTCCGTCACCGTTGACACAACGTTAGAAGCCAGGGGTGTCTGTGATATATGTCAGCCTCTGATCGCTCTCCACAATAGGAGACAGAGCTGTCGAGCTCTGATAGGAAATAACATACCGCAGTAACAGTAACAGGTACTGAAGTAGTTAACAGGACAGTAGTTGTCGAAGCCGGCAAGACAATAACCGCAGTACTTGCATCCCGAGTAGAAACCGAGAGAATCGTAGTCGTCTCTCCACGCGCCGTAGTAGTAAGAGTGACTGTGAATGAAGATTCTAGTATAGTACTAGTAGTAGTCGTCGCAGGAACTTCCAACAGAGAGGTACTCGTCGAAACCAAAGTCGTGATCGTAACAGACTGACTTGCAGAACTCGAACTGTCCACTTCTTCACCAACGTCCTCGTTTGAATCGAGTCTGACAGCAGAGAAGGTAGGATCGTCAGAGTCAGTTTGCCCGTTGACTTCGGAGAAGAATATGCATTCGCCCGAGGTGTAAGATAGAGCAGCACAATCCTCCATTGCTTCACATCGGGAGATGCACTCTACTCCGACAGCACGTTTGAGCAGAGACTCGCGGCCAGAGATTGTTCCATTGTAGATCTCGCCGCAAGCTACGAGGTATGTCGTGCCGTCGCTCTCTGGGCCTTCATAAGATCTGCTATCGTACGCCGGACATGCACCAATGACGGCGTCTTCAACCGAATTTGATGTTGCTTCTGGGACTGGTCCAGGGATGGTGGTTGTGACTCCACCACTGGTATAAGTTGTGGTCAAACCCCCTGTTACTGCAGTTGAGAGCTGCCCACCCGATGTGAATGTTTGTGTCGTGCCTCCGATCACTGCTCGGACAGCAGTGCCACCGTAGACGTAAGTTCCAGGTGCTGTCGGAGCAGTAGGAATTGGAGATTCGGTTGGCTCAGACGAGGTCGTTATTGACGGGTTCTGCTGGGCATTACTACTACCAATCGGAGCGGCCGTTGGCAATGTGCCGCCTTGTGATACTGTGGCGTCCATCGATGTTGATATCAAGCTTGTGCTAATGACAACTGGCGGGACGGTTTCTGCGGGCTGTTCAAGTTCCATTGATACATAGTATCGTCTTTGAACTGCAAATATGATTCCAGGGACGCTTGAGATGCTGTCCAACCTGATATCGCTGCTTTTGACGCACATTTGCGACAAAATGTTGTATCCGACACCGACACATTCTGCGTCTGCGGTGCACGCAGCAATGCATGCCTCCTCGGATGGGATATCACTTAGAGTAGGTGAGGCTGTCCCTTCGTAGTTGCGACCACAGAATATCAGATAGGAATTGTCGTTGCCGCTAATACCGGCGCATGATCCAGGAGGGAAGTACAGGGTACCGTTGGATGCTGGGCAAGATATTGGGCGCACCGATGCTGACGCGCAGGCCACTTCGGTCGACTGCGTTGCTGAGGGTAGCGTCTCAGCTGAAGATGGTGCTGAAAGCGTGGGGCCGTCAGAGATCGACGGCCCAGTTGGGTAACCTGTTGACAGCTCGCTGGTGGAGTCAAAGATTGGCGAAGCGCCTTGAGATGTCGCCGGCGATGGCACCCCCGGCGATGATATCCCCGGCGATAGTGTGACATCTCCTCGACTGGAAAGTGGCGATGGTGTGAAAGTGTAAGGTAATGAGGAGCTACCACTGGAAACCCTGCATAGAGTGAGCATACCTAGTCTGTGAGTGCGATACGCTTCGACCTACCATCCGAGCGAGGGGAAAGTGAATGTTGTGGTCGTCGCGCATGATCTACGGTGATGTATCAGCAGTTGCTGTGCACAGTTCCCGGGCGATGAGTTACCTATATACGGTCTTCGTGACCACCGGAAGCACTGGGCAGTCGATTAGCACTGCTTCATCCAAGCAAGATCGTTCATGATACCTTGGCCTTGACAGAACTGTCCTAAGAGGAGAGCTCCCAACCCTCCACCTAGCAGCCGCATGCTGTCGATGAAGTCTGTTGAAGCATCGGCAAAAATTAGCTCGCGGCAAAGTATTGGCATGCGTGGAATGGCCCCTGGCTTCGTTGCTGTTGCGTACAATGCATTCCTTCCGCTACCATATTGTTGCCACATGCTTGAGCTCCACTTATCGAAGATTCGAGGCCAATCATCCCTCATCGACCCGGTATTCGTACTGTGCTCACAGACTACGACTCGTTGCCATGAGTAGAGCTGTCGATATGAGGATTATTCGTCGGGATACGGCATCCTTATTCAAACCGTAGTGTCCTAAGGCCTCGCTTTCTACAGAATCGACGATTCTAAATCTGCTAGAACCATTGCTACTAGCAGAGTGTTCCATTGATTAACCGAGAGAGCAGTTCATGGCGCTGTTCTTGTTGATGATTTCTCACATCGACAGCTCTGGCCTTGAGCCATCATGATTTGACATTAAGGGCTGGCATCTCCAGAACCATGTCCGACCTTGCGGGAGAATCAGGAAGCGAGCTGGGGTGGCTCGAGCCAGAGACTTCGATGTGGTCGTAATTCAAGGAGCCGGTGGAGATCACTGCCCGAGAACCGTGGACGACCTCGCTATCATGGAATCGCACAGTCATTGCTCATTTCCATCAGACACAGCATTGGATACGCTGTTCCATTGGTCTTGACCCACGACAGACATGTCCAAGGTTGTCCACGCATCCGCTCTGGGCGATGTCTTCTTGTAACAGGTAAGTCGGCAGATCAGATCAGATCAGACCAGAGATAGGCATCGAAAGGCTTGTATCAGACATTGGACTCATGTGTACACAAATCAATCGCTTCCAGGGAAGCACATGTCAGGTACTCCTCAAAGAAACATCATATGCTGTTGTCGGTGAATGGAGGAAGGAAGAGGAAGAGGAAGAGCACGTGAGATGAGAAGACAGGGATGATGAGGACTTGTCTCCGTGAATACGAGATTTACGAGATGCTTGACGGGCATTTCCCTCCCCTTCTTCCCAACCCCAACATCACGGACATCAAAGTTTGGCGCTGGCCTTCTTAAGAGCCTGCTCTGCGGCTGCATGGGTATACCTGCCGCCATCAGACGGACTCTCCGGCCAGTCGGCCTTTTCATCAAAGCGAATAATCTCCCCAAACCTGGCCGCGACCGCTTCAACTTCCGGAGGACCTTTGGTGAAATCCAAGTCTGCACCTCTCGCTCGCTGCCATCTCGTTGCTGCGAACCAACCTCCAGCCGCTTCGAAAATGCCACCGTTGTACGGAGGCTTCTGGCTGCACAGTGCGGTGACCAATGGAGCGACGAATTCCGGGCGAAGTGCTTGAACCTCAGCCTCGGGCCAGATGGTTCGCGTCATGTTGGTCCCCGCGGAAGGAGCTACCACATTCACGAAAACGTTATACTTCGCACCTTCTCGCGCTGCAGCCTTGGTGAAGCCGATGATGCCCGCCTTCGCAGCAGCATAATTGGCCTGTCCAAAGTTGCCGTAGATTCCAGATGTACTCGTGATGTTCACCACACGGCCGTACTTTTGCTTCACCATATGCGGAAGTGCCGCGCGAATGGTCTTGAAGGTTCCTCGCAGATGGCAGTTGATGACCTGACTCCACTGTTCGTCCGTCATGTTCTGGAATGACTTGTCGCGAAGGATGCCTGCATTGTTGACAAGCTGAGAAACATTCGGTCAKTGGCTGTCCGGACGCATTGTTCGTTGATGCGAGCGCTTACCAAATCGATCCGGCCATATGCATCAAGCACGGCTTGCACGACGGCATCCCCACGCTCCACCKTAATGTCACAAGCAATGGCTTCGAAYCCTTGCTGCTTGATCTCATCGGCAACGGCTTGTGCGTTTGCCACATCGTTCACGACCACTTTTGCTCCGAGTCTGCCTTGGGTCAGGTCTGCATCTTTTCGCCAGGCATTACTTCGCGACTTACCTTGCGAGATCAATCGCATAAGCTCTTCCCAGTCCAGCACCAGCGCCGGTGACCAGCGCAACCTTTCCCTGGATGCCGAGAGATTCTGCGCTGACTGGCTTGTTATCAGGGAGTTTGCCAGAGCTGGCAAGCAATCCCATCAAGTCTGCCGGCTGCTGCGGGTGCTCCGCGTTTTTAAAGTCCACAACCTTGGACCAACCCGCAAGGACATGCTGAGCGGTGAGTCCATCGGTTTTGAGAGCCAGACCTGGTCATAGATCTTGTTAGATCTTTCATCAATCTGCTACAGATTCATGTACTTACCTTTGCTTCGCTCCCATCGAATCTTGGAGAAGTGACCGGCACCGGCCTCGAAGATGCTTCCATTTTCTCGGCACGAAGAATGTGTCAACACGCCCACAATGGGAACGACGTATTCGGGTGCCATCAAGTCCATCATCTAACGCAGACGTGTGAGTATGCTTCGGAGATGCACACTTTGGCTCTACTGACCTCTTTTGGCCAAACTGTCTGCGTGAGACGGCTTGCAGCTCCGGGCGCCAGAACGTTGGTGAGAATGTTATATTTGGCTCCCTCTTTCGCCAGCGTCTCCGCAAAGCCAACGAGGGCAACCTTGGCAGCTTCATTTCCAACATGTGAGCGTCTTCTCGCACGAATTGTCTCGATTTTAGCTAACCTGCGTAATTGGATTGACCAAAATTTCCGAAGAGGCCGCTGGCACTCGTGGTTTGGATGACTCTGCCGTACTTTTGCTTCCTCATATATGGCCAGGCTGCTCTAGTTGTCTTATAAGCACCTTGCAAGTGGACGTCCATGATAATGTCCCTAGAAGAGGTAAGCTGGTTTACTTGTCGATTGAGCGTCCGCTTACCAGTCTGAAAGCATCTAATGTCAGCATTGTACGCTGTCGTTCGGTTGGATCTGGGGAGTAATGCACTCACCCTCATCTTTCATCTTCCGAATCGTGATGTCTCGCAGGATCCCAGCGTTATTGATCTTCCAAATCTGTCAAAACTGCATCTTCTCAACCCAACGGGAATCTTACCAGCACATCAACCCGATCAAAGTGCTTAATGGCCGTCTCAATGATCTTATCGCCTTGTTGAACAGGGTCATAATTCGCAACAGCAACACCTCCATTCTTGGTAATCTCTTCAACAACTTGATCGGCCACAGCACCACTTCGAGAATTTCCTGCACCATTAAAAGTACCCCCAAGATCATTGACTACAACCTAGAACGAAATGTCAGCAAGTGAATCCATGTGGAGTAGTAATCAGTAATGGCATCTTTCCATACCTTGGCACCTCTGGCTGCAAAAAAGCGGGCATAGGCTCTTCCAAGACCAGCTCCTGCTCCAGTTATGACAACGACTTGTCCATCGTAACGAATCTTGTCTGTCATCTTGGATTCAAATTTTGCAATGTTTGTTTATGTTTGTGCAGGTTTGATATACAATATGTTGGACCGAGAACATATAGTCTCGGCTATATGAGAGCGGGGCTGGGATTTGTTTCCGTGCAATGTCCGGCTGTGACTCTCTCTGCCAGAGCGACATGATGGAGTTCAAGGAACTGGATAATGTTTTTTAGACTATGCTGAAGTCGTCTGTTGCTGTCTGTGATCTGATATAGCATGAGCAGAAAGTGGATGTAGGTAAATTGGAGCTTCAGTCTCAAAATGGTCGACCCTTTGTCACAACAAAAACGAATCATTGATGCGATTGGACAGTGGAACGGCTGCTTCACCGCAGGCAGCAGTATCCACATGTCTGATCTCTTCCATGGTGGATGAGGGAACACCTCTGCGATTGGAGACAGTGGTGCAGCTGACAAAAAGCTAATGGACATCAGGCAGCAGCATTCCCGCAGTCCATCTAGAATTCCTTCCTTCAAAAAATTAAGACCAAGATCGATTCAACACACCATCAGAATGCAGCAGAATTGGAACAAAGGAACCTTCAAGCGCTTCTCGATACCATCCCCAGACCAGACCACACGAACGAAGCACATAAAGATGCAGTCTACTCAATCCACCACCTACGTGGCAAATTCCTAGTTTCCGCATCTCGAGATCAAACGGTCCGAATCTGGAACATCGAAACCCAAAGATTACTTCATCCACCTTTGAAATCCCACAATGCATCCGTCCTATGTGTGCAATTCGACGAAAGTGTCGCACAGGATGTCATTATCTCAGGGAGTGGCGGCGGTGTCAATAATGGAGAGGGTGATGCAGATTTTATTGTCTGGCGATTCTCCACTGGAGAAATTTTGAAGAAGGTTATGAGTGCTCATAAAGAGAGTATTTTTAAGTCTTTGCTTTGATGATGAGGTTCTTTCTTGTTACTGGGAGTAAAGATACGAGGATCAAAATCTGGAATCGAAGGGATTATTTGGTGGAGAGGGATGATGGGAAGATTATTATTTTACCTGCTTATAGGGAATTGCGCTGTCTGAGAGGTCATGTCGCTGCTGTTAATGTCGTTAGGATATTTCAGCATACTCTTGCTTCTGGAGGCGGGGATCGGGTTATACATCTCTGGGATCTTCGAACGGGGCAGATGTTACGGAGTCTAAGAGGGCATGTCACCGGTGTTGTCTGTTTGCAATATACGGGAAACTTGATCATCTCCGGGTCATCCGATAAAACTGCACGTATCTTCGATTTGGAGCGGCCGGATGAAGAGGTTCAGATTGCGTGTCTCGAAGGGCATGAGGGTATCGTTCGTGCTTTGCAGGTTCAAAAGTCGGAAATGGAGGCAAAGGTACTGCTGCAGATCGTGACGGGGAGCTATGATGGGACTGTTAAGATATGGCACCCTGATGATGGTGATTCGAGTTGTTGGAGGCCTCATCTCACGCTTTCGGTTCAGGAGGATACTACGGGAGACGAAAATCGGGTGTTTAATGTTCAGTGTGATGAGAGGAGATTGGTGTGTTGCTCGCAGAACAGCATTGTACTTTGGGACTTTGGCTTGGATGAGCAGGATATAAGTTCTGGTGAGGTGGATTCTGTGCGGCGTGGTGGAGAGGTGTAAATGGCGKTTCACGCCGGTTGACCATGTCGATACAGTATATTGACAAATATGTGTTGTCTTCACTATCGGTGTATCGTGGAGACACCAAAATAGTGGACGAAGGCCTCGTGTACGAAACTAAATGGTATTCATGGAGCGCTCAAAATTTTGTTCCCTACAGGTCAGATTTCACCTGACACGCTGGGCGGCTCTGTCGTAGTATAGTTGTGAACAAAGTGATAGAGAGGCCACGTAACATTGACTACAGAAGACTCGTGTAACGACTTTGCGGGTCTGCTAGCAATGCAGTTGCAGTCTGTTGATGCTAAACCAATCCTCGTGCTGATCTGGGCATTAGTTCCAGTCCTCCACCTTCTACGGATCAGGAGCCTCAGCCAAATCCCTCTTATATCTCTCCTTAGCTCTCTGCGAAGTCTCCTTATAATCGACATGCGGTCTCGGGTATCCCAACTTCTCAAATTCCGCTTTACTCAACCGCTCATGTGGCGCGAAAATCGCCTTGCCCTTTACATTCTTCAATTCAGGCACCCATTTACGAATATATTCGCCATCCTTATCACATTTCTCGKCTTGCGAAACAGGATTGAAGACGGTATAGCTCGGTTCCCAACCCTGAGTATTATTAGAAAGATCCCAATCGATCAAATGTTGGGCGAAAAATCTCTCTCCTCTTCTGTAATCGATCAAGAGGTTACCGGAAAGGTAGGAGGAAACATTCATGCGGCCTCTATTGTGCATGTAGGCTTCGTTTGCGAGCTGGCGCATACTTGCGTCGACGAATGGAACGCCTGTCGTGCCTTCACACCATTTCTTCCAGCCTTCCTCATCTTCTTCCCATTGGACATTGTTGAATTTCATATTTTGAGGGAGATTGAGAGAGCTGTGCGGTATCATGGCTGTGATGTGACGATAGAATTCCCGGAATACTAGCTCGCGGACCCAGGAAGCTATTCCAGCATCCCCGGCGTCGAAATGTTTGCCGTTGTTGTGTTTGGTGCAGGCGGCTAGAATCTCACGAATCGAAATTATGCCTGCAGATATGTAGGCTGATAGGCGGGATGATGGATCAAGTGCAGGTTCCGAACGATGGGCAGCGTAATCCCCGACCTGCATTATGATGTTAGTGATTTAGAGATGATCTTCAATTTGAAGACAACACACCTTATTCTGCAAGAAGTCTTCTAGCCTCTCCATCGCTGCATCGTGACCCGCAGGCCAAAGCTTGCGGATCCTTTCTTTCTCCTCCTTTGACGCAAATTGCTTCTCTTCCGGAACTTCGGGCATCTTAGATTCGAACAGCTCTTTGAATTCCTCTCTCGCCTTTTTGTCGTTCGCCTCTGGTGGAGGCACCAGATCAAGCAGCTCTGGATTCTTCTTCGTTTCCACCAACCATGCTCGGTGGTAGGGCGTGAAGACTTTGTGAGGCCCTCCAGCACCAGTCTTCAACTCCCCAGGTATGACAACTGTTTGATCGTGCATCACATCAAAACCAACACCATATTTTCCCTCCTGGAATTTTGAAACAAGATCGATATCTCGACGTAGCTCWTCAACTTCGTACTCCATATTCGCGAATACATGTGACACGTCATGCTTCTCCACAAATTCTCGCACCTTATCGCTCTTATCCTTTCTCTCTTCAGCAGTCACGATCGCTAGAGGAATGTTCTTCTCTTGCATCTCCTTCTTCAACATTTGCAACGTCTCGAGGATCAAATCGGTACGTGCAGGACTTGTACCATGCCACTCGAGATCCTTTGGCGAATGGAGATACATCGTGATCAAACTTCCACCTCCCTCTTTGGCCTTTGTGGAAGCAGCATGCAGGGCACGATTGTCTTGTGATCGCAGATCCTTGCTGCGAAACCAATGCAGAACATTTCGCGGTTTGCCATGGCTCTTATTCTTGGTGAGCAGCTCTTTTAGCTGATCAAAGGGAGTATCGTTGTCAATTTCTTTGGCGCGTTTCGTGGAGGGATGCTTCAGGGCGTCGTCTGTACTGGCAGATCGAGCGTGCTTGGACATGACTGGTAGTAGGGGCAAAAAGGTGCGCAAGAGAGGGCGAAAAGGGGTGAGCAGGGACATGCGATGAAATAAGAAGCGCAGAGTGAGGGATACGAGAACATTTCTCTTACACTTTCGGGCTGCATCATCGTTTGAACGTGCACGAGCGCCAATGGATGGTCGATGATGCAGTGGGGAATGTTGAGAGGTGCGGAAATTTAAGTTCACGCTAAGATCGATCGATCGGATGCGATCTCGCCATGGGCTTGGCGACTTCTCCACATCATTCCTYTCACGTTGAAATTTGACCTCATCAATGTCGACTATTGGAAAAAGACGCTGGCTATCGAAGAAAGGTAGCAAAATCAAATCCCTTCACATTAGAACAATATACATTCATTAAGATCTATCATCTACTGGATCATCGTGCCAAGATTATAGACAATGGCAATGAGCACTCATTGACCTCGTTCCTCCCCAGTGACAGACCATGTAAGCAACACCTTACTTTTCCTTTCTTTCCTTTCCTTCCGGAAACAATCCTAATCCTGGCCTGGATCCAAGATAGCGCTGATGAGAGCACTGCTATGTTCTACTCTCATCTAGAAGAATATGCCGAAAAGGGCGATTGGGATGAGAGCAAAGGTCGAAGAGACCTTTGTGCGGTCCGCAGCACCCGTGTATTCGGGAGGCGCAGGTGAAGAGTCAGTTACGCTCGCTGGAGGAGCTTCAGCTGGCATTTCCGGCGCCATGGGCGCGGCGGGTGCTGCCTCAGGAGCAGCTGGTGGTGCTGCCTCAGGAGCAGCTGGAGGCGCGGCCTCGGGAGCAGCTGGTGGTGCTGCCTCGGGAGAAGGTGGTGCGGCTTCAGGRGCAGCGGGTGGCGCAGCTTCAGGGGCGGCGGGTGGTGCAGCTTCAGGGGCGGCGGGTGGTGCAGCTTGAGGAGCGGCGGGTGGTGCGGCCTGAGGAGAAGCTGGTGGTGCGGCTGCTGGCTGACCAGCTGGTACTTGTAGTTGTCCATCAGGAATTTGCATAATGGTGTTGCCTGAAGGAGCAGAGGGAGGCGCAGCCTGTGCTGGAGGGGAGGCAGCGGGAGCCTCTGCTGGAGGGGAGGCAGCAGGAGGGGAGGCAGGAGGAGCTTGGGCCGGTGGAGCTTCTGCTGGAGGGGAGGTAGGTGGAGCTTGGGCAGGAGGCGCAGCAGGAGCCTCAGCTGGAGGGGAGGCAGCCGGTGGAGAGGCAGGAGGGGCAGCGGGGGCTTCTGCTGGTGGAGATGCAGCTGGAGGGGAGGCAGGAGGAGCTTGGGCAGGCGGAGCTGCCGCGGGTGGTGCCTGCGCGGGTGGCGCTTGTGCTGGAGGCGAGCCGGCTGGCACTTGGAGTTGGCCATCACCAATTTGCATGACAGGGCTGCCCGAAGGAGCGGGGTGGGGTACAGCCTTCTGGTACGTCAGTTGAGTGACCTTGGTCGTTGTGGTAAGCCTCTTAGTAGAGGTGAGGGTTGTAGTTGCCTTCATAGATTCAGAGCGCATGACATATGATGGCTGAGAGTGCGAAGCCGGTGGCGCGTGGTAAGAAGGAGAACTTGGTGGCGAGTACGAGGCAGAAGGGGATGGCGCCTGGTAGGTTGATGAATGGTACGGAGGTGGAGAGCTCCCAGCATGTGTGGGCTTCATAGTGGAGTGTTCGCTGGTTGGTGGATGATATGGAGGTGGTGCAACATAGCTTGGCTTCATGGTGGAGTGCTCGCTGGCTGGTGGAGTGTACGACGGAGCAACATATGTTGGCTTCATAGTGGAGTGTTCGCTCATAGTTGAATGATGAGTAGTTGGCGCAACGTATGTAGGCTTCATGGTGGAGTGCTCGCTGGTTGGTGGTTTGGAATACACGGGAGTGCTCATAGCGTGCGTCATCTCGCTGGAGCTATGGACTGGCATTGTGTGGCTAGAGCTGTACGTAGGCATCGTCTGGTAGACCTTGGAAGAACTCGAGCATTCCTGGGAGCTGGAAGGAGCAGAGTAGGAGGCCGCAGAGTGTTTGGCTGATGGGGGAGGCATATGCGTGACCGGCGGGACGTATGTGGCCGATGTAGGGTGCGGAGGCATCTCCATTGAAGAAGTGCCGTAGGATGGAGGTTGAGGCGGTCCATAAGTAGCAGCACGCTCCTGGTTGGGGAGTGCATATGCAGCTCCAGCGGCAAAGCCGATAAGAAGAGTAGAAAGCATCGTGATGTCGAAACGAACGTGATTGCAGTTGAAGATGTTAGCAGAAAATGCAATTCATGGCAGTACTGCCTTGATATATTCTGGATTTCTAGATTCGTCACTTTCCCGCCACTTGGTTAGCACTATTGGTTTTTCCTGTTGAAGACATTCAGCTTGTCATTCTTGCTGGTATACAATCCGTTCAGGATAGCGCAAGGCGTCATGTTGAGGACGCGTACCACATTGCAATTGCAGCCTACTCCATGCTCTCCACCAGGTCACGTCAAGAAGTTTGGCAACTGTCCAATGCCTGTAGCGAGTTTGCTGATATGTAATGTCAATGGTCGAGCAGCGGAGAGATTGATTGCGTAGACGAGCGATGAGCTGTCGATCGAACGCCGAGCGTGGTGTAATCAAGTGCGTCTGGGTGGACGACCCAGATTTTGGCACCGCGATGGTTCATCCTCGAAGTTTGGAGAGCACCGGACATTGCATACATGGATCCAATGGGTGCTTGTGTAGATGCTGCTTTCGCTGCTAGATCTGCCACTCAGCAGGAAGGTTTTCGTGCTGACCGCATGTCTGCCGCAAAACAATTCCGAGTTTGGCCAGCKACTGACAGACCGACAGGCATTATTTTGCTTACGGGTACATGGAATAATGATGTTGTTACTGTACACATAGATCAGACTGGGATGTCGGTCTCTTCATTAGCTATTACTATGCAACAAATCTGAAGCCGGGCACCTTTTCCAGGATTTTACCGTCTCGGTCAGCTTTACGGTTTTGCATCTTGAAGAAAGCAACYAGCACGAGGGTGATTAGAATGTAGGTGAATTGCAGCGATATCGTCGTCCACATTCCAATCAGGTAGTCCGGGCTATCCTGAGGACGGAAGATCGTGGATCCACACACACCACCCGCTGCTCCCATGGTGATCATCACGGCAGCTGTGATGCCCTTCTTCTCCATTCGAGAGCAGTTGTCCTGCCCCAGTGTCAGTGTTGCGGGTATGTTGCCTTCGAACCGTCAGTACAGTCTAAGCGAAATTAAGTGCAGTCAAGGGGGAAATACTGACCTTGAGTTCCATAGGTGGCGAGGAACAGCCCAAAGTACCGGGCGCCTGGAGGTCGAGCGTATAACACTACAAGTAGTCCGACGATACCGATGATAGACTGGAAAGTCATAATAGGCCACCGCATTTTGATTTTATCGGAGACGTACGCCCCAGCAATGGATCCAAAGATGGTGAAAACGTATGGCGGAGACGACAGAAGTTGCGCCTTGGCGTATTCGAAGCCCAAGCCTTGCCTTAGAATGATAGGAGCGAAGAATGCCAGGGAGTAGACACTCGATGCCTGTATGAAGTACATGAAGCCATAGAGCAGAATTTTCCAGTCGAGGACCATGCGGAGAGTCTCCTTTGCACTCGGATGGAGGATTTCYACGCTTTGTGTTTCTTCTTTCACGCGTTTGAGAGCGATGTACTTTTGTCGTTCGGTCAAGAATTTCACCTATAGCGGCGGGGTCAGCGTCGATGGACATGGGTCTAGTTCTGATCATGAGCGAGATATGACAGAGCCTACCTTCTCGGGAAACTCGATCAGGAACATGGGCGAGATCAGTCCTGCCACGACGGTGGCTATGCCCTCGACGATGAATATCTAGATATTCATCAAGTCAGCTCGTTCTAACTTGTACGAATAGTGTAGATTCTCACCCAACGCCACCCTTGAGCATAAAGGCCATCCCCAACGCGAATGAGAGACAAGACGTAGGCAAAGATCGGGCCAAAGCCAGAAGCTAGTAAAGATGCCATGTAGAAGATTGAGATCCGTCTCGCCGTCTCGAATCGTCGATACCATGATCCAATGATATAGACAGCTCCGGGAAACAGACCTGGGAGAATGTTGTCAGTCATAGTTATATATGAGTCGATCTATATAAAGACATACCAGCCTCAAAGACACCAAGAAAAGCACGGAGCACGGTGAGGATACTCCAGTGTGTGACAAAGCCCATTCCTACAGCTTGTTAGCAACGACCAATCGAGGATGAACATATGCTACTCTGTCTCACCCAGTACGCATGCTCCCCAAGAGACGATCAAAAAGCTGAGCCACCAGCGAGCTCCAACGCGACGAATCACATAGTTCGATGGCAGCTCAAACAGGCCATAACCGATGAAGAAGACAAGGAGCGCAATATTGCTTATGTTGAGATAAGTACTACATCGTGTAGGGGTTGTCTCATGGAACTCACTATCGATTGCCGACAAGTTCGAGATCGACGCTCATGTTCGCAATAAAGGCGGCGGATATATTAGAGCGGTCCAGCAGCGACAGCCCGAATACCACACAAAGCATGGGGAACACCCGAAAGTCGATTTTCCAAACAATCTTGCGCTCTTCTTCCGGAGTCCAGTCCTGTGCTGCCACATCTCCAATTCCCTTTGCAGACTTGCTGGATTTAGTAGACAAATGCTCGACATAACCTGTCGTACCCTTCTCTTTCTCGCCAATTCCATGCTCGACGCTCTCCATGTTGACAGACAAGTTGACAGAGAGCAGATTTGAAAAAAATCGAGACTCACCGAAGGGCGCACGAGAATCAATATGTCCTCCGAGCAACATCAATTATTCCGCCTTTGCCGAAGAGCTCCTGCTTGCTGTGCAGGATGTGCCACGGCAGGCATCCATTCCAAGCACCTAAGAGATTCTCCGCAGCGGAAGTCCAGCGAGTTGACACCGCCAAGCGTGAGTCTAAAAGCCTTCACGGCATGGAGTGGACCTCTAGAGCTACAAGGGGTTAGGGATACAGCAGTCTCTCGCCTATCAGCCAACTGTAGCAACCCAAAGGCATTGCGAACGCACGCGACGACCAACAACGTGCTGCACTAGAGCATGTGCTCGTGTCGTCCACGTGCGATCGCCAATGATGCAGGAGCTCCTACGAATTGGATGCAGTTTCCCCGCAGCAGGTCAAGAATACCAAGAGGGCCAAGGAGAGATCTACCTGGGGAGTCGAGAGAACGACTTGTGACTGCTTCTGTGGAGTCGCTTTCTTTTGGACGAACCCGAAGTCTGTAGTCTTAAATTTCTGGTTTCTCCTGATGCGTCTCAACTTTTAAAGGCCCGAGGATGTAATGAACGGCATGGCGGCCGACTCCTGTGATATTGATGGCTTTTGCACCGGTGGGTACGCGAAGCGGAGCCCAGAGCTTCTTCGTCAAAAGCTGCAGCTTGGGTAGTTGCACACTCATGATGACGAGCTGGATTGAACCACTAAGCGAGGTACTGTCTTGACCATGTTGACGGTAGTATTTCTTGATGATGATGGTCTTGTCCTGCTGTGAGTCTGTGAGATGTGAGCCGGATATTGTTCTCCGCAATTACGCTTCCTCGGCAAAAGTATACCCGTTGCCGAGTGTATGAACACCACTCAATCTTGGATAACGGCCTTGCGTGAAACGTGACGATACCATCGAGAAATGTCCAAGTCTACACATTCCTCCACCAGCCCGGAGAGTAATCATCCGGACTTTAATTTGACATGGGTTCAAAATCTTCTCAATGATCCGGACATTGTTCAGCTCCCCGGTCAGGACATTGTTCATCTCCCCGGACAAGCAAGCGTTGACCCGCGATGGGAAGGTCGCACATTCAACAGCATGTTCAATGTCACTCTGTCCCATGAATCCGGCATACGGGCTAGCCTATCCTTCCGAAGACCTTGTCGTGAGCCAGATGCTGTCGTCAAAGATGAAGACTGTTATCTAGTTTCATTGGGCACCGGACTTGATGGGAAACCCGGTCGAGCTCATGGAGGACTCTCGTCTCTCCTCTTAGATCAGTCCACTGGATCGGCGGCGGTTCGCTCAGCCAAAGAAGAGGGTGATGATCCGCCCGCGACTGCGACTATGACCGTCGACTACAAAGCCTCGATCGATACGCCATGTGTCATTTTGGTCCGAWCGTGGGCTACAGAGCTCAGTGGAAGGAAGGTCTGGGTGAAGGGAGTCATCCAGGAGGATGGGAGCGGGAAAGTGTTTGCGACTGCGAAAGCACTCTTTGTGCATCCAAGGCCAAAGGCTTCGTTGTGAGAGTTCCCAATGGTTGTGAAGAGTGGAAACCGGGAAGTTGATACTCCTGGCTTCTGGATCGAAATACTATGCCTCTCTCGTCATAGTGTAAGATACTCCGATCGAGTATCTGCCATTGTCTCATCATCGTTGGCTGTGATATCGGCAGAAGTGTTGATAGATCAGACGTTGCTCATTCCTAGGTACTGCGAGACTGGCTGGTATTTGGAATCCGTTTGTTAGCAGGAGCGAGTGTGGCTTGCTGCAAGCCTCACCATCGAAGAATTATGGATAATTCAATAGTCCCAGCCTCCCAGGCGTGGCTACTTTCGGCGAAATGCAAGTAGTGAACTCAAGTAGGTGATCTACATCGCAATAAGCGACATTACGCAGCCGCCGTTCCTTGGTATATGATCTAGAAGTTTGGTTGACTCTCTTGGCTTGTCCCTGACTTTTTAACATCACCTTCCACCCTCCCTCCCCACCTGGACAGAACGGCCTCGTCTAGAATTCAGTCTCCGCCTCACAAGGCYTTTGAGCGCGCAGAAGGATAAAGTGCCATGCAAAGTTGCACGCGTTCCAGAGCTCGTTGCTGAGGATCATCAATGTGTGGGGTCAGCCTTATTGGTGGTGAGATCATCATATAGCTGCTGATCGGGCATCTAGCGCTTCTTTAGAGTTGCTTGCACCGCACTGCCGGGGCAGCGTTAATAATTCCGTGGAGAAGGAACTGTTTACGGACGTCTGGAACAATCCGCCCAAGCATGAATCTGCAGCGACCTCTGGCTGCAGAAGGTAGTGTTTCTGGTAGAGGCAATTATCATCCGCAACTTACGGTCCATGTCTCATTTTGTTGCAGCAGGTAGCCAAGGCGAGGGTGACTTCAACCCGATTGTCCAACCAGTCGTCTTGACAGGAAAGAAGAGGCCGGGTCCGAAACGAGATAGCAAGCCAGCGCCATCCGAAAAGCTCGAGAGAAATCGGCAAGCACAGAGGTTGGTCGGAAGATGGATACCTGTTCACGCTTCAACTCAGCTGATTCATCAACAGAACTCACCGAGAGAGGAAAGAGCAATACACCAAAGATCTAGAACTAGAGCTTTCCAGGCTTCGCGAACTGTTCGTGAACACGGCTCGAGAACGAGATGCAGCGCACCAGGAGAGAGATGAAGCTCTCAAAGCCCGAGACCACCTTCTTGAGGAGAATAGAAGACTCAAAAACGCGCTCCAAATGTCTTCCTCTACAGCGGGTACCGACTCTGGATATGATGGTATTACCATGTCCGGTACGAGCACACGGACTAACAGTATCTCCTTCTCAGGCGGACTGTCAACCAACCTCTCACAGTCAGTACTCCCTGGGGCAGGCTTCGTGAACGAGCAGCAGCAACCAAAAATGAATATATGGGAGCTCAGCGAGACTCGTGGCTTTGCCTCTGACGGGCCACTCCAGACCACACCGCCGATCAAGACAGAATTCAGAGAAGGTTCAGCTCAGTCGTCAGCCGGTTCTCTCATGCCAAGTCAGCCTTCAGCTGCCGTCGAGATCGACTACGACGAGCTCGCCCTAGATTTTGTGCTTACGTGAGTCGTTGCAGGTTTACAATTGCGATTGATGTACGACTAATTCCCTTTCGTCAGCCTCGAACGGCCATGCATGGGACACTTACAGTATCTTACAGTCCGCGCTCACAACTTCCCGCAATGTCCACAATCGGAGATGCCTGGCCAACCCATGGAAGTACCGGATGATGGAGAGAATCAGCACATTTCTGGCCATGCGCTGATGGCTACAGCGCCTCCTTATAGTCACATAATGGACCATCCGGCCGATCGATATCCCAACGAGCTTCCGCAAGTACAAAGGGAGGATCTTCTGCGCCTGCTGAACCTTAGCTCGCAACTGCAGGTCACGGAGGCGGAACTTCCGCCCGTCAAGGCTTGGATTAGAGTCATGCAAGATGAGCGATTCAAAATGTTGAGTGCAGAAAATTTCGCAAGATTGAAAGCTACGCTTGCCAGGAAGGTGCATTGCTATCGGTAAGTCTTTGCTGGAACCGGCGTTGTATGGAAATGATGGCTAATCGGATGGTAGATTCGGTGCAGTCCTCGAAGAGCAAGATATAGCGGATGCAATGCAGGCGATTCTCAACGTAGGGAATGGGCCTTTCAATGTACTCCCCGCAGCTGGACCGGCGCTTGCGTGACGAAGATGACTGGGATTCCGCAAGAGCACGGGGATGTTGCACTTGATGCTATCTCGCTCTGCGAATATGATGTTGACATTGCGAAAATAACTGTAATCTCCTCAAGAATGCTTTGATATAAGATAAATTGATATCAGCAACACGATGGCATGGAATAAAGAGCGCGCCTCACCGATCAGATCTAATCTGTGCGTGTTTGATGGACGATGAACCTCAGCTTTCTACCCTGCGAGGACTGACTGYGTCGTGCCTGTGGGCCGTGGCACACTTTGCGCTGATCATGTGGATGATGTAAGGTAGGCACGATCGTCTGGGCGCACATGCACGGCACAGATCAACGTGGCGCAGTTGCGTACGCTGCAGCACACGTCCGAGGGCTCTGTCGCATCGAATATCGTGAAACCAGGGTTTGGAGTATTGCGAGGCACGGAACGACGCCATGATGCTTCCATATGGCGTAGAGAGCTCTCATGCATGAGGCTCCGAGGCGTATGCGCGATGGTGGTGGCTGAGCAGAAGAGCTCTAGGTACTCTCGCTGTGGAGCAGCTCCTCCTGGTTCAAATGCCTTCGCTCGCTGTGTTGATGGCACATGGCGAGCGCGTATCGTGAATCGTGACACATGTCAAAACAGCTGAGTAGACGACGGTCTGACATTGATGATGTCTGCGTGATGCAGGGGTCCCCGGCCATGTTGGCCTGGCTCATCTCTAGCCACGACAAGGGTAGCCATTGCGTTGAGATGCCGTACCTGAGGCCGTGCTGTGAGAGGCCAGATGCTACTGCAGCAGTGTGCATAGATAGTGCTCTAAGTAGATAATGGAGACACCCAAACCTGATCTGTACGCTTCCTGCCCGGGTTCTGTCAATGCGTACCATTGTGTCATTGACGAAGACTGGGGCTGTTAGATTACATGTCATTTATCAGAACTAGCGTGCCGAGCGAGGAACGCGTGCAGTGGTGCGTTCCCTCTTCCTGCACGATACTACTGTATCCTGTTTTCGCACAATTGCGTATCACTCTTTCCTTCTTTGCGTTCGCTCTTTCGCTCGTTCCTTGTTATTCTCCCATTCCTCGGACTTATCTTGATCCAGCACGTGGCGATCGCCATACTTTCGACCGCGGCGGAAGGGGTCCGGGCCTTACTCCACTAAACCAGGCATACTCTCCGGCCGGCGGACTTTGGAACTGCTCCCAAGCGACCACGGTTCTACGCGCATTGCACTTGATCCTCTCGGGTCCTGCTGCACGGCACTGCATTTAATACATACCCTGCATCCGCCGCCCTGCAGATCAACGCGCAGGACTACCAAGCGCCCGTGACCGACCGGCGACAACAGCAGCGGCATCATCTTCACACATGTATACATAACATCTGATAGCTGAACCCACCGGCCAACCGCCGAAATGCTGCGACCGGCGACACCGTTATCGATCATCTTCTTCGTCGCATTTGTGCTACTGCTACTCAGCACCCTGTCCACGCCAATAATCAAGAGCATTCCCCTGGGCCGATATCAGAAATACAACTTTGGCGTGCTGGGATACTGTCACGACGATGGCACTTGTGTGAGCCCACGCCTGGGCTACAGCACTGACGGCCTGTTCACCTCGGACGGTACCAGCGGCACCGATGGCGACTTCACGCTCCCATCCTCCACGCGACACAGTCTGTCTGCAATTCTGATCATCCACCCGATTGCTGCCCTGCTTGCACTCATCTGCTTTGGCCTTGCATGCGCCGCACATCTCCGAGGACCAAGTCACTCGCCCCGATACCTTCTCGCCTTGCTGATCCTCACCATTCCGACGCTACTATGCACCATCCTCGCGTTCCTCGTCGACATTCTGCTGTGGGTGCCGCACATGCAATGGGGCGGCTGGATCGTGTTGGGCGCCACCATTCTCATCATCGCATCAAGCATCGTGACATGCGCCATGCGGAGAACGCTCGTCAGTCGCAAGGCTAGGAAAAAGCGAATCGCCGAAAATGCCGATATGAATGGCTCGACCTACTACGACGCCTTGGCCCAACAGCGAATGATGGTGGATGAGGCTTTGCCAAAAGCAGAGAGTCCGCCACCCATGAGTGGAAGTACAGCAGTGGAAAAAGCGGAGGGACAGCAGTACGCGACGTATGAGATGAAGCGGGAGGTTGGCACTTCACATGGGGACGACGACCGTACGCCGCTCAACCCGACCGCAAGCATCCGTTCCGGCAGCGCGCACGGCGATATGGGAGCGCGAAGACCTTACGGGGACGACGGCGCACCACCAATGCCTGTGGGAGTAACACGAGATCAATACGGCAATGTCATCGCAGCTACGGGAGCTCCGGGAGCCGCACTTAGGTCACAACATTCACAAGGGTCGCTCAATTCGAATTCTCAATCGAATGGGTATTCTCGCGGAAGAGGCGGCTATCCTCCAAATGTTAGAGGCGGCTATCCTCAAGACGCAAGAGGCGGCTATGCTAGAGGCTATGGTGGTCCCCCTAGAGGAGCATACAACGGCCCTCCCAGAGGAAGAGGGGGGTTCCGCGGACAACCACCGCCGCCAGGTTGGAGAGGTCGAGGAGGCCGTGGAGGTGCTCCTCCAGGCATGATACCCAGCATGATGCGGGGGAATGGACGGCCGCCCCCGGGCTATTCTGGTCCACCCCGTGATCAGTACGGCAACGCGGCACCGAGAAACCAATATCCAGAACCGAGAGATCAGTACTCGCAACCAAGAGATTACTACGCGCAATCGAGGGACCAGCAGGATCAGTTTGTCGCCGGGCCCTTCATCGGACAGGCGATCGAAATGGACGAACGCACAGGCTCTCCACAAACAGCGCAGCCGCCGTATGCCAACAACGATTATGGATTGAGAGATAGCGACGGCGATGTGATGGGTATGGTTGGTCTACAAGCGGGAGTGAACGACGCGTCTAGCAGTAGACCGTCGCAGAGCGAGATTCGAAGTCCTACGAGCATGTACTCGGACGAGTGAGTGCATCGTTGGGTATTGCTGCCACATAACACTGACATTTATCAGACGCTACGCTCCACCTCGCGCGCAATGGGAAGACCGAGTGTCGCCCCTTCCTCATCATCAAGGTCTCTCAATGCCAGACGTGTCGCACGACAGCTACGCAACAGATGCGCACTCGTCTGCGGCACCGTCAAGTAATGCACTTCCAAAGTCGCCAATGGGAGCCTCTGCCAGTACACGCTCACCGACGAGCACCAACCCGCATTACGGCGACGAAGTCTACACGGCGGCGAACCCGGTGCCGGCCAGGAACCGAGCAAATTCGGAGAATTACTATGAAGATGTCGATCCACGCTTCACCGTCACATCAGATGAAAGCAAGCACCAAAGTGTTCTTCCTTCTGCTCTTACGCCAGGAGCAGCAGCGGGTGCAAGATCTCCGCCACCTGGTATGCAATCACCTTCCCTCAATTATCAAGGCCGGGATGAAGGAACTATCAACGTTCCTCAGACCGAAGCTATTTATTACTCTCCCTCCCAGCGCGGCGGGCTCACTTCTGATGAGGATAGCAGGAACCAATTACCTTTAGACAACGGCGGTGGACTATCTGCAAGACGAATTGTCGTCAGTAACCCTGATTACCTTGAGATCGAAAATGATGGCGCCAGGAGTCCGGGCGAGGGAAGCGAAGCAAGCCATTTCACTTCCGTGTCACAGCGAGGCATCAATCCTAATTGGATGCCGCCGCCTGGAATGGGCAGAGGGGGTGGGATGACCCAGGTCAGCTCGGCTTCGGCGGTGCAGAGAAGGAAAGAAGACGCCATTCTGACTACAAACCCGGACTTTGCGTTGCCCAGTCTGCCCGGTCAGAAGGGGCGAGGTGGTGCTATTGGGCCAGCAACAAGCAGAGGTGCAGTGGGCGGATTGACGCCTGCAGGCAGGTAWCCCGTTCCGGATCTCTAGTATGCCGGACGGCAACCCAGGGGGGATGTCGGGCGTGATGTTCCCGAAATTTGCCAACCCATACAGCTAGATGAGTACGGGGAGGTGTTGATAAGTCCAGGACGAGTCAAAAGAAGGGTGAGCGCCTTTGAGGAGGATCTCTGAATGCGTTCCGCTTAACTAGCAGCGGAGGTGCAGGAACATCTTGCATTTACCGGGAATGCGGCTTTCCACCTTGCATTCATGAGGAGCCTGTGTCAATGCGAGGCATTTTGAACGCTGCAATATGATATGAGCCAGTGCTGAGGCGCAGGCTGGATAAATAATGAACAACAGTAATCAAGGGACATCACTTCAAACATGATCAACTGTGATGTGGCTTTTCAGATATGATTGATTAGCCACAGCCAAGGCAATTCTTGGCACGCGGCTTCTCAGGCCTCTTCCAAGTCTGCCATGACCCAGTATATGTGGCCATCATCGTATCGTATGCGCTGGCGAGGGGCAGGATTGCGACAAGGCTTCGCTTCCCATTCTTGACCCATATCCCAGCTGTACTCATAGCCGGCCTCATCGAACACCTGGTACGAGTGTCAGCCAGCGGTTGTCTTCGTATATACCGTGAAATGTTCACACCTTTGCATGAACAGTCTCTCCACCATCTAGTATAGTCTTAATCATATCCTCCGACGGCTCCAGAAGCTTCCGCCTGAAATGGAATTCGTAATGAAGTCCCTCGGGTAACTCACCCGGATCTTCACCGAGCACGCTGTCTGTACGACTATCAGAATCGGAAATCTTCAAGATGCAAGTGAACGACGTCACACATACATGTCATGCCTTGTATGAGCTCACTGATGGACCTATATTCGTTCTCGGTGAATTGGCGGGAGAATKCGGCATAAGACCTTCTCAACTGGATGAAGAGCTCTCCGTTTTGACGATAGCCTTTTTTGGCCCATCCTCTTCCTCGGACGTTACGTCGGCTGAAACTTCTCATGGATGGAGGCGCGGTATCGGTGGAGAGTGAGCTCGGAGGTGTGGCGGCGAGGGTTAAAGGAACTAGAAGAGGGGTAAGATCTGCTCGAGAAACTCACCTCTTATACTCCGTTCCTAAGCCCAATAAGCTCAAGCCGGGTGCATGGAGCATGGAGCATGCCCGTTCTCGTTGCTGCGTTCCCGGCCCTTGCTAGGAGGTAAGCCCGATCGAAGCCTAGACACCTTCAAGGCTCGATAAGTCTACAATGTCAGGCTTGTCAAACAAGCCAAATAGACACAAAGTTCGGTGGCTTTGCGGATCTAGCATGCCATGGTGTGCACGAGTGACTGAACTCCAGCGGGAACCATGTTGACTGGCTGTAGAATAGATTATGAGAATTGACGACATTGATTAGACATTGATTCGGATGCTTGGAGCCGAATGGTCGCCAAATTTCTGAGGCGGACGAGAGGCCCAATTATCATCTTGATTCATTTGTTATGGATTGTACGGATATCTTCCGTTGTATGGCTAAATTGATGTTCAATGTAAAGAGTTCCAGCCTTTTTGTTGAAGTGAAGTTCGATTCAAAGAGCACGCTAAGGTCACGCTAACCGCGCCGACATCAAAAGCTAAAAGCACGGCCATTCGATTACATTTCTTCCAAGCGGAGCTGGCGTTGTGAGGAACACACTCCAACTCCGACACTTTCAATACCTCTATCTCGCGGACAGTCCAGCTGATAGATGGGACTCTTGGAGGTCCAGAATATATATTCAACTTGTTCCAGAGTCAGCCTTCAAACTAGCTCTAGAGCGATCTTGGGAGCCTGCCATCTATCATCTCGGTGGAAGACATCGTAGAGGTCGTCAAGAAGTTCTGGGGACAGTAGGGAGAACGTTTCGATAACTCATGAAGTTACAACCCATCTATGCTGTCGCTCCATTGTTGTAACGACCTCGCTCCGAGTGGAATTCCGCGAGTATCCCTTCCTGGCTCGCTCAGTGGGAAGTGCGTTCCCATAAACCAACCTACTGTCTCCAAGACGTTTTGACGTACGTCCCTGCGTATCGATCCTCCTGCGTTCCTCCATCGCATTATTTGACTACGGGCACAAGCTCAAATGATTTGGTCACCAGCTTCCTCTTCATCATCAGCGTCGTTAGACGCATCACCCAGCCGTGGCTCCATTCCGACAGCCCCTATGTTCGCAAAATGGTCAGCATATCGTTTCGATCACATCCCGCCCAGCAATATCTACCTTTGAACCGATCCTTCACAGGGAAGCTCTCCACTTCGGGCACGTTCCTCGGTGGGATGGAAGCCATCAGCTTTGTGGGCAAAGGCTTGAAGAATCGAGACTGCCGCGGTGTCGGACGAGGGAGGTTGATCACTGGGTACGTAATCGTTGGCACGTTATGGGCCGGCTGAGAATATTGTAGCTGATTGGGCTGTCTCAGGTATATATCGTCATCCGACCAGGRGTCTGAGGAGTCTCTAAACTCTTCGAATGGATTACTATCTGGCGTGACTCTCTCTGGATGTTCGATGTGTAAAGTCCTGCGTCGTTGCGAGTCTTTGGGAGATTGTGAGTTGAACACCTTCGCGATTGTATGCTCTAGCGGTGTCAGGGGTCCGACATCGCGAACGTCGGAGCAGACTGGTGGCTTGGGTTCTGTCACAGGAATTTCGACGTTCCGTTTGGGAAGTGAGCTTCTCCTTCTGCCGAACCAGAAGCCAGTGGGAAAGGGATCGCTTGTTGATAGCTCTGCTGCCCGCTCAAAGTCGTCGAGTGGTCGAAGTCTTTCCACGCTACCTTGGGCAGAGAATGGCCGTAGCAAAAGTTCACTTTGGGCAATGACGCATGTATCTGTGTTATCTTCTTCTCCGGTGACCGTCGCATCATCTTGAAGCGGTCTTGTGGCGTTTGATACGGAAGCTACCTACGCTTCTGAATCTTCTCGGCGAGGCGTACTGACTGCCGTCATCACTCCGAGAGTGTCGTCCTTTTGCGAGTGACCTTTTGAATTCGAGTCTCGAATGAGGGTAGACTTTGCGAATATGGCCCGGATTTGATCGCGATGCGACTGTCTCGGCGGCGTTCGAATCAGTGTCGCAGATTCGATTCGACGACGACTTATATTTGCAGGCGTTCGAGGCAAGCGAGGATCTGTGTCAAGGTCTGATTCGCTCGGCAATCTTGGATACTCGATTGAAGATGACACTGTATGACTGTCAGCAAGCTCAGTAAGGGAATAGCTGACATACGAGGTGGGTTGTTCTCATTCTCTCTGGTAGACGGCATGCTGTTTATGAGGAGGCGCGATCGTATGCTTGACAGTATAAGCGCTGAGGCTTGGGAAGTTCTGTTTTGAAAATCTACTGTCGCAAGGCAGCAAGTTGAAGTGGTGTTGAATTGGAGATAGATTGTGAGGAAGACTGCAATTGAGGATGAGCCGCATGTTGAGCAGCAAGAGCAGGTAGTCCACAACAAGTGGGAAGGAAGTCAAGACGGATCCACGCGGAAAGTGCTGCTCATTGATAAACAACTCGAAACGAAGGAACTTAGACACGGCCAGCGCTACAAAAGTGCATACACAAGCAGAGAACGCCAACTACCAAATCACCCTCTGCGAGCAGTTGGAATGCCCAACTTGCCTACCCAATCGACGTTCTCGCTGCAGAGACGTCAGTCAAAGCAAGAAGACTCCATGCAAAACAATTGTACTCACGTGATCCCAGGAGCCGAAACGGCCACCTCAGGGACAGCAGCGACACTGGGAATAGCCGCAGCAACCTCGGAGACTCCAGCAGCCATAGTCGGCATCAAGGCGGTGGATGTGCCCACATAGGTAGTGACTGTGCGGTACAAGGTCGACGTCGTCCTCACACTTTGTCAAGAATATCAGCATCGATATGTACATCGCAGTGGACAAAGCTTACGTGGATCTCGAGGTCGCGCTTGGGGTGGCTTCTAGCAGCGTCCTGGTGAGATAATTCGTCGCAGCAATGCTAGGAGTAGCAGATTCTCTGTTCGTGGTTTCGTACTCTGTCAGGTACTGCATTTCGAGATCTGTTGTCATGCGGAAGGTCGTCAGAGCTTCGGTGATGTTCGCAGCAAACGTTCCGATGATGACTTGGCTCAATCCCTGAATAGTGGTTGATATGTTGACATTTGTGGTATGAGTGGCGGTCTCCGTCAGAAGGGAAGTGCGCCAGACTTCGTACTGCCTGATACACTCCTCTGTGCCGTTCGCGTACAGAGCGCACACTTTCAACTCCACATCTTCTGGCGACAGACCCGCGGTGACAGATTGCCAGGGTGCTAAATAATATGTCGTAATTCTCTGAACAGTCGGTGCGGCAGTGATTAGAGCGGATGCTGAGTCTGAGGTGGCAGAAGCAGAGATCAATTCTGCAGTAGAAGTGGAGGCTACGTCCGTACCCACATTCACATCAGTAGGAGCAGCAGATATAGCGCTCGATGTGGCATTACTGGCGGCAGTAGGGAGCGCAAGCACGAATCCGTATTCTGTAGAAAAAGTGATATCCTGAGCGCAGTTCGTGACAGTGTACTTCTGCACAAGTCCGGTCAAGGTGGTGGCGCAGACCATCGTGCGTGTTGGGCTGTAGATCGTTGTACAGGTACCGCTGCCGGGTGGGATCGAAATGGAGTAGTTCCGGTACGGAGCTGATGTCGCCGAAGTGAGAGGGGTGACAGGAAAGAAGGCCTTGGGAGGAAGTTCGCAAAGGGTATATTGCGGGACGAAAGACGTCACAATCTGGCTCTCTTCCGTTATAGCTACTGGAGATGCACCCGGTGATGGTGTAATGAAAGTGAGGATCTCTGGAGCTGATGTTGTCGCGATACTGGCTGCGAGTGGTGTTGCTTCGACGGGTTGACCGACTTGTCTGCGCTCAATTTGAACGGCTTCATGCTTGTATTGGAGATGACGCGCCTGTGTCGGGATAGCGAGTGCTGCAATTAGAAGAGCCTCGAATGAATGGATGAAACCCATGATGGTGATGGRGAATCGAAGATGAGACAGATGGCCGTAAGTGTGCACCCAGTGCTTTACACCTGCTATGGTTGAATGTCTGAGGAGCAAGCCACCACTGTATGGATGTACGCTGGCATTCCTCGAGTGAAACGCATAACAAATACGTGGCGAAAAGGCGGGTATGCGGAATGCTGCTCGAGCATCTCTCCTTGACCCAGCTCTTCACCCGACTCCTTGCATAATGCCAAGCCTGTGGACCCCGTCCTCAGAAGACATTCACTGATCATTGTTGATCAATCTGATGACTCTTCTCCGCTCGAGCTGTCTTCATCGCTAGACCTCTCGCTCTCATCATCTTCCGAAGCGGCGCCATTGGGCTGTTTAACGCCACGCTTTGCCTGCCTTTGCTGCTCCCTCTTCTGCAATGCAGCCTTTTCGTCGGATAACTTCTCCATCTTCTCGAGGCTCTTCTTTTGAACCCTTCTCAGAGCTTCGATTTGAAGCCTCAAGCTAGCGTTTTCGTCGTGAAGCGAGCTTGTTCCAGAAGCTGCAGGAGCTTCATTCAAAGCGATGAAATCGCCATCGGCCTCCTCTTTCTGACCGTTCATCTGCACGCCACCAGTCTTTCCCCAAGATGCGAGCTCGCAGAGGCCTTCGTCCAATAGAGCGTCTGGGAAACATGGTGCGGTGAGAGAGGCCATGAAACTTGATTGTTCACTGCCGGGAGCAGAAGCGAGATCGCTGGGGAATCGGACACTGAGTGTATAATTCCCAGGCACGGCATCTGTGTCTGCAGAGTCGAAGGCGCCGAACTTTGGCTTGACAACGTCACTTATCTTCGTTCTCTTGCACAGTGAGTCTCGGTTGAAGCCAGTAACCGGCAGGAATTGAAGATTGTTCAGCGGACCTGGCAAAGGTAGCTGCGTCTGTGCTGCCACAAAGCTTCCTCGTGCCACATCCCAGCTGAGTATCGTTCCGGACTTGTGTCCTGAAATGAGGGTGCTGCCATCGAACGACACGCTGAGGCTCAACGCGGATCCGTGCGACGACTCGGGTAGCTTCCACCTTGAAGATGCAGGGGGCTGTACAGGCTCGGTCGGGTTGCCACCATTCTGCACCGCATCGATAATGCTGTCCTGAGATGCGAAAAGGTCGAGTTGCTGAAGACTGCCATCTTCATATCCTACATACGCTGCACGATCGGCTGGGTCGAGAGCAGTACAGAGGGGTACCCCTGGAAGAAGGTATGTGCGAATCAAGTTGCCTGTGTGATAGTCCCAGATCATACAAGACTTGTCCTTTGACGTGGAGACGGCAAAGTTGCAATTCGACACGCTGTGGCCTAGAACGATCGATGTGACCTCGGATCGATGGAGCGAGAACGTTCGTAGTGGTGCAACTCCATTGGCATTGGAAAATGAAAGCAGCGCCGGGAGAGACCAGACGTGAATCGTAGAGTCCTTGGATGCGGAGAGTAAGAAATTGGAACGCGCATCGACGACCAATCCAGTGACAGGCTGCAAATGGGCCTGATTTGTCGTAACTTGTCGTCCCGTACACGTTTCCCAGAGGAATATTCTTCCTTCGACAGTTCCAATGATTAGAACAGTATCGTCACATGCAAGCGTGATCGAGCCGATTCTTTCTGTGAATGGCACCGTAGCTTCATGGTTTCCTTTCTCTCGATTGTAGACGTGTACGACTGCTTTGTCTGCCTGTGCAGCGAAGACGTGACTTTCGCTGACAGCCAAGCAGTTCGGCAGTGTGGCCGACTTCTTGTAGAGAGATCGCTGCGCAGAAAGCGGTTGGAACTCGTGTAGAAAGATGGCGGCGTCTTTGGGCACGTTCGGCCCAGGCGCCTTTGCGGGCACGCCTATCGAGGCGATGAAATGCTCTGTGAGCATCAAGGCTGTTGGCGAGATATCTCACCTTTTCTTGTTTGGTGGCATTTTGGCAGCGAAAAAAAGCTGGAAAGCGAGATGGCAGTGACGTCCTAATTGGGCCTAGCGGGAAGCCATCTCATCTCACATTTCGTCTCATCTCATCTCGTCAATGTTTTGCCTCTTGGCCTACGCCTTGGAATTGGTACTGTATCTCCTACATCTTATACCATTAGTGGTCCAAGAACCATTTCTTCTTGAGACGCGTTGCTCTCGAGACGACGCTTCCGGACATACAGTGATGTATCAATTTAGCCGGCAAGTGGTCAATATTGCCTTCCCCTCCTTCACCATCAACAGCATTGCAGCCTGAATGGATTTCGGAACAAGAGTTTCCATTTCATGCCGATTCAAGACGAAGGTGCTGTCTGCGTTACCTCTCGCGTTGTTGAGTCTCCGTTCTTCATCTTCAGTATGATCATCTCCAAACACATCCTATCCTTCTTCACGTGGGCAGTCCTCTGCTCGGCAACGACAAAATTGTTGAGTCGAGACAATGAACATGGTCCCTTTGAGGGACATTGGGTAGATGCCTGGGCTGCTATGCCACAGCTCACGGAGCCCGCTAATCTTCCTCCGCCTCCATTCGTGAGCCCAGACATTTCACGTTCAGTCACGACTAGAGTTGACACTGAACAGAATTCCACGGACCTCGTGTTCTTCAACACTACAATTAGACAGACTCTCCGCATAGTAGCAAATGAATCAAACTACCAGATGCGCATCCGGCTGTCGAACGCCTTCGGACTCGTGGAGCTGCCCATCACGTCTCTAACCATAGCCATTCCAACCGAATCTGACAATCGCAATCTCACTGGATCTAGTTCTATCGATATCACATCTCTTCAACACGTTACATTCTCAGGAAACAAGAGTATCGTGGTCCCTCCTGGCGCAATCGTAGTCTCGGATCCACTTGCTGTCGAGGCTTGTCAGATCGTCTCCCTCTCCCTATATCTGGCTTCAGGCCAACAGAGTCAGGCTATAACGTCTCATCCGGGGTCTCGGACCACCTCATGGATGAGCAGAGGCGACCATACGCTCGCTGAGAACCTGACGGACGCCAGCACCACGAGCGTCGCGCATTGGTGAGTGGAAATTACAAAGGAGAAACTCGCTTGGTGATATTGGCGTTCTGGTTATTGACAGCAAATCCGACATTTCCGATGCCTCTGCTCATTTAAAGCGTGTCCAAGAACGTGTGGCATTTGCATCTTCCTCCTACATCGCTAATGCCTCGCTAGGTACTACATCTCTGCAATCGAGGCCTGGCAACCACCCTCTCACTCAGCTTTCGTGCTCGTAGGAGACAGCATCACAGACGGGAGAGGAAGCGACACTAATGGCAACAATCGCTGGCCGGATCTCCTTCTTGATCGAATGGCTGTCTCTTCCCCTGGTATCAGTGTCATCAACCAAGCCGCAGGCGGAAATCGTGTGCTAGCCGATGGCTTGGGACCGAGCGCCCTCTCTCGAATTGAACGTGATGTCTTATCGCACTCTGGAGTGCGGTATGTTCTTCTGTTTGAAGGAGTCAACGATATAGGCACAGGAGACATTTCGCCATCAGCACAAGGACAGATTGGTGATAGGTTGATACAGGCCTACCGACAAATTATCACGCGCGTCCACGCTATGCAACTTCCGATATTCGGAGCGACGATTACTCCTTTTGGTTGTGATAACACGACAATTCAGCCGTATTCTGATCCGGAAAGAGAGAAGACTAGGCAGAGGATGAACGAGTGGATACGTGAAAGCGAAGGAAGGCCAGGYGGCTTTGACAAGGTGGTAGACTTCGACAAGGTGCTGAGAGGACAGAATGTCTCCAAGTTGGATAGCAGGTATGATGGGGGTGACTGTCTGCACCCGAATGTTGCAGGCTACACGGCATTGGCGGAGGCTTTTCCCTTGGGGATTTTCGAGGAGTATCGAGAAGGCGTGAACGGATATGTCTAGGCCTGGTGAGCTTGGACCGTACATCCTGTCAAAGCTGATTGTCGCTGGCCTGAACCATCGATAGTGTTATATGGGCGTGATGTCAGCGCTTCGAGCGATTGAGTCGAGTCTGCTCCGTATAGAGTCATGCTGCAAACATCGTGGTAGTCCGCCTGCCAAATTAGCTCTCATCGCCTTGCAAACATTGGCTACCCCATGGCGTGGGAGAGAAAGAGATGGAAGATGCATGGATTTGACGCTCAAATTCGCCTTTCACTCATAATCTTGGTCTCAGCTACTCGGCATAAACCGCGCGCAGCAGCTTTATCCATCATGGCCACGCTTGTTGCTGACTGGCACTTTTTGATGAGACCGACCTGTATGCAAAGCCTCGATTCCGCCAAACTCCAGCCGTCCCAGCTCATGCACTACTTCCATTCCTCATGTGTCTTGTCATTTATGCGGCGGCGGTCTTGGCACCACGAGCACCCTTGGGTGTGCCCTGCTGGAAGCCGTTGCTGAACTTGCGGGAAACGAGCTTGAGGGAGCGCATGCGGCCGGTACCGGTGGTCTTTCTCCGCTTAGCCTTCTCGCCCCAGTTGTCTGTGGAGTGTGTTAGTGCTCGTGCTCCGCGGCTGACAAGATTCGATGGTCTGCGCAGTCGCTTCTACTCGAGAGGCGGGAAGGGCAGAGTCGAGAGGAGTGCACATACACTTTCTGACGCTCGCGCTGGGGTATCCGCAGTTGGAGCAGGTGTTCTTCTGCRCGTGCATGGAGCGGCGGCCTGGATGTCACAATCTCAATCAGCATTTGTCCTCGGATTGTTGCCCCAATTGATCCCAGATTGCTCCATTCCTTTCTCTCTCCATCTCCCTCGTGATCTTCTCCAAGCCTCCTCTTCCGATCGTATCGTGGTCACATACCGCAGCGTCTGCACAGAACGTGCGACTTGTTGTGGCGCTTTCCGAAGCTGGACGTTCCCTTCGCTGTAGTGTGCAGTCAGTATCCTGTCCGGCAGTATTCGAATACAATGCGGGCGCAAACGTACTCATTTTGGCTGTTTTGTCCTGATGTTAGTTGGGGTCGGTGTCGGAAGCCCTGGCGCTGAAGTGGAATTTGTCGRAATGGACGCCAAGAGGAAGGTGCACACGGTTAAACTTCGGGATCAGCCACGCCTGGAGCGACATCCCCATCCCACGACCGCACCTCTTCACCGGCAGTGCATCGCCCGCAGCATACTCATCAATGTCGTGACGAGGAAATGGCTGGATCTATGAGGAACCAGCTTTTGCTACCGTGCACTGACGGGACCTTCTCCCGGCTCTGGAACTCACATCGAGGCAAAATCTCATTTTCCAAAGTAACTGCACCTGCTATTCAGCTTTGAAGTAGCCTAGTTGTCAGACAAAGCGTAGCTCGGTGCAGACGCTATTAGCCAATGTACCATCCCACTCGTGCATACGGCAATATACCGAGTTTTCCGCTCTGTTTTTTTTTGTTCATGGTTGTTAGRGGGATTACAAACTCTTTTTCGTCTGATGCAAAGAGCACTGTCCATTCACAAGGCCACGATACAAGGCTTTAGTGCCCACGGGGGTAGGAAGCTCGCCGACTGGATATTCCTGTATGCGGGACACCCTCTGCATCAGGGCCATATCAAGTCAAGTAGAAGGTCAAGAGGTGGGCGATGGGCTCAACCCAAACCCTAACCCTAATATCACTTCGATGGAGCTATTTATCACCCCCGCAAAGTTCMCGATTTCACTCTTTGTGGGGAGCGGGAGCTTGAACCACGATAGCATTGTAACGAGCGTACACAACCGAGATTTGAGCTCGGGAGTGTTAGGCGCGTCACAGAGACTGAAACCGTTGCAAGATTTGGGGCGGCCACTTGAGCACGAGTCGAGGGCATGTTGAAACAGCGGAGAAATATCAAGGAACGGCGTCAATAGCCTGTCCGAATATATTCCTTACCGCTTGACAAGCAAATGTATTCAATACTGCGCGCAGTCACGATAATCAAATTGATAAAGCCCACAGTACACAGTATACACACAAGAGAAAGTAATCGAACTATTGAAGTGGATTCGCTTCATTTCCAAACCACTCTATGGCACATTACACGCGCAACACATGCAAGCCGCCCACTTGCTTCTATCTGTCCATCGCTATGCTGCTCATGTCACATTACACATCATTTCCTGCATCTCCCGTGTTCAGGCATTGCAGTGCCGTATACCCAAGACCAGCTCTGAGGTAGTTGTAGGAGACAAAATATCCGCGCAGTTTTGTATATGAAGCTCAAATCGATGAGATTCTATCGGCATACAATGCCGGAAGAAAGGAAGAAGGAAAGATGAAGAGTGCCTCTGTCAGAAAGGCTCCGATCAGACGCTACCGCCAACACTAGTTCCATTGGCCAAGTTCAAAGAAAGGTTGTCGAAGTTGCAGGTGATGTCATTTCCCAGAGAGATGTTGCGGGCATCGGCGGTTGAACCACTGTCGGTCGGTCCTTTCTGGAAGAAAGCCTGCAGATTTTCCTGCGCTGTTGCAGCATGGTCGATCTGACTGGAGACTTGCAAGACGTAGAGAACGACAATACGAGCAAAGTCGAGCTGCTCACCAGCTCCGATGGTGGACGTTGCACTCGATGAGGTGCTGGTCGCGCCTTGTCGACGACGGAGACCTGGAGTGACAACACCCCGAGCGAGGTCTCGTCTGCTGGATTTGCCGTTGAAAGTAACCAGTGCATTCTGTGTCGAGCAACTCGAATCCGAGCTGGAGAATAGACCAAGGACGCTTTGAGCGTCGAGAGGAATGCTAAAGTTGCCATTGGCGTCTTCCAATAATCGAGGAATGGCGTCGCCCACCGTCGCGTTTGTGACAGAGCCAATGGAGGTCGTGGTGCAGCCCGTTGYCGAGTAAGTCTGACACGATGTCCCTGTATATCCATTCACACAAAGGCACTCGCAGAAGCCGTTGGCGCTGAGTATGTTTGTACCTCCATTATCGCAGGTGACTTTCTGCTCGCATTGTCCCAATGAACTAGCGCTAGCGCTGGCATTGGAGCCGTTATTCTCCTGGTTTGGGAGGACAACGACAAGCAGGACTGGCACGACAACTGCAGCAGCGACGAGCATGAGGAGGAGGATCAGAAGCAGGACGAAGAGCCAGACAGGCATGCCACAGCATGTTCGTTTTGGCCTCCTTTGTCCAGCGTCGCTGTCACTGCCGAGAGAAGAATGTCTCATCATCCGTGACCACCTCCCAAAACTGGCTCCTTTCTCGGCGCGGCCATCAGGACTCCGTACATCACCAGCTGGATATACGCTCATACCCGAGCTGCGAACAGAGCGCCTTTTTTCGTCGTCGCGTGCACCATCTATCCAGTTCATGCCCAGTCGACTGGCCGTTCGACCTCGGTCAAGGTTCGACGCCAATCGTGTCGCGCGCCTGATGAGTTCTGGCAGACTTGAGAGTGATCCACGGGCTTCGGCAACACGTACTGCGTCGACATCCAGACGTGGTGGTCGTTTTCTGCCAGACATCCCGCCTGTTGGAGCTTTGAGCTCTTCGGCTTCCTTCTCGCTGATGGCGCCGCCTTTTTCGAGGCTACGGAGTATGCCTTCCACACGCGGATCTACAGCCGGTGCAAGAGGTGAACGAGCAATCGAGCGAGTGGGATTGAGTTCGTGGGACAGTGCCGCGAATTCTTTCGATGGTTTGCGCACAACACCATTCCGTGGTGGGGTGTTCCCTGATGAAGGAGTTCGGAATGGCTTGGCTGCGGTGGGCGGAATGCCATCGCTCGCCTCGGCTTTGGGTCCGTTCCCCACATCCTCCTCTATTGCAGAGGCCGGCACAGCATTCTGTCCAGCCTCGCGATCAACGTCACTAGCCCCTGGCTGAGTTTGCCCTTCGAGCTTGTTTTTTGCATTAGTTCTCGCTCGTTCGATCTCGCTCATCGAGCTACGCGGCAGTACCGGCAGAGCAGCCGGATCGACATCGCTACTGCTGACTTTCCTCTCGCTGCTCTTAACATTCGTCAGCGTTGGCCGGCGTTTCCGGCCAAGGCTGGCTTGTCGTATGAGCATAATTTCGGGACTTGTCGAGTCTCTATTGGGTTGATCAACAGCTTCCTGCATTCTCCCAGGTCCTAGTGCTGGCTCAATTGGACTCTCCACGAATGAGTCCTCCGAGGACGAAGCCAGATCCGGCCTACGAATACGTGGTGCTTCAAATCCAATCGGGATGGCATTACTGCTCGCAACCGAAACCTTGCTATCGTGACCGGATAGATGGGAGCCGGTACCACGGAAGCTCCCTGTGCGAACGCTACTTCTCATGCTATCTGTCTCTTCGACGATGGGATGCACTGGACCAACTTGGGGGTAAAAGCTGGATGTGCCTCGTCTAGCTGATGGCGGCGGTCCGAGGGGTGGCCTCTGGTTCGCTTGTCCATACACGACCTGCCTCGGTGCCTGTGGTGTTGAGTAATGTCCAGACATAGCTTGAGGACCATTTGCGTGCGGTGAAGGTCTGCTGGGTGGTGGATAGCTCGGCGGTGGAGCATAGCTGTAGCTTTCCCCATTCCAATGGCCATTCCCATGATGAGGATTGGGGCCGCCTTGGTAATACTGTCGGTTTATTGGCGAGGCATGCGGGCCTGCTTGAGATGGAGTATGCGATGGAGCAACATGCCTTCGTTGATCATCGGGTCGTTGTGGTCTCCTTGGTGGGGTACGTAGCGTCTGAGGTGATAGAGTCGCTGGAGCTTGTAGCGGGGGCGAGGCCAGCGGCCACTCTTCGGGCATATTGTGTTCATTTTGCGACGAATCCCACGCGGAGGATTGCGCATGCGATGGGTGGAAATGCTGCTGATTGGCTCCTTGTGGGAGATTCATGGCTGAGGGAACGTGTGTGCGTTCTCGTGCAGAAGAAGGATGCGCTGGTCGTGGTAGGCGGCTGKGTTGTCGGTAGTCGTGATAGTCGCCGTCGCCGTGATAGTTGAGACTCGGATCCTGGTAGTACGCTGGATCCTGACTGTAGTCGTATTGGTAATCGGGGTGATAGTTCTGGCCGTGGTGGTAGTCGGAGTCTTCGTAATAATAGTCCGAGTAGTCGGAGGCATAGTTGGAGTGGCCGGCGCCATATCCTTCAGGATAATGTGGGCGACTCATGGCCACCGCTCGTCGAGTGACGGGCTGTGCGACACTGCTCGGTGGAGATGTCTATCCCGAGCGCTGGGCAAGGGTTCTGTCGTGCAGCTGTCCGTCGAGGACGCTGTGAGCCAGTGAATATCGTGCTGGGCATGCAGTGTTCGTATTGCGGCCGGGACCTGCGTTCGGCGCTGTTCGTTGCCGCGTGGTCCAATGTTTGCGCGGAGCACCAATGGATGTTGCTCCGCAAGGAGATCTCGTCAAGAGATACGTGAATCGAAAGTGGCTGGCTGACTGGCTCTACCGCAGGACGTGGATCGCGTGGCGGGTGGTGTAACGTAAGGACYGTGAGCCTGCGTGGCTTGCTGCATGCACCGACGTGCTACACGCCCACGTTGTCTTCGCTCGAGGCCGACGCGGCCAAGAGGCCCGGAGAGCGAGACGAAAAAAGTTTGGAATCTGACTGTGCCAGAGCGAGGGAAAATGACGCCGCCAGTTCCCAGCTCGCGTGGGAAGTGTGGAGGATGCCCCGCCGGTTGTGAAGCCGTTCACCGTTCACGCCTTTTCTGCAGCTACCGTACCTCTCCCGCTCCAACAGTGAGACCTTGCTCTTCCCCCTGGGCCTCCCGAGAGTCGCCGTCCAGCTTCAAACGAGTGTGGTTGGTGTTGTTGTGTTGTGGGAGGGCGGCCAACGGTGCAGCCTCGTGCCAATGCGGGGCGAGCGGGACAAACACACTAAAAATTACCTGGACGCGTTGCGGTGCGCTGCTTTCGCGATATTCTCACAACAATCGGCCAGTGTGGGAGGTGCGCTGATGTTGGCACAAAAGAACGATACAACCAGCAGAGCACACCCTGGGAAAAGATGGCCGCAGCACTGCCCTTGGACATGGGTCAGTCGCACCGCGAATCATTGCTCAACAGCCTGGCTGTGTTGGGTGGGCAGTCCGTGTTTCACGTCGCACAGCCCGCCACGATCAGTCCCTGGAAAGGTGCTACTGTTTCACACAGCGACAACACTTCGCCAAACACTCCAGTCTGGTCTTCGTGTGGAGAATGGCTGGATCTGTTCCGTCGGGGAGCTCCAATGCTCCATCATCTGAGCTTTTCCAAGATTCGAACAAATCCGCGCGCTCAAATTTGGCACCCCGACTGTGGACCGTGCCGTTGGTTGCGCCAATACGAATCAACAGCTTCTCAGCTCGACAGGGATCACATGGATCTATAGTACCAATTTCTTGGCAGTCCGACCAGCATGATTCAGGACAATCAGGCTTTCGAAGCTCTCTTCAATCAAAGACACCGCGGCGGACCCGGAGACGCGTATTTCTGTCGGCATCGTGGTGTATGGAACAATGCGCGAAACAAGTGGCTTGTGAACATCCATTGCGCACTCAACACAGAGCTAGGGCAGTGCTACGCGATCTCGTACCACGTGCTTCGCCGTTGCTGTCTTGGATCTCGCTGGACTCAAACTGCCTTCACGGTGAGGTAACGGAGCAGTCCATCTCTTGCGATGCTTGTGTTAAGACGTGGTCGCTTGATGAGAATACTGACGCGATGTACGCATTTAGATGATGATGTATGTCGGTTGAATCTCCGCACCGAGTCATTGACCACGCAACTTGAGGCTTCCGTAGCCCTGCAAAAGAACCTGAATGCTTGAGGCAAAAGAGCTTGCAAGAGTCAAGGCTAATGACGTGGGTTGTTGCTGTCCCGGCATGTCTCCAAATTGCCGTAGCAGCACTCATCTCGACCCTCGGAGCCACAGCTACCAGGTGTGATTGCACAGCGGAGACCGTTTCATGTGCGTTTAGAAGAATCAATGGCCCGCGACCGGAACCGGGATTCGCTTCCGCTTCCTTCTTCCTGTGCTTCGAACGATGCACATGCGAACCACATCTGCTTCGTAATTTATCGTATATACAGCATGGACCATCGCCGAATGTCGCTCGTTGGATTTTGACTCGTGTGGGCTCCTCTGGTGTGCCACTTTGGCAACGAATTGGACGCACTAGGCTTCTCGAACAATCGCAAATCGAAACGGCAGTGGAGACTCCGTGTGGGTGGGTAAAGTCAAACGGAGCGCCATTCCGATATGGTGACACGCCGCAGGCTACAATGTCTTTGCGGCGGAAGATCCAAGGCCCACTTTCGCAAATTTTTGCGGCCGTTGGCTCGCCACCAATGCATGAACGTCAAGATGCTCGCAAGGGTTTCGTGGGTGTTGAAAAGTCTCCGGTGCATAGAGAGGCTGTATACGCACGTGGTTGAGCTGTTCGACGCAGACATCTCGTGACGCTGTGCTCTGGACAAAACCCCTCTCTGGCGATACAATAAAATCGACACACCTTTCAGCCGCTTTCTCGCTCGCGAAACCGTAATCATTCCTGTCGCGCAACGCCTTGGATTTGGCTTAGCCGCAAAGTTCGAAACACTCACTGCACTTGGAGCCATCAGTCGTTGTAGCTGCCATTTCGTTTGATCAACCGCGCATCTGCGAGCAGGATCAAGGCAGCAGATATCGCGCTCCGTTGCATGGTTTGCAACTCGCAAATGCCACCTAGCCCGATCTCTGTCGGTGGATGGTTCTACACGAAGCCTTCTTGTATGTTAAGAAGGATGCCTTCTCTAAAGAAGCTTTGATAACGAGTGCGATTGCTCGTGGGAGGCAAATATTTGGCCCATCTGCTGAAACCAAAATGGATCTGATCCCCACATTTCCCTTCTACAGCGCAGCATAGGTCTGTCTATAAGTTCTAATCTCCGCATTACCGAGGTGCGAAAATGTGTAGTGTGTTGATGACATAGCCATTATCTTGAAAGACGATGATCCGAATATTTCCACCCCGAGTGATGATCGTGTAAGGTATTGAGATATACAGAGAGCCCCATCGTCCTCTTCCAGTATTGCGGTATTCACCACCCCCAAGCATTTCCAACTAGTTGGTTAACCCCGAATCTCTGGTTGATGAACCACTCATCCAAAAGAGGAGTTGCCGCATCCGAGTTGACCTTGTATTGCTTGCGTTGCAAATGCCACCTGACCTGATCATCCTTGACAGATGGTTGTGCACGAAGCCCTCTTGTATGATGAAAGAAAGATACCGTCTCGAAAACCGTCTCTATTACCAGCTCAGCTTCCACTGGAAGTTGCTAAAATCATCCGGGAAGAAGGTCCTCAGAGCTGGTAAAACTGTCGATTCCTCTCATCATAAGAAATGGCAGCTCGTCTGAACGATAGCTATGCTAGCTTGCGAGGCGCCCCTCATTTACTTTAGTAAAGCGTCGCCTACAGAGCATCCCTGTCCGCTCCTCCGTGTCGATGGCAGGATGTCCGAGTCTGTCTCTCTTCGCCTGTCGTGTCGCACGAAACAGACCACTCTTAGTCTGAGGAGGACGGGCCGGCGATCTAAAGTGTTCTTGTCCCAGTCCTCTTGCGTTACATCTACCGGGGATGTAACGCAATACGTGGGCAACAGTCCAGGTGCGGAGCCCGGCATGAGGAGCGCAGCAATCGCTAGGAGATGCAGGAATGAGTATTGGGTTGTTCTTGACGAGAGCGCGTACAACGACGTCGACGAACGTGCGGCAGTTGCAGGATTCGATTTGTTGGTCCATGTGACTATCCTGCGACCGTTCTGAAGACGGGGAGATGGGACTTTGTTGAACTTTCTTGTAGTCAATCGACGACGACGCTCGTGAATAGTTACCTGCAAGCACAAATGGATGCAGCCGTGCGCGAACTCAATTGTCTCGCCTCATGACGTCTTCTTGATTGTGTTCCAATCGACTGGTACCGTTGGAGCGGCAGCGTACGATGTCGTTGGGCTCTGATATCTTCAGGTACCGTGGCATCAGCTTCCATTACAGCAGACTCGTGGACGTCGAAATCCCCACAAAGCACAGTTTCATGATTTGTCGTCCGATGTCCTCGTTTCCCTCAACTTAGCCAGCGCTCTCAATTGTGTAACGCGGAAGCGACATGCGCTGACAGTCCGATTCGGCAGTGCTACAGCGATGGTTTCAAATGTCGCACCAGTAGCGTGCCTCTTTAGAAGAATAGCATCTTCCCCAGCCGTCCACAGCTCGGGAGTTTTTCTCCGAGGCTTTTGTGCTCTCACCTTGAGATAGTACCAACGATTACTAGCCCCGCTAACTGTCCGACCGGGTAGTTGAGCAACAATTGCTCTCCATGTCACCCCGCTACATTTCGTCGACAGCTTGGCATCCTCATGGGGCTCCCAAGGGGAGTTCTGTATCATCGCGAACCCCAGGACTCGCAATCGTGTCTCGATCGCATGAAACGAGCGAGACAATCGTTTTGAGATTTCTCCTAACGCGAGCTTCTCGATGACGCGTAGTCGATGAAGCTCTTCATCCTCCTCTGCTGTCCACCCCGTGAGACTAGGAGAGCCTTCGATTGAAGCGTTTCTGATTTTTTGGAGCTTGTTGACCAACGATTTACGACTACGGTCAGGGAAAGCCGCTTCAATCTGGGCACTACTGCTCTTGGAATTCATCATTTCATGGAGCAGCTGGACATCCTTTTCGGACCAGCGCTTTGCAGCATCGGTCAGGCGAGCAAAGTCGGGGCGCTGTCTCCGGAGGGAACTCAGTTTGAACTCAGTAGCACCCAGCGAACGGCCCAAGTCCTTGGCGATGACTTCCGTCTTGACTCCAGCAAGTCGAAGCTCGCAAAGCTTCTCAGCTTCTTCAGCGGTCCACCTCTTTTCGCAGAATGGACCGGAAGTACTGAAATTATGTCGTTGTCCCGTGACAAACCAGAGTCTTCTGCTGCGAGATGTATGATCGGACTGAGCTGGTCCTAATGCCTTCTGTACAGGGCATCGTGGCGTGAATAAATTGATTTGGGCGCCAGTGAGTCGCCGTAAAGCAGTTTTGAAGGGTAGCTTTAGCATTCCATCGACGCAAGGCTCTAAGCGTCGTAAATCGTGTCGAATGGTATTGTTTTAGGTGTTGTAGAGTGCGGTCACTGGACAACAAGACGTGTGGTTGTCGCGCGAAAGACGGGATCCAGGGAGCGGGATTTAGCGGGACCCACTTGCCGAAGACCTACCCGAAGTAAGAATGATGCTTGCCGCCACATGCTGCAATAAAATACGATTTCCTCGCTACAAAATGACAACACGATGCATTTGGCAATCCGGAACACTGAGTATTGCAGTAGTTAGCTGAACTTCAGAGCAGCCTGCTCCGAGGATGGATTGAGAATCAGGGGAATCCGGCCAAACTCCCGGAGCAAGGGGTCGAGATAGTTCGGACGTGCCTGGAGTGTCTATGAGGAGACAGTCGACTACGCCGTCTTGTCAGACGTTCAGGTCACCGGATGCGCCAAGAACGAAGCTATGTGTTTGAACCTTTCCAAGCTATGGCCTGCTGTCGATTGTCTAGGTGATGCCGAGATGTAGAACGAGACAATGGACACTCTGCTGGACATCTCCCCGACCAAGACTCACTGTCTACTGGGTGTAGCGGGAATTGAGGTTCGTTGCAGCCAGCACGCCTTTATACCTAGGTCTGTATCGCTGGATGATCCACTCTCTCAGCACCCAATTGACAGCATCGCAAATGGGATTCATCGTCAAAATCTTGCCGCACGCATCGCTGGCCCAGCTTCTAGGACGCATGGTCGCGAACAGGACGGTTTCGACGCCAGGAGACGTGCCGTGACTGGAGCAGCGCGTGCAGCACAATTTCCGAGGTCAAGACACTAGAAACAGCCTACAGGCCGACTGTTCGGAAACTTTGGATTCAGACGGCGCCGATCGCTTGCTCCCTGCATTGCTTYCGCAGCTTCTCGTGTGATTCGCCGTGCACATTAAGAATGGAAGCTCGCGGAAGATGGCGTCGAGTTCACGCCCGCAATGAGTGAGAGACAGGGTGACTTTGTTGCAAGCTCGATAGGAATGGACTTTCACGCACTTTGCCTGAAAGATAAAGATGCAGCTTGAATGGCACGTCCTCAACCTTTCGACTGTTTGTTTCCATTCCCTGCATCCATGATGTTGAGATGTGCGGAGGAGAGGCGGGGAGCTCAAGCCTGCCGGCTCTTCACGCAGTGAATGAAACTCGCGGAACAGTCAATAATCAAAAGATTTGTGCCCTGTGGCGAAGTCAATTCATTTCTGTCGTCGAATGATGTGTCACGTTGACCGTATTCTCGTTGCTGTAGAGGGACAACATCTGTGTCATTGGCCTTGAGGACTTTGGGAGTCGGGAACAAGCGAGTGAAGTGAAGTGCAAGCACGGACTAGCTTAGGGTGCACTGCCGAGTACCGATCTACTGCATCTCGAATCATCATCGGTTCTCTGGACCAACAGAATCGACATCATGGCTTCTCCCATTATCAGCTCGCTGAGAGCGTCGCAGGCCGCTGTTTGCAGAAGCTGTACACGACGAGCTTTCGTCTCTCTTTCGCAAACTACAAAACATGAAATCCGAAGCAGACCAACTCCCAATGTCTTCCAAACTGGACGCCACAGCACACAATCGCGAGCCTTTGCAACCACACCATCGAGGAGGGCTCACAAGTCAATCGAAGAAGCGAAGACACAGTACAAACTCGGACCTTTCTCATGGCAGCAAGTCCTTGTCTCCACCAACTTCCTCTCCCATTCTCACATGCTAACTTCATCACAGAGCCGGCATTCTCTTCCTGCTCGCTGGCGCCGGTTTGACCGTCTACTTCCGCTACGAAAAAGCACGCATGTCCCGCGCTCGCATCGCGGAAGCGAATAAAGGTATCGGCAAGCCGCTCGTGGGCGGCTCCTTCTCCCTCACAGACCACAACGGCCAACCCTTCACGGATGCGAATCTAAAGGGCAAGTACAGCTTGGTCTACTTTGGTTTCACCCATTGCCCGGACATTTGCCCAGAAGAGTTGGATAAGATGGCAGGCATGATCGATCGAGTGAAGGAGAAGAATGGAGAGGGCGTCATGAGGAACATCTTCATCAGCTGCGACCCAGCGAGAGATACGCCAGAGGTGCTGAAGAGATATTTGAAAGAGTTCCACGAAGATATTTTGGGAATGACGGGAACTTGGGACGAGGTCAAGGAGGTCTGCAAAGCGTACAGAGTGTACTTTTCCACGCCGCCAGATGTGAAGCCTGGACAGGATTACCTGGTGGATCACAGCATCTACTTTTATTTGATGGGTGAGTCGGGTGGTCGGGACGATGATTGGGTCAGGCTGCTAACATGGTGAAACGCAGATCCCGAAGGCGATTTCGTCGAGGCCATTGGACGCAACTTCACGGTCGATGCTGCAGCAAAGGTCATCAATGACCATATCGCAGACTGGAAGGGCAAGATCGATCGCACGGGCAACTGAGCGATTGCACAGACGACAAGAAAAAAAGGGTTCAGCATGTGGATGGTCGATCCAAGGGGCAATGCATGTTTCGCATTTCACCGCTGCTGACTTTAACGTCGGATAAGAATCTGTGTTACATAGTGTACAATTAGAAGGAGGACCGACGGCCATTTCATGGCTTGTCGGCTGTCTACGTGAGCTCTTGTTATCTCGCGCAAGAGAAATATCGAGTTGACGAAAACAATACCAGCCCGAACTTCATTGCGACACAAGCCATATACCTTGGTATCACTCACAACAATGTGGGGCGCGATTATTGACCTTGCGCAGGTTAGATTCAAAGCCACCACTCATGCGTGACAAGCACTAGATGTGAAGAGACTACGGACGATCACCTTTGACCCGTTCTCTCGACGCCGGTGCTGGCGTTGAAGGACTTGATGACCTCCGTATTGGCACCGTCGCTCTGTCATGCCGCGGAAAATGCCAAAACTTTTTGCACTGTCGACAGCATAAATTCCCAAATTGAAGACACTGCAACCCGCAGCAAAGAAAGATCTCCATGCAGTCCGAATTGTCCCATACGGTCTGCTTTGGTAGGCCCGTTCCTTCAGCTCCTTGCCCTGCTCCATCGGTTGTCCAGCAACGAACGCATGGCATGTAACGTAGGATATTGAGCTCGGAGGCCCGCTCTGGCCTCATACCACGGGGTCCTCGCTCACCATGTACTTCTCTCGATCCGTAATGGTAGGCGCCCGTAGCTCGCTGCCGTGTCACTTGATGCCCGAGCTTGCTCATTATCGGGTCCCTGAATCCCACGCAGTTTTCGATATTCACCCTCAGGAGGTTGATATTATCTTCTGTTGCTCCTGTGATACAGTCGACAGCCCACAGTGCGCAGTCTTGATTCACCAGCGAGAGTCTTACGTCGGCCAGCAGCTCGTGGACGCTATGTTCACTAGCAAAGTGAAGCAACCTGAAGTGCGGTCTTACCGCTAGCTCGCTGAATACACTGCTAGGTACGGATGTGAGGGCTATTTGATACATTAAATATGTTAGGATACTCTCGAAACCTCTTTGAATTTGTGTTCTCGGCATTTTCAATGACTCTAGAGCAGCGGAAGCACCACCTGTTGATGGTGTCGCTCGTGAGGTGGCGGAGCTCATTCTCTGCGGGAACCCTGAAGCGTCACTTCTAGGTCTACCTTCGGATACTCGAACCCACACGTGGTGGATCACTGGGATCGATCGGATCTGTAGCTGGCGGGCTAGAGTTACTCGGCGGTGGACATTTTGCTTTGGGGAGCAATATTGATCAGTGGTCATGCACGGGTAGACTCTCGAGGACGCGTGACTTACGGGATTTCTCAAGACACACACCAGCACCAGGTGGCGAGTCTTTTGGTGGGCCCATGACGGCCTGACTTCTTTCTGCGTCAGCCTCACCGTTGAAAGCCGTGACGGCGTACCTTGAGATAAGTCAGTCAAAGTCGTCGGACAAGTAGCAGCTCTGGATGACTGACTCATAGTTCCAGGTCCCAGAGGTCTGGTTGGGTATGTCTATACATGTTGTATCGAACGGAAGCTCAGAACTTATACTTTTCAGCTGACTCCCAGGCTCACTGATATTCCGAGCCGAAACATAGTACCCAGCTGCATCCGGCACAGTATCCCAAGTGAGATGAGCGGTAGTAGAGTTGATAGCTTCGACCTTCAATCCAGAAACAGTCGCAGGAGTCCCGCGACCAGGAATTACACTTCTCGCGACCCCGGGTAGTCCTGCTCCCACGTTATTCCAGGCTTCAACGGATATTGAATACTTGTGGCCAGGAACGAGATCCACGAGCGACGCATTCCCGACCGACAAGAACCCTGCAGACTGAACAAAGGAACAAGGCACGTCTTGGTCGAACCAATAGATATCGTACTGTGTGATTGTATTGCTATATGGCCCGGTAGATCCAGTCCAGGAGACATCGATACCACTGTCGGTAGAACGAGCGACGACATTGGATGGTGCAGCTGCTGTACGAGGCCGAGCTGTGGAAGTAGACCAATCTGTCCAGTCGCCTTTGCGATTTCCAGCACTGGAACGGATGCGGATCCGATATCTGCGAATCATCAAATGAGTACTTGGACCGCACGGGATCAGGATCATGCGCTCGACGTTACTCACATCCACCCATCCATTGCCCACCTTGTGTCCCATCTGTTCGATTGTACTGTCTTTGGAGAGGAGTTGTCTGAGGTAGTGCCGTTGACTGTATACTCAACATCGTATTCGTACGCTCCATAGACTATGATGGGAGGAGTCAGCCAAACCCGGTTATAATCCAGTTGCATGCAGCCGCTGACCTTTGTCCCAAGTCGCAGTGACACCTTGATCTGACGACGAAACTTGAATGTTKGATGGTGCCGGCGGCTGTCTTGGTGGGATGTTGTCTGGAACCTCAAGCGGTTTATCGCCGATTCCAAGAGCACTGACAAGAGCTCTGCTGAAACCTCTCGCAATTTGATACTCACCCAGCTCATTCGGGTGGAGGCCATCGAATGCGGCTGGGCAAGTCTCAGAATACTTTGGCCCACAGTCATATTCTTCGCGGACAGGTGCCCATGTGACCTGCGGGCGATTTAGCGAATGTCCTACGTGCAAAAGAAGTTCTTCAGAGCTTTCGGTCTTCCAACAAAGCGAAACACATCATGTTAATTTCWCTCATCCCGATGATGCCGACTCCACAAGTTCATCATATTTGAGTATGATGAAGCCCTCTGGATCAGACCGGTTCTTTGAGAATGGCGGAGAGGCCAAGTTGATCGAATGCAATGTCGACAGCTCTGAAGACATTGATGCGGGTGAACTCACCGGAGATGAAGCTGTACTCCACTCGCTAACCCGAGCCTTCATTATGCGGTTGTAAGAGTCCGTCCACTTTACGAGATCTTCGCGCCCCTGAAGGAACGAGCGGTGTACTTGGAAATCTCATTAGATCGCAGCTCCAAAGGCTCATCATTGAAAAACTGCATACCGACTGTAGCCACGACGAACGTCATGTTTGGGCTCGCGCGGCGTGTGTTGTTAATCAGACTAAGCATGTTGCCGAGGAGTCCAACATCATCAGTAAAGAAACCCAGATCATTGAAGCCAAGATCGATCAACATGAGATCAGCTGGGTGGTCTTTCGCGACTTGCTCAATGAGATCTTTATCGACTACGGCTGAACGTCCACTAATGGCGAAATGATTCCTTGCTCGGTCAGCAAGCGATAAAGCCTCGATTATTTTGAAGAGATCTTACAGACGGCCCGTAGAGTTAGTGCCGAGGGCGTAGCCTCCATCTGTGTTGGCCTGGATAACAGGCGCAGTCTCTTTGTATAGCAAAGGTTTTTTTGGAGGACCGGGTTGATCTGGAGCGATAGTGCCAGCATATGGTCCAACGTATTGAAAGACGACTCCTTGGGCACTAAACCATTCCAGGAGCCGGTAGCGCCAAGTGTAGTCACCTTCCCGGGAGTGTGTAATGGAGTCCCCGACAACGAGGACTCGCATGTCATTCTGTCGCTTGCTGGTGTGAGAGGACCCGTCCCTAATCAGCACACTCTCGTACTCAGGGACTTCACCCGCATCCTGTAGGCTCGGACGAAGCGGAACAGGTTTGTTCGAGTTTTGGTGATACTGCTGAGGCGTGGTTGACACTTCCTTGAAGTTCGCGGACGTTAAGTCTTCTGTCTCACTCCGGGCTGTTGTCAGAGTGGGTAGGACTGAGAGTGTTCCAAATACCACAACCAAGCGGCGTACATTGAAGCTACGGAGAGGCATTGTGCCTAGTTCCAAGAGCTCCGGCAGATTTTTAGGGGCTGAAGCTGAGTAGAGGCGTAGAATCACAACTTCACAAGAACTCACTCACTCTTCCAGTGTAAACATGGTGAACTTAAAGTATCCATGATCCTGGGGCTCTGAAATTGCTCATCTCAAGCCTGTCAAGCATGACATGCCAGCCTGAAAGTCATCGACATCGATTTTGCTCGCACGAATGGTAATAAGATAAAGACCAACATCTGCGAGCGTCTGTCTTTTAGRGATAGATCAGTCGTGTTAGACCCAGGTTGGAACGCTTGATGAATGTCATCTTCCCGGTACACTTCGAAAGACTTTCTTGGCGTTTGCGCATGGGTCGGTTGAGGCTGATGCAGACAACCTGGAACAATACCTAAACAAAGAGACCCTGGAAGAGCTTGTTGCGAGTCGCGACTCACGAAGCGACCGAATGCGGCCACACTGCGCCGCGTCAATTTTGGTATCGTGGTCAGCATGTTGAGAAGCTTGAGTCATACGTTGCTGCGGAGAACGTGATGGCCCGCATATCTCGTCGAGTGATGATGGTGGGCGAAGAAGATGGAGATGGCGTGTTGTCGAACATCGTCAAAGTCGGTAGATCTTGGCGGCGGTCTAGCTCCACGTTTTGTGTTTAGCGTACTCTCAATTCCGTCTGGGCTGCTCCTGAGGTATCAGCATGACCTTCCCTACCTTACACTTGCATGCCTTTCCACTCCGATCAAATCCATGGAACATCATTCCCCCATTCGCGAATCTGGAAACGAGGCTGTCCAACTGAAAGATCGCCTCGTCAAGAATCCATATCTCGCTACAGCTTCGTAGTGTCTCATGGGTCAAGGATGCTAGGAAATTCTCATGTTGACGGCACTCAACCAACAAAAAAGTCCATGAGCCTCAAGAGATCATCAGAGAGCAGCTTCCTGAACAGGGAAACGCACAAACAAGCCACCCACACCACGAGATCACAGCCCAAGTGACACGTGGCTTATCGGAAGGATTTCCCCCTCGGACGAGCATATGACGCTTTGGCGCATGGAGGGGTGTACCAGCAGAGAGTCGGCGTCGCTGATGGAGTATATAAAGGTATAGATAAGCTTCAGGAGATCGTAAGAATTTCCATTGTGCGATACCGTTCTGTGAAGGCCTGCTTGCAAGATGCGGATCCTGGTTACAGGAGTAAGTATTCGCCTGTGTTGCTCAGCTGATGGATTGTGGTGACTAAATCTTGATCATTCGTCCAGGGCGCGGGTTTCCTGGGCTCCCACCTCGTCGAATCTCTCCTGAAGAAAGGCCACGATGTGATCGTCCTCGACAACTTCTGGACCAGCCACCCCAAAAATCTCTCGCATCTCTCCTATTCCTTGCTAGAAGTGATCAGGTAAGTTGACACGATTCTGCCAGCGAGGAGGTCTTCGGCACTCTCAAGACAATACCTTGCTTGTCTCGAGATTAAAGAAAGTCGACTCACCGAGACCATCCACAGAGCAGACATATCCCATCCCCACACCCTCTCCAACCTCACCAACATCGACCAAATCTACCACCTAGCCTGTCCCGCTTCCCCAATCCACTTCCCCACATCCCCTCTGGAGATCCTCCAAACCTGCTACCTCGGAACGAAAAACACCTTGGACCTTGCTCTCCATCTCAAAGCCCGCTTCCTCCTCGCCTCAACTTCGGAAATCTATGGCCAACCTGTCGAACATCCGCAGAAAGAGTCCTACTACGGCAATACGAATTCTTTTGGCCCGCGGAGCTGTTACGATGAAGGGAAGCGTGTAGCAGAGGCGCTGGTGTATGCTTATCGACAGCAACATGCGCTGGAGGTGAGGGTTGCGAGGATTTTCAACACTTATGGTCCTGGAATGGCAAAGAAGGATGGAAGGGTGGTGAGCAGTTTTTTTGAAGCCGCGATTGAAGGGGAGGAGCTGGTAGTTAATGGTGATGGTAAGGCGACGAGGTGTTTTCAGTTTGTGGATGATTGTGTGAGGGGTTTGGAGGGATTGATGAACAGTGAGTGGGAGGGTGGACCGGTGAATCTGGGGAGTGAGAGTGAGGTGAGTGTTGGGGAGTTGGCCGAGTTAGTCTTGACGTTGGTGAAGGAGAGGGCGGGGAAAGCGGAGGGAAAGGTTGTGTTCAAGCAGAGCTTAGAGGATGATCCGGTGAAAAGAAGGCCTGATTGCAGTTTGGCAAGGGAGGTGTTGGGATGGGAGCCGAGGGAGGAGCTGGAAGAAGGGCTGAGAAAGACGCTCGATTGGCATTTGGAGAATCGGTGCTCGACAAGCGATGCTTAGGAAGTGTTCGTTGCGAAATGGATTGTTTATGCTCCTTCGTCGGCGATCTCACGGGAGGTGGTTTCCCAAACCGAGTGGCTGGCGTAATAGTCCTTCCGTCCGCGGGATTGCCACTTCATCGTGCATAAGGGTATCTTTGAGACTGGATCACATTGTCAAGCCCACAATGAGGACGTTCAACTGTTCTTCTTTTGATAGAAACTCGTGGCAGCTACAGAATCGTGGACGCCGGCACCTGACGCCAGGGGTAGCACGTATCGGCAAATACCCTTTCCCACTCCATTCATGCAGCATACGTGCGTTGTAGCAAGCAGACGCGGCTCTGCTTTCATTTGGTATCAACACACCCTCAAAACTCCGCGGCTTTTTTCATCATGCAAGACTCATTACACCCTTCCCGGTCAAATCTAGTTGGCCAGAGCGTATGCGCGTCTGCGGTCGCGCTCCTCGGCGATGCTGAGCTTCACACCCTTGCCCTTGGGGAGGGAGATCCATGGCTTCTCGCGTCCGATAACGAAGACGTTGGACTCACGAGTAGCGAACTCGTTGTCAATGGCGTCCTTGATGTGCACAATGTTGAAGCCTCCGTCGTGGCGCTCACGGTGGGTGATGACACCAACACGACCCATGTTACGACCACCGGTGGCCATGGCGATCACACCAGTGTCGAAGCGGATGAAGTCCTCAATCTTGCCTGTATATCTTGTCAGTCTTTCCCTTGTAACCCTTTCACATCCCGAGATATCTCACCAGTGGCAAGGTTGATCTTGACGGTGTCGTTGACCTTGATGGCCGGGTCTGGGTAACGGATCCTATATTATCCCATCAGCATCTCACATTCCTCGTTGTATTTTTCCAACCAAAGCTTGATCCAACGGCTGATAGACGGGTCACTTACGTGCGCGCGTCATGCGTAACCAAGAATGGGATGCCGCCCTTGCCAAGCTGCACTCTGCGGACTTTGCCCAACTTGTACTCGGCCTCCTCGCCAGTGATGCGGTGGACGGTGAAGCGGCCCTTGGTGTCGTAGACGAGGCGGAAGTTCTCGCCAGTCTTCTCGATGGAGATGACGTCCTGGAAGCCGGCGGGGTAGGTAGGGTCGGTGCGGACCTTGCCATCGACCTTGATCAGGCGCTGCATGACAATGGCCTTGACCTCGCGGGAGTTGAGCGCGTACTTCAGGCTGGAAATCATCAATCTGTCAGTGACTGCCTCCATTTTCCAATGCCATATCGAGGAGCATGTCTATACCGGTTGCGGATGAAGACGATCAGAGGCAGACAGTCGCGCAACTTGTGCGGACCGGGCGATGCCTTGGGCGCATAGGAACCGCTGAGCTTGTCGAGCAGCCAGTGCGATGGCGCCGACAATCTCTTCTGGTGCTTTCCTGGACCACGACCCATGTTTGCGATGTGAAGTTAGTGAAAAGAGTGGTGTCGACGTAGACTTGCAGCAGAAGGAAGAAGTTCGAGATGAAGCGTCGTGTGCTTGGAATTTGCTAGCCCGTGTCCCGTGTGCGAAAATGAATTGGCGAATGGGAGAGAAGCGGGCTAAACCTTATTTACTCGACCTTGGCGGTCGTTCCTTCGATCACTTCCACTTCCACATCACAGAAGTGGAATGGAACTGTCGTCCAGCATGGCGGAACATTGTGAGGCTCTCCTTTCTTGCTCCAAAACAGTGTGTCATTACCAAATTGTCGGCTCAGGCTCCTATCGCACGCCTATCGGAACGAGTCTGATGCCCACTGTCCGACGAGCATGCGTCCCAAGGGCCGGTGGAATTGAAGGTTGTCGCCCTACCTGCTGGGATGATCTTTCGATAACAACGACAACACCGCTGAGAAGACATTGTTTGATGCGACACTGGGCTCTACGTGAGACTACTTACCATTGTTAGCTTGGCTAGCCATTCGCGAGCGTAGTCGTCGATTCACTGCTAGGAGAGCCGGCAAACGTCAATTTATCTGCCCTCGCTCGTGCTGTGACCCGAACTCCTCTCCCACACCGATGACTTCGGGATCCTTGATGTACGGTCATTTCGCTTCAACAAACACTGTCACTGTCACTCTCGCATCCCATTTATCCTTTCTTCCGTCCGCCGATCCAAGAGGAAAACGTCATAGCTTCCTCTCACAATCACCATTCACCAATTCCCTTGTTTTGTTCAACACGGAAAGCAGATAGCTTTCTCCAATCACATTTCCCATCACCATGTATTCGTTTCAAAGCCCGCAAGAACAAGCCAAGCATACGCTACGGACTTATCACTTCTCTCCTGAAAATTCTAGTTACTCCCTCCAAACCACAGAGCTGCCCATCCCTCCCACCTCTGTTCTCATCAAAACAACCCACTCCGGGATATGCCATACAGACATACACGCCAAACCCTCGGGCTGTGGTCTCGGTCATGAAGGAATAGGACACATTGCCGCCCTAGGCTCTTCGATCGTCAGCTTCCAGGTTGGAGACCGCGTAGGCTGGGGATGGTTACACACATCCTGTAAACAATGCAAGACTTGCAAGTCCGGTAAGCCGCAGACACATATACTAATCAATCGACCATGTTCTCCCTCTAATGGATACACCCTTGCTCTAACGAAGATAAGGATACCCACAATACTGCCACCAAGCACGTGGCTTCGCCTTCACAGACACAGACCAAGGATCCATGTCCACAGCCCGAATCATCGACGTGGACCTCATCGTTCGCATTCCAGATGAAATTCCATCACTTTACGCAGCACCTTTAATGTGCGCTGGTGCCTCTACATTTGAAGCCCTATACGCAGCAGGCGTCAGCGCAGACTCTCACGTCGGAGTTGTTGGAGTCGGAGGATTGGGCCATATGGCAACACTTTTCGCTAAAGCTATGGGATGCGAAGTCACTGCCATTTCGCGGACTGAGGGGAAGAGGGAGGACGCAAGAGCTTTGGGCGCTGATCACTTCATTCTGTCCTCGCCCAACATGAAGATGGGAGACAAGGGAGAAGGGATCGATGTCCTACTCATTACCTCCGCTGCTGTTCCAGATTTCAAAAGCTTCCTGCCATTGCTGGCGCGGAGGGCTACAATTGTACTGATGACGATTCAAGGAGACAGCATTGAAGTCCCCTACATGGATTTTGTACTGCCGGGACATCGAATGGTTGCCAGCACGGAATGTGGGAGGGAGAACTGGAAGCGAATGCTGGAGTTTGTGGCGGAGAAGGGGATAGTACCATGGGTCGAAGAATTCGAGATTTCTGACAAAGGAATTGAGACAGCATTTGAAAGATTGGAGGGCGGTAAGATGAGATATCGAGGAGTGCTGAGTTGGAGAGAATAAATGCGAGTAGATGCAGCATTTATCAATTTTTCTGCTATGAACTCATATTGGCAGTTTCGTAGCTTACCCACATTCATCACTATGTCCTGCATATGATATTCCAAGGTCGGTTGTGGTGAAAGCCTTCCTGATCGAGAGCGTCGAATAGATGTTCTGCCTCCAGCATGTCCAACAAACAACGCCATGTCAGCAAGGTTTGCCGCGTAGTTCATCACCCGGTTTGCGTGTGATGTCACTTCGATAGAACAGCAAAGGGTGCTCGCCGTTGCGGTATACCACGGCAACATCGTTCATGCAGCCACCCCTATCCCTTACCGGCCAACGGTGCTTGAGCTTGTACTTCGCTTGGCTTCATATCGTTGATGCTGCAATTCAGAAGTAATGAAGATGATCCTCTAGTGACGACAGCAAACAGTTCTGTCTCCGGGTGACACGTTTGGAATGCTGACCAGATCAAGTGTTGTATGATTGGACGAAAGGCATCGATGGAGCTGCCCCGGACTGTTGTGACTTTCACCTGCTTTGCGCCAAGCGCGACTTGGTGTCTCTGTCTCCCGTGATCTGGACGCCTCTCTCTTCCTCTTCCCAACACAACAACTTGGCCAGCTTTTTATTTCCCCACGCTACCGTCTCGCGTAGAGAAATACATTGCCGTTCATGTCGTACTGTAATCTTTGAACAAAACGCGCGCACCCGCCGACAGCACGCCAGCACCAGCACACCCCACTTCCACCACCCAACGCGTCCATCGACGGACTGTTTGTTCCTCTTACCTTCACCAGACACAGCTGCACTCTCGATGGCAACTGTGGAGACGTCAATGACGCGTGAATCTTCCGCCGAATCCAACATTCTCCTCCTCAACAACAACAACGACATGACCATGGACGTGGATCTGGAGGTACCCGCGTCGACACCACCAACCAGCATTTCCGATAGCCGGAGCATGGAAGACACCAAATGTGGCGACGATGTCGCCTTACAGACCTCCGGCGGACGGCCAAAGCGCGTCCGATCGGGAGTAACAAACTACAATCTGAAAGCGCTCTCCGAGGCACAGCTGCCCATTAGCAACGTGGGCAAGAGCAAGGCCAGCAATGCCCATCGTAATGCTTCGGGACTGTCGGGTCGGACGCTAGTAAACCGTGTCGAGGTCAACGAGGAGGATGAGGAAGAGCCATTCGTGGCCAATATCAACAAGGCGCTCAACGCGGACTGGGAATTACCTGCTGGATCAGCAAAGGGGAAGGCAGGTGGCAAGGGCAAGTCACCCGCGCATGCTCAGCGACGGCCGAGTGTCAAGGATCGAGTCAAGTCCGGCGTCCTCGAAGCCGGCAAGAAGGCAGCGGGCAAGGCCGGCAATCTGCGTACCGTGCTAGGGAAGCGAGGCCGTGACATGATGGAGTCGGGGAAGCGAGCGTTGGGAATGGCCGAGGAGGAACAGGCTCCAAGTCCAGCTAAAAGCAAACTGCTCAAGGAGCTCGACTTGGGCAAGGGAGGGATTCTGGATGAAATGGATCTGGATGTGGACGTGCCAGTTGTCCCTCTCCCACYTCGCCCAACCAAGCGTGTCAAGCTCACATGTACTTCTGCACCACTGCAAGAACTCGCTCAACCTACTGGACCTCACCAAAAGACGTCCGACGGTGGACGAGTGAAGAAATGGCAGACCGAAGGCCTCTACGTCGGCCAGGAAGCCAGCTTTGACCCCGCCCGGAAGGCATCTAAGAAGCTTCAGAAGAAGTCACTTGCCTCGACGACAGAGGAGAAGGCCGCTAAGTCGTCCAAGCTGAACTTCACGCTGCCCATGTTTGACTACCTCTCAAAAGATCGTTCCTTCACCATCCCATTCGATGTGTTCGCACCCTCCCTCACCAAAGGCTCAGAACGCCCCAAAGACTGGCACAAGGTCAACCGCAACCGTCTCGTAGGCGAAGCGAAAGAACTTTGGGAAAAGTCGGAAAATCTCCCTACCTCCGCCTGTGTCTGCAAGCCTCCTGTCGATGGAGAAAGTGGATGCGATTATGACTGTCTCAACCGCGTCATGCAATACGAGTGTAACGACAAGAACTGCAACCTCGATCCTGCAATGTGCAACAACCGAGCCTTCGCCCAGCTGGCCGCCCGAACCAAGAAAGGCGGTGCCTTCGACGTCGGAGTGGAAGTTGTAAAGACTCATCAACGAGGCTTCGGCGTTCGAGCCGCGAGGTCTTTCGCTCCCGGACAAATCATCATGGAGTACACGGGAGAGATCATCTCCGAGGGTGAATGCCAACGTCGCATGCGAGAGGACTACAAGGATAAAGAATGCTATTACCTCATGGAGCTCGAGCGGAACTTGGTGATTGATGGGACGAAAGGTAGCATGGCTCGCTTCATCAACCATTCATGTGAGCCGAACTGCGAGGTCAGAATGGTCAAGGTCAATGGAACCCCAAGAATGGGCGTCTTCGCGGGTAGCGAGACTGGAATCATGAGTGGAGAGGAGTTGACTTATGATTACAATTTCGACAACTTCGGCGAGCAGGCGCAGAAGTGTTACTGTGGAATGCAGAAGTGCCGCGGGACCTTGTCGAGAAGGCTGAATGCGAATGAGTTGAAAAAGCAGAGAGTGCTTGATGAGGCGCGGAGAAAGGTGCTTGCGGAGGAGGCTGCCAGAAAACAGAAGGAAGAAGCGAAGAAAGCAGAGGTTGAAAAGGGCAGAGGAAGTGGGTGGAGAGGATGGCTTGCCGTGGATGATCCGGAAACCAAGGCACGACTCAAGGCTGAAAAGGCCGCCAAAGAGGAGGCAGAGAAGAACTCCACACGCGCTGCGAGGCTGGCGAAACGCAGGGGAAGCGTGGGTGCTGCTGTCGTTGAGAAGCCTGTTAAGGCTGAGCCGAAGAGAAGGAAGACGGTGAATGGTCCCAACAGCATCACTGTCGCTGCGACCCGCAAGAGCGAGGAGGCTCCCGTGAAGAGATCTTCTTCTCAGAGAAGAACCTCCACTGGTTCGAGGTTTACAGAGGATCTTGAAAACGGCGACCGTCCGACTTCGAAGCGAAGCATCGTTTCGAAGAAGACGACTGTTACAGTACCTATCATCGACGAGAATGCGAGCAGTGCCGATGATGAGATTACTGTCAGCCCGCCGGTCGAACCTACCGCACCAAAACCACGGCTCACGATCGAGGCGGTTGCGGTCGGAGTTGCAGAAGAGGACGACGATGAGGATGTTGCGATGGAGGATCTCGTTGCTCCCGTCGAAGCACCGAAGAGGAGCAGCTCGATCCGGGAAAGGATCGGAAAGGTCGTTGCAAAGACGACAGGGAAGCGTCCGGCTAGTGGAAGTGGCAGTGGCGGGTTGAGGCAGAGCACATTGAATTTCGGGAGGAAATGAATGAGCTGAGGTGGGTTTTGAGAGGGAGTGGGATTGCGGACATTCAACACTCCAGATATCTTTGCGTGTTTGCTGTAATGTTGTGGGTGCGTTTGGCGGCATTGTTACAGTCCGATGGGGAAGGTTATGGGAGCGATGGCAGGTTTAAACAAGCGTTATTGCTGGCTTGCTGAGATATTATTTCCGCCGGCTATATCTACAATCACAGGCGAGATATCTTTGAAGGGGTGCGGTGTTTAATGAAATCATTGACTTCAACAATAGAACCGTCGTGCAACAGCGCATCAACTTCCCACGCCGAATGGACGACGCGGCTAACATACAGTTTCTTGTCTAGTTTCATCTGCCGTGGGTCAAGGCGGAATTCTAGGCTAGTTAGAGTCGACGGTGAGACGCAGGTTCACACAAGTCGTAATCAAAAGATTGACATTCAGCTGAAGTTTTTCAGGTTCAGGGATCAGGCCAATCACGGTGTCCGCGCTAGGGGATTTGAACGTGAGTGAAATGAACGAGCGGTTCGTTTACACACGCTGAAATYCAATTTACTTTCCCTTGGTTGGCTTTCTTCCGGTCTCCTTCTATCGCTCTCAAAGAGCCCCACTCAGCTCAAAGCGGCCCCCCTCCGTCCATGCAGTCACGGAAGGCCCAAGCAACGAAGAGTAGCCGCCTGCAAAGTGATTTGATAAACACGATGCCTGCTAGCATCTCCAAATTTGGAACAAACGATCGAGAAGCCATGCGCGCTTCAAGACTCTTCCGCAAGCTTCCGCCGGAAGTTTGAGTCATTATGTATATGTTTGCGTATGGCGGCGAACTCGATCAAGGTGAATCTTAAACGCAAGGCTGCAGTAGATGGAAGTACTTTGAAGGTATGCCCAGTACCTCATGGAATAAAAAAAGACTGCTTTTGCACCCAGAGTGTGTTTGACGCGATCATCGGCATCTCCAAAACTAGTTCAGCGAAACTTTCCATTTTCTCATGCGTTCAAAGCGAATACGTTTCGAACGCTTCGACATCATCCGGGAGCTTATACACCGTCTACCACACATCATGAGGATCGTTATTGCAATTGCATAGTGGTGGGAGAATATTCATCATCCCTTTCGACTAACGGTCACTCTTCACGACCTAGACCTGGACCTTTGTATCAAAGACATACATGTCATCGCGGAGAGAGCTATTATATGATCGCCTCGCCGTAGGGACTTCTACGACTGCATCATTGGCCACTTTTAGACCTTCGCACGCTAAACTGGCTCGAGTCATTTGACGTGTCTGTCGAAGATGAATTGGCGGGTAACCATTCAATCTTCAACCTATGTTGTGAGAGCAACAAGGCGGTCGATCTTGGTGAACATGGCTCGCGAGTAGATGGAGTAAGCGATGAAACAAAGTAGATAGAGAAGCCTGTCTTGATATAGTCTTACGCTCTTGAGTAGATGGAATCTCCGCATTCCCAGAGTCGTTCATCCGATGAACGGAGGACACAGCAAGATCAATTGAGAAAGTTCACGAAGTACAGTTTGTTAATCCAGAGCTATCAGAATCCAGAATTCATTGACCATGCTCAGGATTGGATGGTAGAAGATGATGAATCCGAACCCGTACCCAACACCTTGAGTTAAACGCAATGTTTCAAGACTCGTGGCGAAAGAGCCCGCGACAAGGCTAAACAGTAACAGTGGTGTTCCAGTGACTGAGATGTACGGAGAATTCCTGAATTCTGATTGTTGGTGGTAGTACCCCTGAAAGACTCCGCAGGACAAGGGAAATCCTCCCCAGAGAAGGGCTTCGAATACGAATGCTGCTAAGAGCAGCCGCCATGCAGCTTTACCGCTATCATATGAAGAAAGGGATAGGGTGGTGTCTGGTTCTGGTTCGCTCTCCAGCTGAGGATGGGTTGGTTAGTGTGATGCCCAGCTCGACGGCATCCGTGGTCAACGAATCCTCGCGCCATACTTTCGATTTCAACAGCAAGAACTAGTAAGTATATCGATTGTATGTTCCACAAGAGGTTACTCCTCGCGTCCTCAATAACCGAGGTCCATGAGTATTCCATCCAATTGTCTTCCACAATGTCTTTGAGATGTTTTCAGCCATTTAGCGTGGCGTAGCTCCTTACACAAGGTTAAAACAGGGCTGGTCTGGAGATACTGCCAAGGAATCAGCTGCCGAGAAGATTGTGCAGCGACAGCCGTTCAGCTAGTTGTCTGGAATACAATGCGAAGATTTTGCGGTGTGGCTACGTACTTTGCGGTTAGCCCGAGTAATTTTCGATGCTCGCAGCCCGGCGCAACTGTGATAAAGTTATCACAATTGAAGCATGAGCAAGACCCAGATTTTGACTTTCTGCAGTGGTATTGATCGCCCACACCCGTTTGAACTCTGATTTCTTCCTTCTTCTTAATGAGATGGGGCAGAGCTGTGTTTGATTCTACCACGAGGTATCTTGAAGAAAGTCTCATAGGTCAAGTCTGTGCCGAAGGATGCGAACGTCACCTCGCAGCACATTGGCTTGCAGGTGACGCGTAACAAGTTTGTGATGCCAGCGCAACGCGTCGCCAACAGCTAGCGATTCAAAATGTCCATCAAGATATGCCAATACATGCTTCTGTGATAGGATGAGTGCGAGTCTGACGTCGATGCGGCACCATTTATTAATAGCGGCYCTGTGAAGGTATCACAGTAAACACTCCCAATCGTATTGCCCAGTCTTCTCTGGCGTGATACTCGGACAGGAAGTATTGTGCGCCAGCAGTATCCACTTTTGAAGTAGGGTAAGAAACAAGAGTTTCCGAAGGATGGCTCCAACTAGCCGAACCTTGGCAACCTTTTGGGCGGGATCGTCTATCATATCGTTCAACAGCCCCCGAACCTACATGCGGACACATGTTGGCCCGGCTGACGAGCTGCTTACATGCTGATTGTCGCATCCAATTGGTTGTATGCAGGCGCTGCGTGGGCTGCGCGTGCAGATGCATGCATCAACGAACGGCACCATGCCCGGAACCAATGTAATGCGACCCTCTTGTCTGCCATGAATGTTGTATAACCACGCGAAGAGAGTTGTGCAAAGTCGGAGCTGAACTGGTCACAGTCTTCATTCGTCGCGATCCATTCCCGTGCGTTCGTGCACGGGATGTTACGTCCCATCAGACCGTTGCATTCCTTGCGAGGACAGAGGCGGAACATTGTGTTCCATCTATGAAGCCAAGTCTTCGAGACAGACTCAACGCCTGCTCTAGCTGTAGGTATGTCTTTGCCTGTAATGCTGTGAGAGAATTTATCCTCGCCTCCAGGATCAGGATATCGTAGGCTCCCATTAATTCAATGTGTATCGATATTTCCAGTCACTGGAGAACAATCCCATCGATCAAGCTAGGTGCCCATCGATTCGTATCATTGCCATTCCTGCCCACTTCGTCTATTGCCTCAAGGACGACCGCTCGGCTCAATACGGGTCCCATTTCCTCATGTCCAGCTATCTCTCTTAGCCGCTCACACACTTTGGCAATGTCGAGCGTACCTGAGAGATAAAGAGGGTGCTTCTGAAAGAGATTCCACAGTGCAGTCGCAGGAAGCGATTCGTCGTCGCTGCCCAGCGTATTCTTGAACGGAGTTTTGATCGGCGGTTGGCCGGTTGCAGTAGCAGAGCGACGTCGACTCGTGACAGACGTGATCCGTGGTTGAAACGATGACTGCTGCTTGGCCAGCCGATGCAGTGGACAACTGGACTTGTATGCTGAGGACGGCGAGGCAAATTTTGCCCGAAACGACTCATTTTCCGATTGTGCAAGACTTAGCATTGACCGGAAGCGCTCGTTATCTGACMGCAACGAAGAGACGGTGGCTTCAAGTTGACCGACTTTCATCTCCAAGTCTCGAACGTGTCTTTCTTTGCGTTCGCGAAATGCACGCTGGCTGTTGCACAGATGAGTTAGTCCCATCGTCGCTTTGTTTAAACTTCTGAACATTTCGACCCGACTCACGCTGCTCGATTCTGTGCTTTACGCCGCGCCTGCGCAGGAGAGAGACTGTCTCTTTCTGCACTGCTACTTCTTCTGTTTGAGCTCTCCTCCAAGTCCACATTACAGCCACTGCTGATAGAATCGCCTGGTAGCCAGGGGTATTGATGCGGCTGAGGAGAATAAGATGTGGGCATTGCAGCCAGGAAGCCATCCTGGGGAGTAGCAGGGTGATTTGTGCGATTGACAGATTCAGGATTGAAGCCGTGAGGTTCAATAGATGTCTGTATATGTCAGATTGTGGAACGGCTCTTTTCACTGTGGAAGGGGCGTACTGGAACGGCGTTGCTACTGGGCTCGCCGAATCCGAAGTTGACATCAACGCCCATGTAATGATAAGCCTGATGAAGTGTGCCGCCAAAGTAATCGTACTCCGAGGACTCCATGGTAATGCTCGATATGGGTGCCTTGTCTATACCGTTAAGGGATAATCTGAACAGGGTTTATTGATCAGAGAGTGGGAGTAACAGGTTGCGATGAGACTGGAGATGGCAATGAAACGTGGGATCAGGTAGAGCATATAAGGAAATAATCCAGCGTTRCATGCTACCAAATCCGCTTAGTCTGTGACACAATCCATCAAGAATGGAAGGGCCCGAGGAAGATCATCCTACCAACATAACTGGTGGAAAGGCACATGGCTGTGCAGCATGCTTGCAGATCACAAGCTGTAAGATGTATCGAGAGGAGCTCAGAACGGAAAGCGTTGATCCAGCCAGCCCTAAGTTCAGCGCATGTGGCATTGCGAAGATCAACAAGCGAAGTGTGACTTTGGAAGTAGTGGCGGATGAAGTTCCAAGTGGCCGAGGCCGTGCATGCGCGAAGGATTTAGCGTGACCACGAGGGTTGAACATCTCGGCGACGGCGGCAGTCATCATCTACCCCTGTAGCTGGATCCACGGCAATTTGATGACTTTGCTGGCGGCGTTTGAGAGCCATCCCCGTGCGCTCTCCAACGCCTGCGATGTCGAGTGAGACGATGTAATTGATGCCAACAGGCAAAGTCCGACATGGTGTACCAAAACGGCACCTGCAATTGACGTTGGGTCGTCTCTTCGTACGGCGGATTGACTGGTGGTTCACTGAGGCTCATCGCTTTTGCAGACTCGAAACGAATTGAYAGGCGCACGGTGATTGAAGTTGCGATCTCGCAACACGATTTGCGAGGGCGAAACACTCGGACGGAAAGAGCGCTCGCAGAGTGAACTTTCTGTCTCCAAATTTGGCGGCCAGAGACGAACGTGGAAGCATGAGGATGCATGGAAGGTCGTCAGAGAAGCCTTCACGGTAAGCGAATGTCTTGCTACTTGCTGCACGTCAGCCTACAGGGCTGTGAGACTTATAGGGCTGGCTGCAGCAGTATCCGGGACTTCTGTCGCTGGGTCCCGAAGAACCGGTGTGCGTGACTGTGAGATGCACGCGGATCGTGCGGGAAAGACGGTGCTCCGCGCAATGCACATGGTGTTGACGCTGCATTTGTCACGTCTCACGCTGCCATGCTTACCCTCGATCGGAGGGTGTGAGTTGTAAGAATATATCGGCAAAATGATGTGACGGTCCTGGAGCCTCGTTGATACAGCTGGGGGTCTCAAGAATGCGAGACAGCATCTTGTTGCGCAATCTCTGGAGGCCGACATGTGCGGCCCTGGAGATACGAAGTCCAACTTTCAATCTCACCGTGTGGCAGAATGACGCTGCTACCTTCCTTGTGCGGAGACGTGGTCTCGTCGATGTCGGGAGTTCCTTTGATGAAGGCGGACATACAGTGAAGCCTAGCATTGAAGCCGGCAGTACCATGATCGAGGGAGATCAGCGCTTCTCTGCTCACCGAGCGAAGCAGGCAACCAAACGCCACCATCGGCACCGATCAGGCGAGATCATGCAATGTAGTCAGACCGTCCTGCAGCCAAGAGCATCACATCTCGCTTATTGAAGTGCATCCGATTACTCTGGTCGTAATTATATCGCACGCTGCTTTTTGATGTCCAGTCACAGCGTCTCCTTGTATCGTAAGTCATATACAGTGACCAAATGTCCACTTTTGCTAACGCGAGAATCAACTCGCTGCCAACGCACGAGCGCCAAAATGCTCTAGGGGACTCTGAACTACTTCCAATGCAAATAGACCCCGTGGGCCCGTATGTTGGGCATGCGAGCAACGACAGTGATCGGCGATGCTGGCACGTGTAGCCTGATGCATTCATGTCCGTGTGATTCATGTCGTGACCACTACGATCGGCTCCAAGTCGGGACCAAGCCGTCATAGATCGTTGCTGCATGCTGCTCAGTTGATGGTCACGCAATGGTATTTTGAAGACTTTGCGCATCTCGCGACATCACAATGAGTGAATGAATCGAGTTGGTCTCCAACGGGGCTTCATTCCTTATTCCGGAGCTCCACAATTTGCCGTATGCCGGTCATACCGACCCAGACAGMCTCTTCCGTCCTGATGGTTCGACTACCCTGGCCAGGTACCAGGTTGACCCAGTAATCGAAGACCTCTTCGGCCTTGCTCACGCCTGCCGCTTGCAGTTCCTCGTCGGCGCTGAGTGCCGCTTCTAGTCCGGCCACACCCCCAAAGACCACAATGAGATGGTTCCAAGTAGGCTCTACGCGCGTGGTACTGCTAGGATCTAAAAGATTGTGGAGTGATACGCCTCGCTCGCTTGTCCCAATGCTGATGTCGTAGCCGCCGTCATACGGACATTCTGTGAATATTGATCCAAGGGAATGTGCTTGTCTTACTTGATATCCCCAGTAGTAACCTGCATGTTCGCGAGGGACCTCTGGCGATATCGCCGTTCCTGGCAATGTCTCCACGTACGAAGTTGGGCTGTTCGCATCAAGCTGAAGTGTCACTCGAGTGTTGGCGTCGATGCTTTCTGGAATAGTGACTCTAGCGCCAATTCCACAATCCACAAAGGTTCCGGATCCTCTTGCAGGCCCAGTAGTGATACCCTCGCGATATTGACACCATTCCTCGCTTCGAAGATGATGAGGCATATCCAGACTTGGCAACGCGCCTGCCGTCCTCAGATCGGGGTGCATAGGAAACAAAGCCTTTCTCAGGTTCGGCGGAGTTTCCAGATAGGTCAGAACATGGTAAAGGAAGAAGTTTGGGTCCGCGAAAGCTGTATATCCTCCATGTTCTGGTGCACGGACCTCGGCTTGGCCATCATCAAACACGACTATCTCGTCCACGCAGAACACGGCAAAGGCCCGGGCAATTTGTCCCGCAAGACTGGTCTTCTGATCGTGAGTGACAGCATTCGCTATTATGCTGCCTGGCAGAGCGATACTCAAGGTGTGGCTTCGTCCTCGCGTGGGCTGGAAAACCGCGGATGGTTTCGAAGTGTCAGGAGCATCTGCATCCGTCTTTCTTTTCTAGAAATTTGTCAACAAGTGTAGTTTTGTCAGGTTATGTGATGATAGTACTTTGGATTTATGAGGCGCCATGATGTCGATTGATGTTTGGTAAAGCTTTTGACGAGCGCAAAAATAATTCCAAGCACTGCAACTACGCTAACGAACGCTAGTGGACATCCGGTTACCGAGCAGCAACTTCACCGCACAGTGACAACCTCCTGTCAACACCATATTGCACGGACACCGCTTCTACGATGTATTGGGATCTTTCAAAGCTGTTTTGAGGTCACTTGATGAGAACGATGGCTCGACCTGTGACACCGATGTTCAAAATGAGATACCACGCTGCGATTACATCTAGGCGCAGCTACATTACGAATCGAGGTGCAATGGACTGAAATCAGACCGAAGCCTTTTGTACACTGCTCTTGACTAGATCGGCCGAGAACCCTGCTGAGCTATGGACCGATACGCCACGCACTCCACTCCGAGGTATCGAGACGCTGTAYAGCTTTAACGCAGGCCTACATCCGCCCCGGAGACTATTGTCCTACTGCGATCAAGAAAAGAACCGTTGAAGACTCGTCAGACTGACCGATAGGTGTATTTGGACAAATTGTACAGTGGAAATATGTGCAAATCGAATGTCCTGAATTGCGCTTGTGATCTACTGGAACACTCTCAAGGCGATCGTAATGAGTCGCATTGAACCGACAGAGATCAAGGAGAGACCTCGTTGGTACCTTTTTTGTCGAGAGCTCTGGATCTGGAGCTCCTACAGTCCACAATATTCTCTACTGGTTATCGTTCTTAATATCTTGTGCAATCTTTTCAGCCAAAGCGTAAACGGTTGACATCGGATCTGGAACTTGGTCAGCACGGTCTCGCATATCTTGGAACACCATACGTACGCCCTGGTGGCAGCAAGTTGAAGGCACTGGCATCCACGACCCGGAGGTTCTTGACACCAATAACTCTCGCCTTTGGGTCTACAACGGCCGTGGGGTCGTTGGCTCTGCCCATCTTACATGTGCACGATGCGTGCCTGTATGTTGTCAGCAGAGACCTTTCCAGACCACAACACACTACTCACCAGACAGTCATCAAAGTATCACGGTAGTTCTGGAGAATCTGCTCGTCGGTGGCAGTGTTGGATCCAGGGAAGAACTCCGGGCCAACAACACCCTTCTGCATGGCAGCAGAATGGAAAGCTTGACGGGCGCGCTTGAAAGCGATGATTGCAACCTCTTGGTCCGTGGGGTCTGCGAGCCAGTTGGGGTTGATGTCGGGCAGCACGTTGGTGTCCGCAGATGTAATCTTGACAGTGCCTCTCGACAGCGGCTTCACAAGAGTGGAAAGGATTGTGCCGAATTGCTTTCCAGAACCTTTCTCAGGCTGAGTCAGGAGAAGGTCGGCAAAGTCACCAACGTAACCTGCTCCGCTGATGTACTCCAGCTCCGGCCAGTCGGCAGGGAACTGAGCAAGAGCGATCTTAGCCCTGGTAGAGAGCTGGGCGTAGTCAGAAAAGGGGAGCTTCTCCCAGCCCAAGAAGTCAGACACAGGGTTGGTAAGAGGTCCGGACTGGTTTCCGAAGTATTCAACACCCTTCTCCGCGAGATATGTAGGCTCATTGGCCAATTTGGTGAAGGTCTCCATGGCCATCYGGTAGGTTGGGCCAGCGAAAACATGGTCCCACACTAATTTACTGTCAGCGATGAACGAATTGTTTAAAGGCTTGATCGATATCTTACTGTTCTGGCCCACATTTGGGTTCTCCTTGATGATCGGGATGCCCAAAGGCTTGAGCTGGTCGGCTGGGCCAATTCCCGAAACCATGAGAAGCTGAGGGCTCTGGAAAGCACCAGCCGAGACGATCACTTCCTTACGGGCGCTGAGGACGAAAGGAAGAAGGCCAGCTGCAGCGACCTGAACACCCGTGGCTCTCTTGTTGGAGTCAAACAAGATCTTCTTGGCCATTGACAAGCTGAAGACCTTGAGGTTGGTCCGGCCCTGGGCGATAGCTGCATTGAGGAAGGTCTCTTGAGAGGATCCACGTCTCTGAGACTCTGGAACAATGGTCGAGGCACCTGCAGTGGAGCGTTAGTCAGGGTACTGACACGTATTCATTGCGGGATTGACGCTCACAGTAGGCCGTGCCATCAAGGACACCGTCTTCAAAGCCGGCTTGCTTGGGAAGTCCGATAGCGTTCAAGCCAGCCTCCATATAGCTTGAAAAGGGCTGGGCGAAGTTGGCATAGCTGACTTGTCCTGGACCTCCGGTTGCACTGTAGCTGCCGGRGTTGTAGTCTGCGGTGGCGTTTGCGGCGCGCTTGGGGCCAGGGGCCGTGAAGTGCATGCTCTTCTTGAAGTAMGGAAGCAAGTTGTCGAAGGTGTAGCTCTGGTCACCAATATCGTTCGCCCACTTCTGGTACGATCCGCGAGTACCTCGCTGGTAGATCATGAAGTTACGAGCGCTGGTGCCACCAAGGCAGCGCCCACGGGCATAGTGGACTCGTCGGTTAGACGCACCGGTTTGTGGCTGAGTGATAAAGTTCTGACATTCATCGACAATCAGTATGAGAAGCAAGGCAGGGTTTTGCAGCGCGGCAACATACCCAGTCGACGATCGGGTTGTTGTCAAGAGGACTAGATCCGCAGAAGACGACATCACCTGCCGGTGTCGAGGAAAAAAGAGGATTCTCCAGCTCGTAAAAATCACCAGCCTCTATGAGCGCTACTGTGACTTTTGGATCCTCTGAGAGACGATAGGCAAGAGGGAGTCCTACAGCGGAGTGTCAGATGTTGCTAAAAGACTGAAGTCGATATACACACCAGCAGTTCCGGCCCCGACCACCACGTAGTCGAATGTCTGGTTCTGGCCCAACGTTCCACCAAGCGCTCCCAGTGCAGTGTTCAGGCCCAAGGTCCCAGTGAGCGAGCCCACAACATCGCCATCGCTCTGTCGCTCCTGAATAGGGTTTGCTGAGGTCAAGGCCGCAAGGCCTGCCGTCAAGGCGAGTTTCAGAGTTGCATGCATTGCTACACAATGGATGAGATGTCGCAGAAATTGTCAACAGCCCTGAATGCAAGGAAGATATAGAAGGCCGGGTGGAACATTGGCCGTACGATCTACCATCCGACACGTGCCAAACTTTGCACACAGCTCGTTGCCTCGGGATCTTCTTTGCGTTTAAGCTCTTGCTTCGACGTACATACTCCGAACTACTGTCGCTCTGCGATACAAGGTACATCGTAATGGGTACACGAAGCAATCGGTATTTACGTTTGGGCAGTCTTGCCGTCAAWTTGTCTCTTCAATTCAGCAAGACAGGAAACTCGAAGCATCGTCACTTGAAATCGAAATGACYGTTGCAACAAAATGTCGGATCATCATTAAGCCTCTTATGAACATGCACTCGTACACAAGTAAGATTCATCAAGCTTTCTCTAGGCAGTCTGAAAGGGCAGGAATCGGCGTACCGGCAAGCCACTACTGGCAGCATCAGATGATCGACCGGCTAGCTTCCTCAGCCCAGCTGGAATCTCTCATGATTCAAGCGATATTATTGGCTCGACCAATGTTGGAGAGAAACATTTGCCGAAAGCGTTGCTGAAAGGGGCATTTGCTGGGAAGTCTAAACTGCCAGTAATGGGGGATTTTGAGGGGAAACACCCGCAGATCAGCTTGATTCGGGTCTCGATCGACAAGTCAAAAGGAGAGTCCCGCAGAACAACGTACGAGCAAGCCATTCGCGATTCTCTTCACTCCGTTGCTGTCTTGCAGACTCTGAGCGCAAGAGATCTGGCCGTTCGAATTTAAAACCTTGATGGTTGATAGACGCACTTAGCGAAGCTTTATGGCGTTGGCAGAGCTGCTGATATGTCATCGATGAGACCACACACCAGCACTGTCGGGATGTTTCTCAGCCGCGTGCCGAGAAGCACTGCCAATGGAAAGGGCTCTGCTGTCGTCGGGAGTACGAAGTATTGTGGCAAGAGTGACATAGTGGGGTCGCCCAAGGTCAACGGATGCTCCTGATGAGTCTTTGTGTTGTTGTAGAGCTCTTTCATAAGCAAGCTCTGATTATGTACTTATATTGTGTTTCAAGTCCATCATTCTTGTAATAGTTGTGCCGATAGAGATCGCAAAGGTCAGTACGAGACCGCAGTCGAGAACTGCATTACCGGCGGCGAGGCAGCTCAAATACAGCGGGCCAAGGCTCAATGCTACCGCACCCGAGACAGTTGAGCAACTCGTAGAGGGTCGCCAACTTGCTACGAGTGACGTGGGCTACTAGCCGATAAAGTATAGAGGGATGAGACGCTTGTCGCACTTGCATGCCGATCTGGTTTGCCACAAGTTGGTCAATTTGCGACCGCCAAGGAGAGGAGCATTGAGGAGACAAGTAGTGACCGCCAGGCAAGCAGACTGTCAAGCTCAACAAGCTTTGGGCGCTCGGCAGTTTTCTCATCAATCCATGGATCTGCTAGTTGGCGACAGCGGCGTTGCTAGTCCAAGGTTGCCTCGACGCACCACCTGCAACCTCCACGGCGAGAGATGATATTGTGCCTTCGATCCCGAAGAATGCTTACCCAGCTCTGGATGTCAAGTGGTGCAATGTTGCCAAAGCAGACGCATAGCGGGTGTCATACACATTTCATGGCGAGCGAGCAAGCAGGTTCCGGAATCGCATCTCACTGCGCGGCCATACTCTTTCGAAGCTGCCTTTGTCTCTGGTTCGCCTGCAGTTCTAGTCTGCCGACGGCATAGCTCAACCGCTCCTYCTTCTGTCGCAACTGCTGCATCCTCAGCTCCTCCATGCTGCCTCCACCCGCACCTCCCCTGGCAGGACTTTTGGTTTCCCGGCTTCGACTGCGTTCAGGATGTGACAGACGTCCCTCTTGGAGGTCTGCTTTGGCAATGAGAGACTTCTCGCGCCGCTCCAGTTTGTCTAGATATGTCTCGACGCGGGTGAGCAGGGCGGTGACTTCGGGCTGGATTTCGGATAGGAGTGTTGACTGGGCTGTGATGAGATCGTGCTCCGAGACCAGTTCAAAGTGCTGATGGCTGCCGTTAGTATACCGGCGCTGGAAAGAAGGCACATCGTGGACCTGGATAAGCTATACCCGAGTGGTTTGCAGCACTTTCGCGAGACGCGGATAATCGCTCACTCCCGAGTCGAGGATACTGATGCTGGATTCGAGCAGCTGCATGCCCGATCGCAGTGAGCTCACGCAGCCCTGGAGAGCATTTTGGGTGCTGGGATCCATTTGGTGGATACAGTATTGTGAGGTGTCAACGCGTCAACAAATGCCCTGTGGTGGACGTGACATGGATGCGGGGCCAATGCTTCGGCCCACGCATCCGACGGCACCTTAATTTTTCCCAGTACGACATGGAAGTTGGAACTACCTACCTACCGTACATGGACGTCGTGTCTCCAACATCGACCTGCCCTTCTTGCAGAGCCTCTTGCGAGCGTGGTTTGGTGTCGCTTCGGAGCTCTGCGTGCTGCATAACCGGCTCTGCGGTTGTTTTTCAACAAAACATTCGTCGTGACAGCCTCACTCAACACGGACCGTGAGCGCGCTGTCAGCGATCCATGCTAATTCTTGGTGGGTCCGCCCTCGCTGTTACCAACGACGTCAATCAGCAAGAACACCACATGACAGTCATCCGCTGTCTCGCCAATCATGCCTTCCGATAGAGATCTTGAGCTTGCTGCGCAGCAGCTGGAGAAGTTCCGTCTCGATGGTGAAGTCTACCATAAGACCCAGGCCGACGTGCTCGAAAAGTATGCCGCTCTCATGGAGGAYTTCAGACGACTGAAGTCAGACTACGAGGAAGAGAGAGACTCCCGCGAGAGGTACAAGCAGCTCGCCAAAGGGCAAGAGCGCAACCCGTTCGTTCTGGTAAGTAAATCAAGTCGAGGAAGATGTGCGCAAAGGTTCCGGAGATTCCCTCGGGACACCTGCCAGCCGTCTTCAACCAAAGAGTAGACTAGGTGCATGTCATTTGCACCGAGCTACCTACATGCGTCTGCTTTTCCCTTTTACTTTATGTCTTACAATCCACGTATGCTAACTTCTTCCGCCCCGCCTAGGTGCTAGTAGATGGCGACGGCATGGTGTTTGACGATGATCTTGTCGGCAATGGAGCAGAGGGTGGGAGCCTTGCTGCTCAGCGATTGAACGACACGATCGCAAACAGCTTGCGCACTCGCGGACTTGGTACATGGTTTCCCAGTGCACCTTGGAGCAGCACATACTGACCCGGTTCTCAGACCACTGCCGCGTAATGGTTCGAATTTACGCAAACCTTGCCGGTCTATCAAAGGCGGCCGCAAAGGCGAAGTTGTGTGGCTTCGACAAACGCGCACTCGCCCCTTTCGTTGCCAGCTTCAATCGGTCAAACGATCTCTTCGACTTTGTAGATGCAGGAGAGCTCAAAGAGAACGCCGATTTCAAGATACGTGCCAWGTTCGTAAGTTAGCATCCAATTCCTGGTACCTTTCCACAGATGAGGCAAGACATTAACCAGAATCCAGCGCCAATTCGCAGACAATGCACAATGCAAACACATTTACTTCGCCGCATGTCACGATGTCGGCTACATCTCCGAGCTCACGCCATTCATCAACAACAGGGATCGTATCACACTGATCCGCACTTATGCATTCCACCACGAGTTTTCAAAGCTCGGACTCAAGATTGAAGACCTACCTCACGTAAGTGTAGTGCCGACAGCTGGCAATGCTCTCATGCGGTTCAATGCTCCCGAATCGAGGGCACTCTAGCTTCAATGCGCGCTTGACCGGGTACTGATCGGACGATGCAGGTCTTCCGAAATACACCTCTATCAATGGATCAGCAGCCGCATCAATATCAACGATCAACCAATCCGCCGCCTCAGAATTTTTACTCTCACGCCTCCTCTACTTCAGCAGATCACAGCCCCGAGAAGATCTGCCACTTCTTCCCCAAGGGTCTCTGCAAGTACGGAAGTACATGCAAGAATCTGCACACTAAACCGCCGGGTACGACCAACGGCTCCCACTCGGCTTCGCCGTACGATGGGAAAGATTGGCGAAAGGACAGCAGGCCAAATGTGCCGACGTTTCCAAGCCAAGACAGCACTCGTAGCAACGGAAAGCAAGCTCCTGAATTTGAGGCTCTACTGCCCAAAGAGCGAGATAGCCCAAGAAACATGATTGCTATCAACAAGGACCAGCAACGTCTGGACTACTACATCCCAAGACCGTCTCCAGAAGACCACGCCGCATTTCTGAGCCGGGTAAGCCACATCAAACTCTGCAACAATTTCCATCTCAAAGGCGAATGTCCCAAAGGTGACGTCTGTGAATACGATCATCGACCTATCACGGAAGGTATACGCAATGATCTGAAGATTATCGCTCGCCAAATGCCATGCCCACGTCGCAGCGCATGCAGAATCYTAAGCTGTACGCACGGTCATATCTGCCAGAAGAAGGATTGCGGGGTTCGCGGCGGCAAGACATATTGCAAATTCCCAGCTCAAATGCACATCCTGGATCTGAATGTCGTCGACTTTGTCCCTGGAACTACCTCTTTATCCAAGGATGTCGGCGGTGACGAGAACAAAAGCATGAATGGCAGAAGCTATTCGCGGGAGGAGCAGCGTACCTTGGGAAGCGATGCTGGGTCCGAAAATGGCTCCTTTGCCGCAGAGCATCGAGACCGTACGGAGGACGCATCGTCAGCTGATTAGAAATCGCTGCTTATGCCCAATCTACAAGAATGGTCGACAATACCCGACCCAGATGTACAAGGCATTCTGGGAAGGTGATGGCCGTCGCTATACCAGTGACGGCTGCGACCGGGAGCGCAAGCGACATACTGACTTTCGCCTACCGCGTGACAGTGCTATTCCCGAGAGGAGAGGCGCATCTAATGCGTCAAGAAGTGTGGGGATAACTGCATCCGCGAGCACACAAAATCGTTTCAAGGACATGACAACGCAAGTGTATGACGAAGAGACGATGGCTTTGGAGCAGACATGCTACGCTGTAGCTTTGGGGAGTGACTTTTGGAGCTGTGGCATCAGACAACTATGAGCATCATATAACCATAAGGATGCACACAAACATTTCCGACATGGAACATGCAAATAACGCTCCTGTTTCTGTCTCGCTGATTTAGTCCTCGTGCTCTTCACCGCAATCCAGCACTTCTCCACATCAATAGTCTTTCTCAATAACCAAAGGTCCGCGTCCACTGTGGTCTGGCGAGAATTAATTCCTGAACGCACAATCGCCAGGCTGTTGGAGAAGACTTGAGGCGATCAGCATAGTGATCAGGCAGGCTAGCATTCAAGGCATTTAATGAGAACAATCGACAATTAGCAACAGAAAGGTGTAATGCGATCTATCTATGACGCTCAAAAGCTTTTGGACAAGGTTTGACAAGATAATTCAATTGCTGGAAATGCCGCGTGATAACTGTACAGCAAAGGTATCCAACTCCACGTTAAATTCACACCTCTCTACAAGGTCAAGGCAAAGCCAAGCGCGAGAGCAATAATCGACATGGCGGCGACTGGGCGCGATGCAGCGCCCTCCTCATCGTTGCCACTGTTTCCGGAGCTGCTGTTGCCAGAGTTKGCCTCAGTACCAGACTGGTCGGATCCGCTGACAGAGACGCCGTCGCTAAGGTCAGGCTCGGTCTCGGACTGTTGACCGATCCACTGGGAACCCTCGCCCTCGAGTCCGTCACCCTTACCGGCACCGTCGGTCATCATCTTGGCGGCGTTCTCGGGGATCTCAGGAAGCATGAGTGTGTCCACCTGCCATGCGTCGCTCTCGGCTGGGCATTCCATGACACCAGTCTGGGTGCGGGCACCACCGTCACCAGTAGGGTTGGCAGTTGCGGCGAATGCCTTCTTAAGAGCTTCGAAGTCGCGGTTGGGGACGACTTTGCCGTTCTCGATCTCGACAAGACCATAGCCGTTTGGCTCGATGGTGTACTCGTAAGCAAGACCTCCAGAGTAAACGCCAGTCATCTTGGTGGAGTATAGAGCAGCGACCTCGCCCCAGTTACGCTCGTTGGTGATGCAGCCGTACTCGCTGAGGAAGAGGGGAATGGTGTAGTTGCTGTACTTCTTGACCTTGGCGTCCCAGCCGGACTTCTCGAAGCTGCTTGGGTCACACCAGCTGTAGTCGTTCAAGGCGAAGAAGTCAGAGCGAGCCATCTCATCGTCTCCGCAGGCGAAGTAGGTCATCTGAGGGTAGRTGTTGGCGGAAACATCAGCGGCAGAGTAACCGACAGGAATGGTACGGTGGCCCTGGGCACGGATGTAGTTCTTCATGTCTCTGGTCACGGCCTTGACGTATGGTGCAGCGTTGGAGTTGTTCTTGGCATCGATGACCTCGTTTCCGCTGTAGAAGAAAGCAAGGTTGTCTGTTGAGGCATATCAGTATTGTACAGTATTAGATGGACTTAATTGTCTTACTGTAACCAGCAAAAGCATCGATTGTAGCGAAGACATTCTGAAGGTAGACATCGGTGTATGATCCGTGGAGTGATGCGAGGTTCTCACGGTTGAGAGAGTAGTCTGGGGTGTTGGCATCGAGACTCAGGTAGATGCCAGCATCGTCCAACATCTTCATTGCCTCGTCGTGGTTTTGGCTGTTGTCGATGGTGTAGATTCTGATGGTGTTGATACCCAACTCCTTGAAGCGGGCGACATCACGCGTGAATGCTGCCTTGTCCAACATAGGATCTGCGGCATCTGCGGCACCACCGGGCTGGTATGCTACTCCACGGACATAGAATCGCTCGTCACCGGCGTAGAAAGCATTGCCCTTAACAGTGATAGGAGGCAGCTTTCCGGACTGACGAGGGATGTTCTTCGCACTGACAAGGCCAGCCAGGGAGGCAAGCGCCGCAGCTGCGAACGAGAGCTTCATCGTAAATTCGTAKTCTTCTCTGATGTAAAGGTCTGATCCGAGCTGGTAAAGGGTTAAAGGAGAATATTGTCAAATTAATAAGAAATAACGAGTGTGGGTTTGACAACAGAGAATAAGGTAGGGTAGAGAAAACGCGACAAAGACTGAGATGTAGCATGGGAAACAAGGTCGACTTATTACGGGAATCCGATCGCCAAGTCCGCCTCTCCTGCCAATGCTCTTGGGGACGCTCTGGTGGCCTTGGAGCTTACGCGTGGATCTCATTGGCATGCGTTTTGCACGGAAATCCCAGGGTCAAACAAGGACGGTCCGCCTCCATATTTCCCACCGCTGCAAGTAGCAGACTGCATGGTGTGTGGTGATCGGTTGTCTTGCTAGGAGGAAATTCCTTCCATCCTCTGCTGGCTTGGTGTCCTCCGGTCGCTTCTTTGCCGCTCTGCCGCCACTTCGGCGGTCATCTTTCGACCGGTGATTATCGACCACTTGTTGCCACACACAGGTCAAGCTTTGAAAGACGTGCTCCGTCAGTCTCGTGTTTGCTTGGAGACTTGGTGTCTGTTCAAGGGACTGGTGGAAACTTGAAAGGACGACCGCGATCGCGAGCTTTGAGATCTTGGCATGGAAATTGGGTGGGACGGGATCCACTTGTACATTTTGCCGCCACTCTTTCGCCAAACATATCGCGTTCTCCTTTCACTATGTTTGATCTGTGGCATGGTTGTTACACCGTGAGATTATCCTCAAACTTCACGACGTCACTAGGTACAGGCACAGCCTCACTGGTATAGATTCACGGACATGGTATGAAACATGGGCCAGACTACTTGAACAATCCGTCATCTCCTGTATCGCGACGCGCCCTTGACTCCTTCGCAGAACAAGCTCAAGTCCTGCTTTACGCAGCGCTGGAAGATGTTACACCACCTCCATCAAGACGTCCCAGGATCGGCTACATACAGCACCATACCTACAGGGGCTTTCCCGACGTCTGCCCGGACTGGCCAATTCGTAGGTACTGTGCGAAAATGATGACTGTTAGCAGGACGAAAAATAGTAGGTGTCGACTCTAGCAGATGGTTCGTAGGCCCAAGATAGGCGACCGCGGCCAAGGTCCATCTATGTTAGGCATATCTTTCCCCACAAGGCTGTCGAGAACCATTGGCAGATACCAAACCCAACGCGGGGTCTGCGATCGCTTCCGGCTGTCGTATACGGGGCGCAAGATCAAATTCCCGGAGTAGAAGCCGTACGCGGGCCTCTCAGTGCTAAGATAAGTATTCTGCCTCTCGAGTCACAAACGTTAAGCAAAATTCCACTTCTTCGCTGCATCGAATTAGAACAACTCGTTGACCAGCCGAATCACTCGACGTTCAGACACTCTTGACCATGACACTCGAAGAGCTTCCGCATGAGGGCGGAAATGCTGCCCGGGTCACGACGGATCTCATCGTGGACAAGCAAGATGCCTCCTCTGTCCTCCACACCAAGCTCTCGTCCGCTCCACCCATGATTGTAAAAGCGCAGGGCAATTACCTTACCACATCCACCGGCGTGGAAATCTTTGATGCCACATGCGGCGCGGCAGTAGCATGTCTGGGCCACAACCAACCACGTGTTAAGAAAGCCATCCTGAACCAGCTCGACCAAGTGGCATACTGCTATTCACCATTCTTCACGACCTCTGCATCCGAAAACCTTGCCAAGATCCTTACAGATTCCACCCAGGGAGCCATGTCGAAAGTGTTCATTGTCAGTTCTGGAACCGAAGCTGTGGAGGCTGCGTTGAAGATGGCACGGCAGTATTTCACTGAGCTTCCGGAACCGCAGATGCAACGGACGAGGTTTATTGCTAGGCACCAGAGCTATCATGGCAACACGCTAGGTGCGCTATCCGTGGGAAGTCATAAGGCGCGGAAGGCGATCTACATGCCGTTGTTGGCGGACAACGTTTCACATGTCAGTCCATGCTATCCTTACAGAGGCCAAAAGAATGGGGAAAGCGATGCGGAGTACGTTGCTAGGCTTGCAGACGAATTGGAGGCCGAGTTCCAGGCCGTAGGTCCAGGTAACGTCTGCGGATTCATCGCCGAGACCATGTCAGGCATGGTGAGTATCCGTCGAACCTGCTGTCGATGGTAGACTATGCTAATTTCGGGTGAAGACTTTGGGCGCTGTGCCTGCAGTCCCAGGGTATCTGCAGGCCATGAAAGAGGTATGCGATCGGCACGGCGCTTTGCTAATCCTTGACGAAGTAATGACTGGAGCCGGTCGAACTGGCACATGGCATGCGTGGCAGCAGGAAGGGGTGGTGCCACATCTTCAGACGGTTGCCAAAGGACTAGGTGCCGGATTCGAWCCCATCGGAGCTTTGCTTGTCAACAAGTCGATTATTGATGTTSTCTCCAGCGGTTCAAACGGCTTCATCCACAGCCAGACATATCAAGGCCATCCTTTAGCATGCGCAGCTGCTTGCGAAGTACAAGCCATCGTCCGGGAGGAGAACCTCCTGGCCAATGWCCAGGAGCTCGGCGCGTACCTTGGCGAATTGCTCAAGCAACGTCTTGGAGATAAGACCTATGTTGGTGACATCCGCGGGCGAGGCTTGTTCTGGGGCATCGAGTTCGTCGCCGATAAAGCGACCAAGGCTCCATTTCCAGCTGGGAAGAAGGTCGCGCCAACCATGCACGCCATTGGCGTGAGTGAAGGATTTGGTGTATCATTGCTGCCAGGTGGAGGCGTGGCAGATGGTGCCAACGGCGATGTCATTGTGCTTGCCCCCGCATACAATGTGACGAGAGAGGAGATTGAACTGATCGTTGATCGCACGGTCAAGGTAGTTGAACATGTTCTTGGTCAGTAGGGAGTCCACGGACCGGGTTTCGAGAATCGAATCGAGCGCAAAACTCGGCCATGGCAAGAAGCGTGAGAAAAGTGGCGACTGATCATAATATACCCCAATACACCCTCGTGTTCTCTGTGCTTTCCTGTGGTCCTCCTCTGTTTGCAACTGAAATTTTGCCGTGCTGCTCGCAACATTCAAGGCGTCTCACCTTCTCTCACGACAATCGATACTGTTCGACGACAATTCATAGTCTCGACAGGATGTGTTGGTGTCGAGTCGTAGCCAGCTAGTTGCAAGCGTGGTCATCGATGTGTCTCGTGGAGATGCAGCAATCTTCAATTTTCCGGCGGAACAAGACGGCATTGCCACTGCTTTAGGCATATATTCATTTTGGCTCGAAAACCTTGTTGCTGCCTACTCCGCATACCACATGGCCGGGCTGTCCTTATTCTGAGGCAGAATCTGAAGGTGGGCCTATAGGGCCGGAAATGACGCGGCGGATCCCGCTTAGTGGCGCTACTACTAATTCTAATCTTTCCTACTATTCCTTATCCCTATTTATAATGTTATCGTTAACTATTAGTGTTGTTACTGTTAATTAACGAGTTAAGTCGATTAGTAGTGTTWTTACTAGCTTCTTATCTACTACCCTTAATTATTCTTATCGCCCTTAATTAATTAAGTAGTCCTTATACCTTATACGCTTTAGTCTACGGCCCCTTACTACCGCCGGAGCCGCCGCCTATACTAGAGCTACCGCTATCGATACCGCTATAGATTACTCTACGTATTAACTACTTAGCGGAGCGGTAAGGGGCGTATTAGATAATACCGGCTTTTAAGAGGGGGGTAGAATAGGCTATAAGGGCTTAATCCTTCGTACTTCCGTAAGTAGCTCTTTAACGGACGCCTTAAGTAATAGTATAGTTGCCTTATTATACGTATTAAGCTATATATAGATTACGAATCGCTTCGTGCTACTACCGGCTATAGTAAGTACCTTATTATCTATTAATTAGTAGAAGCGGTTACGTATAATTTATATTATTTCCTTTATCTTCGCGACCTAACGCGCCTTACTAGTATACTACTCTTCCTTATCGTTATAGCTATCTACTATAACGCGCGCGGTAGTAAAGTATAGCTCGAAGCCGCTCTTAATCTATACTACTATCTAATTAGCGAAGTCCGCCGCTATAAGTATCTCGAATACGATATAGTTATACTAAAGATAGCGGTAGAGTAACTCGTACTTACGGTAAAAGACATAATCGTAGATATTAATAGAAGTGCTATTACTGTAGTTACCGTCGCGTATATCTATCTTACCGAGCTACATTTGCTCTACGACTATATATTAAGCTAGATACGGTAGCTACTTTATCTACGGATACTTAGCTATTAAAGGATAAGGTTTATTACGAAAGTTATAGGCGTTCTAATCCGCTCTACGATTAAGAGTAGTAGTTACTCGTATAACGTATAAGGTAATACTAGCAAGCGACTAGTAGCTTATTTTCTGCTTAATACTAGGCCCTCTTTTAAGAAGGAGGTAAAAGTTCTTAAGGTTGCTAGTTATCTTTATCTATAGTAGTAGTAGTAAGTATATTCGATAGTAGGTAGCCTATAGCTTACGGTCCTTCCGTATACGTACGTTAATATAGTCTATCTTTATAGTTCCCTTCGGTAGGGCCCTTATTACCTTATTAAGTAAGTCCGTAAGGCTAGCTTTAGTTTAGTAGTACTTTAATACGCTTAGAAGATAGTCTAGCGTACGTATATATTACCGGCCCTTAAAGTACTCGGTAAGAGCCTTCTTATAATAGAACTAGTAAAGTAGATAAGTTAGTTTAAGCTTACTATCCTCTAAGTCGCGAAAGGCTGTATTAATAGCTAATTGCTTAGCTCCGGAGTCGTTAGTAATAAAGTAGCGAGGTTCCTAATAGCCTCTATACTATCGTTTAATTTGCCGTAGTAATTCGCCTATTATAATGCCGTACTCGCGTAGTAATATCTAGTATACGTGAACTCGAAAAGTGTTAGTATTATCGCGGACTATTAAGCTAAAAAGCTTCTACTCTAGACGATTAGTCTTATAAGTTAAATCTATTACTATAACATAGCTATATTTTTTTAGTAGCTAGAGGCCCGCGTTACTAGTAAATACTACCGACTCGGAGGGGTTCCCGTTATTAGATTTCTTAATTTATAGGTGTTTAGTATTATAATCGTCTAAGAAGCTAGTATTAGTTTATACTAAGTATACCGCACTTTAAATTAAGGGCTTAACTTTAAGTATAGCAATTTTTAAACTTTACCGAAAACTTACTTTTTTTATACTAATCTATTATAGTAATTACCTGCTTTCGTATACTATCGATAGTACCGCTAATACGCTAGTCTAGATTAGCCTTTAAGTAACTACGTATAGAGTTAAGGACGAATTAGAGGTTAAACTTCGCTTCGCTAGCTGCTAATAATAACCTCGTACCGTCTATAGTTATATTACGCTCCTTCTTACTAGTAATAGTTTATCTAGTTTCCGCCGTGCTACGGCCGCTACTTACTTCCTTACTAGTAAGCTTTCGTAGGAAGGTATTAACCTTACGATAGTTAGCATCCTTAAAAGAGTAGTTATAAGGGATCTAAGAGCGCTTCTTAGTATTAATACGCTTAATAGTCTAGTAAGTTAGCCGTACGAGCTTCCGCCGCTCTCTATAATTAAACTGCTCCTTAATACTAACTCGAACTCTATCTTTATTATTATCCTTATAGCCTACGTAGTAGTATATCTATACGATTACCGCCTTATAGAACCTTCGTAGCTTAGACGATGTATTCCGCTAGCTCTCGAGCGGCGCTTCCTTATATTATTCGCCCTCGTAGCGCTTACTAAATCGATAGCGAAAGGGAAACTTACGCTTAAAGAAGCCCCTACGCGCCTTACTAGTACTATCCTTCTTAAGGAAGCGGTAGCTATTACGAATCTAGCTATTATCGCTTAATAGCTAGTATAGTTAGTGCTACTTAAGAGTTATAATAAGTAGCTCCTCTTACTTACCGAGAGCACTACCGTAGTATAGTAATAACCGCTAGGCCTCTATATCCGGTAGTAATTCGAGCACTTTTAATACCTTTATATCCTTCGCCTTAAATAAAGCGAACGTATTAGAAAGTACAGTTATAGAATAGCTATACATCTAACATAACAGAGAGCTAAGTAGCTACAAGGTTAT